TTCAGTAGGTTTTTGTCTTTTTAGTGCTTGACTTCATTGTTGGAATGGTCATTAGACATATCTGGGGGTTTTGCTTAATTTCTGGTGGTTTTCCTTTTATTCTTGGGATTATCAGATCTCATACAAATTAATATTCTCAAAGGTGCAAAACCCAAAAAACCTAGAAATGAAGCAAACTCACCATAAATCCAGCACCCAATCTGTTATGTACTAACCTTGGACCCTAGAATGCAACAACTGATTGGTCTTTTCCTGCAGGCCAATCAGGCTCCAAGAGGGAAGCAGAGTTAGCCAGTCAGACGGGACTCATTGTGTAAATAATGTATATAAAAGCCTGAGGTTGGGGGGGGGGCAATAAAGAGCATGAAAATACATACAAGACTCTGAGTATATTTCACAATCGTAATTTATATAAAAGAATCTATGAAACGAAAACCACAGAAAAAATTCAACATAATCCCCAAAACAAACCAGAAACAACAGAAACAAACCACATCCACCAAAGATGAGAAAACCAATTGAATAGAACCACAAGAAACCCACGCAGTAAACATCTCAGGGAAAGGCGAAATCACCCCCCACACCATGCAAAACTAAGGTTTAACTGGCTTTGGGGTTTCTGCGCAATTTACCTTTTCCCTCTTGTTGGGGGTTTCTGGTGGTATTTCTTCTGCTTCTCACATTTCTGCTTCTTTTCAATTGGTTTTGGGATTCTGGTGAATTTGGTAATGATTTGATTGAAGTCTCTGTCTGGCGATTTTCCTTTTTCATGAATTCCTTCGTTGTTGGGTTTCTGGTATCTCACTTTTGGTTTTCACATTTCTCTTAGTTTTGCTACGTTTCAGGTAGTTTGCTTACTTTTTGGAATTATCCAGTCTCATAAAAATGAAGCACTATCATTAGAAGCTTAAAAAGCATGAAAAAAAACCCAGGCACTAACCCTAACCCTGAACATCCACCTATCCCCTGCCCTAACCCTAACCCTGATATTCTGCTCATCCATCTTGGGGATAACAATCTGGTGAGGTAAATTCAGTTGAGATCACTAAATATCTCCATCAGCTGTGCTTCCTCATCCCTGAGCTTATCATAGTTTGGTTTGGAATGTTGTAGAGGTGCTTATGGAGTGGGGGCAGCCTTCCTAAGAAGGTGGATGGGCAAGACATAAAGCTAATCATTCTACAACGACGTTTGTGTTTGAAAATGTGGCTGCTTATATCCCTCATGGCAGAATTATGTTCTGTGCCCCACAGTTGTATAGACCTGGTGGTATGCATCTTTCTGATTTGGGTTGTGACATGATTCTTAAGGATCTGCAAAGAGCTCTGTTTGAGCACTTGTGTGTTTGTGGGTGGAGGTGAACAAGCACACCTGCCCAGACTTAATTTGATTTGGTTACATTGGTCGAATCTGACTAGTTTTGCCGATCCTCAAGTTGTTATATTTAATAAATACAACCTATTTATCCACTTTTGGTTGTCTTGACTCTTCCTCCTGATGTGCTAGGAACCACTCCGTTTGGGGGGCACTGCAAAACATGCGGTTTTTACTGCAAACATTTTGCCAGACTTTGGCCTTGATTTGGAGTGAACGATGTTGGGTTTTGGGGTGACCTTATGACCCCTGTCAGTTACTTGGTTTGTCGGGCAAAATGCTACAAAAATGCTACAATGTCTGGCAAAATGCTACAAAACTTTTGCCAGACTTTGGCACCAGTTTGGAGTGAATCGGACAATGTTGGGTTTTGGATATTAATTATGAACCCCGGTTTGATGTATCAATTACTTGTTTATGGGGTGTTACAAAATGTGAGGGTTTTGCTGCAAAACTTTTGCCAAACATCAGTTTTGATGGGATCCCAGTTTTGGGGGTTTGTAGTTAAATGAAGCATTCTTTCAGTGCTTCTTGGGAAATGTGCAGTTTCCGTCAGATCAAACTAATACTTCTGGATAAAATTATATGGTTGTTGATTATCAGACAGTTCTCCCATTTATCAAGGAAAACGTCTGTTATGGGTGGCTTTTGCTTGGTGTGTGTGACTGTTGACAGACAGATTTGAAAAGGAACACAGCTTCCTCTGTTTGTCTCACAGTAACTTACTGGCCTTTTTGATTATGCAGTCGGTGCAGCCTTGTGGTCTGAGTGACGATCTCTATAGAGCAAAAAATACGGTAATTCCAGTTGATTTGTTTTAATGGTCACATAAAGGCACTTTCTTTGGTTATAAAATGATGTTGTGAGTCTTATATCTGAGCAGTCAATAAACTCCCTCCCCCACAGAAACGCTTGTCTTACTTCTTCTTCTTCTTGGCATCCATACTTACATGTTTGTTTAAAGAAAGACTAACCCCACCCCGAACCCCACCTCCAGCTTTCATCTTATTATTCTAGTGACTAGTCAGTGTTCATAGCAACACTTGCTTTTGTTCCTAGACAAACTGCCCTGAAAGACAGTTACTATGAACTACATGTGTCTTCTTGATATATAAGGTTGTTGCTAGTTTCTGCAAAACACTTCTTTATCTTTCAACAAGAAATAAATGAATAGGAGGCTGCTCTAAGGAAGAAGTGTGATTGCATCTGGAATATCAGACTCTCTGTATTTTTATTTATTTACTTGATTTAGGGGTGGCCGCTTCACCCCCTGGCTATGCCCATGTCCCCAACTAACTGAGCTTCTTGGGATCATCCTGCCATGCTGTGAGCTACTACATTATCCTGCACTTTACAGAACCTTCCTTAGAAAATAAAAAACTGAGGCAAATTTCCAGTCTAAACAGGCTGGGTCAGGGCATTTCCAAAATGTTATGATAGATGGAGCCATGGATGTGGCCAAGGGGGGCCAAATAAATAAAAATATATAAAAATACATAGCTAACTGAGGTTCTGACCCCCTAACAAAAGGCCTGCCCCCACTAACAAAAATCCTGGCTACGCCCATGGATGAAGCCAACTACAGTAACTCTGGTTTTGTCCCCACCCAGAAGTGTAGCATGTGTGGGCCATGGGGGTGTGACCGCTGCCAAAGGGCAAAGGGGGAGAGGGCTGCACCCGCAGGGTTACTGGAACCCTTACCCACGCCGGGAAGACCCTGGGAGGTGGTGTCCATTGATTTTCTGACAGATTTGCCCAAGTCAAGGGGGAAGACAGCAGTCATGGTAGCAGTCGATCTCCTGATGAAGATGTGCCATTTCATAGCTTGCTCACATGCAGTGACGACAGAGGAGGCAGCCAGGTTGTTTGTGGATCACATCTTCAGGCTGCATGGAGCTCCCTCGAGGGTCATCTCAGATCGCGGGAAACAATTTACTTCCCGGTTCTGGAGGAAGCTCATGAGCTTGTTGCAGGTTGAGGTGGGCTTCTCGACAGCGCGCCACCCGGAAACCAACAGGCAAGCAGAAAGAGTGAACGGTATACTCCAGCAATACCTACGCTGCTACGTCAGCAAGAGACAGAACGATTGGGTAGAGAAACTAGCGCTGGCTGAATTTGCGTACAATAACGCTGAACATGTGTCTACGGGAATGAGCCCGTTCCTGGCCAATTATGGGTGTCACCCCAGGGCCTTCCCGGGAGGGGGGAGGAAGGATGGAGTGTACCTGCGGCAGAGCAGTTTGTGGAAGAAATGGAGGCCTTGCACCAGCAACTCAAGATGAACTTGGAGCGGGCCAAGGAAGTTTACAAGAGGCAGGCAGAAAAGCACCGTCGGGAGGGGGAGGCCATACGGGTGGGAGACCGAGTGTGGTTGTCAACCCAAGGGTTACCCCTAAAGGGAGGGTGCAAGAAGTTGCAGCCAAGGCGGCTGGGACCTTTTGAGGTAACACAGCAGGTGAACCCTGTGGCATTCAAGCTCAAGTTGCCTGACAGCATGAAGATACATCCGGTGTTCCATAGGTCCCTACTCTCACCATACAGGGAGGGGCGGGAATTTTCGGGGCGGGAGGGAGGAGTCACCACCCACCCGCGGGTAGAAGAGAGGGAACACCACAACCAAGCCACGGAAATACTCGATTCAAGGTGGCGAGGGCGCCAGGTGGAGTACTTGGTGGCTTGGGAGGGAGAACACGAGTCAGAAAACACGTGGGTCCCCGCTGAGGCGATCAATGACGGGTATCTAGTGGAAGAATTCCACAGCCTGTTCCCAGATAAACCGAAACCACTAGCGAGATTCTGGGAGGAAGAATTTGGAACCACAGACGACGAAGAGGACTTTGTGGGTTTTCCGGCCTCCGAAGAGGAGGGAGGGGAAGTGTCAGAGAGAGAAGAATCAGACTGGGAGGCCCACCCCGCGGGAATATATCGGAGCGGGTGGGAAGCGGGTTTTGAATCCTCAGAGGATAGCGACAGCTCCTTCAGGGGCTTCCCCGCATCGTCGGCCGAGGAAAGGGACGAGGTTGGATCTGAAGGTCGGGCCAGGGCGGAGGGGGTCCTGGGGGGGAGGTGGATGTCAGGGAACTGCCATCGGAGCTGGAAGCGGAGGGAAGGCTCCAAAGGGATGGCGGAGAGGGTCCCAGTAGGGAGAGAGGGAGCCCGTCTGCTGGGGAAGGAAATCAGCGTAACACCAGTAGAGAAGGGGGGCAGATGGGGGAATCGGAGAGGAGGCTCCAAGACTCCTCGCCAGAGACCAGCGGAGAGAGTACGGGTACTCCGCTGCCCACACCCTCCCTGCGCAGAAGACTTCCGCGCAGGGAGAGTAGGAGGAGACTTGGCGTCAAACAACTTTTATGCTGGAAAGGTTTAAGAAACGCCCACTGACGGATTCTGCCAGCGACTGAGACAGTCACGATGCTGGAGGCTGTTCAGTCAGAAAGGGTTTAACCAGGTAACCTCGCCAGCAGTGGCGGCAACTTACGCACGAGCAACCCCTAAATCCATTACAATATGCAAATGTTGTTTGAAGTCGAAAGATTTCCCTTCTTTCTGTACTCAACAATCACATCTTCTAAGGGAGGGGATATTGAAACTACTTGCAGAAAAACAGATATTTTATTATAAATTGACATGGATATTTGCATGCACAGAGAAAACAGCTTTGTGTTTTCTCTAAATTCTAAAGGCCAGTTCACAATATTGCATTGTCAACACAATGTTCCCTGTATGTATGTATGTATGTATGGGTATCTATGAAACTTCATCTGTGGATGTTTGACCATACCAAGCTCAAGGAAATGTTCCTGAATGCAACCCAAAGCCCCTTCTGCGCAGTCATGAATTTGCATCAATGTTACATATAAGCACATTCACCAAGCAGCAGATACGAACAGTTAACCAAAACAAATCAACCCATTTTTTAAGCACATTTCTATTGCATTTATTGTGATAAGAAACTTACAGACATTTGTATCTAGATTCCAACTTACATAAAATTATTGTTGTTTGAATGGGAATAATCTTATTGCTTGATGGAAAGTACTGCAATGGATCTGGTAATAACTTTTCTCATGGAAGTGGATGCCATTATGCTTTTTAACAAGTAAGATAAATTTGCATGAGGATAAAACAATGCTCTGTAATATTTAAATCTCATTGGATGGAGGCCACACAAATGCAAAATGGAGACCACTCAAGTGAGAACAATAAAACTCCATTTACTGCAGAAGTTATATTTCTTCCTATGGGCTACAGGGATTCATTCTAGTTAGAATATTTTATTATTGTAATTATAATTGTTATTTAAAAGTAGCACTATATTTCTTCTAATACTTGAAATACAGTGTTGGTTCCTGACTTTTATTTTTGCTTCATGTTGGGTGGGACTCATTTCCCTTCAGTTCAGTGTTCACGAGAGGCAAGGTAAAAACTTTGCAAATTTGTATACATATATGTATATGGTAGGGACGCAGGTGGCGCTGTGGTCTAAGCCACTGAGCCTCTTGGGCTTGCTGATCAGAAGGTCGGTAATTCGAATCCCTGTGACAGGGTGAGCTCCCATTGCTCGGTCCTAGCTCCTGCCAACCGAGCAGTTCGAAAGCACGCCAAAAAGTGCAAGTAGATAAATAGGTACCGCTCTGGCGGGAAGGTAAACGGCGTTTCCGTGAGTTGCTCCGGTTTCGCCAGAGTGACTTAGTCATGCTGGCCACATGACCCGGAAAAACTGTCTGCATACAAACACCGGCTCCCTCGGCCTATAAAGCGAGATGAGTTCCACAACCCCAGAATCGTCTGTGACTGGACTTAACTGTCAGGTGTCCTTTACCTTTTTTATGTATATGGTACTGTGAAATGGTACTGTTTTGGAGAGTATTGTGGGAACTTTTAGCACTTAGCAGTTCTTTTGTTCTTAAATGGCCTAAAATTAATCTATGAAATAAAAAAAATGTAAATAAAATACTGTATTAACAGGAGAAACAACATTTTGTTTAGAGTTCAAACATCACTGTTTTTCTCTCTTCCAAACACCATGCTAGAAAAAGTTAGAATTAAAAATTAATCTGCAAAGCGTTGTTTTAAGTGATCCTGATTGTACATTATGGAGATTACCCAGTGTTAAATAGATTTATAATTGTTAGGAAGCTGATATTCCTATTAACATCACGTATATTTAATTGCTTCTTTGGAGTTAGTTGTAAAAATTCTTTATTTATTTTTGTGGTGTGTGCACAGGAAGTTTTAAGAAAAGGCAAGGCTTGTGTGCACCATTTGCTTTAATTGCCTAAGACCTGGGGCCCTGAGACCTCCATTGGTCTTGGGACAATATAAAGTCTGACATGTCACTCTGCTTCTCCTTCCAAAAATAAAATTGTTAAGTAAGTGATGCCAGTGAGACAGTTGGGAAAGGGGGATAAGTACAGGTAAGGTCTGAAACAAGAACAGGAATTGGGGGAGTATGGACATCTTTATGGCTGTTATATAACCTAGCCCACTTAAGTTTAGGTTAGGGTTGCCATATTTAGAAGAGCAAATAAAGGACAATTTGCTAGTGGGGTGGGTGGGTGGAAAAGTGCATGTGCTGGGGTCACCAGGCGCTGGAGTGACATCGGAGGGAAGAACGCAGCAAAATTTGCATGCAAAATGGTGGGGGCATATATAAAGCAAGCAAGCTGCCAGTTTAATAGTTTTGTTCAATATTAATAAGTTGTTTATTTTAAGAGTGGGGGAAGGATTTAGATACCTACCATAGTGAGGATCTGAAGGCACATGTAAAAGAGGGGGAAGTGTTGCAGCTCACTACTTCTGCAAGCAAAAGATCCCAGATTCAATCCCCAGCATCTCTTGGTAGGACTGGTAATGATTTTTGCCTGGAAAGCTTCTGCCAGTAAGTGTTGGCAATTTTGATCTAGATGGACTAATGGTTCTGATATGCTTCCTATATTCTAAGAACCGACAATGGATTCCAAAGCTGTGGCATGTGCTGTTGTTGCAGAATCCTAGTTTTGTAATTTGAATGACTGCTAAAAATACCAGAAAATTAAAGTTTGGTTCAATTGCTGGCCTTACCCTTTCCCCTTACTTAAGATGGGCTGTTCACTTTTTAAAAAAATAATGCTTTTAAAGCTCTGTATGTTTATCTTGTAAACCATTAATTCATCAAATACCTTTCTTAAATGTCTGGAAAAGAATAGCTTTCCATTTGCAAAAGAGCTTTCAGATTAGCCCCACTATAAGATTATGCTTTGCCAAAACTGGGTGTGCCTACTTGGGTCACCTGTTCTCGCTGCTTCATCAATTTTGTTCAGATTTTATTTTTAGGGTCTCAAACCCACCTCTAACGGGGGGAACAAGTGTATTGGAGGAAAGGCTGTAGCCAGGGTTGCCAACTTGAATAAAATTTGAGGGGCAGGTCAGCCCCCCCCACTTTATCATTGATGACATGACATGGTGCATGCACATACTAGCTGTGGAATCTAGACTGTAATGTTTTAATTCATCTCGCCTCTTGTTCAGATCAGATATGAAACAAAAAGCCCTCTCCATGAGAAGACTTGATTAGTCAAACAAAGCAGGGAGAAATCCTTTACTGGGCAATTAAATTCACTTAAAACCAAGGATTGAGAAGAATGGCCTCTGGTTTCATCTATCAATCTTTCAGGATGATGGAATTATCATGCAAGGAATGTGCAATTTTCATTCATTTGTTGACTTTAAAATAGTCAGCATTTAAATGAGCATTTCCCCTAATATAGGTAATTTCTGCAAGCAATTTCCCCTAATATAATGCATTTCTGTAAGTTATTTTCACAAACACCTTTATTTTCAGAATACACATTCGTGTATTTTCACAACTTTGTGAAACACATTTTTGTTTGGAGAGTTGCATCTCAAAATTTTGCATCTCAAGAAATAGAGAAGTGTGAATTTTGAAGGATAGTGACATGTTAATTCACTTTTTGCTGGCACTTATGGGCTCCCTAGCACCACATGGAGCTTGTTCAGAGCCCTGAAAAATAAAGCAAGGGCTTCTTCTGGTTGCTTGGGGGGCATCTATTTTGGAGGGGGAGGGCATAGGAATTTTGCTAGCTTTTTTTGCGGGGTGGGTGGGTCTAAGCATTGCCAGCTCCTCGTGTGAGAAAGTGGTAAACTGTGGCACCCATAATAGTATCTTAGTTTTCCTGATGTGCTTCCAGGGCCAAAAAAGTTATGCTTTATTTTAAGTAGGTAAAGTCAAGTCTATGTCTGGTTTAAAAAGAAACAGTTGCATCCAGTGTAGAGCTAAGTAACTCATCCTATCAGTGCAATGACTTTCGCTTGCACAATGGAAACTCGCCCCTCTTCTCACTTCCCCTTGAATTTATTCTAGAGTTCCCTTAGCACCCCCCCCCCCGAGCAGATTTGGAGAGGGCAGGGGTGCACATGGGAGCTGGGAATGGGGGGAAGTGCTGTTGCACAAGCGGAAATCCTTGCACTGCCACCTAAAGGTGGGAGCAGGAGAGGGAGAGAGTTTATATTTGTTCAACTGACAGCAGCCACGGAGCAGATTGAGCAAGCTCCTAGGTCAATCTGGTGCTGCTGTGATGAGATGTATTCAGTTTCCATTTATATTATAGTAATTATTTCTACCTTTCCACCGATACATATAGATGAGCACAGAAACATTTTGTGCCAATTTGGTTTTTTTGTTGTTTGTTTTTTTGGGTAGTGCTACGTCATTGGCCATCCTAGCTTAACCCCCAACGCAGAAAAAGCGCAAGCTTTTAAAAAGTTATAATTGCTTCTTTTGTCGTGTTCCGGACACTCTTGAGAAAGCTCAGAATCCCGGAGCCACCTGTCCTCTCTCTTCCAGGAAAGATGGCGGGTTTGGAGAAGTGGATTCACTTGGCTTCGCTTTGGCGTTGCGAGCTGCTGAAATGATGTACTTGGTGACCATGGCAATGTGGTAGGTCCTCAAGTCAGAAAGGGCTGCCACACACATGTTATATGCAGAACAGAGCTTCTCCTTGCCAGAGGACAGCACATGACTCCTCAGTGGGGGAAGGGACTGGATTTCCTCAATGAAGGCCTGATGGTGAGGGGGCATGTACTCCCTCATTCTGTGCAAAAATGTGGCTAGCAAAGGACACAGAGAAGATGAGTGAGTAGGATTAATAGTTCAACAGTGTGTGTGTTAATAAATAAATATTGTACTGTTATGCAGCAGGAATGGGGGTGTTGCTGGACTCCAGCTCCCATCATCTCTGCCCATTGGCCATGCTGCTTAGGCTCATGGGAGTTGGGAGTCCAACAATGTCTGCAGGCTCAACATTTCCCCCATCTCAGTAATAAATAAAGGTCAGGATGATAAAACCATACCTGGTGAACTATACCATTTCAGACCACAGGTGGATAAACTGTGTGTTTGTCTCCTCTCTTTTCTGTGATCCTTTCCTACATTGGTAGCCAAAGTTGGAACTTCAACTCCCCTAACCATTGGGCTATGTGAGCTAGGGATGATGGGAGTTGTCTACAGCATCTGAAGGGTGCTTATAAGGTGCATATTGACTGTGCATATTGAAAAGGGAAGACTGGTCACCTATACGTGTGGGTTTCCATGCAACCAGGGTTCCCGATCATGAATGCATTGCCTGCTGCCATGTGTTGGAGGCTGGAGCCGTTGCTTCCTTGGCAGCCCTTCATCCAGCTTGCCCCCACAACTGCAGGTGCCTGGGGCCTCACGCAATCACCAGGTTCTGCACAAATGCTGTGGGGGAAACGCTCTACATCTCCATGCCCCCTGGCATGTGCTTGCTATGTTATCAAGTGTGAGCGTGCACATGGTGGGGTGATGTAGCATGTGCACACCAGGGCACCCACGACTCCTCTACTGTGTCGCCTCTACAGTGGCCTCTCAGTGAATACAGTTAGGGTTAGAGTTAGGAAGGAACTGGCAGCGGCTGTCCTCTGGGGTCTTCTGGGTTCTGCACCTGCCAGGCATGTTTCAGAGTGGGTCCCTTCCCACCCCATGATGGAGTTTGAGTCCCACTTCAACTGTCAGGTAAGGCTGATTTGATCCCCCTCCTCTTGTTCTCAATCTAGATATTCACTCATTCCTTCTTCCCTGGGGCAGGGGTGCACCATTTTGTGGTTCACTTCAGCTGCCAAAATGTCTTGGGACAGCCCTGCCACAGACCATCTACACAAACCACATGCAGTGCATGTATGTCTCCAGTTCATCAAAGCAACAGACTTACTGCTTTCCCTACAATGCTGGATTCCAAGAAGTTCGTCAAAGGTGTGCAGTGTGGTGCTTTGTGCTGCACTCGCCCCAGAGTACACCAGAGGCTTGTCCGAGATACCCTCATAGATCAGCCCTTCTGGCAGGGCAGGACTGTCCTTCCATCTAAAAGGAAGTAAAGGCAGTGAGAGATTGCGTCTCAAGGAGCTGCATGGTAGATCCAATAAGCAGTAGTAATAATACTACTAGATTGTAATTATAGTAGTAGTAGTAGTAATAATAATAATAATAATAATAATAAATTTTATTTGTATCCCTCCCTCCCCTGCCGAAGCCAGGCTCAGAGCGGCTAACATCATAAAAACAACACAATATGCATAAAAATAGACATCAATTAATTAAAATACACCTTAAAATTAATTCAGACAAGTTAAAATCTGAACAGGTGGAATCAGGTTGGAATTGAGAGTGGTTAATACTTGCCAGGACCAACTGTTTCCACTGATCATACCTGTGAGCGGGTTGGGGGCCTCTTTCAGGCTTGTTTTATACAAAGGAAAGTACCTAAGTTAAACTGCATCCTGCCTAAAGGCCTGGCGGAACAGCTCCATCTTGCAGGCCCTGTGAAAAGATGTCAACTCCCACAGGGCCCTAGTCTCTGGTGGGAGAGCGTTCCACCAGGCCGGGGCCATGGCTGAAAAGGCCCTGGCTCTAGTCAAGGCTAGTGTAATTTCCCTGGGGCCCGGGATCTTCAAAGTGTTGTTGTTAACAGACCGTTAGCAGAAGAGGCGGTGGCATAGGTACAATTGTCCTAGGCCATATAGGGCTTTAAAGGTTTAAACCTGATCCTGTACTCCACTGGGAGCCAGTGCAGCTGGTATAGCACCAGATGAATTTGCTCCCGCGGCGAGAACCCCGTGAGGAGTCTCACTGTGGCATTCTGCACACACTGGAGTTTCAAGGGCAGCCCCATGTAGAGTGAGTTACAATAATCAAGCGTGGAGATGACAGTCACATGGATCACAGTGGTGAGGTCAGGGCGAGAGAGACTTAGCTTGACGGAGATGGGAAAATGCTGCCTTTGTTATAGCTGCAACCTGCGCCTCCATATAAAGGGAGGCATCGAAGATTACACCCAAACTCTTGATGGAAGGCGCTGGCACTAATTGCACCCCACAAGGGATGGGAGTTGCCCCCCCAATCCCATATCGTCCCGACCCAGCCAAAGGACTTCTGTCTTCAAAGGATTTAACTTCAACCAGCTCCCATGTAGCCACAACTTCCAAACATCTGGGTCTGGGGCCGAGCCAGGATGGCAGTCCATCAACAGGTAGAGTTGGCTGTCATCAGCATACTGATGGCAACCCAAACCAAAATTCCAGACAAGCTGGGCGAGGGGGCACATAAAGAAAAGCATTGGGGTGGGGGGGGGCCGTGTTTGTCCACAGACAGCAGCTTTCCGGGTCATGTGCCAGCATGGCTAAACTGCTTCTAGTGCAACAGGACACCATGATGGGTGCCAGAGTGCACAGAAATGCCATTTACCTTCCCACCACCTATTTATCTACTTGTGCTGGTGTGCTTTTGAACTGCTAGATTGGCAGAAACTGGGAGCCTTCTGATCTGCAAGCCCAAGAGGTTCAGTAGTTTAGACCATAGTGCCGCCCACTCCCCTTTAACCATAGTAGTAATAGTACTGTTAGTAAAATAGTATTCTTTTATCGAAAGTATTTTTTATTAAACTCCACTCTTGACTCTGAGTATATTTCACTTTGTTTATATAACCCATATCACAATAATAGAGACCATGAGACCAACACATAAAAACTAAACCAAACCAAGGGTGGCATGGAATGTTACATTTACAATTGGTACAAGTGGAGAGTACCATCATAAGAAATGAGAGACCCAGAGGTGTGGCACACATGGCTTGCAAGATTTACAGAGGTGTGGCACACATGGCTTGCAAGATTTACAGAAATATAAATCTGTAGCTGAAACCATCAGAGGCACAAGGAGTACCAAGAATAAAAGGTTCTTTCTTACATCAAGAATTTTTTTCAACCAATCAGATGTTGCTTTCCCCAAATATATTGGGAGACTTGTGGAAGAGACAAATGTAGATTTTCTTTTTTATGTAAAAATAGTATAGTAGTAATTAGTAGTATAGTAGATTTGTTTATATGTATCTAGTCATCAGACCATTACAAAACAAAAGTTTGCCACTATGAAAGTATAACATGAAGTTACCTGAGATCCAAACAAACCTTTGCCCCTCCAAATGTTGCTGAACTACGACTCCCATCATCCTATTGGCCATGTTTCCTAGGGCTCACAAGAGTTGTAGTTCAGAGACATCCAGAGGGCCAAGGTTTCCCCAACTACAACCTAAACTAAGTTAAATTTCCAGTTTTCACTGGCAGATCGCGACATGCCCCTTTAAAAGGAGGGGGCATGTTCCTCTTTTAACAAAGTTATGTAATGTTAAAATAAAATAGAACGGAAAAAATGAATGCACAAAATCCAGAATAAAACCTCAATGAGTAAAAGCATAAAATAAACTTCGCGTTCTGGATCTCCCTGACAAGGCACAGCATTCTGTCTCAATGCAAATAGAAAATGTGCAATCTTCTTCAGAGTTGCATCTTCTCCCATAAATGAAATAACAACAGCAATATTAATAATAACATCCACTATATCTGCAAAGGAGCCAGCCCCTAGTTGCAACCCTGATTAGCAGAGTTTCAGAGCATTCTCTGGCTGCAACAGATGTGAATTGCAAAGCTTTCATACCTCTCTGCTTGGTGACACATTGCAGGAAATGTGCTTTAGATAGAAATGAGGATTGGGCTCACTTAGGACTCAAGCTGTATGCAGGCTCATTAGCCATCCTTTGCCACCTGCCCCTGCCAGATGTTAGGTGCGACTCTGGAGATCAGCAAGCCTCAATTTTTAGGCAGTTGTTTTATTAAAATGATCACACACATACACATACACAAGAAAGAAAAATGCAAGCTGAAAAACCCGCTCCTTTTCAACCGCTTGGAAGACCTTGCAGCATTCTGAGAATTTTTGCCAAGCAATGTGGAACTGTCGCTGGGAGACAGTTCTGTTTCTCTTAAAGGCAGAGGGCTGAGGCCCAATGGTAGAGCACTGGCTGAGTGTGCAAAAGGTCATGGGCTCCATTTCCAGCAAGAGTTGGGAATGTCTCCTTTCTGGAACCCTGGAGAGATGCTGCCAGTTAATGTAGATGATACTGAGCACTATTGGGGAAGAGTAAGAATAAAAGAGCATAGGATCCCTACACAAAGTCAGACCATTGGCACACCTTGCTTATTATTTATCTACACTGACTGACAGTGGCTCTCTAAGGTTTTGGACAGAAGTCTTTCTTAGCCCTACCTGGGATTGAACCTGGGACCATCTGCAGGCAAAGTAGATGCTCTATCACTGAGAAACAGTTCTTCCTCAACAGCTTCCTCTGCTTCTCCACCCTTAGCCAACCCCCTTCTTGGCAGCTGCAGGTATCATTGGATGTGTCATTTTCTCCAGCAGAGAAAACTGCATAACCCCATAGGGCTAATGCGGCACTGTCCCAATAATTTCTGTCAGCCCCCATCTGCCTGCTTTCTGAGTTAGTCCAGAGTAGGGGTTGGCAAACTAAGGCCTGGGGGCTGGATGTGCCCCCCCGGCTTGTAAATCTGGCCTGCAGACCCTGCCGTATGCTCGGTCAGTCCCTGCATGCTGCAGATGCCTCGCCACGCGGGGACTGACTTCTGTGACGCTGGGACGGCTTCTGGGCGGGCAGCGACACTGGCACGGCTTCAGATTGGCTGCAGGAAGTTCCAGAGCCTCGCAGTCTGCACGCTGAGGTAAACCTGGTGCGGCCATGGATGGAGAGGGTGGGTGGCAGGTGGGCGGCAGGACATACGCATACATAGATTAAACTGGATATATGATTGTTTAACATGATTGAGAATCGATCAGCCAGGGACTGAGGACTTTGAGAGTTTAAGATCAGAATGTGGAAAATATGAAAACAACAAGAGGGCAGAAATATAACTATCTGAGATGAGTTCTTCAGAGGTCCAGAATATGGGAAGTCCGCGTGAAATTTAATAATTAACAATTTGGATTGTAATTTGGTTGTTTTTTAATTTAATTTTAATTTTTGAATTGGATTATGATTTGATTTGTTATAAATTGGAGGTTCTTAATGGAAAATTAATAAAAAATACATTAAAAAATAAATAAATTCAGTGATTTGGATGTTTGGAGTCACTAAGGCCACTGGTATGAAATTTTCCACTCCCCTTTCCAGCAGGGAAGAGGAAGAATCCAGTGGCATTCGCCAGTCTTTTGGGGCCTGTTAAAGACATTCCTCCTTAAACAAGCCTTTTAGGTTGAGATTTTTTATCCCAGTTAGTATCTGTAATGGATTAGAATTGATTTTATGTATGTGTTGTTGTTTTAATGTTTTTAATGTTTTAGCCGCTTTTATACAATGCATACAATTGTTTTGCATGTGCTTTTATTGCATTTTAAATAATTTCAAGATGCCTTGTGGGAAGCAATTCATAAATGAAATAAAAAGTTATCCTTGATGTTTTCACTGTGGACTCACCTCAACTTATTTTACAGGAAATGATGCATAAATGGAATCAAATGCATAAAGAAATAAGAGAAGCATGTGTGGCTGTTTCTAGAGTGCGGATTTTCTCAAGAGTGTACCCCTGCTTGTCCCTCTACTCCTACTTGGAAAACGTTTGGAGAGCAAAAAGTATACATGCTATACTTACCCAGAAAAGAAGATCCGTATCACACCGTAGAATATTGCAGGATCCACGTAATCTAGGAAGTGAAGCATAAAAACAAAAACAAAACTGGATCAAAAATAAATTTCACATTTCCAAAACTGGTAAAGTCAGATTATTTATTTATTTTATTAAATTTATATCACACCTGTCAGAGCTGGCTCCAGGTCCCAGCTCACAGAGGACCAACGCTAGCCGGCAGTAATGTACAAAAGTCTTTATTGAAGTACAGTTTCCATTTTCAAGCCGCAGCGCCCCAGCTCTACGTCTAGGGGTTAGATCGGCGAAGCTCCATCTGAGTCTCCGCCCCCCCTGTACACCAGTTTAAGATTCTAGCCTTACTCCACCTCGTACGTCTCTCCTTTCTCCTCTGGGTCCTGCTACCCCCCGGGGTCCCTTCCTTCCTGGATTCTTCTGACGCTGACCCCCTGACTCCTCCCCCTCTTTTCGGCGGGCTTTGGGACCTGGCTCCCTATCCGGGCTGCCAACTGCGCCGCCCTCCTGTACATTTGAACTTGGCGCGCGCGCCCAGCCTTCAACCTTCCTCTCGACCGTTTCCTCGCTCCCCGATGGAGGCGTGGCCAATCCTGACTCATGTCCTCCCACTGGCAGTGCGCCGCCTGATCCCGATGCCTGGGACCCCTCCCCCCTACTGCACTCTGGTGTGGACGCTGGTCCTGATTTCCAACTGCTGCTCTCTGAGTCCCCTCTGGCCCCTTCTTCCTGGGGTGTCCCCTCGGCACCCCCTTGCTCTGACCAAGGGAGCCCCTTTCTGTGAATCTTCCGATTCGCTGGAAAGACTCAGAGACCTCGGACCGCTGTCATCGCTAACATTTCCTTCGGACTCCTCCCCTCGCTCTCTATTTCCTCCCTTTCCTGTGCCTCTGCTCCTGAACCCCTGACATCCATCCCCCTCGAAGCCCCCCTTCCCCCTCCCCTCCTTCAGGTGTGGGTACTGGGTGCTCCGTCGTTGTGGGGGTGAGTGCCGGATACAGTTCGTCCCCCGTGGCGTGCATCCAGCCGGATAAGTCCGGCTCGTCCTCCGTGCTCTCGCCGACCTCAATTTCCTCTGCTTCCATCTCTTTGCCGCCGTGCTCGAACCCAAGGTCCTCCCCCAACACGTCCATGTCCGTCTCTCCCCGGTCTCCTCCGGGGACGTTGCCTGCCAAGGACCCCCCAGCCACTTCCTGCGCCACTGCTCCTCTGGTCGATTGTCCCACCAATATGAAAGTTCTGAGGCAGAACCCGAGGGTGATCCCTCCGGGGAACGTGTTTCTAGTGCCGGTTCCTCGTCCGAGGTGAACCCCTGGAATGTGCTAGCTGAAAATGTGGGTGTGAAAAGCCAGTCGTCGAAATACTCGGCTGGCATGGGCCTGTGTGGGAAAAGGGCATGAAACTCGTCCTTGAGAAAAGGTTCGTCCAAGGCATGGTCTGGCACCCAACTGTTGGCGCTGGCCGGGGTACCTTCTCTGGCGAGAAGATATTCTACTCCCTCTTCCCCCCATCTCGAGTCTAAAATCTCTGTGACTTCGTTGACGGGTTCCCGCCTTGGCGGCGCCCTTGTGGGCGTTTCCCTGAACGGGTCTGGTGCCGTTCCTGGCTCCTGAAATCTATGAGGTGCTTTGTAGGGCGTGAGCACTGATCTATGGAAAACTGGGTGCATTCTGGATCCCTCCGGCAGTGTCAACCGGAAGGCCACTGGATTGACCTGTGCCTCGACTTGGTAGGGTCCTAGCTGCTTATGCCCTAGCTTCTTCTTCGCTAACGATCTGGCCGGCACTGCCTGGGCTGCTAACCAAACCCAGTCTCCCACCTGTATGTCTTCCCCAACCCTTCTGTGCTTGTCAGCCTGCAGTTTGTATGCGTGCTTTGCTAGTTCTAACTGCCTCCGAAGCTGTTCGTGAACCTCCTGCAACTCTGATGCTAAGGCTTCCGCTGCCTGTGGCTCCCCCTCCCCGCTCTCGCTAATCCCGGGAAGGTTCTGGGATGCCTCCCGTTGTTGGCGAAGAACGGTGTCACCCCCGTGGACACGTGCTTCGTGTTGTTGTAGGCGAACTCAGCGAGCGGCAGGTAGTCCACCCATGTTGCCGGCTGCTGATTTGCGTAGCATCGCAGGTACTGCTGCATGATGGCGTTGACTCGCTCCGCTTGTCCGTTCGTCTGCGGGTGTCTCGCCGACGCTAGGTTGATCTTGACGTTCAGGAAACCCATCAGCTTCTGCCAGAAGTTCGAGATGAACTGTCGCCCCGGTCGGACAGGATAGACCGTGGCAGACCGTGAACCCTGAACACGTGGTCTATGAACAGTTTGGCGGTCTGTTCCGCCGTGGCCACCTTCGCGCACGGAATGAAGTGGGCCATTTTGGTGAACATGTCCACCACCACTAGCACTGCCGTCTTGCCCCTCGAGCTGGGTAGATCCGTGACAAAGTCCAGGGCCACCCTCTCCCACGGTTCGAGCGGTGTCTGCAGCGGTTCGAGCAGTCCCGCCGGCGGTTTGTGCACTGACTTGGCCCTTTGGCAGGTGTCGCACCTCGAGACGTAATCCGCGACTTCCTCCCGCATCTTGGGCCACCAAAAATCTCTGGCTACTAATTCTACCGTCTTCTCTTTGCCAAAGTGCCCGGCGGTGGGTGCGTCGTGCAACTGCTGCAGTACTTTCGCGCGGAGGTCGTCTCCCGGTACGTAGAGGGCCCCTCTGCGGATGAGCAATCCGTCGCGTATCTGGAACTCGTCGTCCTCCGCCGTGCCCCTTTGCACCTCTGCCATCTTTGCTTGCGCGAAGGGGTCCTCCTGCAGTGCTCGACGTACAGCATCCAGGTCCACGGTTGCTGAAGCGCACGCCCACGCTTTCGGTGCGAAAATGTGCTTGGCCGCTGCTGGTGCCGCCTCCTCGAGGTATTGCGGCTTTCTGGACAGTGCATCCGCCATGATGTTGTTGTCGCCTGGGATGTACTCTATCCTGAAGTCGAAATCCGCAAAGAACTCCGCCCATCGTATGTGCCTCTGGTTCAGGAACCTTGCCGTGCGCCAGTACTCCAGGTTTTATGGTCCGTGCGGACCTGCACTGTGTGTTTGGCTCCAATGAGGAAGTGCCGCCACGCCTTGAATGCTGCATGAATGGCCAGCAACTCCCTGTCCCAGATGGTGTAGTTCTGCTCTGACTTGCTGAGCTTCCTGGAGTAGAAGGCACACGGTCTCCAGTCCCCATGCGGGTCTTGCTGCAACAGTACTGCTCCCACGGCTCTGTCTGAGGCGTCCGTTTCAACCCTCATCGGTCTGCTGGGATTCACATGCAGTAGCTGCTCTTCGGACGAGAAGAGACGCTTGAGTTTCTGAAAGGACTGCTCCGCTTGCTCCGTCCAGATGAACTTCTTCTTCTTGGAGCTGAGCGTGTCGGTAATGGCCGCCGTCTGCATCGCGAACCCCTTGATGAACTTGCGGTAAAAGTTGGCGAAACCGACAAACCGCTGGACCTCCTTCCGATTGCGCGGGCTCTTCCAGTCCAACACTGAGCGAACCTTGGCGCTGTCCATGGCGAGCCCCTTGTCCGACAACTTGTAGCCCAGGAAATCTACCTCCTTCATGTCGAACTGGCACTTCTCCAGCTTGGCGTACAGCCTGTGCTCCTGCAGTCTCTGCAGAACTTCCTTGACGTCTCCCTCGTGGGTCTCCTCTGATTCTGAAAATATCAGGATGTCGTCCAGGAAGCAGACGCATTTCTTGTAGAGGAGACCCGCCAATACGTGATGCATGAAGGCTTGAAAACAGTGGGAGCCATTTTGTAATCCAAAGGGCATAACTCTGTATTCATAGGTGCCCAGGGGCGTGAACATGGCAGTCTTCCATTCGTCGCCCTCCCGTATGCGAATCAGGTTGTACGCCCCTCGCAGATCCAACTTTGTGAAAACGCGTCCTTTCCTCACCGTTGCGAGCAGGTCATCTATCTTGGGCATGGGAAAGGCTGTGGGCTTGGTTTTCGAGTTCAAAATTCTATAGTCCACCACAAGCCTTTTTTGGGGCGTGTCCTTCTTCTTCACAAAGAATACAGGACTGCCCCCCACTGCCTTCGACTCCTGGATGAAACCGCGCTTCAAGTTGAGGTCTATGAACTCCCTGAGTTCCTGCAGCTCGTCTTCAGACATGGAATACAGTTTCCCGGTTGGCAGCGTCGCCCCTGGCAGGAGGTCAATCTTGCAGTCATAGGACCTGTGGGGAGGTAGCTTGTCCGCTTCCTTCTCGCAGAAAACCTCCAAAAACGCTGCGTACTTGAGTGGCACTGCTTGCAGCGTGCCTAATTGTAGCTGCGGGTCATCCTCTTCCCCTTCCGGGCTAGGCAGAATGCAATGTTCCGCACAGTATGAGGAGCCGAAGGTCAGTTGTCGCTGGTACCACGCCAATGCTGGGCTGTGCCTGTGCAGCCAACTCATGCCTAATACTATAGGCGTGTCCGACAGTTGGGTGACATTGAAGCTGATGACTTCTCGGTGATTCCCAATTTGCATCACCATCGGAGGCGTTTGCTGCACCACCTGCCCCCCCAGCAATTCCCTGCCATCCACCGTGACAACTTTCAGAGGCAGCGTGGCTGGCAGGAGTGCTATGTTGTGCTCTTGAATGAAATCCAGTCCTATGAAGTCTGCGTTACTACCAGAGTCAATGGTAATCGGCACTTCCATAGTGAGTCCATTGGGTAGTTGGAGCGATGCTGTGAGCTGCACCACTGGTTTGGGCGTGAGGGTGTCTTTGGGCTGCAAAATCTCTGGGGACGGCTTCATTGACTTGTCTGGCTGGGCCCCAGTGCCTCTTCCTCCAACCAGACTCTGTCGTTTCCCTGCTGTGGTTCTCTCTGCTGAGTTGCGTCTGTTACTGTTGCTGAGGCTGCAGTGTGCTTGTGGAGCCTCTGGGGACACTCTTTCGCCATGTGCTGAGCACTGTCGCAGATGTAGCACTTCCTGTTCCCTCTAGGAGGCTTCGCTTTGACTGCTCCCGGTGTTAGGGCTCTGGTTGCTGACTGAGCCCTGGCGCCTCCAATCTCCATCGGTTGCTCTCCCCTCCTTGCGGAGGTGGGGATTGCACACGCGCTGCATCCTTGGGAAAGAGGGAGGTGCTCTCACTGGCGTACGTCCCCAACGTCCTTCTTCTCTGTTCCATGGACGTTCTTCCAGACGCACCCCAATTTGCAGCGCCCGCCGGACAACCTCCTGAGTGCTCTTTGGTCTCTCCCCCCTTGCAATCTCATCTTTCACATTTGCATTCAAGCCTTCCCAAAAAGGTCTCTGGCTGGGGCAGAATCCTTCTCCCATCCCAGCGCATGGACTAATGCAAAAAGCGGGAATGGTACTGCCTTACACTGGCTCTGCCTTGTTTGAGCCCATGTATGTCTTTTCTGGCGATATCAATGTCTATATTTGATAAAAACACGAATCCATCGCTTTAATGAATGCATCCGCATTTTGGAGCGCCGGATCCTTATCTCTCCACAGATTGCGCAGCCACGCTTTAGCTTCCCCATGCAAATGGGACAAGATAAACCCCACCTTCTCTTGCTCATCTCTAAAGTCTTTATCCAGCAGTTCCAGCGCAAACAGCACGTCTGCTCGGAAGTTAGGGTACTGCTGCAAATTCCCATCGAAATGAGATACCAGGCTGCCTCCTCTTTTCCCCAGCCCAATCCCCTCTGATTTGGGTCCCGGTTGCCCCTGCTTAGCAAGCACTTCCAACCTGGCTTGGAGATCCCTGCAGGCGGCAGCCGCTTCCTCTTCCCTTTTCCTGGATGCGAGTACCTCCGCGTTGAGTTGTGTCACTGCATTTTGCAGGGCTGCTAGTTGCTGTTCTGTAGTCATCTTGCCTGACTTTTGTGAGCTCGCGAAGCACCAATCTTCTTCCCTCGCTGCGTCCACTCACGTTACGAGGTTTTTGGTGCAAAACTTTCAGGGATGGAGCTTACTGTCAGAGCTGGCTCCAGGTCCCAGCTCACAGAGGACCAACGCTAGCCGGCAGTAATGTACAAAAGTCTTTATTGAAGTACAGTTTCCATTTTCAAGCCGCAGCGCCCCAGCTCTACGTCTAGGGGTTAGATCGGCGAAGCTCCATCTGAGTCTCCGCCCCTGTACACCCGTTTAAGATTCTAGCCTTACTCCACCTCTTACGTCTCTCCTTTCTCCTCTGGGTCCTGCTACCCCCCGGGGTCCCTTCCTTCCTGGATTCTTCTGACGCTGACCCCCTGACTCCTCCCCTCTTTTCGGCGGGCTTTGGGACCTGGCTCCCTATCCGGGCTGCCAACTGCGCCGCCCTCCTGTACATTTGAACTTGGCGCGCGCGCCCAGCCTTCAACCTTCCTCTCGACCGTTTCCTCGCTCCCCGATGGAGGCGTGGCCAATCCTGACTCATGTCCTCCCACTGGCAGTGCGCCGCCTGATCCCGATGCCTGGGACCCCTCCCCCCTACTGCACTCTGGTGTGGACGCTGGTCCTGATTTCCAACTGCTGCTCTCTGAGTCCCCTCTGGCCCCTTCTTCCTGGGGTGTCCCCTCGGCACCCCCTTGCTCTGACCAAGGGAGCCCCTTTCTGTGAATCTTCCGATTCGCTGGAAAGACTCAGAGACCTCGGACCGCTGTCATCGCTAACATTTCCTTCGGACTCCTCCCCCTCGCTCTCTATTTCCTCCCTTTCCTGTGCCTCTGCTCCTGAACCCCTGACAACACCCTTTCTCCAAAGGAGCCCATGCAGAAAACACATCAATACCAAAACAAGACTAGTGAGATTTCTTGAAACAGTTGAAAACAATATTCTAAAAACGACAAAAAACCGCTCCTATTCTCAAATTAATAATTTCAGGGGTGCCAGGGGGCAGGACTTTCAGCTCTCAAATGCTGACACAGGAGTGTTTTAAAATTTCTCCTAAATGCTAATAATGAGGGAGACTGACACACCTCACAATGGAGGGCATTCCACAAATGAACGTTTCACCAAGAAAGTCATGTGACAGGTCACTGCCAAGCAGGCAACCCTCAGTGGCTGCATTGGGTTTCCCTTTCTGATCCTATCCAGTGCTAGTTCTACTCAGAGCAAACCCATTACTAACTTAGGTTCATTCATTTCAATGGAACTACTTTGAGTAGCTGAATCTGCACTTTCTTTTTCACAGGGCAGTAATATTCTCAGGAAGTTGAATTCTGTTGTCAGGATCACATCATGAGACTTTTCCATATTTCTGCACAATCATAGTCTACACACACAACTGTTGTGTTTTAGATAGCCAGCCTGTGGTTCTTCTTCATTTGGAGTCTTTGGACTCCAATTCCCATCAGGGATGATGAGAGTTGTGTCCAACAACATCTGGAGGGCATTTACTACTCCCATTGCTACTCCCATGCATATCACTTTTATGCTATTTTCTCCAGCTTTCTAGCTTTTCTGTCCTTTTGCTATGAATGGCTGAGCAATAGTTTGTGAATGAAAGTGGGAAATATCAAGCTTACCATGCATTTTCTTCAACACCCTGGCCATGTCTCTGAGACTGCTTGCCACATCCTGCAGTGCTTCTTCCAGAATTCTATTGTCAGGCTGAAGCATGCCATTAACCACCTGTGGCACTGCCTGTAATAATAATAATAATAATAATAATAATAATAAACCTTTATTGTCACTACACCACCTGTGTGCAGTGAAATTAAATGAGCCCCCCCCCACATACAATGTAGGAGGCAGAGAGGGGTTCGATACAGACTTTTCATTCTAGAATCAAAGTGAACTGAGCACTTGTGCTTTCTATGCAATCCACACACAACTGAGATCCATTGCACATTGTTTTGCCCCTGAAAAGCGTTTCTTGAGAAACTAGCTTCATCCCAAAAACAAAAGCTTATTTGCAGTTTGATTCTGCATTGCCCTGCAGTAAGGCCACATTCACACTCATACATTTAAAGCTCTTTGACGCCAAAAGTCATGGCTTCTCCCAAAGATTTCTGAGAGCTCTGACTTCTTAAGAGTGCTGAGAGTCATTAGACAACCCAAGCTTAGTACATAACAGTGTAAAACCATTCTGGGAATTCTAATTCTGAAAGGGGTCTCTCCCAGCAATCTTAACAAACTAAAGATTGCATAATTCTTCGGGGGAAGCCATGACTGTTTAAAATTCTATAGTATATGGTGTGAATGTGGCCTGTGTCCATTTGAAAACAGATCAAAATAGACGGGGCATTTTTGGCAATGGAGTGTGTGTATCCACAATGATGTTGTGATTGCAATAATAGCTCCCTTAGGACATGTGCAGGCAAAAAAGGCTTGGGTAATCTAATCAGGCGGAGGGTAAACACACGCACCCTTGTGGATGGCACAACTTTCTGCAGTTTCTCATTTTACCACTCTTAAATTGAGTTTACATTTTTGCTGCGATCTGAGGTATTTTTTAAAAAAGGCTCATGGACTTCCGGCGAGGCAAGATGGTGGGCGCCACAGCAACATGGAGCTCCTGAAGACAGCCAGCTCCAACTGCGCTGCCTGGCTGGCCTTCAGTTTGCCAGGGCTGCCACTGCTACCACCGGAGGGGAACCGGGAGTCAGCGGGGGAAGCCGCCAAGACTCTCCCCAGTGACCTTGGCCGTGCCGGTGTGGTAGTGGCCCAAAGGGCCATAATGAATGTGATAATATGAACCCCTATAAATCCTTGAATATGCTTCTAATAGAGAAGTTATGGTAACCTGTTGCTTTATGAAACTGATGATTTGGCAAGTCGCCGTGCCCCACTGGGACAGAAGGACAGCTAATACGTCAATCACAAAGATACAGTTCATAAACTAGAACATAAGTTGATACATGGTGCAAATGGCTTCCCAACATGCATACTAACACAATCACGGTGAGAATCAAAGTTTAGTTAGCAATGCTTATTGCACATGTGTATTAAAGATGAAATGAGGTAATGATGTACATGATTGGTGAAAACTGAAATCCTTTGTTTGAAATGTTATAAATACCCCTGCCCAGACCCTTGGGCGGGGTTGCAGTTTTGCAAAAAGATTCGACTGTAACCTATTGCTTTGCAATAAACAACAATGGATTCCTAACTCCTCTTGTCTCTGAGTTTTATTGGCTTAACTCAGAAGATAAGCCATTTTTGGCTTACAACACCGGCACCAAGAGCACCCAACCAATGCCCCGGCAGAGCTCCAGGGCCTGAAGCCAAAGGGAAAACAAAGAAAAAAGTGGCTGTCGCCACTGCCACTGACACCAAAGAAAGAGGAGAGGTAGGTGAGAACTAGGAGGGCCAGGGAGGATTTTTTACCTCTATTTTTTCTAACTCCTAAGAATTAAAATGGAGGTGCCCAGAAGGGAGACCTGAACAGGCCACTTCCTGGGATCACCACTTCAGCCCTGATTTTCTGTCCTTCTAATTTTTATTCTATTATTATTATTATTATTATTATTTCTCATTTTTTATATTAAATAGAAAAAAGAGAATAAAATAAAAATCTGAGTCCCTGTTTGTTTGTTTTTTTTTGGGGGGGGGAATCCTTCCTCCCCCCACCTTCCCATTACTACCATCAGCCTCTTTTAAAACAAAACTTTTCCATTCCCCCCTCCTTTCCCCCCTATTTTATTTCCCCCCTCTCAAAGCGAGTTTCTACATATACAGATATATTTTACTTTTATCATTTGATAGTATATATACTACTTCCAGGCACCACCACTCTCTTTCTTTTCTTTTTTCGGTTTTGTTGTTTTTTGCTTTCTCTTTCCTTCTTTCTTAACTCTTAAATTTCCTACTGCCTCCTTCCTCTCTCCTTTCTTTTATCTCCTTCCCCTCCAACAAATAATAATAATTAAAATAATTAAAATTACAGACCTATATCTCCCCACCCACTTTCAATAGTAACCCCTCCTTTGTGGTCACCTACCTCATACATCCATAACTTGGACCACCACTGCAATTTTCTAATCATTACTGTTATTATTTCCACCCTCCTCTCTCTCTCTCTCTCTCTCTCTCTCTCTCTCTCTCTCTCATTTTTTCGTCTTTATATTTTACTCTAACTTCCCTCCTTTTTTATCCCTTCTTTCCTCTTCCTCTTCCTCTCTCCCTTTTGTCTTTGTTTGGTTTCGTTTCGTTCCTGAACACAACCCTGCCTGTCTTAAATTTTTAACTCTCTAATCTCATTTCCCACCCTTAATTGGACCCACTCCTCCCCATTGTACGCACGGGGGTATCCAAAATTAACCCCCCCCATCCTCCCTCTGGCCCCACCCCACCGGTCTCTTGCATCTCTGCCTTTTATGTCACCCTTTTATGTGAACTGTTTGTCTGTTGGTCTACTTGTCTGTCTGCTTGTCTGTTGTGCTCTCAGTGCTGTTCACCAACACAACTGGGACAACTATGGAAACCCCAGAGAAGCCCTTAAAACACATCCCAGACATGACAAAAATGGCCATCTAATCCAGATGCTCTGTAAAAGCCACCAATCAATAATGTTCAGCAACCCAACAACACCCAGGAACCACCACTACCACAACTCCTAACCGTAACACGCTCCACACCAAAAGGACACCACGCAGATCTCAAACCAAGAGCATCAGGGAGATCGAGATGGCACCAACCAGGGAGATGGTGAACAGCACTGAGAGCACAACACACACACCCAAATGACAACAACCCAACAACAGAACGAGACCAGAGGGAAATGGAACTGAGATTAGCAGAACTACTGAAGACCACAGTGTCTCCCCTGCAGATAATAATCAGCGACCTGACCTCCAAAGTGGGAACTCTAGAGAACAAGAAGCAAATGCAAGAAAGAATAGTAGAGCAGTACCAAGAGGAAAACACATGTGTGAATAATAAATTGGCTGAACTGGTAAGCTGCCTGGAAACAGAAAGCACAGAAATGAGAATCAAACAAGTGGACATTGAAGATTGCTGTGGACATCTGCAACTTTCCCAAAAAAGTGGAGGAGAAAAGCCTAGCAGACCTCATAGTACACTGGATAAAAACCAGAATTCCAAACCTGACACTCCCAGAGCTCTAAAACCCCTGCTGGAAACCAACGCCCCCCAAAAAACATCATCATGTGCTTCGCCTGCTACAAAAATAAAGAAGTATGGAACAACCTCAGAAACTCAACCAATCTCTGAAAACCCCGTCCACCTCATTGTAACAACCAACACAGCACAGCACACGGCTACCAACATACCTGAAGCCCTGCAATTACTGAAGAACCTCGGACTCGACCCTCCGCCAGAATGGCAATCGACAGACTCACAAAGCGACAGCCATGACGAAACAACAGCAAGTAATTGGATGACAGTAAAGAGGAAGAAGAAACCACAGACACGACACGACAATGCAAACCGGTACAGTCAAGCACTGCTCATAGAATCGTCCCACTGAATATACACCACAAGACAGCAAACCAACATCAACCAAATAAATCAAACCATAGTTTGACAACCCTGCAGCAACACAGCTGACAGACTAGTGACCCCCCTTCCCCTTTTCCTCTACCCCATGCCAACACAACCAATACCTCCCCTGCCCCACACCTCCATAGAGATCCCCATTCCCACCCGCACCCCAACACCAACCCAGACAACATCAAATCACATTCCCTAACTACCCCAGCCACTGAAAGACAACCTCAAAGTAGAATCATACTGCCCAATCTCATTAATAAACCAAGACTAAAAGATATTCACATCAATTTTGGCCAACCGCCAAAAAAATTTCTTACACAAGTTAATAGCCCCAGACCAGACTGGCTTCATCCCTGGTCGCAATATAACAGATCCCATCAAGAAACTACTGAATCTGATTGAACACAGCAAGGTAACTAAACTTCCACTGACAATTATGTCCCTAGACATCCTCAAAGCTTTTGATTGCTTAGAGTGGAAAAACCTATTAGCAGTACTAACTAACATGAAATTTGGTTCAAAATTCTTAGAAACCCTCAAACAAATATACTCCCGAGCTTCAGCAAAATGCAGGACTAACAGTATGGACTCTAATACCATAGCTATCCAAAGAGGCACAGAACATGGATGCTGTCAGGCTTTGGGGCTCAGCTTCCTCCCCCCTTGGCCATAGATAAGCAGTACAAAGAGAAAGCAGTCTCTTACCAGTAACAGAAATAATAATAATAATAATAATAATAATAATAATAATAATAATAATATTTTGGGGCAGCTTCCAGCTAAGATTAAAAATACATTAAAATGTCACACATTAAAAACTTCCCTGAACGGGGCTGTCTTCAGATGTCTTCTAAATGTCAGGTAGTTGTTTATCTCTTTGACATCTGATAGGAGGGCGTTCCACAGGGCAGTCGCCACTACCGAGAAGGCCCTCTGCCTGGTTCCCTGTAGCTTTGCTTCTCGCAATGAGGGAACCGCCAGAAGGCCCTCAGTGCTGGACCTCAGCGTCAGGGCAGAACAATGGGGGGGGGGAGATGCTCCTTCAGGTATACTGGGCCGAGGCCGTTTTGGGCTTTAAAAGTCAACACCAACACTTTGAATTGTGTTCGGAAACGTACTGGGAGCCAAGGTAGGTCTTTCAAGACTGGTATTATGTGGTCTTGGCGGCCGCCCCCAGTCACCAGTCTCGTTGCCGCATTCTGGATTAGTTGTAGTTTCCGGGTCACCTTCAAAGGTGCTCCACATAGAGCGCATTGCAGTAGTTCAAGCGGGAGATAACCAGAGCATGCACCACTCTGGTGAGACAGTCTGCAGGCAGGTAGGGTCTCAGCCTGCGTAGCAGGTGGAGCTGGTAGACAGCTGACCTGCGCCTCCATGGACAGCTGTGGGTCCAAAATGACTCCCAGACTGCGCACCTGGTCCTTCAGGGGCACTGTTACCCCATTCAAGACCAGGCCCGCCCTCTGTCCCCCAAGAACAGTACTTCTGTCTTGTCAGGAATCAAGAATCTATTAGCCGCCATCCATCCTCCAACCGCCTCCAGGCACTCGCGCAGGACCTTCACCCATAGCTGTCAACTTACAGATTTGAAAATAAGGGAGCAGCAGCCTTGAAAATAAGGGACCAGCAGCCAAAATAAGGGACCTGCAGCCTCACCTGTTCCAGGCACTCCAGTCTTCCTGTCCTCCTGCAGTCTGGTCAAACTCATGCTGGTAGCTTCGAGAACACTGTCCAACCAACTTTGTAACCAGAGGTTCAACTGACTAGAATCTGAATCACATGCACCACCAGGCCTATGCAGCCTCAACTTAAGATGGCCCCCCTGCCTGGCTTTGCACTGCAAAGTTTGCAGCAGCATGTGCAACAAAATGGCATCCAGCATTCAAAAAACCCCTCAGCTTGCATTAACTAGCCACACACAAGCCACGCAAGCTCCACCCCCCAGTCGTTCTTAGACTTCCTATTGGGTGAGCAGCACAGCCAAACAACACAGTTGGAGCCTCCCTCCTCCCGCAGGCCAGCAGGGAGGGAGGGAGAGGAGCTGCTTCCTTTGAAATTTAAGGGACATCATTTAAGGGACATTTAAGGGACATCCCTCAATATGGGACAGCAGCGGGACATGGCCATGGAATAAGGGACTGTCCCTTCAAATAAGGGACACTTGACAGCTATGCCTTCACTGCCTTCACTGGTTCTGAGTTGAAAGAGAGGTAGAGCTGGGTATCATCTGCATATTGATGGACACCCAGTCCAAACCTCCCAGCAGCTTCATGTAGATGTTAAAAAGCATGGGGGAGGAGACGGAACTCTGAGGGCCAAGGGGTCTGAACACTCCTTTCTCCCACCACCACTTTCTGGACACAGCCCAGGAGGAAGGAGCGGAACCACAGTATAACAGTGCCCCCAGCTCCCAGCCCCTCTAGATGGTCCAGAAGGATGTTATGGTCAACCCCACACTTCCCCAGGAGTTTGTTCCAAATGAGTCCAGCCCCACACTCTAAGCATTGCAACAGGAGTCCCAGGAGTGTGAGGGCCTGGGCCCCGCCCCCTGGGTCAGCTGGAAAAGGCCTTGGAAGGGAGCAGGCCCTGCAGTCCTCACCACAGCCGATGGTTTAATGTTTCATGAATGCAGCAAAAGAACAAGCGACCATTCTCGGAGTGCAGGTGCTCCCATTTAATGTTCCTCCCACTTCCCTCCAGTCACTTCTGTCCTCTCGTCTCCTAGCCACTCTGTCCTCTCGTCTCCTAGCCACCTGATCTCTCAACCACTGAGCACCTTATCCTAGCCTTAGAACTGAGAGGCTGCACATCTTCTGGTGAGAGAGAGTCGGCTAGATCACTCTCTTCCCGTTCTTCTTGCTGTTCACCTCCCAGTTCTGCCCAACTATTGTCTTCCAAACTGTGCCACTCAGCAAACCATTGTTCCAAATCAACACTACTCCACTGCTCCTGTGGAGTTTTAGGATCCTGGTCGTGAGCAGGGGTAGGGGTAGGCTCCCACCATTGCCACTGTCTCCCTTCCTATTCATCCTGGCTCTGGAACCTCTAGCAATCCGAATCCGAGCAGCCACACACAGGGAGTGGAAATAAAAGGCAGAACCTATAAATCAGAGCTCTTTGCAGACGACCTAATGGTTACAACCCCAGACCCCATAAACCCAGACCTCCCTAATCAGAGAACTCAACACATTTGCAATGGTGTTGGGCCTACAGGTAAATTTTGCAAAGTCTGAGGCTATGTGCTTCAACACACCCTCTCATACCCAAAAAGAATTCACTAACATCACCAATATAAAACTTTGCCGCACCAAGTTCAGATACCTAGAGGTACAAATAACCAGAAACCTCCACTCCTTCCACTCAACAAAGACCTAAAGAGATGGAACAACACCAGTTTCACTCTCTCTGACAAAATAGCCATGATCAAAATGTTCACCCTTCTTAAATTAACCTACCTATTCCAAATCCTCCCAATCAGGATTCCCCCAGCCAAGATGGCAGAAAAAATTATAGTCATTTATCTTCTCACACAAAAAATCAAGAATAAGCGCCAAATACTTGCACCTCCCTTCCTCAGAAGTAGGATGGGGAATCCCCAACAGAGAAGCATATAACATCGCCAGCTAAGTACACCACGTAATCCCGTATACTAGAAGATGAGGGGGAAAGGGTAAAAGGCGGATCCATTCATATGATTTTTTTCATTCAAATTAAATAAAACCACCATGATACTGTAGACCATGTTTCGTGGGGCCGCAGGGGTGCAAAAACATGGTTAAAAAACACGGATCCTCATGGATCCTCATGATTTCTGCACTAGATCAGCCCAAAGTCACCATCAGATCATGGCCATGGGCACAGCATGCACCACAAAAATCACGGATCCATGGCTTCCTGGCCATACCGTGGCCCGAAAACATGGTTTTGATGCACAGATCCTCATGGATCCTCACGCTTTGCGCATTGGGCCAACCCAAACTCAACGTCAGATCACACGTCATAGCCAGGAGCACAGCCTGCACCGCAGAAAACTCGGATCCACGGCTTCCTGGCCATACCGTGGCCCATAAATGTGGTTTTGAAGCATGGATCCTCATGGATCCTCATGATTTTTGCACTAGATCAGCCCAAAGTCACCATCAGATAAAACATCATGGCCATGGGCACAGCCTGCACCACAAAAAACCAGGATCCACAGCTTCCTGGCCACTCCATGGCCCCAAAAAGTGGTTTTGAAGCACGGATCCTCATGGATCTTCACGCTTTTTGCATTGGGCCAACCCAAACTCAACGTCAGATCACACGTCATAGCCAGGGGCACAGCCTGCACCACAAAAAACATGAGTTGCACTACAGAAATCCCCAAAATGCCCTTTCCTGCACTGTTAATGTCACCACTGGAACATTATTATTAGAGCCGACAGGAAAATGTATGACTATATATTGTACCAAGATATGGTTCATCTTCAAGAACAGATCAAATACATGCCAAAGTATTAAAGAGGAGAAAAAATATGAAACTGCTTACATACTGTCAACTAATATCCAGATTCAAGAAAGACTGTATGGCAAACATTTGAATCAGTGAAAAGACAGAATTTGAGTCCATCATAACAGAGTTCTACCTTTTGGGTAAAATTTATAAACTATTACTCAAATATGACACCGAGCCCGAAGAAGCAAAACCTTATATGACAAAATGGATGCAAAAAGTTTGAGCACTTTACAGGGGAACAATGAGAACAATTACAGTGGTGCCCCGCAAGACGAATGCCTCGCAAGACGAAAAACTCGCTAGACGAAAGGGTTTTGCGTTTTTTGTGTCATTCCGCAAGACGAAACGTCTTGCTAGTTCTTGCGAGTTTGTTTCCTTTTTCTTAAAGCCGCTAAGCCGTTAATAGCCGCTAAGCCGCTAAGCCGTTAATAGCCGCTAAGCTGCTAATAGCCGCTAAGCCGCTAAGCCGCTAATAGCCGTGCTTCGCAAGACGAAAAAACCGCAAGACGAAGAGACTCGCGGAACGGATTAATTTCATCTTGCGAGGCACCACTGTACGAATAAAGGAATAAAATTTACTGCAAGTTAAGCCCTAAAACAAAATTGGTACAGTGGAAGCTCGGGTTGCAGACATAACCCGTGACGGAGGCACGTCCACAACCCACAGCACTTGCATCCTGAAGGGCCGCATCTGCATAGGCGCCAGCGCAATTTGGCCCTTCTGCGCATGTGCGAGCGGCGAAACGCGGAAGTAACCCGTTCCGGTACTTCCAGGTTTCCCGTGGTCCGCAACCCAAAAACACGTAACCTGAAGCGGCCGTAACATGAGGTATGACTGTACAAAAATGTTCTTTCAATGGTATATAACTTTGAAAAATATACAGAAGATGAATAATGAAATGAATGGACATTGCTGGAAATGTCATAGACCTTAAGGAATCTTCTTCCATTTATGGTGGACCTGTGAAAAGACCAAAAGGTTTTGGAGGAAAGTTCATTTGAAATGAAAAAATGTAAAAAAAAACCCCTAAATTTTCATTGGACCCCAAAACTATGCCGTTGGGAATGAAATCGTCTGTGGAACTATTTAGTTATATGACCACAGCAGTCAGAGTGGTGTTGGCTAACATATGGAAATCCGACATATGTCCTGAAATAGATGCATGGAAAGAGAAACTATCAGAATATGCAGTAATGGCAAAACTCACCAATTTAGTAAATAATTGACTCATCTTTATAATTTGTATACAACTTAACAGAACTGTAACAAAATGAACATCTGTATGGATTTGTATAATAGACCTTAGTTACAAAAATATTTCCTGTTTAAAAATAGAAGCTTTGTGTGTGTGTGGTAAAGAAAGAAATATATAGTAGAAGAAATCTTGTCTGACTGATCTAGAAATGAAATCATATTTTAAAATAATTCTTGCTTTAGATTTTTATAATCATATATGGTATTTCTCCAATAGCAAACAACCTAGAATTGGAAATAATATTTAGTACACTAACCTTTTTTAACTCTTGATAAATGTCAGCTTGCTGAGTTATTTTGTACCATTGTGATTCAATGTTATATTTGCGCTCAACAAGGGAAACCCACATGACCTGAAGGTGTTGCTGTGCAATGCTAGGTCAATGATTCATAAGACCACTGCCATCCATGACTTGATCGTGGATGGAGGACTTGACCTGGCATGTGTAACAGAGACTTGGTTGGATGAAGCAGATGATCCTGTCCTAGCTGCTGCTTGTCCACCAGGTTTCTCTTACGCACAGCAACCCAGGTCATATGGGCGGCGGGGGGGGGGGTTGCAGTGATTTTTAGGAAGTCACTAGCTTGCATCAGACATCCTACTGGGAAGACCCAGTTCTCTGAGTGCATGTTCTGGAAGTTGGGCAATAGGGGCAGTACAGGATTTCTTTTGGTGTACTGACCTCCCCGCTGCACCAAGGATTCCCTGCTCGAGCTGCTTCAGGTCATGGCGGATGTTCTCCTGGAGACACCTAGCTTGGTTGTCCTAGGGGATTTTAACATCCATGCCAACACGAACTTACAAGGGGCTGCTTGGGACTTCATGGAAAGCATGGCCTCCAAGGGGCTGTCCCTGAATAACTTTGGCCCAACTCATAGTCACGGACATGCCTTAGACCTGGTGTTCACCTCTAGTGACGTGGGTGATCTGACACTAAGTAAAAGTGAAGCAAAAGAAGTGCCATGGTCAGATCACTTCCTGGTGCAACTGGACTTCTCCGCGACCCTTCCCCTCTGCAGGGAGGTGGGACCAATTCGGATGGTCCGCCCCTGCCACTTAATGGATCCAAATGGTTTCCAGAGAGTGGTAGGGCATGCTTTATCCCATGTTGATGGCCTTTCAGCTGATTTCCTGGTGGCCCGCTGGAATGCGGAGTTAACCAGGGCTATCGACTGTCTGGCTCCGAAGCGCCCTCTCTGATTGCATGGAGCCCAGACAGCCAAATGGTTTTCTTTGGAGCTGAGGGCGAGGAAACAATCGCTGAGACGGCTAGAGCGCCGGTGGCAGAAAACTCATTCTGAATTGGACCGGACACAGGTTAGAGCTCAACGTCGAGCCTACCAAGTGGCAATACTGACGGCGAAGAAGACTTTCTTCGCTGCCTCTATTGCATCTGCAGAAAATAGTAGCAGGAGACTCTTTCAGGTGGTTTGCAATTTAACGGAACCACCTTTACCACTGGGGCCTTGTAAAGACCCCAATATCTCCTGCAACGATTTTGCAAAGTTTTTTGCAGATAAAGTCGCTCATATTTGGAAGGAGGTAGACACCACCGTGGGAGCAGGCCAGGGCGGGAGAGTGCTAGAACCCTGTCTGGCCAAGTTGCATGAAATCAATTCCAATCTGTTACCTCCGAGAATGTGGACAGGCTGCTTGGATGCGTGAAACCAACCACCTGTCTCCTTGATCCTTGCCCATCCTGGCTAATAAAAGCAAGCTGGGAAGGGCTGGGTGATGGGCTCTGAGGGGTGGTGAATGCTTCCCTCTGTGAGGGAGCATTCCCAGACCTGCTGAAAGAGGCGATCATTAAACCGCTTCTTAAAAAAACATTTTTAGACCTGGCCAGTATGGCCAACTATCGCCCTGTCTCAAATCTTCCATTCTTGGGCAAGGTGATTGAGTGGGTGGTTGCTGAACAACTCCCTAGAGGATGCAGACCATTTGGATCCCTTCCAGTCAAGATTCAGGCCTCATCATGGGACTGAAACTGCCTTGGTCACGCTGGTTGATGATCTCCGGCGGGCTAGGGACAAAGGTGAAAGCTGTTTCCTAGTTCTGCTGGATCTCTCAGCAGCCTTTGAAACCATCAACCATAACATCTTTCTGGACCGCCTAGAGGGGCTGGGAGCTGGGGGCACTGTTATACAGTGGTTCCACTCCTTCCTCCTGGGCTGTATCCAGAAAGTGGTGGGGGGGATGAGTGTTCAGACCCCTGGGCCCTTACTTGTGGGGTGCCTTGGGGTTCCATCCTCCCCTCCATGCTTTTTAACATCTACATGAAGCTGCTCAGAGAGATCATCAGGGGGTTTGGGCTCGGTGTCCATCAATATGCGGATGATACCCAGGTCTACCAAAATGGTCAACCAAAATGGTCAAAGGCCTGGAAACGATGCCTTATGAGGAACGGCTAAGGGAGCTGGGCATGTTTAGCCTGGAGAAGAGGAGGTTAAGGGGTGATATGATAGCCATGTTCAAATGTTCAAGGATGTCACATAGAGGAGGGAGAAAGGTTGTTTTCTGCTGCTCCAGAGAAGCGGACACGGAGCAATGGATCCAAACTACAAGAAAGAAGATTCCACCTAAACATTAGGAAGAACTTCCTGACAGTAAGAGCTGTTCGACAGTGGAATTTGCTGCCAAGGAGTGTGGTGGAGTCTCCTTCTTTGGAGGTCTTTAAGCAGAGGCTTGACAACCATATGTCAGGAGTGCTCTGATGGTGTTTCCTGCTTGGCAGGGGGTTGGACTCGATGGCCCTTGTGGTCTCTTCCAACTCTATGATTCTATGATTCTATGATTCTACCTCTCTTTCAACTCAGAACCACTGAAGGCGGTGAAAGTCCTGTGTGAGTGCGGTTGGAGGATGGATGGCAGCTAATGGGTTGAGGTTGAATACTGACAATACAGAAGTACTATTCTTGGGGGACAGAGGGTGGGGCTGGTGTGAAGGACTCCCTGGTCCTGCATTGCGTAACTGTGCCCCTGAAGGACCATTTTGGACTCACAGCTGTCCATGGAGGCACAGGTCAATTCTGTATCCAGGGCAGCTGTCTACCAGCCCCATCTGGTACGCAGGCTGAGACCCTACCTGCCCGGAGACTGTCTTACCAGAGTGGTGCATGCTCTAGTTATCTCCCGCTTGGACTACTGCAATGTGCTCTACGTGGGGCTACCTTTGAAGGTGACCCGGAAACTACAACTAATCCAGAATGCGGCAGCTAGTCTGGTGACTGGGAGAGGCCACCGAGACCATATAACACATGTCCGGAAAGACTTACATTGGCTCTGAGTACATTTCCGAGCACAATTCAAAGTGTTAGTGCTGACCTTTAAAGCCCTAAACGGCCTTGGCCCAGTAGACCTGAAGGAGCGTCTCCACCCCCATCGTTCTGTCCGGCCACTGAGGTCCAGCACCAAGGGCCTTCTGGTGGTTCCCTCACTGCGAGAAGCATTTTTTGCACCAACTGATATACCCAGGCAAGGTAATTCCAGTGACTACGGTCCTTTCACATGTACCATTGCCCATCTGATTGCTTCTGCTGCCCAATTACAGTTCATACACATGGATAAGGCTGCCATTAGACCCTGGATTGCAAAAGAAATAATACAGTACAGTGGGAAAACCTATTTTGAAGGACAAGACAAATATTTTCAAGTGGAAATTGATGCTGTTCCTCCCAAGAAGAGACAAATTTTGAAAGAGAGTCACATTACTGTGTCTAGATCATGCCCACTAACCTATTGCTCAGATATTTTACCTTCCTTGTTTGAAGGCTGCTGGTCACTATGTTTCTTGAAGGAAGGGTGCAGGAGGCCCAGTGGTGACCTAACCATGGTTTACCGTGAAGGAAACTGCAAGGACTGGTACCACTGCTTTCGCATAGGCATTGATTCAAAATATCTTCCAGAGGTTTCTGTGTGTCCAGACGGTCAATCCACTGTGGCCAAATAGATTTTGAAACTGCGAACTGTCATATTCCACAGGTTGCTATAATACAGCAAAATCCAAACATATAGTTTTCATCATCATGGCAGGGAACTGTTGGACAGTGGAATATGCCACCTCGGAGAGTAGTGGAGTCTCCTTCTTTGGAGGTTTTTAAGTGGAGGCTGGCTGGCCATCTGTAAGGAGTGCTTTGCTTGTGTGTTCCAGCATGGCAGGGGGTTGGACTAGATGGCCCTTGCGGTCTCTTCCAGCTCTATGATTTTATGATTCTATGAAACTAGCTAGTACACTGCACTGTTCCATTAGATAGATATTGTTGCTATTTTTTAAGCTAAAGGTTATGTACAGCTGCCATCTATTAGTCTTTGAGCCAGTGTGGTGTAGTGGTTAAGAGCGGTGGACTTATAATCTGGTGAGCTGGGTTCGCTTCCCCGCTCCTCCACATGCAGCTCCTCACAGGGTTTCTGTTGTGGGGAAGGAAGGAGATTGTTAGCTGCTTTGAGACTCCTTAAGGGGAGTGAAAGGCGGAATATCAAGTCCAAACTCTTCTTCCAAACTCTTTATAATAGTGACATTTCCCATAAATATGCTGAGACACAACCGAATAATGTTATAGATTTCAATGGGATTCATGGAAGGGCCAAGTTGCAGTTTAAATGAATGGGGCATAGCAGTGCTTAACTGGTTCTTGAGCAGGACCAAAACCTGGGGGAAGGAATCTTCAGTCTCTGCAGCAAACAGCAGGCAAAACAACATTTTGTATGGAATGCAGAGCCAGTTCTTCTCATAAGCAAGCAAGGGGAGCCCCTGAGGTGCTGGATGCACCACTAGAACTGGCGGCATGGTGTGAGCACCAAGGTTGGTTTTGCTCTCTGCATTTTTCCTGAAGTTGTTGAGCTGTGAAAATCATGTCCACTGTCCCCCTAGAAGGCTGAAAACCATTTTGGGATTCAGGAAGGGTCACCTCGGATAATGTTAAGAGACGGTTTGCTAAGATCCTTGCAAGAATTTTGCCGGCCACAGCTAATAGAGAGATGCCTTGATAGTTTCCGCAATCAGTTCTGTCACCTTTTACAAAAGAGATTGATAATTTTGGCATCCCTGAAGTCTGTTGGGATTGCTTCTCTCTCCCAGATTTTTTTGATGAGCTTGTGAAGTTGTTGTGTAAGTTCAATTCCACCCACTTTGAAGATTTCAGCAGGTATCTCATCAGGTCCACTGGATTTGTTGTTTTTCACTTGGTTAATAGCTGTACACAACTCTCCCAGATTTGGAGATACAGCAAGCTCATCTCTAATTTGTTTTTGTGGGATTTGTGAGAGGACCTCAGCAGCTATGGGGGAGTTGTGATTAAGGAGATGTTGGTAGTGTCCTTTCCAGCACAGTGCAACAGCTTCTTTATCTTTTACAAGTGTGGTACCATCTGCTGAGCGTAGGGCGCATATGCCATGATTTATTGGTCCATAGATGGTCTTTGTGGCTTTAAAGAAACTCTGTGCATCATGAGTGTCAGCTAAGTGCTGGATCTCTTGAGCTTTTTTTTATCCACCAGGTGTTTTTTTAGTTCTCTGGTTCTTAGCATTGGCATAGGTTTTTTTTCTTAGTGGCACAGTTTCTTTCTCTTTGCCAGATCTGAAATGCCTTCCTTTTCTTGTCAATCATGCATTTAATCTCACTGTCATTCTCATCAAACCAGTCCTGGTGTTTCTTGGTTTGGTATCCAATAGTTTGTTCACAGACTGCAATAATGGATGTTTTTAGCTTGGTCCAGTGTTCCTTGATGTTATCAGGAATTCTGAAAGCAGATGGTCCTTAAGAGTCATTTGGAAGCAATCTGGCTTAATGGGAACTTGAAGGGCTTGAGTGTTCATTTTGCGCCTTGGTTTTCTTCCCTGAAGCCTGCGTTGAGGTATAATCTTGATAGCCATCGTGGCGTGTATTAGTTGGTGATCTGTCCAGCAGTCGTCAGCGCTCGTCATAGCTCTGGTAAGGAGCACATCCCGTTGATCTTTAGCATGGACAATAACACAGTCTAAGAGGTGCCAGTGGTTTGATCGAGGATGCCTCCATGAAGTTTTAAATTTATTTTTCTGTCAAAAGAGTGTTTTGGTAATAACAAGGTTGTGCGCTGCACATATCGTCAAAAGTAAGATTCCATTCTGGTTGCTGTTGCCAACTCCTTCTTTCCCAATAGTCCCAGGCCACAGATCGAAATCTCACCCAACTCTTGCATTAAAATCACCCAGGAGGATAATTTTATCTTCCTTAGGTGTCTCTGATAGGATTGTATCCAGCTGAGAGTAAACATTTTCTTTAATGTCTTCATCGGCATCCAGTGTTGGTGCATAAGTGCTTATAATAGTAGTCTGTTGGTTTTTTGTGAGCTTTATTTGAAGGGTTGAGAGCCACTCATTAATGCCAGTAGGGACTTCTGACAGGAGCTTCATAATGTCGTTTTTCATAGCGAAGCCTACCCATGTATTCAATGTTCTTGTTCAGATAGACCTTTCCAGAAGAATGTGTAGCCTCCTTTTTCTTCCTTCAGTTGTCCCTCGGCTGCTCTTTGAGAGTCTTGAAGTGCTGCAATATCGATGTTAAAATGTCACAGCTCTCTTGCAATGATGGCAGTTCTGCGTTTAGGATGTTCGCTGTCTGTGTTATCTGACAAAGTCCATATATTCCATGTTCCAAAGTTCAATTGTCTTTTACGACCCCTGGGTGGTGACCCTACTGGGCAATCCAGTCAGGGAAAAAGGGAGGCAGACCATGTTTAGGGCACTGTTTCCAGCCCCTTGCCCTTTTCAGGGTGAGCAGAGTGGATCCTAAAAAGGGCTGCTCAGTCATGGATACAGCCGCTCAACTGCCTCGTTCCTTGAGTCAGAACGACTGAATCTGTATCCACTGCCCATGTGTTCATGACTAGGGGCTTCCAGATTTCACATCCCTGCCCCCCGTAGACATTTGCTGATCGCCATGGGGGTGGGTTGGGTTGGGTTTTTGGAAGACACCTATGCGTGAATTTGTTTTATGTGTGTAGATCAGTGCACGCTGACCAACGCACAGTCTTTGCAGTAGGGCTCTGTTCTGATGGCATGAGTAGTCACAACGAACTGGTGGATCCTATCTGCTGCAGCCTTCATCCGCCTTCACAGCCGTTTTAACACACTGCTTGTTATCATCCACCTGTTCTGCTGTTGAGGACTTCTTGGATCATTCTTTGTCTAGCTCCTTACCTGTTATGTATTAAGCTTGGATCCTAGAACAATAGGCAAGTAGGATCCTAGAATGCAAGAACTGATTGGCTTGCAGGAAAAGACCAATCAGGCTCCAGGAGGGAAGCAGAATTAATTTTCTTTGACCTTACCGGCTTGGGTGACCCTGCTGGGAGTACGAGATTCCCGACGGCTTCACTCACAAGGGTCATAGGAATGTGCAAGCCCACTCCAGGATCACACCGGGACTTACAGGTGACTTTTGCGCCCCATGAAGAGCTGGGAGCTGGCAAACCAAACCGAAATGATTCTGGCCCAGCCATTGGACCCCCATCTTTAATGGATAGAGATTCAGCCGACTTTGTTTCCTCCATCCGAGCACACCCACCTAAAAATTGGCCAATATATGAAGGGTAGCATCTGGCCAGGGCCACGAACCAGTAGATCCATGATGTTTGTGGTCAGATCTGCGGTTATGTATAAGATATTTGAATAAAGGGTGAATTTGGGGTTCTCCAATGCGAAAAGCGTGAGGAATCATGAGGATCCGTGCTTCAAAACCACGTTTTAGGGTCATGGAATGGCCAGGAAGCCGTGGATCCAAGTTTTTTGTGGTGCAGGCGGTGCCCCAGGCTATGATGTGTGATTTGACGGTGAGTTTGGGGTGGTCCAATGCAAAAAGTGTGAGGATCCATGAGGATTCGTGCTTCAAAGCCACGTTTTTCTACTACAGTAGAACCAGGAAGCCGTGGATCCAAGTTTGTTGTGGTGCAGGCTGTGCCCCTGGGCATGATGTGTGATTTGATGGTGAATTTGGGTTGGCCCAATGCAAAAAGCATGAGGATCCATGAGGATCCGTGCTTCAAAACCACGTTTTTCTACCACACTAGAACCAGGAAGCCGGGGATCCAAGTTTTTTGTGGTGCAGGCTGTGCCCCTGGGCATGATGTGTGATTTGATGGTGAATTTGGGTTAGCCTAATGTGAAAAGCGTGAGGATCCATGAGGATTAGTGCTTCAAAACCATGTTTATGGGCCATGGAGTGGCCAGGAAGCTGTGGATCCGAGTTTTCTGTGGTGCAGGCTGTGCTCCTGGCCATGATGTGTGATTTGACGATGAGTTTGGGGTGGTCCAATGCAAAAAGCGTGAGGACCCATGAAGATCCGTGCTTCAAAACCACGTTTTTGGGCCATGGAGTATCCATGCTTCAAAACCACATTTTTCTACCACGGTACAACCAGGAAGCCGTGGATCCGATTTTTTTGTGGTGCAGGCTGAGCCCCTGGGCATGATGTGTGATTTGACGGTGAGTTTGGGGTTGCCCAATGTGAAAAGTGTGAGGATCGATGAGGATCCGTGCTTCGGAACCACGTTTTTGGGCCATGGCATTGCCAGATAACTGTGGATCCGAGTTTTTTGTCGTGCAGGCTGTGCCCCTGGGCATGGATGTGTGATTTGACGGTGAGTTTGGGGTGGCCCAATGCAAAAAGCATGAGGACCCATGAGGATCCGTGCTTCAAAACCACGTTTTAGGGTCATGGAATGGCCAGGAAGCCGTGGATCCAAGTTTTTTGTGGTGCAGGCGGTGCCCCAGGCTATGATGTGTGATTTGACGGTGAGTTTGGGGTGGTCCAATGCAAAAGTGTGAGGATCCATGAGGATTCGTGCTTCAAAGCCACGTTTTTCTACTACAGTAGAACCAGGAAGCCGTGGATCCAAGTTTGTTGTGGTGCAGGCTGTGCCCCTGGGCATGATGTGTGATTTGATGGTGAATTTGGGTTGGCCCAATGCAAAAAGCATGAGGATCCATGAGGATCCGTGCTTCAAAACCACGTTTTTCTACCACACTAGAACCAGGAAGCCGGGGATCCAAGTTTTTTGTGGTGCAGGCTGTGCCCCTGGGCATGATGTGTGATTTGATGGTGAATTTGGGTTAGCCTAATGTGAAAAGCGTGAGGATCCATGAGGATTAGTGCTTCAAAACCATGTTTATGGGCCATGGAGTGGCCAGGAAGCTGTGGATCCGAGTTTTCTGTGGTGCAGGCTGTGCTCCTGGCCATGATGTGTGATTTGACGATGAGTTTGGGGTGGTCCAATGCAAAAAGCGTGAGGACCCATGAAGATCCGTGCTTCAAAACCACGTTTTTGGGCCATGGAGTATCCATGCTTCAAAACCACATTTTTCTACCACGGTACAACCAGGAAGCCGTGGATCCGATTTTTTTGTGGTGCAGGCTGAGCCCCTGGGCATGATGTGTGATTTGACGGTGAGTTTGGGGTTGCCCAATGTGAAAAGTGTGAGGATCGATGAGGATCCGTGCTTGAACCACGTTTTTGGGCCATGGCATTGCCAGATAACTGTGGATCCGAGTTTTTTGTCGTGCAGGCTGTGCCCCTGGGCATGGATGTGTGATTTGACGGTGAGTTTGGGGTGGCCCAATGCAAAAAGCATGAGGACCCATGAGGATCCGTGCTTCAAAACCACGTTTTTTGGGCCATGGAGTGGCCAGGAAGCCGTGGATCCTAGTTTTTTGTGGTGCAGGCTGTGCCCCTGGCCATGATGTGTGATTTGACAGTGAGTTTGGGTTGGCCCAATGCAAAAAGTGTGAGGACCCATGAGGATTTGTGCTTCAAAACCACATTTTTGGGCCATGGTATCGTGAGGAAGCCACGGATCCATGATTTTTGTGTTGCATGCTGTTCCCTTGGCCATGATGTTTGATCTGATGGTGGCTTTGGGCTGATCTTGTGCAAAAATCATGAGGATCCATACTTCGGAACCACGTTTCTGGGCCAGGAAGCTGTAGATCCGAGCTTTTTGTGGTGCAAGCTGTGCCCCCAGGGGCTATGCCAGCTATGATGTGTGATTTGACGATGAGTTTGGGTTGGCCCAATGCAAAAAGTGTGAGGATCCATGAGGATCCGTGCTTAAAAACCACGTTTTTGGGCCACGGTGTCGTCTGGAAGCCGTGGATCCATGATTTTTGTGGTGGATGTGTGCCCATGGCCATGATATTTGATCTGATGGTGACTTTGAGCTGATCTAGTGAAAAAATCATGAGGATCCATGTGGATCCGTGTTTTTTAACCATGTTTTTGCGCCATTGCAGCACCACGAAACAGTGGATGCGTGATTTTTTTGGTTCTGCCTACAGACTAAGATGTGGTCTACAGTATCATGGTGTTGTTATTTTGTTTCAATATAAAAATCATATGAATTCATGAGGATCCATGCCTTGGATCCATGTTTTTGTGGTGCTGCAGAGCGGCAAAGTGTTGGATCCACGTTTTTTATAGTCAAGTCTGTAGGCGTGCCTTCCAGGTGTGATTTGACACTGCATTTGTTGGAGTTATTTTTTAAAAAAGTGGAGGATCCATGAGGATCCGTGTAGATCCGCCTTTAACCCAGACCCAAGATGACGCAAAACAATGGGTACACCGGAGAGGGACACAACTGAAAATATCCACAGCAAAGCATCCCCATTCCTCTCGAACAAAATAAAGAAAATTTCCACAACACTAAACAGGTTCACACAGACCATGCTTAAAGCATAGAAAGAAGAATTAGGTAAACTGTCCCCAACCCCATCCCCACTAATTCTCTTGGCACACCACTCATTCCACCACACAGCACAAAACCTTGGCTAACCAAAGGATTAACAGACTTCTATAAATTAACAGACTTCTACAAATATTAACAGACTTCTACAAATATTAAAAACAAACATATCAACACAAGAAATACAAGACAAACTAGGGGACACCCAAATGCCATGGCACCACATATTACATGGCCTCTTAAATAATCCTGTAGTAAAATCAGCAGCAACTTAACAACCTTCTTTATGCACCAAACAACCAACAGGAAGAATTTTTGGAAAAAAACATTGACGGAGCTGGAAAAGTTTTTAAAATGTCAAACAATCCTGGGGGGAGATTTTAATTTAGTTCTAAATGATTATTTTGACAGAAATTGTTCAGGTCAGGGGGGAAAAAAGGTCAATAGGGGCTCCCCATTAACAAAAACCCCTCTGTATATCTGGCGAAAGGCAAACTCTGATCGCCATACAAACTCTAGAATTGATTATTTATTGATATCAGAGGGATGGATCCATTGGATCCACTCCTCAGATATCAAAGTAGGAGAAGTCTGCTATGGTTATTGCTGAATTGCTGAGAGAAGGAGGATACCCAAGGAACCCAGTACAGAGACTTGACCCACGGCTACTGCAAGATCAACTGGTTCTCGAACGGTTGCAAAAAGAGATACCAGAATTTTTTAAGATCAATGATACATGATTATATAAAGGTAAAGGTAAAGGGACCCCTGACCATTAGGTCCAGTCGTGACCGACTCTGGGTTTGCGGCGCTCATCTCGCTTTACTGGCCGAGGGAGGCGGCATACTGCTTCCAGGTCATGTGGCCAGCATGACTAAACCGCTTCTGGCGAACCAGAGCAGCTCACGGAAACGCCGTTTACCTTCCCGCCAGAGCGGTACCTATTTATCTACTTGCACTTTGACGTGCTTTCGAACTGCTAGGTTGGCAGAAGAAGGGACTGAGCAACGGGAGCTCACCCCGTCGCAGGGATTCAAACCGCCGACCATCTGATCGGCAAGTCCTAGGCTCTGTGGTTTAACCCACAGCGCCACCCGCGTCCCATCACAGGATTATATAACCCAGCTTTAATTTGGGATACCTTCAAAGCAGTAATTAGAGGAACATTAATCAGTGAGAAGAGTAGAATCAAAAAAAGGACATCAACTATTCATCTCTAATAAGAAAAAGAAATAAAAGAATTAGAAGAAAAACATAAAATAACGTGGTAACAGTGTATCGCAAATTAAAAGCAAAGAATTAGACATCTTAGAAATACCAAAAATAATAACATCTCTTCAATATTTAAATCAACAATACAATGAATTTCATAATAAAAACTCAATAATCTTGGCAAACCAACTAAAGAAATGTAAATTAAACAGAACAATCCCCTCAATAAAAACAGGCAAAGGTGAAATAAGCTTAAAATTAACCAAGCCTTTCATGCCTTTCATGCTTCTGAAACACTATTGCTAAACACCATTCAGGAATTTCTGGCCACAGTTAACATTCCAAAATTAACGGAAGTGCATGCAACTTACTTAAATCAACCCTTCTCCCTTGAGGAAATATTAGCTAGTATAAAAAAGACAAAACCATTTAAGGCACCTGGACCAGATGGGTTTACTGGCTACTTTTATAAAACCTTTTCTGAACTTGTTGCTCCATTCTTGCTGAAATTATTCACAGATATAAAATCATGGCCTGATACCTGGAACTTGGAAAAACACACACATTGTAGTGCTACAAAAACCAAATAAAGACTTGGAGTCAGTTGAGTCCTATAGGTCTATCTCATTAATAAATGTTGATTTAAAATTACTTACAGGTATTATTACACACAGGTTAGCAACAATTGTACCGAATTATATACATTTGGATCAGACAGGTTTTATTAGGCAAAGCTCAATAACTACCCCAATTAGGAGGATCCTCAGTGCAATATACTGGGGATCAAACCAACTGGCACCGACAGCCATCCTTACATTGGATGCAATGACCGTCTTGAATGGAATTTTCTTTTTGAAACCTTGCGAGGTTTTGGCATGGGATCCCCATTCATTGCACTGCTGACTACCTTATATCAGGATTGCACCACAAATATTTTGATAAATGGTATACACTCGGAGCCTATATCGATGGGCCGGGGCGTGAAACAGGGCTGCCCATTGTCGCCCCTGCTTTTTGCCCTGGATCTAGCACTTAGGGGAGACCCTGAGGTGTCTGGAATACAAATTAATGGGCAGAGTCATCTGGTGAACATGTTTGCAGATGACGTAGCCTTGATGCTGTCTTGCCCTGGAACAAGTCTCCCGGCAGTAATGAAAATTCTTGGTGCTTACGGAAAGGTCTCTGGTTTTTGTGTTAACTATAGCAAATTAGACCTGCTATGCATTCATATGCCAACTTCAGCGCTCCACTGGAACAAAACTTTGTCAGAAATATTTTAAATATTTAGGAGTTATTATCCCTAGGAACCTTCTAAATTTGGAAAAGCTTAATTTTGGTCCAATGATCTGAGAGATTAGACAAAAATTGAAAACCTGGAGCAAGGGTTCACTGTCATGGTTGGGCCGAATCACCACTATAAAAATGATGGTGCTGCTGTGCCTATCTCTTTAGAGTCTTACTGTCAGGGAACTGCCATCAGTGCCGGAGAGAGAGAGCAAAATCCAGAGGGATTCCAGAGAGCGTCCCGGGATTGGGAGAGGTAGCCCATCTTCTGGGGAAGAGAATCAGCATAGCACCAGTGGAGAAGGGGGGCAGATGGGGGAAGCGGCGAGGCGGTCCCATGACTCCTTGCCAGGGACCAGCGGGCAGAGTAGAGGTCCTCCGCTGCCTACGCCCTCCTTGCGCAGAAGGCTTTCGCGCAGAGAGAGTAGGAGGAGACTAGGCGTCAAAGAGCTTCTTTGCTGGAAGAAGTTTAAGAAACGCCCACTGACGGATTCTGCCAGCGACTGAGACAGCCACGGGTGAGTGGCTGTCCGGACAGAAAAGGTTCACTCAGGCAACCCAGCCAGGTGTTTGCACCGGCTTACGCACGAGCAACCCCTAGAACCACTACACTTACCAATAGCCATAGAAGACAAAAAAATACAAAATTGGCAAAACATGCTTCTAAAATTTATACACCAGAAAAACAAGCCATGGTTATAAAGCGTTATATCAACCAGCCAAAGGAGGTGGCACGGCAGTACCTAATCTCATGTGGTACTATGCAGTGGCCCATCTACATAGCATTTTTCTGGTAATAGAGACAGAACATTCCCCTTTGAAAAATGGGGAAATGTGGGCCTGTTTTGGCTTAAAGACTTTTACAAAGAAAACCTCCCTTTAAATCCGTATCAGTGAAAAGAAAAGAACTCACTCTGAATCTTACTTACAGGTGGTACCTAACACCACGTAAACTAATGCTAATAAGCCCAGGAACCTCACCAAAATGCTGGAGAGGATGCACCTCCACAGGCACATACCTCCACATGTGGTGGGAATGCCCTAAAATCCAACCTTTCTGGACAGCAGTCCTGCAAGAGATATGCAAAATAGCTAAACAGGTATTAGAACTCACCCCCAAACTGGCCCTACAAGATCATAATGACCACTTGCATTATATAGAGCTTATAACACACCTACTCTCAGCAGCCAGAAGCATCATAGCCAGACACTGCATAGACCAATGGTATCAAATAGTATGGGAAACAGGCTTACTAGAAAAACTAACCAACAAACTGAAACTGACATGGGGACACATAGAAGAAGACACTTTCACCCTGGTTTGGTTCCCCTTTATCACATACACAGCCTAACAAGAGAAAAACAAGAATCCGCCAACAGCATTCAAATCAATCTGGCTAACCTGATCCAAAAACACACACACACCTCACACACAGAAACAAATTTCACTACAACCAACCACACTGTAGGCCAACTCTCTCACCACCAAAGGAATACAAGCAAATAGTAAAGAGAACCCACACAAGTGACGCTGACACAAAACCCCACACATACACTAAGTAGAATAGAAGCATTGCCACTCGACCCCACCCCACTCACCATTCCCCCTCCCCCTTTTCTTCCTAACATAACACTAATGTCTCAACAAATGAAACTGATCTGTAGAAAACGTAACTTTAAAAAAACACATTGCACGTGTGTAAACCAAGAAATTTTAAATAAAAATATACAGTGGTACCTCAGGTTACAGACGCTTCAGGTTACAGCCTCCACTAACCCAGAAATAGTACCTCGGGTTAAGAACTTTGCTTCAGGATGAGAACAGAAATCACGCGGCGGTGCAGCGGCAGCGGGAGGCCCCATTAGCTTAAGTGGTACCTCAGGTTAAGAACATTTTCAGGTTTAGAACGGATCTCTGGAATGAATTAAGTTATTAACCCGAGGTACCACTGCATTTTTAAAAAAGAGGCAAGTTTGAGGACAGGCAGGTGACTGACACTCCCAAGACTTCTGCGATTAAGAAGGAATATCGCTGCATGGGATACCATAAAAGCCCCAGGAAAGATTTTGCAACAGTTTTGTCTTTGTATCGCAATGAAGATTTATTGTTTTTTTTAAAAAAAGCTCATGAAAATTCTTCAGCATTCTGGTGCTAATATCTCCTAAGAAACATACTTTGGCTTGTAGTTTTTACTAATGCACACTTTTTTGCAAGCGATAATATAATGCATTTTTATAAACATTGTTTGACTGGAGAAGTGCATTACAAAATTCGAAGAAGTGTGCACAAAGAACACCTATGTTTTGGTTTGCATATTATTTCAAAAAGTGTGTATTTGGTAGATTTGTCTTCAAATGCTAACTTAATCAGATTTCTTTTTCATCTCTGCTCATAAGGCATCCCAAGAAAAAGATGCCAAATAATTTGGGACAGACCTTACCTTGATCCCAGCTGCGGCAGCTTTCTCAACCAGAAAAGTGACGAGAATGAAGCCCCTGAGGCTTGCTCCACCAGGCAAGCAAATGATGGGTTCCAGATTCCTGTGGGGAAGGCAGAATTGAAAGCCTAGAAAATACAGTACAATTTTAGATATTAAGTGCTAGGGCATGAGAGACTGTTATGAAAGTCAAAGGTGGAGAGAAATGTCTGTCCAAGACACCCCACCTCACATCAGTTGATTGACTGGTGGGTCATCCCTCGGAGCAAGACTGAACTCTCCACGAACCAGCTGACACATGGGCAATTCATTCCTGTTTTTGACAACCTCAACTCTTAACTGCCCCACACCTGACATCATAAATGACAGGGGTCAGCAAACTTTTTCAGCAAGGTCCCTCAGAACTTGACTATATTTTGAAAAATAGAAAGAAAAAGAACAAATTCCCACAAATAACCCAGAGATGAATTTTAAATAAAAGGACACAGCATTCTATGCAAGAGCTAAAGGACACGTTCTACTGAGGTAAGCAACCCCCCCCCCCCACTGACTCTCCCCTCCCTTCTCCACAGCACCAGATGAGCCCTCGTGGCTGCTTACCTGTGTTTTGCGAGTGACAGGGGCTGGCAGTGGTGGGACGATGAGTGGCGCGCGAAAGGGCTCCGGAGAGGAGCTGGCAGCAACAAAGCCCGAATTGAGCCTGCTTACAATGGCGACCGCTCAAGCACTAATGCTGCTGCTGCTGGCACCAACAAAGCCCAGCCCCCTTCCTCTCAGCTCTAGGCAGGGCAGGGAGAAGCCAGGAGGAGGGTGGGAGGAGGCGCTGCCACTGAATGCATGCGCTGGCGCAGCCCGAACGATCAGATCCATGCCGATCCACACGGTGATTCCCGGACCGTCCACGGGCCAGATCCAGAAGGCAACTGGACCAGATCCAGCCCCCGGGCCTTAGTTTGCCTATCCATGATATATGATGTCAGCTGAGGGGCAGGGGGCATGGTTTGGGGGGAACAGCCCCATGGGCCAAAAAAGGGGCCTGTTGGACCAAGTTGTGAGTTCCCCAACCTGGGACTAGATATTTTTTACTGCAGAGGTCAGTGTAAGCAATGAGAGGATGAGGTGGCAAAAGGGAACATTGCAGCTATGTAATGTTGTAGATTTCTATCTACCTTATACTAAAAATAAACCCTCCACCCAAGGCTAACACCAGAATGCTGGTGGAGAAACAATACTGCACCACAAAATTATATCTGAGCTGTAGTCTGGTGACAGGTTTTACTTACCTAGAAAATTAAATTTGGCTTACTAAATTAAGCAGAGCATAGTGCCCATAAAACAGCCAAACACAAACTGTTTTCTACCAGTGTACTGTAATGTTAAAAAACATTGGGTTGGAACCAAAGAGAACTGGATTCAGATCACAAAACTCACAAAGTTGTTTTAGGGATATGAATGGAAAAGAACTCAGCCTGAGCACCTTGGGATTAAAATGTAATAAATCTATACAGACACAAATGCAGAAAGAATATTTCTCAGAAGCATTCCGATATAAACTACTGTTGCAGCTGTTTAACTTCAAGCAGTCTGAAGAGTGACCTCAGCAGACTTTGAACGAGAAAGGCAAACATCATTTCCCGAATACTTACTCAATTTCTAGAGGCCTTTTGACAGATTGGGTTATCAACAGCAAACACACATGGAAAGGAAATAGAAAGATCCAAGTCAGTTGCTGAGCAAAGTCCAGTCCAAATAATAGCACTTCCCCCCCCCCCCTGAAAACCAAAATCTCCCCAAATGCCCTGTCTTGCTTGCAGCAGTGGCACAAAAACAAATGTGATGATATTTGTTACAGGCTATTTTTATTTGATTAACAATGCTATCAAATAGATGTCTCAGATCCATGTTTTAAATGGTACAATGGTACAAATACAATAACTTACCGTAATAACATAATATATTGTTCTGTACTCTGTGTCCCTCATTCTGGACACTTTTCAAACTTGAAGACAAAAACAATATAGTGGTATAGGAATCTGTGATGTTGTAATGTGTACTTGACAATGTGAAAAAAAAATTAAAATCATACTATTTTTCTGTTTTTTTAAAAAGTTGTGCAGTAGTTGGAACATCCAAGTGTCGTTATGCTAAACATGCACAAATTTCTTCAATGCATCTATCGAAGGTGCAGGAGCCAGCCTGCGTCCTCTGTCCATCTGGTCACCCTTCATCTGATGATGCCATATTAGTTGTGTGTGTCAGTTGACCTAAGGAGTGTAGCTCAGGCTGACGGCACCAACTTTCTATCCATTAAGGCCCAGGTGTCCTCTTTCTTATACTTACCCACAAGGATTCCTTTTCTTCCAGTTTACTAAAACAAAATCTGCATGAACCAGGATTGGAGGTAATCCTAACACCCGAGAAATCTCCACGAAGGGGATGGCAAGGTTTTGTGGCAAGACCTGGAAATCAAAATGACAGAAAGCCAATTCATGCTCCCCCAAAGATGTAGCTGTTTAGTTAAACCTGTTATCATGAGAATGCTGCACTGTTGTGCTGCCCCTCAAGGCTTTTGCACAGTGTTTCGGGCTAAATGTGCTTGTGTTGTTCCCTTTGCAATGTTATTGGAGCAATCCTGTAACATGCAGCTATACATACCTGCTCCAAGTGTTGCACCCTCATCACAGTATGATGTGGCAACAGACTCTGGGGTACAGCTGTTGAATTATTCATTGTTTCATTATTACTACTGCCTCCAAGTGACTAGGTTGCTTGTGCAGCTTAGGCTCACCCATGCATCTTTCAGACTCTATAAACTGAGCTACACAGTTGCTCCCCATCAAGGCTTGTTGGAAGAAGTGGGAGAATAAAAGCTCTTCGCAAATCCACTCTAATATATGAATGATGTCATATTTCAGGGCAGCTAGAACCTTGAACCCAGGAACAGCTGGGAAAAGGACAGTGCCAGCTCCTTGTGGAGACAAACCTGGGCATTTGCCTGGACTCCAAGACCCAACTCTCTAACATCAACCCTATTTTTCACTTTGTACAAAATATCAGAGAAGATCAGGTGGAGCCTCAAAAATTTCCCAGTTTGCATGTCCCACCTGACCACTTCCAGGTAAAAGAGAGTGTTGGTGAGGACACCGTGCTCCTTTGAGCTCTTCCCCAGGTTCTGGAGTCACAGAGTTCACTATGAAGAAGGATTCATTGTTAAACCACCTTGGGAACTGGAAAGGGAACAGGGGTCTCTGAACAATTTTCTCCACCCTTAACAAACTACAGCTCCCATAATTCTTTGGCGAAAACCATAACTGTTTAAAGTGACATCATAGCCTTTTAAATGCATGATGTGAATTAGTCCTAACTTCCAATCCACAGATGAGTTTGGGATGTATGGAAGATCAAATTCATCAACATCCCTAAATGGGCATGGACAGTACCTTTGCAGTCCCTTTTTCACCATCCTGCCAAACGTAGCCCATTGTGATGTAGCTAAGGACCAAGTGGGCTAGATACAGTTCTCTGTGTCCTTTGAGATACTGGCTGCTTAGCAGAGGCATCTGTTAAGACAGTTACAGGTTACAGAAAGCGGTTTTTTTTTAATATAACATATTGTTATGTAGTTGGTGAAACTGCTGCTTCTTTCCATCGTAAGTGCCATAAGCCACTAGCTCAGAATTCATGTACACATTCATCACTTGATGTCTGCAACACTGAGTGGTGTTTTGCATGTGTAAATTACTGTAGTCCTAACTTAGTCCCCAATTACTGAACACCACAGATCCCCAACTACTGACAGAACCTGCTCGTCAGTCCTCTTGCACAATTTTCAATAGAGTAAAACCACACATTCATCTAAGAATGAATAACAAAGTTGAAAGAGATGAAGCAATATATGGACATATTAGAACCAGACATTAAATTCTATCAACCATGTAGAAGGTTGCTTAAAAGTAGATTGACTTGGTGGGGGAAAGAGGACTAGATTCCTGCACCTTTAATAATTGTGTAAAACGGGTTGCAGAGCTCATCTTGCTTTATTGGCCGAGGGAGCTGGCATACAGCTTTCGGGTCATGTGGCCAGCATGACTAAGCCACTTCTGGCAAACCAGAGCAGCACACGGAAAAGCCGTTTAACCTTCCCACCGGAGCAGTACCTATTTATCTTTCACTTTCACTTTGACGTGCTTTTCAACTGCTAGGTTGGCAGGAGCAGGGACCGAGCAACGGGAGCTCACCCCGTCGCAGGGATTCGAACTGCTGACCTTCTGATCAGCAAGTCCTAGGCAAGTCCCGCATCCCTAATAATTGTGTAGGAAAGGTCGTTTTAGCAGGTGCAGCTTGTGCAAGAGCAGCTAGACCTGCTGAAATCAGGGGTGTTCTGGTGTGGGGGGGGCAGGCCACCCTGGGTACCATTCCAAAGGGGGGGATGACAAAATGCCCACCCCCGATCAGTGGCATCCCCTGTGGTGCACACCATGCCCCCAGGATGCACACCATGCCCACTGGGACACACATCACTCCGGGTACCCGCGCAGGTAGCTTTGCCTCTGGCTGAAATGTCCCCTTCTATACTACTATGAAGAATGCAGGAGATCTGTTCTCATTTTCAGCTGACCACCTGATGCAGCAGCCTTAAATACCTGTATCATGATATTTTAACACCCCATTCCTAAGAGCAGGCTTCCTCAAACTCAGCCCTCCAGATGTTTTTGGCATACAACTCCCATGATCCCTAGCTAGCAGGACCAGTGGTCAGGGATGATGGAAGCTGTAGTCTCAAAACATCTGGAGGGCTGAGTTTGAGGAAGCCTGCCTAAGAGCATGGTCTGCAGGTTGTTTCTCTGCTACAGCACTAGTGACCTCTAGAGGATTTCACCCTGCATTGCAGATATGGCAGCAATTGGTTCTTTAAATTTGCATCAGACTAAGAAGCACACCTGCATCTATACTTATTTTTTAAAAAACAACAAGGATTAGCACACAAATGTCTATGCATTGCTTTGAGGCTAATAATGAAAAGTGACACTTTGACCTAAAACGTAGAAGAGTGAAGCTAACCAGAGTTTGATTAGCTGGCATGTTCCTCTAGCATTTCATTTATATCCCTACTACTTCCACCAAGGAACTCAAGGTGGCATGTGGTGCCCCTCCTCACTATTTTATCCTCACAACCCTCTATGGGATGGGAAATGCAATACCTTGTTCACCTGTGAGCGAAGTTGATGGTTCTCAATAAGGTGAGGCAGGCTGTGAGCGATCTCCATCCAAGGGCTATAGAAAGGAGGAAGATCTTTCTGATAAGAAGAACAACCAATTATCATCAATCAGGAAAACTAGTTCATTGTGGGTTTTGATATAGGCCAGAAAGATGAAAAAAGAGCTGTGCATAGGCCAAGAATTTATGCATTGCTAAAAAAACAGGAGGTAGACTCAGACAAAATTTGCATATGCTAAATTATGTATGTAGATGCACATTTAGAAATAACTGCTAAAATAGAAATAGAAATACATTTCATCTCCCCCTAGTGACCAGGTCACTTGTGTACCTGCTCAGTCTGCTGTCCAGGTACTCACTCTTGATGGGCAACTTCAATGCCCTTTGACTCCCTTCTTATGGCTTTTCAATCTTTAAACCAGACTGGGACCAGCCAACAGAGGACCATTCACTGTGAAGTAAAATACCGTACATACCGGTACCTACCCTACCTGCATACTTTGTGACAGGATGCCGACTTCCCCCCACATTGGGGGTGTGTGCATCCCGTGATGCGTCCTGCCCCTGCCTAGCATGTGAACACTGGCACGCTGAGCTGGGCTGGTGTCCCACTCCTGCTGCCACGATGCCAGCGCTTGTAGGGAAGGGGGAGAGCAGAGTTGGACTCCTTCTCCCTGAGCAGCAAGGAGCTGTGCTCTGCGCTCAGCCTCCTTCAGCCTGTGCAATATCAGGTGGAGAGGAGGAGGAGCGTGGCCACAGGATTTGGGCTTCCTTGAATTTTTGGGAGGAGCTGAAGACCCCTCAGCCCACACTACTCAGCACACCTGCTTTTTAACCCTCTAAGGCAAAGATCACCAGCCACCAGCACTCCATTGAGGACTTTGGCCACATTCACACCATACATTTAAATCATTCTGACACCACTTTAAACAGGTGTGGGTCTCCCAAAGAATTCTAAGAGTTGTAGTTGGTTAAGGGTGCTGAGAATAGTTTGGAGCCCCTTTCCCCTTACCAAAGCTACAATTCTCCATGAAGAATTGATTGTTGAACAAATGTTGAAAGAATACACATTTGCAGGCTTTTCCCACAAAAACTCACTCTTTAAAGCTCAATCAGAGCAAATGGCACACTTTAATTTATGTTTGCTCCAACTGAGAGGGTTTTCATGCGGAAAGCTTCAGGGAGGAAAAAACAAACCCATGCTCACAAGCAGAGCTTTTAAGTATGGACAAGTGCCTGAAAGGAGGGGAGGAAAGGTAAGTGTGATAAGCCCTATGTTATGTATTTCTGTGTTTTATACTGTAAACAGTCCTGTGATATAAATAAATAAAATAATAATAATAATAATAATGCCTGCTGAAAACTTTTCTATTCCACCTCGCTTATGAAGAATATATATTTCAACAATACTACTTTGGTTTCTGCTCTTAACTTTTTATATTGTTTTTATTGTATTGGTTTTATGTATAATTGAGTTGGCCAAACCCCGGCAGTGCTGGAATCATTTGCCTAATGTGGGTCTTGAACCCATGACCCTGAGATTAAGAGTTTCATGCTCTACCAACTATATAAATCCATATTGTCAATAAATAAATGAAAAATAAAATCTGGGGTTAGGGGAACAGGGTACATTTACATTCTCTGCTGCATTTTGTTTCCACTGTTAACCCAACTGAGAATGTCAGTATGCTTAGGCTCCTCCTGAAGTGTTGCTTTCTCCCTTAAAAGCCTTGGTCATTTACTCCAGCCAACCTCCCAGCCTGCCTTTTCTCACAATCCTGTGAGGAGACATTAGTGATTGAATTTGGTAAAATGCATGTCAATCCCCCTGTAGGTCTCTGATCATCTCCTCTCCCTACCTGCTACACACACACCGCAACCCCCTCCTGCTCCAAGCATCTCATGCAGCCACCATGTTCCTACCAGTGGATTTGGAAGGAGGAAGCCATAATCTTCAGAAATATGGAATCTCCTCAAAATGAATGGCAGCTGCTCTTTCGTGCACTCAGTGTTCACCTCCATCATTAACGGTGTTCAGCCAGAGTCAGGAGCTTGATCTGGAAATGAAGGGCCTTTGCCGCACTGGGTGCTAGATTCAAATCGGCTATGGATTCAAATCGGTATGTGCTGTGCAGGCAAAACCTTTCCTTTGTGACTCTAGGTATCGAACCTTTGGACTGGGTGGAGCATCCTCAGTGACCAATGGTCAGTAAAGCCTAGTAAACAACATTGAAGGTTGCTGCTAAGTAGATCTAGATACAGGATGGGGGGAGGGCTGGCCGCCAGTGGCCTGTTATAGGATCACCAAACAGGGAAGTTAGTTTAGTTGGTAAGGGAAATGGCACGGAGTAATGCAGCAGCTTAGCATCTACTGTATGGACTGGTATCCAGTTCAAAACTTAGAATACCAACAATTAGCTTAGGCACCCACTGTAATAAGATGGGATGTAGCTTACTGGCTAGGGTGGTTTTTTTAAAAATAGATAAATTGCATGAAGATTTTTCAATTTATACTAGCCTCAGTTGCTGGTGCTTGTATCACCAGAGGCAACTTCATGTTTAGACTACTGCAATGTGCTCTATGCAGGGTCTCCCTTGCAGCTGATCCAAAGCCTGCTGATGGTGCAGAATGTTATGGGCCAGCTGGTTAGTGGTGTTGCTTACAGGGCACTTTTCACACCCATGCTAATGGATCTGCACTGACTGCCTCTTAGCCACTGAGCAATTTTTAATTTTTACTTACATACAGAGCTTTAAAGAATTCTAGAACAGATCACCTGAAAGACTGGCCTGGTAAGGGTAATAAGATCAACAAGTAGAACTGGGTTGGTCTTGCCATGGCCTAATGATTATTGGCTTCTGGTTATATGGAAGTGCCCCCCCCCCCCCGTGGCACCAGTATTCCAGAAGGCTATAATGTGAGAAGCCCCCTCTGTATGGGCATTTCACTGTCTTTTGTAGATGCATCTGCTTACACAGATATTATCTTGGTCTCTTGGCCAGAGCCTCCTGCTTTAATTACTTCAATGTTGTTCAGCGGGTTTGTTTTTATTGTACAATTCAATTATGGATGCTTGTACTTAATTTTTTTAAGAGCCCAGGGCAGCAAACAAGTGATAAAGCAATAAAACATTCAAAAATAGTATTTAAAACTATTCCAGTATAGATGCAAACTGGGAAAGATATTGCAGTAAAAAGACTTGTTGAAAGAGATGGCACCTAATATTCTGTGAGAGATATTCCAAAAAGTAGGTGTGTCGACATTAAAGGTGCAATTCCTACACCATGTAGAATGGACCTCTTGATAAGATGGAATCTGCAGGCCATCATCTGCCGAGCACAGCAAGTGGTTGCGAATATAAGGGGTCAGACAAGTTACATAGGGCTTTATACACCAAAATCATCATCTTGAACTTAGCCCTGTAGCTACTTGTCAGCCAGTGTAATTTTTTCAACAGCAGAGTAATGTGTTGGTGAAATCCTGCCCCAGTGAGTGAAAATTTGCGCCACTTGCAACTTCTAGGGCAGGCTATCTCAGTCCAGAAACAGCTGTAGCTAATTCACCAGCTGAAGCTGGTAAAAGGCACTCTTGGGCACTGAGGTCATCTGTAACGAAGTAACGAAGATGGAGCCAGGAGCAGTCCCAGACTACGAACCTGCACTTTCAGGGAGTGTGCAACCCCATCCAAAGCAAAAAAATCACCCATTATCCAGAGTTTGTGACCACCCACTCAGTCACAGCACCTCCATCTTGCTAGGATTCAAAGTCAGTTTACTGGCCCTCATTCAGTGCACCACTGAGTCCATGTACTGCTCCCATCTCACTCTGCCCATGCATGGCCTTGGAAAGAAGGTGCTGCTGCAGAGACCAGCAGCAAAAGCCCCATCCCCAGTCCTCCTAGTAATAACCACCCTGGTCTTATAAAACTTTCTGGCCCACCTCTACCAGAAAAAGCACCATTCTCAGGCTGATCAAAGACCAGGTCCAGTCGCTCCCAGAAAATGTATCCTTTCCCCCCTAAGCTGAGCCCAACCACCCTCACTCCATGCAACCAGAGTGGAGGCTGGTCTGTAAGGGTGAATAGGGAACTGCCCCACCAACCTCGGCCTGGCTTACTCCAGCAGCTGCCAGCCTTTTCACTTGTAGCTAGTCAAAGGATGGCTCTGCTTGTCATTGCCTCAGGCTCCGCCCAGTGGCATAGCATGCATTGCCAGTGCCCAAGGATGGTGCAGGTGTTGCGCCCATCTGGTGGACTGAGCAGCTGGGCTGAGGGTGCGTGAGGAGCCTGTGTGGAAGGTGGAGGGAGCCCAGGAGGCACATGGCTGTCAGCACTGCTGCTGCTGGTGGCGGTGCCTGCACTTCTTCTCAGTTTGGTGCTGCCTCCTGTCCTCTCACTGCCTCGGTTGGACAGCTTTGGCCACTGTGTAGGCTGGAGAGGACTATTGGTGTCACCACATGTGGCAGCGGCAGCGGAGAGCGTGGGGCCTGGAGAGCGGTGGCCCCTTCCTCTTCATCTGTCAAGGAATGGTGTGAAGCAAAGGATTGGAAAATGCATTCTGAGGCACAGCAGCTTCTCTCAGAAAGGGAGCTGGAGGGGGAAGATTCCCCCCCCCCCATTTCTAGTGGCTCAGAAGCAGAAAGAGACACATACACAAAGCAGATTAGGCAGGAGATTAGACAAGAGAAACAGAAGGGAAGGGATAGATAGCAGAGACGTCATTAGAGAGTGTGGGGGACCCTCCCTCCCCACAAACTAGGAGATCCGAATGTATTAGAGCACAAAGGATGCAGAGAGGAGGGGGGGCTTCCTGTTGGCACCTAGGATGTTGGAAGAATTAGAGTAGACAACTCTACAATCCCTCCTTAAGGGAGGTGGCTTTTTGCTTGCAACCTGATGCCTGAATAAAAAGGACTATAAAATACAAATTGCTCGTTAATTCTTATCTGTGAAGTCACTGAAGAGGGAAGTGGACTCTCCACACATGACACACTCCCTCCTCAGTGGGCAGCAGCAGCACTGCCCCAACTCCCTCCATCTCGGCCGGGACAGGCAGAGTGGAGGTGGAGGTAGAAAAACATGGGGTGGGGGGCAAACTGGGAGGCACCTGCACTGGGAGAGCTCAGGGCTGCTCTTGCACACCCTGACATTGCCCACTAGCCATGGCCCATCACCACTGTTGCTGTGGAGCATGGAGCATGGCCATCGCATGGCAGCAGGGCATACCCTGGGGAAGAGAGGAGAGCATCTGGCTTGGAGTGTCGGCAGGTGGGTGCTGAGTCAGCGACCGGGCGAGCGGCTTGTGCTCCACCGCTGGCAGTGGCTTCTGGCACCCTCCCTTCTTCCCTCCCACGCATGGGCTGCCCCAGCCCCGAAGCCCCGGCGGGAGGGGGTTTCCTTCCTGCGGCTCTAGAAGGCAGCAGGAGCTCAGCCACATGGCCTGTCATGAGGGCACCTGGTTGCACCCCTCTCAGAATTTTGCACCTGGGCCCCCGCCCTTCTGCCTCCCATGCTACGCCACTGACTCCCCCAGTTGTTGATCTCCCTGCCTTCCACCCAAACACATACTTCAAACTAATTTTTTTAGAACAAATACACTTTATCGTAGAAACAAACAGAAGCAAGCAGCAGTCACATTCACAGCAGAAAGAAAGATTCTAATTAAAATATTTTCATGCATTGTACTTCATGGAGAGAAGAACAGGAACTTCTGTAACCTTTTGGCAAGCCAGGGCTTCTGCTGTCCTTACCTATACACTGTGGTGCAGAGCATAAAAAACAGAGCAGAGAATTACCAGGAATATACATCAAATATACTGCTTCAGTTGCTGTACCTGCTTCTTGTTACTACTGCTGCTGTTACTATGTTATAGATTTTTGTGGGGAAGGGCCTAAACCCTAGAAATTAATGAATGGTAGGATTTTCATTATTTGGGATGTTGAGAAAAACAAGCTGCATAGGAATTCCTAAGCTAGCCTATGCCAAGCTAGGTCCATTAAGAAACAATTCAGGGTCATTGAGAGCCATTGACAAGACAAGAAACCTTCCCACCTTCTCTCCACCTTCCCACCAGAGAAAAGGATTTGGAAGATTGCCAGGGAACAGGTGTGAGGAGACAGGAAAAGAGAGTTTTTAGCAGGGTGTTCTGGGAAGAAGGAAGACTGGAATCCATCTTGGGCAGGATGGCACGAGGTGCAATAGATTCAAGTTACAAGAAAGGAGATTACTACTGAACATCAGGAAGAACTTTCTGATAGCAACAGCTGTTCGACTGTAGAACGGTCTCCCTCAGGAGGTTGTGGACTCTCCTTCCTTGGAGGTTTTTAAGCAAAGGTTGGATGGCCATCTGTACGGATGCTTTAGATGAGATTCCTGCATTGCAGGGGGTTGGGTCCCTTCTAACTCTACAATACTAGAGACCCTCCTAAGACCCTCTTAGGGTGTTAATGCTGTGATCTCCTCCATGGTTTTATATAAAGCATATATCATAGAGAACACCACAGTCTGTGCTGTCCCTCATTCTGAGGAAACTGAACCCTGGATAAAGGCCTGGAATCCCTGGAATCTTGCACTGCTCAGAGATTGGGGTGGTGTTCAATGCTATAAAGTACAAGCTCCACCCTAGAACCCCTTTAAAACAGAGACAACAAGAAATTAGAATACACATATAGGGTTATGTATAAGAAATCTACCTTGCAGTCTGTGGCTGATGAGCTTGTTGAGATCTAAATTGAAAAGGGGAGGAAAACACACTGTTCAAAAATAATATTTTAGGGTACATGAAGACATCTCCCAAAGCTTTACTACCCAGTTCTGCAGCCAGGTCACTGTGGGTTGTCATCAGGAAGCCAAGTGTATGCATTTGGCAGAATTTAACAGCAAAGCTGTACCACTTCAGAATAAAAAAATTCCTTCCAGTAGCACCTTAAGGTAAAGGTAAAGGTACCCCTGCCCGTACGGGCCAGTCGTGTCCGACTCTAGAGTTGTGCGCCCATCTCACTTAAGAGGCCGGGGGCCAGCGCTGTCCGGAGACACTTCCGGGTCACGTGGCCAGCGTGACGAAGCTGCTCTGGCGAGCCAGCACCAGTGCAGCACACGGAAACGCCGTTTACCTTCCCGCTATAAAGCGGTACCTATTTATCTACTTGCACTTAAGTGTGCTTTCGAACTGCTAGGTGGACAGGAGCTGGGACCGAAAGACGGGAGCTCACCCCGCCGCGGGGATTCGAACCACCGACCATACGATCGGCAAGTCCTAGGCACTGAGGTTTTATCCACAGCGCCACCCGCGTCCCGTAGCACCTTAGAGACCAACTAAGTTTGTTATTGGTATCTGAAGTGTGCATGCACACGAAAGCTCATACCAATAACAAACTTAGTTGGTCTCTAAGGTGCTACTAGAAGGAATTATTTTATTTTGTTTTGACTACAGCAGACCAACATGGCTACCTACCTGTAACTTGTACCACTTCAGGTTTTACATCAGGGGTGGAGAACCTCAGGCCCAGGTGCTGGATGTGGCCCTGTGGACCACTCCATCTGGCCTTCAGGACTCTCCTTGGGCCACACTCTTCATTGGTTCTGCTTGAGTGCTTTTGGTTCTGCTTCATTGGTTCTGCTTGAGTGCTTTTGTCTGGCTTGATCCTCCCCCTCCCCCCATTGAAATGTGATGGAAAGAATGCATGTGCTTGCATTTAAACCTCTGATTTTGTGTGTGTCAGGAATGTGTGACCTGATGTACAAAGATAAGAGTCAAAGTTGTTTGACCTACTTTCTGCCTCTGGCTATGCCCTCCACTAGCATTAGACCCCTGGAAACTGGCCCTTGGCTTCAAAATGGCCCCTCACCCCTGCTTTAGGTAATGGTGGGATTGCATGTTTGTTCCCCCGTGTGTGTGTGGGAGGGGGAGTTTGAACTTTAGGAAAATTGCTTGTTAGGGAAGGCTTGTCTTCTTCCCCTAATCATAGACTAAAGTGTGAGTTCTCTCCCTGTGAGTCTTGAGATAAACAAAAGCACCAGACTGGATGCATTCACCTCACCACACTGAATCTGTCGGGGTGGGGAGTGTCATGTCTAAAGTACTGGTCCCCTCCTGCCAATAGGTGGGCAGAAGAGAAGGTTCAATGGTGTAAAATGTGCTGCTAGGGAATCTCAGAAGCATCACTCAGCCCAGTCTGATACCTGAATCACAACTGGTTTATTTTATTTATTCCTTCCCCTCTTCCCAAAAGAGTCCAGGGTGGCTCCAGGGGTAGCAGCATCAGGGAGGTACCATGCAAGCTATCTCTGGAGGGGGGATCAGTTGCATAGTGTGGGGGGAGGGGTGGGAGGACATGGCCCAGGGTGCATTTGTCTGAGACGGCGTGACTAGGTGCCCCCACAACAGGCTCCCTCATCAGAGTCTGGCTCCAGCGCATGGGTGTAGCCAAGATTTTTGTTGGGAGGGCAGGTCTTTTGTTATAGGGTGCAGAACCTCAGTTTGCTATGTCTTTTTATTGATTTTTATTGATTTGGAGGGGCAGCTGCCCCCCCTGGCTACACCCATGCGACAGCGAATGGAGGAGTTGCAGAAACAGCTTCCTCACACAATGGCCCAACAAGTCAAGGGGTCAAGCCAGACCTAGGGGAGAGAGGCTGAGGCATGTGAGGCACCTGGCGGCTCGGAAGCTCCAGCAGAGAGAGGAGAGTGGGCAGCAACACTGCTGCCCATGCTCCTGGACTGTGGTGTGCAAGTGCACCCCCTGCACTGCATTGTGAGCCAAGCCAAAGGGGTCTCCCTCGTTCCACCCCACCCCCCTCAGGGGTGCCCATGCACTTGTCCCACAAAGCATTTGCATTCACTCCACCACTGGTTGGGATGGTGAGAGGCAACATGCTGTGAGTTGGTCTACTGTGCAGTTGCAAGGAGGACAGCTGTTTATTGCCCTGGCAGCAGACTGAGAAACTGTATTTAGAGGAGAAAATAGGTAAGATAATATGCAGTGATAATATGCAGGGGAAATGATTATTAGTGGACCCCACGAAAGGGAGGATAGAAGTCAGAGAATTTGGAGAAGTCTATGTTTTTGGATTGTATTTTTCTTTTTGTGTGAATGAAAAACTAAATTGTAAAACCAAAAAAAATTATTATGTATATAAAAAAGAGAAACTGCATTTACAGGTTACAGAAGTGGCATACACCTCTGGGAAAAGGAACAACTGTGTGGGGTCGGGAAAAGTTGGGAAGCACATTTGCACCAGACGCACCAATTTGATCATTAGGCAAACAAAGCCAAGTTACCTTTTCATATCATAACCTTTTCCTTCCTCTTCTTCCTCTTCTGCATCTTCCTCCTCTTCCTCCTCCCCTTTCACATTTGAGAAAAAGTCCCTCAATTTTATGATCAAGATGACCGAGCCAATCAGGACAGGCAGGAAAAGGAAAAAGCTAATCAGGAGCCAGTTTCTTGTAGCTGTACCAACGTTGAGAGTTTCATCTACAGTTGCAGCTAGCAAGGAAAATAAAAAATAAAATAAGAATGTTATACACTCCTGCCAGAGCAGGAGTCAGAGACTTGGATCTGTCTTTCCTGCAAAAGTTGCAGGGGCAGGGGCCAAAGAACTGCGTTCAACTGATGTTAAGTTTTGGACAGACCAACAAACTTAAAATTAAGAACTCACCAGGCCTAGACAGCATCCATCTTAAGAAAGAAAAATGTGAAGTCCTGACAATCAGCTGGGATTGGCTGCACTAAAGCAGCCAAGGGGGCTGACAGAAGCACTTTTTCTGCAGATGATTGTTGATGGCCCCTTTCCTGCCTCTCTCCACCTGGCCCAGGGCGGGGCCTGACTGGCCTCATAAGGACTGCTGCTGCGGCTGCTGCCCAGCAAGGACTGGGGTATTTTGGGAAAAGTTTTGCTGTTGTTACTGATATTAACTGATATTACTGATATTAACTTTTTGTATCTTTATTTTTATGTGGAAATTGTTCAGTTTGATTATGAAGCTTTTAATGTTTTATTTATTTTTATAACTACTTTGCTACATTTGCTACATTTGTAACTATGTAAATCTTTCATATAGTAAGCCGTCTTGAGAAGTGGCTTAGTCATGCTGGCCACATGACCTGGAAGCTGTACGCCGGCTCCCTCGGCCAATAAAGCGAGATGAGCGCCGCAACCCCAGAGTCGGTCATGACTCTGGACCTAATGGTCAGGGGTCCCTTTACCTTTACCTTTATGTGCCAAACAATCCTCCACATGATATATTGTTTAAAACTCATTCTGCTTATGGACAAATATGAACTAAAATTAATAAAGTTATTTTTAAAAACAAACCAAGAAACCAACTCACCACTTCGAAATGTGCTGTCAATGCTTCCACCCAAGCCTCCTCTATCTTCCATCATGCAGTCAGGGGGGGCCCATCCCATATTGCAGTGGCAATTTCCTTTATTGTTGCATACCTGGATTGCATGGGAAGGGGAGGAAGGAAGCCACAATAATTTATTTACCAGAGTCAAGACTTCCCAAGATATCCCTTTCAATGTTTTGGATTACTGCTTCCAACAGCTGAAGTCAACATGGCCATGCAGAATGGAGCTCAATGGAGTTGGAATCAAAACAAAACAAAATAAAACAAAACAAAGATACTTATTCCAGAGCCATAGCGGGGGGGGGGGGGGGGGTAGCCAGGGTTTTTTTTGCTTTGTGTGAAGCCTCCAGTGGGGCACTATTGAGACTGTGTGTGTACACAAATGTGTGTGGGTGATTTGAGCCAAACTGGGTCTTTGACCCGGGTGAAATAAAGCCTAGTTTTGCCCCTGCTTATTCAAAGATATAGAAAAATACAAACCCATTACAAAGTATCTTTTTATAATATGCTAAAATATGCTAAAATAAACAGCTACTAAAAAAATATGCTAAAATAAACAGCTATCTAAAAAAGAACAAAGGAGAAAACAAAAAGAAAAGTAAAACCTAAAGAAAGAGAAAGAGAAATAAAAGATTAAGGAAAAATTTAAAAAGATAAAAGGACTTCCAGCTCTCTGTCCTGCTGCTATATATAGTATTTACTCATTAAGATCAAACTATTCTATTTTCTGTCTTGTGTAAACTAGTATTTACATAAGAAATTTCCAATGTTTTCGCTAATTAAACATGTTAACTTTCCCATCTGAACCAAGTCATTCTGCATCTTTCCATCTTTGTGCATATAGCAATCTCCAATAATCCCATTGGAGTAATCTTCCATAATCCTTTTCCAGTTGTGTAACTATTTAACCTTAAAAAAAGAATTCTGACTTCAGATGAACATTAACCTTTAAAATCTGCTGTATCAATGGATGTATTTGTATGCAATATTTTTTAGCCTTTTTACATGCATGAAAAAAAAGTCCCTTCATGTTCTTGGCATTTCCAGCAAACATTTAAAACATCTTTATACATTCTGAATAGTTTCTTAGTAGTTAAATATCAATGATACATCATTTTATGGAAATTCTCTTTACGATCGTAACACAATGTAAATTTTAAACCCTTAGTCCACATATGTTCCCATTGTTCCATCTGTATATTCTAACAAAAATTTCTTCCCCATTAAATCATGCATTTTTAAAATTAATTTTATTGATACCATTCACATACCATTCACATTAACACAACATACAGAAAAAGAAAATAAATTTCCATCACCGCCAAAGCAAAAAGAAGAGAATTAATACATCAACTAATAACCTTCAAAACATAAAATAAAAGTGGTCTTTTTCTATTGACCAGACTTCCCGTCTATTCCTTATTACAGATTCTGTATTATTTGTTCAAATTTAATATCCTTTGATCTATTCATAGGTTTTACCACATTCTTAATACTGCTACTGAAATTATTCAAATGCAGCAAATGACCTTAGACTAACTAGACTAATATATTTTAAAAACTTCCCATTTTGAGATAAATACCTGTTTTGGTTTATTTTTTATTTTTTCTGACATGCTATCTAATTTTGAGTATTCAGCCAATTTGTGACCATTATAATATTGACGGGACTTTATCACTTTTCCAATTTGCCGCAATGAGAACTCTTGTGCTACCGTAGCATATAAGAAGATCTCTTTGGCCTTTTTAGGAATATCTGAATCTGTGATTCCCAAAAGCAAAGCTTCTGGTTTCCTATTGAAAGATATCTTTAACATTTTTTTCCAGTTCTATGTGGATGTCCTCCCAAAATACCTTGAGTTCTTTACCTGGCTTTTCTTTTCACCTCCAGCAGTTATTTGGGGCATTTTTGAACATCTTGGACAATTTCCAAGGGGTTAAATACCACTGATGCTGCATTTTAAGAAAATTCTCTCTCAGAGTGTAACAGGCTGTAAAATTCCAGTTTGTTTTCCACAGGTTTTCCCACTGCTTCATTGTTATTGAGTACCCAAAATCCTGCGACCACTTAATCATAGCCGCTGTAACCTCCTCCTCCTTGACTTCCCAGTCAAGGAGGCGTCAGTATACTTTAGAAAGTGTTTTAATTCTGGAGTTCACCAAATCCGATTCAAATCTAGAGGTCCCAGTGGAAAAACCCTTTTGTTTGTCAATTTTGAATGTCTCAAATAATTGGTGATATTGAAACCAATCAAAAAGGCACTCTCTTATTTCCCTGAAGCTTTTTAATTTCAGTTGGTTATTATCCTCCTTTAGGTGTACTTTATATTTATATACTTTATATACCCAGGGTCCCTGGGTATTTTTTCTCTTGACCACCTTCGCCTCTATTGGCGAGATCCACCAGGGAACCTTGGGTTCGAGCAGGTTTTTATACTTCTCCCAAACCGTCACTAAGGATTTTCTAATAATATGGTTTGAAAAATTCCTATGAACTTTTGCTTTCCCATCCGCTAAGTATGTGTGCCGTCCCCATCGGTTATCATAACCCTCCAAATCTAAGAGGTCTGGGTACTGCAGCGAACACCATTCCTTTAACCAGATAAGGCAGGCCGCTTCATTGTACAATTTCAGGTCAGGTAGGGAGAAGCCTCCTCTGTCTTTTATGTCAATTAAAAATAAATGTTTAATTCTAGGTCTTTTCCCTAACCATAAAAATTTGGAAATTTCTTTTTGCCAATTTTTGAGGCAGCCCGCTCCACCCAGTATAGGGATCATTTGAAATAGAAATATTAATTTTGGGAGCACATTCATCTTTATAATGGAGATCCTGCCCAGAAATGACAATTTCAACCTGCTCCATATCTCAAGATTTCTTTTAATCTCGAGCCAAATTTTCATATAGTTATCCTGAAACAGATTTATATTTTTAGAGGTAATCCAAATACCTACATATTTTACTTTATTGCATATCTTTAGGCCCAATGTTTTTTTCTAACTTCTCCTTTTCCAAATTTGATACATTTTTCACCAGGATTTTGTTTTAATGGTATTCACTTTGAAGCCTGCCACTTCTCCAAAGTCTCTAATCAGTTCCAGCACTCTCGACAGGATTTTCTGTCATAATGAGTATGTCATTGGCAAAGGCCTTGAGTTTATATGCCTTATTCCTCAAGGTGATTCCTTTAACAAGCTGGTCTTTCCGTATCTGGATATTCAGAACCTCCATCACCAGGATGAATATCAGGGGTGACAATGGATACCCTTGCCGAGTTCCTTTGTTTATCTTACATTCATCTGTGATTTTGCAGTTGATGATTAATTTAGCCGATTGTTCCAATTAGATGGCATTTATTCCTTTACAGAGATTTTCACCAAGTCCAATTTCTTGTATTAAGTTTTTCATAAACTTCCAGGAAATGTGGTCAAAAGCCTTTTCAGCATCAACCAACATTTAAAGCTGCAGTTTATCAATTTTACAATCTAGGTATTCTAAAACATTAATTACATATCTAAGGTTGGATTGCATATGACGTCCTAGAAGAAATCCAGTTTGATCTTTATGAATTAAGTCATTTAGGACTGCTTTAGTCTGTTTGCTATGATGTCAATAAATGTCTTATACTCATTATTTAACAAGGCGATGGGTCTATAGTTTGCAATAATTGAGGGATCTGTTCCTTGTTTATGAATGAGGGTGATGAAACTTTTATTCCATGAATTTGGTAACTTTCAGTTTTGTAAAATCGTTCATTGTATCTTTCACAGGTAAGAATAATGATTCCTCTAGTTTTTTATAATAAGTTGCCAGAAGCCGATCAGGGCCCGGTGTCTTCCCTATTTTGGATCTTTGGATTACTTGCTGCACCCCTAGAACGGTTATAGTCGAGTTCAGCGAAGCAATTTTTCTCTTTGTATCAAATTATTCACCTGGGTTGATACCTCTGCTGTGATTTTAACATTTTCATCAATTTTAACCCTCACTGAAACTAGTTTCTCTTCTGTCATGCATTTTTTAAACCTTTTCCTCTTCAGTTTCAAATTTCAACAACATAGAATCATAGAATAGAATCATAGAATCATAGAATCATAGAGTTGGAAGAGACCACAAGGGCCATCGAGTCCAACCCCCTGCCAAGCAGGAAACACCATCAGAGCATTTCTGACATATGGTTGTCAAGCCTCTGCTTAAAGACCTCCAAAGAAGGAGACTCCACCACACTCCTTGGCAGCAAATCCCACTGTCGAACAGCTCTTACTGTCAGGAAGTTCTTCCTAATGTTTAGGTGGAATCTTCTTTCTTGTATTTTGGATCCATTGCTCCATGTCCGCTTCTCTGGAGCAGCAGAAAACAACCTTTCTCCCTCCTCTATGTGACATCCTTTTATATATTTGAACATGGCTACCATATCACCCCTTAACCTCCTCTTCTCCAGGCTAAACATGCCCAGCTCCCTTAGCCGTTCCTCATAAGGCATCGTTTCCAGGCCTTTGACCATTTTGGTTGCCCTCCTCTGGACACGTTCCAGTTTGTCAGTGTCCTTCTTGAACTGTGGTGCCCAGAACTGGACACAGTACTCCAGTTTATACATTTTTGCAATAACATGTTCATCATCAGCACACAGGTCAGTTTCAAAGTCTGTCTTTTCTTTCTCTATACCATTTTTTAAAATCCATCTTAAACCTCTCTACTGATGGCATATAAGGGAACGAATGAAGATTGTAACCTTCCATTATTAATTGTTCCTTTGATTTTGTAATCTCATTGATGTCAACCACTCCTTCATCCACATTAAACGAAACAATTTGAGATTTGGTACACTTAATCCTCCCCTTTCCTTTACATCTTATAACCCATGGTTTTTTCCTTTGCCATAAAAACCTGGGTATATTTTTTCCATTGTTTTTCCATTGTTATTAACTATAACAGGTATTGTTTGGAACAAGAGATAAAAGGTAAAACAAGAGGTAAAAGATTTTAAAAAGTTTGGAACAGGAACATCATTCCAGACAATATATTCATCTTTATTACAGAAATTCAACCCAGCAAGAACAGTTTTAATTTCCCCCATCTTTTAAACTCCCAAGCCTGGGAAGAAAATCCTTCAAGAATCTTATCTATCTCTCTGAGGGAAAAAGCTTTATGCAAAGCACAAGTGGTTAATCTATTGACTCTGCTCCTTGTCCGAAGTGAGTCCACCCCCCCCAAAAAATGCCCTGGACAATTTTAAATATGTTAAAATTATTAATATGTGGAATTAATTCATATTTGAGAGATTCTGATATTTCTTGAGACACCTCAAGTGTTTTCAAGTGTTAGCAAGACCCAAAGAATTTAGGATGCAACTTGGAGAAGTTTGAATGAGTATTGGGGACTAGCATCCACTCAGAGTTATCCCCATCAGTTCAAATAGTGACATACTTTAAAGCCATACTTGACTAAAACAATAATTTGAATCTGTTTTGCCATTATGAAGGTTTGCAGAAGATATATGATATATAAGCACATAACAACTTGGTACTTATGATCCATGAGCAATTCCTTTAATTTTTGCCAGGGTTTATACAACCTGCTACTTCCGGTTTGGCGCCTCCAGGCAATGGCAGAGTTCCTCCGATCAGGAGGAATTTGCTCCGTGGAAATTAGGGTCTGACCGCCATGGCGAAGGCGGAGACCCACTGAAATCACAGGCGGGAGAAACCTGTGAACTTGGGATTCGGCTGGCACCCTTTGTGCCTCCCCTACTTGCGGGGAAACCCTGATTTGGGGATCCAGAGCGAAGTGGGGTGAGCGGCGCGGTGCTTCGAATTGACTGCTTCTTTCACGGAGTGAAGCCGCATCGCTGTTGCCGGAGAGCGCTGACTTTTTCCTGTGGACAATTGGATTTTAAACAACTAGCCGTGAGTAGAACAGAAAATTAGATCCTTAAATTCATTAATTTGGCATCAAAACGGGAAGGTTTTAAACAGGAAGTCCGCCTTCCTTTTTTGTAAACAGATTGAAGCAAAGAAGTTGCAAGTTAAAGCCTTGGAAAGTTTATTTTTGTAAAGGATTAAATCTCCATCGGTTAAAACTATTAAACCCCCCTTGGAAGCAGGAGAAGAGGGGGGAAATTTTGGACCTAGTGAGCCTGCAGGAGAGAGTGAAAAACCAAATTACCACTGCTCCGAACCTGGAAACGGGCTGCCAGAAAGAGTGACGTTTTTTGACAGCTAACTAAATAAGAGAAATATATTGTTTCCATTGTCCTCATCTGCGTTTAAAAAGTAGGAAAAGTAATGAAAACTGAAACTAACTTTATAGTTTAAATTGTGTTTAAAAGGATTGATACAAGTGGAGACTGTTTCCCTCTAGAGGGAGCTTTTGAAACTGTTACAAGAGTGGAGCTGGGGGTTTTCCAGCTGCAAGATAAGAACTGTGTGAAATAGAGATTGACCTTGGATTTTAAGAATGTTGACAGAAGGAGCCTTAGTGACTGTATTATGTAAGATAAGCTATTCGTTGGAACAGCTCCACAAGAAGACGGATGCTATGAATACCAAACTTGAGAACTTGGGACAAAAAGTGATTAATTTGGAACAAAAAGTGACCATTAATACAGAAATTGTTCAGGATTTGACACAGGAACCTACTTTGACAGGACAAACTAGGGAGAAGACGAAGGAGAATGTTGGTGTTGTTGAACCTAAAATAATACAAGTGGAAGCCCCAGTCTTACAGAGGCAAATTGAGGACTATAAGTGGAGGCCTTTTATGAATGAATATAGAAAAAGTCAGAATTTGAAGATTGGAGCCCTGCTTGGATTGGAGAAGGAAGGTTGGATAGACTCTTTCATGCAGAGATTTACTGACCTTTGGGTCCTGAATCTGGGTCAGGAGGTGATTGGAGTTGTGGGGGCCTTTGGATCTGGAGGAGCCTTGAAACATGATTTGAGATATTGTATGGACATTGGTTTTAGCTGTGGAGAGTTGGTTGGTCTGTCGAGAGGGAATGGGGGCATGGTTGGGTCGGGGCCCCCCCAAGACCTGCGCTTCAGCATCTTCAGCATCAAAGAATATGAAAAAAAACTGCAGAAGGGACTTGGAAAAGATTTAAGAGCCTCGGACAGAAGATCTCCAGGTTGATGAACTATATGGAATGGACGGAAATGACTGGCAGAATCCGAGACCAGGGAGAAGAGATGGTGGTAGAAGATTGGGAAAGTTTAAAGTTTATATATAGAAATATTGTAAATTTAATGAGTGTTAGAAAATTGTTGGAATGAAACTTTATGGCTTTAGCAGAAATGTTATAAGGAGTTAGGCATAAATAAGTATTTCAGTATTAATGGAAAATAAGGTAAAAAATATGTTAAGATATTCATAATGATAAAAATAGAGAAAGATGGAAAGGAATTGCTGAAACAAGTAATAGAAGTGGAATACAAAAAGGGAGGTGAGAGGAGGTCGATGAAATAAGGGAATGAAAGACAGAGTAATGAAATGGTATGGTATATGTTTTTAAATTGTTGTTTTGCTTTGTTTAGTTTAGTGTGTTAAGGTTGTGTTTTGTATTGTTTATTGTATTGTTTTTTCTTTTCTCTCCTTTTTCTTCTTCTCTGCTCTATTTTGTCTTTCTCTCTAGCCTCTTTTCTTCTTTTTTCTTTTCTTGTAAGTTTAAAAAGCAATAAAGATTATTTTAATATATATATATATATATATATATATACAACCTGCCACTCTGAGGGCTTTTGCAACCATAATTTCACCTTAGGAAGGGACTGTAGCACAATGGGAAATTCCAAGCTTTGTTCAATGCTCTGGCATCTAACAGCTAGGCTAGACTTCTGCCTGAAACACTAGAGAGCCATTATGTAGGCAGTTCAATGGTCTACCTTGTCAATAAACAACTTCCTATGTTTGACCAAAAAATATTGAAAAAAGGGAAATATATCTGGCTGTATATGCCATGCAGTTATCTCTCATCAGCCAGCCACTGATGAGAGGCAATCGATCTGCCATGACTACCCATCCCCCAGTAGTCTTCATCATCCAACATCTTGAAGACACTAGCATGGGGAAGGCTGCCATCTTCAGTTCTTTTCCCATCTCACACATAGTAATCTCCCAGATCTGGTTGTTATATGCCCCCTCCCTCAAGCAGGGCTCCACCAACTTGACTAGCAGGTGGCAATTCAACAAGTCCTGCTTTTATACCTCCATTGCAGCTGTGACAGGAGCCCTCCCAAAACTGTGGCTCACTATCCTAACACCAGGCAAGCCACTATCAGTGACCTCTCAGGAAGACAGACAGTTACTTTTTTCCAACAAAGGGTAAATGCATTTGAGATGAGTGCTTCCAAAGAATGTTTGATGAAGCCCAACTTTCATCCTGACTACTCCACTCACTCCATATATTTCTGCCATTACAGGATTGTTCTGGAAATGCCAGGATGCTTTTCTGTGCTTCGTCTGCAGTTGCTGTTTCTGTTCAATCAGGGATGGGGAACTAGGTCCAGCCAGTGGGCCTGATCCTTATCTCCCCAACTTCAAGCAGGTCAAATCTGACAGGTGCTCTCTTGGCAACAATCAGCTGGTTGTTGGGGCTTTGCTTGCAAAGTGCCACACACGGAGTGAGGCAAGCCCTGACCAACAGTTAAATTCTGGCCCCGACAATTAGTTATACAAGCTGTATGGAGGCAGAGCAACACAACACCTTGTTGTAGCAACCATGGGGAACTGATTTCCCACAATCACTTCCTTCACTGAGCAACATCTTCACTGCACACTGGATACAAGCAAAGGTTCAGCCCAGTTAAACTGCAAACACCACCCATGGGACTATAAACAAATTAAGTTTGCTTCTGCTAGAACAGTGTTTTTCATTGCCTAATCTGTCTGGGTATTAAGGGAGTTGCAGTCCAGAAATACCTGTGAAGTGTAGGTGGGTTCCGACAAGGCAAGACACAGTGATAACAGCAAGAACCTTTGCCATTCACCTTGCCCAAGAATGGAAGTGTTATGTACTGAGTTGAATAGGATCCAAACTGCAGCAGTCTGATTGGTCCTAGAACAATAGGATTCAGAATGCAGCAGTCTGATTGGTCCTAGAACAATGCAGCAGTATGATTGGTCGGCAGGAGCCACCCAATCCAGCTCCAGATAGAAGTGAATCCACAACCTGATTGGCCTACAGGAGAGGACCGGAATTAGCCAATCACGTGCAGCCCATTGTGTAAATAATGTATATAAAGCAGATACCACTATGAGCTGAATAAAGAGCATGAAATCACTTTGCGACTCTGAGTATATTTCACTGGCGATGAAGGTGGGATCCCGCTGAGCTGACTGCTACACACAGCACCGCAGCACCGCCACCTGCCGCACCGCTGCCTCGCACCGTGTATCCAGACTTCAGCTCCGGGACACAAGGAACTCAGAATGGCAACCGACAGCAGCTTCTCGCCGTTCAACCCAGCATCTGGAGACTGGGAAGCGTACACCTCCCGTTTCACCTTCCTCCTAGAAGCCAAAGGGGTCACCGACGAAGAAGACGCCAAGAAGAGGGCGATATTCTTCAGCGTCTGCGGAGAGGAGACGTTTGAAATCGCCCGGGCTCTCCTTGCGCCTGAAGACGTCGCTACTGTTCCATACAAAACAATAATGGAACAGCTGAAGGGGCACTTTTCGCCGCAGCCCTCAGTGGTGGCTCGTCGAAATGCCTTCTACACAAAGCGGCAAGCCCCTGGGGAAACCATAACTGGGTTTGTGACCTCTCTCCGCCAAGCCGCCCGGTTCTGCAACTTCTCAGAGTTGGAGAACATGCTTCGTGACCGCCTCGTCGGTCGCCTGAAGGATGAGAAGCTGCAACGACGCCTCTACGCTAAGAAGGACCTAACGTTCCAGGTCGCCCTGGCAACGGAAGCTGCCGAGAGGTCGACGCAAGAGGCACGGCCGAGCCTGCCGTCCCAACCGAGGGTCCACCATGAAGACCCTACCGACGACTCAGGATCTGACAGGGAGGAGGTGCACCGAGTACAGCAGCACACTCAAGCAGCACACATACCACAGCTGCCTCGACGAGAAGGAGGGAACTGTGCAAGCTGCAGGGAAAGTCACGAGAGGAGGACCTGCCGTTTCCACAACGCAGAGTGCAGGCAGTGCAGAAAATCGGGACACATCGCCCAGGTGTGTCAGGCTCGGCCCACCCGACACCAGACATCAGATGACCAATCCAAGAGCCCCAGGTCCCGGGGCCCAACGCACCAAGGCAACTCAACGGAGCTCACGGACTTCCAGGTATACCAGTTGCCCCACCCCAACATAGAGAAAATTTATGTAGAGGTACAGATAGAGGGGGCCCCGTGCCGCATGGAGCTTGACACGGGTTCAACTCTATCCATAATCTCGGCAAGGACCTTAAGGAAACTGTGTCCTACTGGGGGTCCCAAACCGGCCGGCCCCATTCACCCTCTGGGACTTCCAGAAACGTAAGGTCCCCACAATGGGGGTGGGGACCTTCAGGGTGCAATATCGAGGGCGGATGCAGCAACTGGACTTGCTTGTGGTCAAGGGCCCCTACATTAGCTTACTGGGATTGGCATGGTTTGGACCACTGGGGCTAGCCGTCACCGGGGTGAACCACACTAGCTTACAAGTGGACGTGGACGCCATATGCAAGGAATTCCTGGGGGTTTTCGATGGGAAATTGGGACAGTATACGGGCCCCCCCATTGCTCTACAGCTTGACCCTGCAGTACGACCTGTCAGGCTCAAGGCCCGCCGGGTCCCGTTCGCCCTGAAACCCCGCATAGACGAGGAATTGGACCAGCTCATGGAGCAAGGAGTGCTGGAGCAGGTGCCTAATGCCCCCTGGGAAACCCCAATCGTCACACCCGTCAAGCCTAATGGTTCAGTCCGCATCTACACAGACTACAAATGTACCATAAACAAGGCCCTCACGGCCAACGCATACCCAGTGCCAGTGGTCAGCCATGTCCTTGCCACCCTGGCTGGGTCAAAAAATTTTGGCAAGCTGGACTTGGCCCAAGCATATCAACAGCTGCCAGTAGATGAGGCCACAGCAGAGGCACAGACAATTGTGACGCACAGAGGAGCATTCAGGGTAAAGCGGCTGCAATTCGGTGTCAGTGTGGCACCAGGCATATTCCAGAATCTAATGGACTCTCTCCTTAAAGGGATTCCTGGCGTCACCCCCTTCTTCAATGATGTGTTGATTGCGGGGCCCACACCAGAGGAGTTTGAGGACCGCCTCCGCACCGTTCTGCACCGTTTCCAGACGGCGGGTCTCAAGGTGAAGCGGGAAAAATGTCTACTAGGAGTGCCTCAGGTAGACTTTCTGGGATTTATGATGGACGCAGAAGGGGTCCGCCTGACTGGGGACAAGGTATGGGCCATTTGTGATGCCCCAGCACCCAAGAGCAAGACTGAACTTCAGGCCTTCTTGGGACTATTGAACTTTTACCATTCCTTCCTTCCCCACAAGGCGGCGGTAGCAGAGCCCCTACACAGACTCCTGGACAAGCGGGCCCCTTGGGTGTGGGGCCAGCGCCAGGAGGCCGCATTCCAGGCAGTCAAGAACTTGCTTGTCTCAAACTCGGTCTTGGCACACTTCAACGAGAGGCTGCCGGTGGTGCTAGCATGCGACGCCTTGCCCTATGGCATCAGCGCTGTCCTGGGACACCAACTCCCGGATGGAAGAGAGGTACCGGTGGCATACTTTTCCTTGCTTCTAAGCTTTTCTCTGCTTCTGCACATGCTGCACAACCCGTTCTAAATACCAAGACATTCCCTCATCTCCCTAGGATGTTCAGTTCATATTAAGTTCATGAAAACATTATACTCTGACCTGTTCTTAATGCATAGTTGACCACATCTACGGGACGCGATTATTATATTCTTTCATGTTATGATCAATCATTAGTAATTGTTTTAGTCTTGCTATATCAATCACTAGTTATAATTTAATTAGGAGGTTTCATACCTGTCTAGTTCTGTGCTCCCTTTCCCAGCCTTTAATCTATTGGTGATTAATGCCTATATGTAACCTGTGCTTTGTACTTGTGTTAACCAATCAGCAACAAGTTGCTTTGTATTTATGTCAACCAATCAGCAACGAGCGCACCTGTGGCAATGTTGTAATATTCAATAAAAGAGTCTCCTCGGGACTTGCTCGAGAGATGCCTCTCACATGACACTTGCTACTCATCTGTCGTTATTTCAACCCAACATCTGGTGACCTCGACGTGCCAGATCCCTTTACGCAGCCTCATACTTCACTGGACTGGAAAAGTCTCACTATTTCGTGAGTATGGGGGGGGGGATTGACTAAATTCCAAAAGGAGCATGCCAAAGAATTCCTCCATCTCGTTAGACAGCGGGTGGCGGGTGCTCATATTTCTTTAAAAGAAATTGAAACATTGTTATGTGAGATTGCTTGCCAGTGCCCCTGGTACCCTGAAACAGGTTCTTTGGGGATAGAAACTTGGCAGAAGATCAGAAAAACCCTCTTTGCAGAACCGAGGGCTCTGATTCATTGTCTGCTCACTTGGCAGAAATGTGCAGATGCCGTTGCTAAATTAGGACCTCAGGCATCTCCTTCGGCCCCTGCCCTTTTAGCCATTGCAGACAATCCCCCACCTTACCCAAAGCTTTTGCCTCCTTCGCAACCCTGCCAACCCCTCCCTACGCCTCAACCGTCTCAGCCCACATCCTCCCCCCCATCCCTCCTTCGCCTGCCACAGCCCCTGCGTGCTCTACAGGAGCTGTGCGCGCTGCGCTCTCTCTGGCTAGGCAAAAAGGGCTCCTGTCCTTAGAGGAAGAGTCTGAATGGGCTGGTGAAATGCCATCTGCTTTCCCTATCACCTATACAAACCCAGGAACTGCTCAACAGCAGGTATTGTACGAGACGCTTCCTTATTCTGTAATGAGAGAATTAAGGAAGTCAACGCAACTGAGCGGAACTACTCACAAATCGACAAGGAGGGTCTGGCAATCGTGAAGGGAGTAAAAAAAATTCCATGATTTCTTGTACGGGCGGCCCTTTACCGTGGTGACTGACCACAAGCCATTGCTTGGCTTGTTTGCCCCCGAAAAGCAGACCCCCCGAGTACTGTCTCCTCACGTCCTCAGGTGGTCAATTTTCCTTGCCAGCTACCAGTATGCACTGATTCACCGCCCTGGGAAGGCGATGGGCCATGCGGACGCCCTCAGCAGGCTACCACTACTGGAAACAGGCCGTGACCCAGCACCTGCACAAGAGGTTATGAGCCTGGAGCTGTTTCCCGACCGCCCTATTCAGGCACAAGAGGTTGCACACAATTCCAAGAAAGATAGAGTCATCTCCCGAGTCCTGGACTGGGTGTGGACGGGATGGCCCAGCAGCAGCCCCGGGCCAGAATTCGCCAGCTACACAACCCGCAAACATGAACTGTCGGCCCACAAGGGGTGCCTGTTATGGGGAAGCAGGGTCGTTGTTCCCCAGCCCCTCCACAAAAGGGTCCTCACAGCCCTACACGAGACACATCCAGGGGTAGTGAGAATGAAGGCCCTTGCCAGGAGTTATGTGTGGTGGCCAGGGATCGACGGAGAGATAGAGGCCTGGGTCAAACACTGCCAGGCCTGCCAAGAATCCCGCCCAGATCCTCCAAGGGCCCCAGTCCAGTCCTGGGAGTCTGCCCGAGCACCATGGTCACGCCTGCATGTGGACTTCGCTGGCCCCTTTCAGGGGAAAACATTCTTCATAGTGGTGGACCCCTACACCAAATGGCTGGAAGTCGCACTGGTACCGTCCACTTCCACGTCCACAGCCATCTGGGTACTATGCAGGCTGTTTGCAACCCACGGGCTCCCTGATACTCTCATCTCAGACAACGGGACTGCATTTACGTCAGGAGAATTCCAAACCTTCACAGCGCAGAACGCCATCCACCACATCCGTTCGGCGCCATTCCACTCTGCCACCAATGGCCAAGCAGAACGCATGGTGCGGACCACCAAGGACACCCTTCGCCGCATGACGCAAGGGGATTGGGAGTACCGCCTTGCCACATTCCTCCTAGCACAGCACAGCATCCCCAGCCCAACAACTGGCCGGAGCCCCGCTGAACTACTAATGGGTCGGCGCCTTGCAATCAGATTGGACCACCTTCACCCCGATAGAGCTCAGGATGAGGTAGTGGTGGGGGAAGGCCAGAACCCCCGGACCTTCGTGGGCCAGGACCCAGTGTATGCAAAGAATTTTGGGGCAGGCCCAGCATGGGTACCCGCCACAGTCACCAGGGTCATTCGCCCCGTGTCGTACGAGGTGCTAACGGATGGGGGGCAATGCTGGCGCCGCCACTGCGACCAGATATGGCGACGATTCCCGGGAGAAAACCAGGAGGAGGACAGGTCAGAGGAGTCCCAAGGGAACAGTGGGGCAATGAGGCCCATAGAACAAGAGGGGCCAGCAAGAGAGGCAGAATCAGTAAATACAGAAAGGACACGCAAGGCCGAAAGGACACCGGAACCAGAACCACGATTGAGTGAGCTGGTTGTACCAGACCAAACGGCCCCATCACAGCCAGCATCCTTGGAACACGAGCCAGAACCTGAACCCCAGACCAGGGAACACTCCAGGCCGCAACGCACACGTAGGCCGCCGGTGTACCTCGAGGACTATGAATGCGACCTCCCAGGCAGAACTGGAACTTAGAGGGGAGGGGTGTTATGTACTGAGTTGAATCGGATCCAAAATGCAGCAGTCTGATTGGTCCTAGAACAATGCAGTAGTATGATTGGTCGGCAGGAACCACCCAATCCAGCTCCAGATAGAAGTGAATCCACAACCTGATTGGCCTACAGGAGAAGACCGGAATTAGCCAATCACGTGCAGCCCATTGTGTAAATAATGTATATAAAGCAGATACTTTGAGGGGACTTCCATTCCTCCTCACCACTATGAGCTGAATAAAGAGCATGAAATCACTTTGCGACTCTGAGTATATTTCAGGAAGATTAGAGACTGGGCAATAGTTGGCCATATTGGCTGCATCTAAAGATGGTTTTTTAAGAAGCAGTTTGATAACCGCCTCTTTCAGCGGGTCTGGGAAGGCTCCCTCACAGAGAGAAGCATTCACTACCCCGCAGAGCCCATCGCCCAGCCCTTCCCGGCTAGCTTTTATAAGCCAGGATGGGCAAGGATCAAGGAGATAGGTGGTTGGTTTCAGTCGTCCAAGCAGCCTGTCCACATCCTCAGAGGTAACAGATTGGAACTGACCCCACGCAACTTGACTAGACAGGACTCTAGCGCTCTCCCGTCCCAGTCCTGTTCCCACAGTAGAGTCTACCTCTTCCTGAATCTGAGCAAAAAACTTTGCAAAACCATTGCAGGCGATCATGTGGCCTGTACTGGGCCCCGATGGAGCAGGTGGTTCCGCTAAATTGTGAACCACCTGAAAGAGTCTCCTGCTGCTGTTTTCTGCAGATGCAATAGAGGCAGTGAAGAAGGTCTTCTTCGCCGTCACTATCACCACTTGTAGGCTTGACATTGAGCGCTAACCCGTGTCCGGTCAGATTCAGAATGAGTTATCCGCCACTGGTGCTCTAGCCATCTCAGCGATTGTTTCATTGCCCTTAGATCCGTGGAAAACCAAGGGGCTGTCCGGGCTCCATGCAATTGGAGAGGGTGCTTCGGAGCCAAACAGTCAATAGCCCTTGTTAACTCTACATTCCAACGGGCCATCAGCTGAAAGACCATCAACATGGGATAAAACATCCCCTACCACTCTCTGGAAACCATTTGGATCCATTAAGTGGTGGGGGCGGACCATCCCAATCGGTCCCACCTCCCTGCAGAGGGGAAGGGTCGCGGAGAAGTCCAGTTGCACCAGGAAGTGATCTGTCCATGGCACTTCTTTAGTTTCACTTTTAGGTCACCAGGTGAATGCTGGTCTGTAAGGAATGTAATGGAGCCCGGCACACTTCCCTGTCCCGATCTGAGCTTCAAGCTCTCTTCCTGGCTCTCAGCAGAGTATTGCAGCAGCAGAAAGGTGCCTTGTGTCGGTGATAAATCAAAGACTGTACGCAGGCTTCTTGCTAATCTAAAGAAGTCTTTAATGAGTAGAAAAACATCATAAATCAACCCAGAGATCGAGCAGACATCTTCTCCAGCTGAACAGCCAAAACGAAAGAAACTCAGGGCAAATGGCACCCACCGAGCCTTCATGTGAATCGGTACAACAGCCAGGTTGAGACTCAGTGCAACTGGTGGGCCCTTGTTGCACCCCAACACCCCATGAAACACAGCTGCGAACTCGTCACAGATGGCCTCGTAGCTGAACTGGCTGATGTGCTGCACCCTGGTGACATGGATGCCCAGTGCATCGAACCAATTGAGGCCAAGGAGGCTGGTTTTTTTCCCTTCTGGCAGATGCGACGGTACGTCTCTGCAGAAATAATTGAGAGCACTGACCTGAAGTCAACCTCCATTTTGCATGGGACCCCCTGGAGACTTGAGAAGTCACAGGTTGGCTGCTGCACACTCTGAATAGACATGGCAGCTGGCCTCATTGTGCAGGCACAGTTTGTGATGGTGTGGCATTCTTCCACACGTGAAATCCCACAACGACCCTCCCCAGTTCCTAACGTTGGTTGCCGGGTGTGTGCTGGAGGTATGTGCTGCTGCTTCATTTGGCAGGTGTGTGCAATATGGCCGACACTGGGCGTCGTGGAAACAGCATGATTGGCGTTCATGCAGGCCCCCACAACTGGTGCAAGGCACCCCTGTTGGCCAAAACGCTTGGATGAGTCAAGGAGCAGTCTCAGGACCTCCTCGTCTTCCTCACTGTCCACAATCTCCTCAGAATGCACAGCCTCAGCCTTCCATGCCATGGGTGGGCTGTGCGCTTGGAGAGTCTCTCTCGTTGTTTTGTCAGCTGTCTCTGCTGTCAGGGCCTCATCTAAGGCAACCTGGAAGGCGGCGCTGTAGCTTCAGACACAATACAGTCACAGAACACTGTCTCCAGGTCACTGAAGTTGCAGTGGCAGGCGGCCTGCTGCAAAGCTGCAACAAAGGCCACAGTGGATTCACCTGAGGCCTGGTCTCATTTGTAGAAGGCATACCGGCAGGCAATCTCTGATGGCTGGGAAGCGAAGTGCATCCTCAGCCTCAGCATTATTGCATCAAACGTTGTCTTGTTTAGTTTGGCTGGGGCCACCAGAGCCTGGGCAATCTCAAATGTAGCAGGCCCACACACTGAACAGCATAGCCCGCTTCAGTTCGGGGACAGTCACCTTATTGGCTATGAGGAAGAACTCAAGCCAGGTGGCATAGGAGTCCCATTTCCCTGTAACCGTGGTGTCAAATTCCTCAATGCAGCCATGGGTGGCAATGATAATTGCTCTGTGTGATCTGCCTTGTGGCTGCAGTTAGTGATTTCAGCTCAGCTGAGGCGAAAGTTCCCCAGCAGTGATTTCAGCTCGTGGAAGCTAGCCAGGGCTGTATACCTAGCCTAGCATCCCACCTCCATCGCCAGTGAAGTGTAGGTGGGTTGCCACGAGGCAAGACACAGTGATAACAGCAAGAACCTTTCTTGAACTACATAACTGGGAAACAGAAGCAAAGCAAGTGCTTATATACATTTCTGGAAACCTTGGCCACTCCCACTCCCAACGTGATTGGCTGTCTAAACTTCCAAGCTGCGAATCGCGACTCAGAATTCAAGGGGCAATGGCAGCGGCCCAAATCCTGAAATATCTGTGATTGGACATCATGTATCGAATCAGAACACAGGAGCTCAGACTCAAGCTAAGGCAAACACAGACCACTGAATACATAACAACCTAGGGACACAAGGTTCAAGAATACCGTACTATAGGTCATTAGACTCCCGGCTCCACCCCTTGACCTGTCCTAGGTTACACCACTGATTCTACCCAGATGTCAGAATTTTGAAAGCCAAAGGTCAGCAGGTGTGATGGGAAAATACTAGATCAATCTTTTTTAAAAAAAATGTTATAGGTATCTGCACACCAGCATTGGTATCAGGATTCTTATTCTATCTTTATATTATTTTATATGTTGCTATCCCTGTAACTTGTCTCATTCTGGCTGAGTAAAAAGATGCATAAATTGAATAAAAGGAGCTCCTCCTAAGCTGCTCCTTGAAAAACTGCCTTTCCCACGTAGCCCTGGAGAGGGGATGACTGCTAAACATATTTGCAAAGCAATATGCCAGACATCTGATACTATTAGGAAAATAATGTTGCTTTTACTCACTCCTTTCCTGTTGCACTTTTTCACTGGATCACAAGTTGTTTTTAATACAGACCTATCCACACATTTCTGGGTCATGCAAACCTAAAAAATAAAATTGGGACCACTTCAGGCAAAGACGCAGCCAGATGGAATAATAGCCATGAGAGACCTTTGCCCTTTGAGGCTGGACACACATGCATACCTAAGTAACTGACAGAGGAGACTGGAGGGGAGACAGATTGCATGCAAAGGGAAAGAGGGGGATTGTACACCTTTTCCATATACCCCTATCATCTCCATTTTAACAGGTAATATGCATTTATTATTTCTATTTGTATGCTGCTTTCCTACATAAATGTGCCCAAAGTGACTCAGAACAGAACAGCATAAATGCATATCAATACAGTGGTACCTCGGTTTACAAACTTAACCCATTCTGGAAGTCCATTCTTAAACCAAAGTGTTCTTAAACCAAGGCGTGCTTTCCCATACAAAGTAATGGAAAATGGATTAATCCGTTCCAGACTATGAAAAGCAACCTCTAAAACAGCAATTTAACATGAATTTTACTATCTAACAAGACCACTGATCCATAAAATGAAAGCAATAATCAATGTTCTGTACTATAAATAAGACAGTATTGTAGATGATAAAAATTAAAATAATTATTTTTTCCTTACCTGCACTGATGGTAGCCATAAAACGAAAAACAAGCCACAGTCACTAAAATGAAAAAGTCATGCAAACAAAAACGCAAAAAATAGCAAAAACAAAAGCATTACCTCAGAACACTGCAATCAGAAACAGAAGGCTTTAATTACGACAGGGGGGACGGGGACTCAGATGAGCAGTGCAAGGGGAGAAGTGGGAGGGAAAAGGCTTGAATTAAAATGGGGGGATGCAAACGAGCCGTGCAAGGGCAGAAGCGGGAGGGGAAAGGCTTAATTACTATGCGGGGGACTCAGATTTGCTGCGCAACAGGAAAAACGGAAGCTCGGGAGCACGTTCGGCTTCCGGGGCAAAGTTTACAAACCGGAACATCTATTTCTGGGTTTGCAGCATTCGGGTTCTGAGTTGTTCGTGAACCGGGCAGTTCATAAACGGAGGTATATAATTACAATAACAGGTCAAATCTGCACTATACAGTATGCTACCACTTTAAACAATTATGGCTTCCCCCAAAGAATTCTGGGAGCTGTAGTTTTGTTAAGGGTGCTGAGAGTTAAGAGATCCCTACTCCTCCCACTCCAGAGCTATAATTCCCAGAACAATGTAACAGTCAAGCCCTCTTTCCAGAAAACTCTGGGAATTGTAACCTCATGAGGGGTACGGGGTATATCATATAGTGACAGGTTGGGAAGTCTGTACAATGCATGATAAAAAAGTATGTTGTGTAAATAGAAAACTTGAAAATGTGTGTGTGTGTGTGTGTGTAGCTTTGATGACTTTAAAAGGGACTGAACAAATTCATGGACAGATCTAGCCAGCGGCAACATGGAGAGACAGCACGCCACTGAATATACCAGACCCTTGCAAATGCACATCCCATTGCCTTGCTGCACCACATCCCAGAGCAGTTGTTTGCTCCAGTTCACTTTTGCAGGATAGAGACCCCAACAATTTGTCCACACCAACAGAACTGCACTATCCTGACCAGAAATCAAACCTGTTGGGACTGCTTCAGAATCCATGCTTCAGACCCTTACCTTATTATCCCCACAGATGGAGCCATCACGAACCAAGAATGGGTCCTTCACTCCCGGCCCTTTCATGTAGTCCAAAGTGACACACAAGCGATTCTGCACCTTTGCATAAATTATCGCTGCATTTTCGATAGCATAAGGCTTTTTACCTGGATATTCACACACCAGCTTGCCACACTTGAGGTCCCTGCAAAAGAAGCATGGGTGTGTGGGAGGACACCTAGATGCCTAGAATAATGAATCTCCCATAACACAGCTATTGGAGAACCTACAGGTAAAGTGTTGGTTCATTGCCAGAATTCCTGAAAAAGGGAATTGCATGAGCATAGCTCAAACCAAGCCTTATTAGGAATGGTTGAAGGAGCTGTGTATGTTTAGCCTGGAACAGAGGAGACTGAGAGGAGATATGATAGCCATCTTCAAACATCTCAAGGGCTGTCACATGGAAGAGGGAACAAGCTTGTTTTCTCCTGCTCTGGAGGATAAGATTCAAGTTACAAGAGAGGAGTTTCCAACGAAACACCAGGGAAAACCTTCTTACAGTGAGAACTCACAGTGGAACTTTGGGAGTTCCTTTGGGAGGTTGTGAACTTGGAGGTTTTTAAGCAGAGGTTGGATGGCCATCTGTACAGATGCTTTAGCTGAGATTTTTGCACTGCAGGGGGCTGGACTAGATTAACCTTGGGACCCTTCCAACTCCACAATTCCATGACCCTACGATTCTATTAGAATTGACCTGGAAATATGCTGCCAATAAGCAGCACACAGGCCAGCAAAGCCATATGGTGATGCTTGGACTACAATTCCCATCAGCCCAAGCATCACAGGATTGGCTGGAAATGATAGGAGGTGCAATCCAAAACACATGGAGGACACCAGATTCGGAAAGGCTGTGTAACCATTTGGTATGCTGGTTGTTCTAGTCCAGGTGTGGGGAACATTTGGCTCTCCAGATGTTGCTGAACTACAGCACCAATCAGCTCCAGCCTACATGGTTAATGGCCAATGCTGCTGCATTGTACTGCAGCAGCACCTGGAAGGCCAAAGTTTTTTCACACCTGTTCTAATTTGCTCCTCATAAAACTGCTGAGGAGAAGGCTATTTTGGTCCTGGACTGGAACACACCAGATTGCCAGTTATGTCGAACAGAACTCAGGCACTATATAACAGTTATAACAGTAGTTTAACCAAATTTGTGACTTTTGCATGAAAGAGGGAGCCATATTTCTAGTAGTTTTACCACATCTCTTGTTTGCCTGGACTATGACCTCTGTATCATGCTGTCAAGTGATGCTGATTCAAATGAGTTTTAGCACACATCAGGTGCAGGTGTGTGACAGAATAAGTTGTACCCTGTATATCCACCCTGTAAAACTTCCTGCTGCACAAACACTGCTGCTTTGGGCAGTATTCCATAAATGCTTAGTGGTAGGAATGTGACCTTCTCATCACACAATTTCCATTTTTGTTCAAAACGTACTGCCACTGACAGTTCTCATATCCTTTGGCAGAGGAACCACAATGTCCCATCCTGTCCTTTTGACTGTTGATTTCCTCATAACACTGAGATGATCCACTTTTTGAATCTGCAATATAGATCAGAATTATTATTTATTGATATGAAGCATTTTCATCCTATTCTTTAGCAGCAGTGGCAGCAGCAACAACAAAAGGTTTCCAGAATGGCACAGAAATATCATTGATAAGATGGTTCCTGCTCTCAGGCTTACAATCTAAAAGACAAAAGGGATTGAGAGGGAAGTGGAGGGGAAGAAAGCTCAGGTACTAGTTCTTAGAACTTACGACATTCTTCTAATGATTATCGTATTTTTACGTGTATAAGACTAGGTTTTTCCCCTTAAAAAAAATGTCAAAAATTAGGGGGCATCTTATACTCTGGGCCATCTCCCCCCATTTTCTTAAATCTGAGTCCCCAAAAATATACATGGGGGCGTCTTATAGATGGAAAAATACGGTAGCTAGAATGGAATGATTCAGTGGGGAGGAACCAAACCTGTTGGGTCTTTCAGATAAGCAGACAGAGAGGCCCCACAATCCCATTGCCCTCTTTCCCGAGGCTGCAGATTGGGGACATAATGTTCTGTAATGGCCTGTCAGACACCTCAGAACACTCTTTGCTACCCCTGCCAGTCCCTGAAAAGGGATGCATGAGTAATGTACACAGCAGCTTCAAGGAGACTGCTGCATCTCTTGAAATCTGCCAGATTAAAAATCAAAATCTTCTAGTCTGAATACTGGGTGAGGTGTGGGGAATGAAGGACAGAGAAAGAAAGAGAGAAGGGCTGTTCAGAAGGGAGAGATGAGAGAAAGAACTGCTTTCAGTTACCTTTTCCAAATACTTTGCGGCACCACAAATCTGCACTTTGGCATGTTCCTTCCATGCAAATCCCTGTCTCCCCCTCACAATTCTGTCCATCCTGGACATAAAAATTCTCTGTGCACTCAGCAGAGGTACCATTGCAGTACTCCTTCAGATCACAGTATTCATCTTTAGTGCCTCTGCATAATGTGCCTTTTGCTTTCAACTGGCAGGAAGAAAAGAGAAAGGAAAGCTCTGAGTTGCATTTCAGGCCTCTGAGACATTGATCTCTGCAGGCATTTTGGCACATACTTAGACCTCAAGTATGTGGATGCTGCCTTCTCCTTGATAATGTGTGGTCAAGACTGGGGGGGGGGGGGGTCCTGCCATCACATCAGCATTGTTTCCAGCACTCTATGAAGTGGTGCAGGGGTGGGAAACAGGGTTGTTTTTGTTGTTTCTGCTAATAATTGTAATAGTAATAGTATTTATGTAATAGACATGTAATAGACAATAGTAATTGTCAGCTGCTCAGTGAAAGCACACAAAACGTTTCCTTGCAACTTAGAACAGTTCTCAAGAGCATAAGCACAGGTAAAGTAACACAGTAAAACAAAAGCATGCAATTTTGTAAAATCCACAAAACAATCCCTAGAAATAGCAGCAAGCAGTTCGAAAGCATGCAGTGCAAGTAGATAAATAGGTACCACTCCGGCGGGAAAGTAAATGGTGTTTCCGTGTGCTGCTCTGGTTTTGGTGTTCCATTGCACCAGAAGCAGCTTAGTCATGCTGGCCACATGACCCGGAAAAACTGTCTGTGGACAAACACCGGCTCCCTCAGCCAGTAAAGCGAGATGAGCGCCGCATCCCCAGAGTCGTTCGTGACTGGACTTAATTGTCAGGGGTCCTTTACCTTTATATTTGGCTAATGAAATAGTGTCACATCCCAGCTTCACATTCATGCAGAATCATAGAATCATAGAGTTGGAAGAGACCACAAGGGCCATCGAGTCCAACCCCCTGCCAAGCAGGAAACAAGGAGAAGGAAGTCCAGCCTGCTCCCTAATGATGGACTGTTTAAGCCTACTGTTCTTTCAAACATGTTTTGTTCACACCCTTAAAATACATAACACAGATTTGTATGAATAACAATACCCACTGAATAGACTGAAATTACATAAAACAAGAAATCTGATCCCTTCCATACATCAGTAGTATGACCATCTCGCTGTATTACAACTCCATCAAAGAAACAATCCACCTGGGTGATTCCACGTTCTAGCATTATGAAAGAGAAACTCTCTATCCACTGTCTCCATATATTCTGCATCTTAATCATGGATCCTATTCCTCAGCAAAGGCCCTCTGGAGGCTGCTTGTGGGCTTTATATATCTCATTGGTTTCCTTCAGATTTGTTGAGCTTGCCTCCATATTCAAAATTTGCTCTGCATCCCTCACCATCCTACAATCCTGCTTTGAGGAATAGCTTGAACACAAAAGGTCTCAGGTTCAATCCTCAGTATCTCCAGGTAGGGCTGAGACTGTCCCCTGTCTGAAACCCTGGAGAGTGCCTGCCGGTCACTGAAGACAAGATTGAGCTAAATGGGCCAATAATTACATAAACTTTGCTGTCTTTACAACCCCATTCATTCCAATGCAAAAGAAACAAAACACAAACAGTGGGGAGGAGGTGTAAACAGTTTTGTGAATCGAAAGCAACAGTAACAGTGAACATTGGACTGATTTCCATTCTGGACACGGGACAAACAAGTGAACATGGATGATTCTGTCAGAATTCTCTGGCATCTCTAAGAGGGCATGGGGCTTGAGGCTAGCTTACCCTACAATACCTCGACCAGCAACAATCACCATGGGCACAGGCTTTCCCTCTTCTCAACAGACAATTTGGCTCACAGCATGGATTGCTTTCACATTCCTGGAAGGGGGAAAATGGGATAGCAGGAGTCAGGAACCTATAGACACATTGCAGTCCACTTTGAGAGAAATGTTGGAAGGGCCAGGTGATCAACTCCAGTACTTGGAAGGGCCAGGTGATCAACTCCATTACTCTACCTCACCCCACTATGCAAACTCAACTCACACAAAGGAAGCATCCCAGCTGGTGGTGACCTGTGACAGGGCCTTATTGGTGGTGGCTCCCCATTTGTGTAACGTCCTCCCTAATGGGGTGTCAATCTCCTTCATCATCAGCTTTTAGGAAAATTTTTAAAATACTCCTGTTTCAATTTGGGCATTTGATGGCTGAAAGACCTGTCCCTGGCAACCCCAAAATTATCAGCAATTATCAGCAGGCATTTTAAGTAAGCTTTCTGTTTTATCCACTGTATGATTTCTGGCAATCTGATTAAGTGGTACAAAAACCGCTGAAATAAATATAAATAACACTGACAGTCCCCAGGCCTTCCTTCTGGCTTGCATAACATCTGAAAAGGGAGGAAGAAGAGAAAGATACACAGCACACAATACCTCCTGGACATGGGGGACTGTGCAAACCACACACACAGCCTTCCCTGGGGTGAGATTTCAAGATCCATCCAGGAAGGGAACATTCCTTTTGCCAATGGGTTCCACAAACACTAGTTGGCAGCAGCAGCTTCCAGAGGCTTCCAATCCCAGGAAAGGGACAGAGGAGGTAGCTTGAGCCCCACCAGAGTGTTTGGAGTTCCAAGGCAAAGTTCAGATAGACTTTATTATTATTATTCAGAAATCGCCTTTAACATACATGTCTTGAGGTGGTAACAGACATATAAAAACAGCTAAAATAGTTTTTTGAACAGTACAAAAAACAGTCATACATAGGTTTTAAAGTAATACAAACTGAACACCTGAGGCAGAGACCTTTTCAGGCAGCTGGAAAAGTGTGGAAGTTAGGAAGGCCAAGTTGTTTTGTGCAAACTGCCTCTCTCACCAGCATTCCCCTTGTGACCTAAAAGTGTACATGGTCTTTTGCTACCCTTTCTTAGCATCTGAGCTATGTTCTCCCTGGGTTGGGTTTATCTATCGACTGTGTTGCATTGCAATTGGGTGCTGAACTGCACAGCATCCTATGTCGTGGCTGTCAATGTGTCAGTGTGGGACCAGTTATTTTTTTCCTTCTCCCACTGAAGGGGAACTGTGTCTGCATGGGTGTAGTGGGGGGGGGGCTATGCCCATGTGGGTCTGGATGGGAAACAGCCTAGGAACTGTCTTGGTTTTCATGATGAAAGAAAGGCAGGGTATAAATAAACTGAGTGACAAGTTAACTGTATATAAAAACATTTATTTTTCATGTTTCATTTATTTATTACATTTGTTTTCTCAACCTTCCACCAAAGGATCCCAGCATGGCAAACATGTCAATGCTAAAACAATACTATTAGAACTTTAAAAAAAAAAACCTTTAAAACTCTTAAAAGCAATAAGCAATTCTCAAAACTAATGACTTCTAGGCCGCTAAGGACAGATATTTCAGCGATCAAATGTCTGGGTGAACAGGAGGAATGTTTTAAAATTTCTCCTAAAAGTTAATAACGAGGGAGATTGAGGCCCTCACTAAGAGTGCATTCCGCAAACAGGGGAACACCACTGAGAAGGCACAGATGTGGCTTATTTAAGTCACCATTAGCTCGCTCTCCTTTATTTGCTCTTCTTTCTGGCTTCTCTTTCTAACAAACCTTTGCTGTGCCACAGTCACACTGCTCCCCGTCTTCCACCACTTTGTTTCCACAGTAGGGGGCTCTGTACATGAGATCCATGCGTGGCTTGTTCAAGAGGCACTGCGATGCTCCGGACTCCAGAAAATTCCGGAAATCTTTTATACTGCAGCTGCTGAAGGACTTGATGCCGCTGGCCTGCCTGTGGGCAATAGGCAGTAGATAAAAGCTTCCATAGCACAGAAAACCATGCCAAAGGTTGTGGGAAGACAGACTAAAGACACCCAGATTTATGCGTTTTCTACCTCCAAGCTGATTTGCCCAATGAAGAACCCCTTGAGCTGGTCCAATACATTTTGGCACCTGAGGTGAACCACAAACTGGTGCTCCGCTCCCCGCCAGGGAAGAAAGTGAGAGTGAAGATTTGCATCAGGAATAAGTGTGAATAAATATCTACATCACAACCAGTTGCTCCTGGGGATCCTGCCACCTGAGGCAGTTGCCTCACCTTGCCTCAAGGGTGCCTTATCTATTAAAAAGTTTGTGGAGCAAAATGAACAGTGTCTTTTATTAGAATACCCAGCAGAAAGTGACTTTTAAAACAATGGATATAAGGTTGAAACCATGGGCGAAGCTATAGTCTCTATGTGTCAGTGTAAAACAGTTTCCTTTTTCCTGTGGAACTGTGTGTAAGGAGAATCAGCAAAAAGTGGATTAGACTCAACTGGGAGTTGAAATACTATTTTTCTTTTTGCTTTGTTTCTGGTAATACGTTGCCCTGTTTGGTGGAGGTAACTCCACTTCCCCCATTTCCCAGCGATTGGGGTGAAAATTGGATTAGGCGTAGAAGAACTGAAGATAATATTTTGTATATTTCCTGTTTGATAGATTGGATTACTTTTGCCATTTTTACATTTTCCTTATATTTACCAGTATTGTTCAACTGAATCTACCCCCCTTGTGGATTACAATTAACATCCAGGACTTTGGTCAGGAAAACAAAATTGTTTTGAGAACAGGCTTCCTTATCTACTGCAGGCAGACTGAGAAGTTAAAAAGAGCAGTCTGAGACAAAGGCTGACAGAGATGAGGGGGAAGGGGAAGGAGAGAAAGAATAGGGAAGCCACCTAGTAGTTAGAAGGAGCTATTACACAGACCTGACTATATTTTTGGAATACCTCCTGTATACCTAGCTATATCATCCATTAGACATAGGGAGGGGAGATAGGAGGTGAAGTATTGAGGTTGGAAGAAATGACACAGGACAATAATAATAAAGGAAATAAGAATAAAAAAATAAATATGGTAGCAAATAAACCACCGTCTGGAGCAGGAAGCTCAACAACTACACCAACTCTGGATCCATTTCAGTCCAGCTTTCGCCCTGGTTATGAGACCAAAACGGCTTGGGTCGCCCTAAGAGATGATCTCCACAGGCAGCTGGATTGAGGTGGGTCAGAACTGCTGATTCTTTTAGACCTGTCAGCAGCCTTCAACATTGTCGATCACGAACTTTTGGACCACCACCTTGCCGACGTGGGGATTCAGGGCACAGTCCGACAATGACTGTGCTCCTTTATCTCAGGTCGGGGACAGAGGGTGGCTCTAGGGAGGGAGTTGTTGCCGCAGCACTCCTTGGTGTGTGGAGTCCCGCAGGGCGCAATCCTTTTCCCAATGCTTTTCAATATCTTTATGTGCCCCCTTTGCCCAGATTGTCCAGAGCTTTGGGCTGGGTTGTCATCAATATGCTGATGACACCCAGCTTTATCTGTTGATGGACGGCGGCCCTGACTCGGCCCCGGACACACTGACCAGATGCTTGGAAGCTGTGGCTGGATGGCTGCGTGGGAACCGGTTGAAATTAAATCCTTCAAAGACAGAGCTCCTCTGGCTGGGTCGGGACGACATGGGGTTGAGGGACCAACTCCCATCTCTTGCAGGGGCTCAATCAGTGCCAGCGCCTTCTGTCAAGAGCTTGGGTGTAACCTTCGACACCTCCCTTTCCATGGAGGCGCAGGTTGCAGCCACAGCAAAGGTGGCATTTTTCCATCTCCGCCGTATTAAGCAGTTGGTCCTTTACCTTTCTCGCCCTGATCTGGCCACAGTGATCCATGCGACGGTAACCTCCAGGCTTGATTATTGTAACTCGCTCTATGCAGGGCTGTCCTTGAAACTGACCCAGAAACTCCAGCGGGTGCAGAATGCCGCGGCGAGGCTCCTTATGGGGTCATTGCCACGGGATCACATTCATCCAGTGCTTTACCAACTGCACTGGCTCCTGGTGGAGTACAGGGTCAGGTTTAAGGTGCTGGTTTTGACCTTTAAAGGCCTATGCGGCCTAGGACTTACGTACCTACGGGACCGCCTCTCCTGGTATGCCCTGCGGAGGACCTTAAGGTCCACAAATGACAACATTTTGGAGGTCCCAAGTTGCAAGGTGGTTAGATTGGTCTCAACTAGGGCCAGGGCCTTTTCAGTACTGGCCCCGACTCGGTGGAATGCTCTGTCACAAAAGACTAGGGCCCTACGGGACTTGACATCTTTCCGCAGGGCCTGCAAGACAGAGCTGTTCCGCCTGGCCTTTGGTTTGGACTCAGTCTGACACTTATGTTTCCCTCCCCTTATGGTTTTGATCTATGGGTTATTATTAAAATGAGGCTGCATTTTAAATTGTATTTTTAACCTCTATTTTAAATTGTATTTTCTCTATTATGTTTTTATTGTAATTTTACTGGTGTTAGCTGCCCTGAGCCTGGCTCTGGCCAGAGAGGGCGGGGTATAAATAAATCATTATTATTATTATTATTATTATTATTATTATTATTAACTCAAGGAAGAAGAGGATCTGCTCAGGATACAGATCGTAAGACTGAAATTGCAGATTTAATTTTAGATCTGAAGAAGGACATTAGGGAACAAACTAAGGCTCTTGAGACTAAAATGGATGGAAAGATGGAGGACATATCTGTACAGATAAAAGAACTGTCAACAAAAACAACAGTTTTGGAAAAATCAGTACAGGACTTAAACAAAAAAAACACAAGAGTCTTGAGGATACGTCTTAAAATATAAAGGGAAAAAGTACAGATGCAGAGACCCGGCAGAAGCAGATAAGTTTTGGAGAAGATATCAAAAAGAATGAGGAGGGAAGAGACCTCAACCAGGGGAAGAATTGAAGGAGTGGTTGGAGGCTGTAGTGGAGGAAATAAAGATGAAAATAATGTACAACAAGTTTTAATTTGTATTTAATTTTTTGATAAATTAAAAAATTAAAGGAAGATGGAGCTGAAAATTTTAATGTGGAATGTAAATGGACTAAAAGAAAAAAAAACAGAATATATGTTAAATAAAAAAAATTGGATATAATATGTTTGCAAGAGATGTGGCGAGAAAGAGTAATAGTTGTTCAGGGAAGACTGATAGTTGTTCAGGTGATGTCCCAAGGAGGAAAAATGGTGATTGTGGGAATCTATGCACCAAATGAGAGAAAATTAGAATTTTATAGAAGAGAAAATGAGTTTATGGACCAAAAAATGATTTTACTGGGAAACTTGAATGGGGTGGTCTCACCGGATCTGGACAGAATAAAAAAGAAAATTAATTCTAAGGAAGGGAGACTACCTGTTACTTTCTTCAAACCAACCAAGGTTGAGAATTTTAATTGACGGATGTTTGGAGATTCAAACATCCATTAGGGAGAGAGTATACACATTTCTTAAAACCCAATTAATCTGCAGGCCATATCGACTCGATTCAGACAGTAAATGACCTTCTGTTAAGAACAAATAATAAATAAATAAATAAATAAATAAATAATTTTTTTTATATCCCACCCTCCGCAGCTGAAGCAGGGCTCGGGGCGGCTAACAACAATAAAATAGTACAACATTCTAAAAACATTTCATTATAAAATTAATTCAAATCAAATTGATGGCAACCATTGGGCTAGAGTTCTGTGAAGATTGCCAAAGGAGGGAGTCAGGCTGTGCCCTGACCAAAGGCCTAGTGGAACAGCTCCGTCTTGCAGGCCCCACGGAAAGATGTCAAGTCCCACAGGGCCCTAGTCTCTTGTGACAGAGCGTTTCACCAGATCGGAGCCACAGCTGAAAAAGCCCTGGCTCTAGTTGAGGCCAGCCTAACCTCTCTGTGGCCTGGGACCTTCAAGATGCTTTTGTTTGAAGACCGTAAGTTCCTCTGTGGGACATACCAGGAGAGGCGGTCCCGTAGGTACGAGGGTCCTAGGCCGTATAGAGTTTTAAAGGTTAAAACCAGCACCTTAAACCTGATCCTGTACTCCACCGGGAGCTAGTGCAGCTGGTATAGCACTAGGTGAATGTGATCTCGCAGCGAGGACCCCATAAGGAGTCTTGCTGCAGCATTCTGCACCCGCTGGAGTTTCTGGGTCAGTCTCAAGGGCAGCCCCGTGTAGAGCGAGTTACAATAATCAAGTCTGGAGGTGACCGTCGCGTGGATCACAGTGGCTAGGTCAGGGCGAGAGAGGTAAGGAGCCAACTGCTTACCTTGGTGGAGATGAAAAAATGCCGCCTTTGTTATAGCTGCAATCTGCGCCTCCATGGAAAGGAAGGTGTCGAAGATTACACCCAAACTCTTAACGGACAGTGCTGGCACTAATTGCACCCCCGCAAGAGATGGGAGTTGCCCCCCACAATCCCATATCGTCCCCTCCCAGCCAAAGGACCTCTGTCTTCGAAGGATTTAACTTCAACCGGCTCCCACATAACCATCCAGCCACAGCTTCCAAACATCTGATCAGTGTGTCTAGGGCCGAGTCAGGATGGCCATCCATCAACAGATAGAGTTGGGTGTCATCAGCATACTGATGGCAACCCAGCCCAAGCTGGGCGAGGGGGCACATAAAATTGTTGAAAAGCATTGGGGAGAGTATCGCACCCTGAGGCACTCCACACACCAAGGAGTGGCGCGATGACAATTACCCCCCAAGCGCCATCCTTTGTCCCTGACCAGAGAGAAACAAGCGCAGCCATTGAAGGACTGTGCCCTGGATCCCCACATCGGCAAGGCGGTGGTCCAGGAGTTTGTGATCAACCATGTCGAAGGCTGCTGACAGGTCTAGAAGAATCAGCAGCCCCGACCCGCCTCGATCCAGCTGCCTGCGGAGATCATCTGTTAGGGCAACCAGCGCCGTCTCAGTCCCATGACCAGCGCGGAAGCCGGACTGGAATGGATCCAGAGCCGATGTTTCATCCAGAAACCCACCAAGCTGTTCAGCAACCGCTCTTTCAATCACCTTACTCAGGAATGGAAGATTTGAAACCGGGCGGTAATTTCATAGATCTAAGGGATCTAATGATGTTTTCTTTAAGAGTGGGCGCACCACTGCCTCCTTCAGTTCCCCTGGGAATGTCCTGGTGCCAAGGGACAAATTAATTATATCCCCTAGGGGGGCCCGCACCTCGTCTGGGCATGCTCTAATCAGCCAAGACGGGCACGGGTCAAGAGGACAGGTGGTGGGCTTTCCAGCTCGGAGGAGTCTGTCCACATCGGCTGGGGATATCCGGTCAAAATGGTCCATTACTGGACCCGAGGACAGTCGAGGGGCCTCCAGTTCCAGGCTGTTATCTCTGCTAGCACCCACCAATCACCCTGACAGATAAGGTTTTGTGGATGTTTATAATTTTTTTTTTTGAAATGATGAACTTTGGGTAATCCTTTCTTAGAGGTATAGAAGCTATTTATTCAGACCAACAGGCAAAGTTAATAGTAAATAATGTAGTAACAGAAATATGCAATATCATGAAAGGAACAAGGCAGAGTTGTTCCCTGTCCCCATTATTGTTTATTCTGGTACTGGAGACATTGGTGAGGAACATAAAAGCAGACAAAAATATTAAAGGTATTACAGTGAGGCGCAGATCATACAAACTTAAGGCGTTTGCGGATGACCTGGTAATAATGGTAGAAAACCCCTTGGGAAGTATACCAAGGGTACTGGATAAGATTAACCAATTTGGCCAAGTCACAGGTTTCAAATTTAATAAAAATAAAACTAAATTGCTGGTAAAAAATATGACGGAACAGAAGAAAACGAACTGAGAAAGCTAACAAGAGTTGGGGATGGAAATTAAGGTGAAATATTTAGGGGTGTGGTTGACAACAAAGAATATAAACATTTTTAAAGATAACTATATAAAAGTTTGGAATGACATCAAAAGAAATATGGAAATATGGGGAAGAAAGAAATTATCATCATGGGGAAGAATCTCAGTAATAAAAATGAATGTATTGCCAAGAATGTTATTTCTATTTCAATCTATACCGAAAGTCAATGGAACAGGACTCTTCAAACAATGGCAATATATCCAAATTTATTTGGCAGGGGAAGAAATTTAGGATTAAGTATAAATTATAAACTATTAACAGATGCTAAAGAAAGAGGTGGATTCCCCCTACTGGATTTAAAATTATATTGTGAGGTGTTCTGCCTTTGTTGGCCATGAGAATAGATGACATTGAGGAATCCAGATATCTTAGATCTGAAAGGTCATGATAATAGATTTGGGTGGCATGCATATCTTTGGTATGGAAAAGCTAAAGTTCATAGGAGATTTCAAAACCATATTATTAGAAAATCAATTTATGTTGTTTGGGAAAAATATAATAATTTATTAGAGAACAAAACCCCATGGTGGCTGTCACCATTAGAAGTGTTGTCAGTTTAAAAAAAAATATGGAAAAATAATAGGCAACATTTAGAGAGTTGTTAACTGAGGAGGAAAATCAATTGAAAGTAAAAAAAAGTTTGAAGACATAAGACATCTGTTAACTGATTGACTCCAATACCATCAATTAAATGACATTTTTAGGTTGAATAAAGGAATGGATTTTGTTAAAGAATTTTTGAGATTGCAGAAAGAATTGTTGGAAAATGATGAAAAGGTTCTGTCAAAAATGTATAATTTGTTGCTGGAATGGGAAACAAAAGATGAGGAAATAAAATCTGTAATGGTATACTGGGCAAAAACAGCTTCTGGTCTATTTTCCACTCAGAATGGCAGCGCCATATGAGTTGTCCTCATAAATGCAACCGGTTTGGGGCTGCTCTGGGCTGTGGGGGAGAGTGTTTTGGGCTCAACACCCCCCCAAAAAAATCCCACAGAAGAGTGGGACTTTGAAAGGATCCAGCGGAGTGAGGTAACAACCTCCCTACAACCTGCAGCTGTCTCCGGCAGCGAGCGGGCGGGCGGCAGGCGGGGACCCACGGCTGGAAACATCGCGCGGCAGCCAAAGTCTCAAGCCACCACCAAAGATAAACAGATCTTCCAAACAAGGTAACATTACAACAATAAATTATAAAAGAAGATCTGGGATGCAATTAACAATTTGGATGAAAACAGAAACTAAAAAGGAAGTCAGCTTCTGTTCTCTGAAGGTCAGGCTCTGCAGCGGAAATCTGTGAATGAGAAGAGCCTCCGGGAGGAATTTTAACCCTTTCAAACTGCAACTTAGAGATACTTTAAAGATCTCCCTTCTGCTGGAACATGATTAATTTAACTGAACTTGAATTATTGAACTTTTGAGAAGGGGAAGTGCACAGCTATATTAAGGATAGTTTGAGTTTTTGGAAGTAAAAAAATCACCTTGGAATTCCACAATTGGAGCCGAAGCCAAGCAGGAGAACACTCAGCCAAACTTGGGGGTACCCCAAGGGGGGCAGAGTGTCTGGAATAGCTGGAGTTTTAAAAGTGGAACTTTAAGCAATTGGTGGAGACCAGGGTGCAGCATTTCTCTTTGATTATCTTTGTTGCTCATTGGGATTATAATGATATTTGGACTATAATGATATTTGGATTGTTCTTGCTATTATTCTTTTTTATTTCTAGTCAGCAAAGACCAAATTGGGATTACAATAAGCACCAAGCTTGACTGGATTACAAGTTTACAATTTTACAAGTTGAGAATAACTTTTCAATACCAGAACTTAAAGATCGACCTGTTGGACATCCCTGTAATAAACAATTTGCTTCATGGGAGAAGTTATGGAATGAGGATTTAAAATTTACAGCCTGCTGTACATTAAAAGAGAATTATATGAAAATGATATATTTGACTCCTACAAGACTAGCAAAAATGTATAAGAACATATGTTGGAAGCGTAAAGTTAAAGAGGGTACATTTCATCATATGTAGTGGACCTGTAAAATAGCTAAAGCCTTCTGGGAAATGATTTATAATGAACTGAAAAAAATGTTTAAAATAACTTTTGTTGAAAAACAGAGGCCTTTTTACTAGGTATAATAGGAGAAGAATTACTGAAGGATAAGAAAGTACTGTTTATGTATGCGACAGCAGCGGCAAGAATACTATTTGCCCAGAGACGGAAAGAAGTAAGAGCCCCATCGAAAGAAGAATGGATAATTAAGATGATGGACTATGCAGAGATGGCAAGACTGACCAGGAAGCTCAGGCACCAAGAAGATAACAAATTTAATAGAGAATGGCATAACTTTATAGAATATATTAAAGAACACTGTAAAAATCTGAAAACGTTAGCAGGATTGACATAGCACTTGTAATTTAAAATAAAGTACAATAATTTGGATAAATGCAATTAGATGCAGTTAAAAAAGGAAGCTACATTTTGGAAGCCAAGGGAGGGGTGGAGAGAGGTTCAGGGAACCCCATAAAGGTACTGATATGGACTATGGTTTAATGTAAACGTGTGTGTGTGTGTAAAAAATTGTTTTTTTCTTTTTGAAACTTTGAAAAGAAGAAGAAGGAGAAGGAGAAGAAGAAATACCCCCCCACCCCACATCCTTATGTGTGGGAAACCGGCGGGACAGGGAGAAAGTTTGGCTAAGGCCCTTCACCCTGAAACACTGCTTTAAGTTTATTTGTCTCAGGTAGGGAATATTTTTCAGCCCAAGGACCACATACCCTTCTGGACAACCTTCCCAGGGGCCATAGGCCAGTGGAGGCCAGGACTCGGTGGAGCAACAAATGAGAATTATGCCTTGGTATGGCAGGGCAAGTTTCTATGCCTATGCCTCTTTTTCCTCTTTCTGGGCAAACAAGAGGCACCTCAGAAATCAAGGGCACATTCCAGACCTGTAAAAACACATAAGGTACAGAACAAGGCCACTGAGGGGTGTCGCTTGGGGGACACATAGAAGGGTGTGTGGTTGCACAACGATGACCACCTCACCCCACTCTGACCAGTAAGCAGCAGCAACCCACCAGTCAGGAAACTAGTGAGCACTCCTGATGAGCTGCTCCTAATTGCTTGGCACCTTTTTGAGGGGAGAGGGGGGTGAGCAGGACCCGGGGCTCTCTAGCAGAATGCCTGCCATTAAAACAGGTGGCAGAAGTGTGGGGAGAGCTTGCCTGCTTCAGGACCCTTCTATGGTGCTGCCCTTCGTCCTCTCAACCTTTCCACCCCACCCTAGGGGAGCTGTTCACTTCTGAAGGCAGTAATGGTGTACCATCAGGAGACGGTTTCAGTCTCTATTGCCTCTTAGAAGGCTGGGAAGTGGCTAGGATAGATTAGATAGTTTATCTAACAGACAGCTAGATGGACCTTCCCCAATCTTGAGCCCTCCAGAGGTTTTGGACCACAACTCCCACCAGCCAAGACCAGCATGGCTGTCCTATCCTGGGACTAGTGGGAGCTGTAGTCCAAAACATTGGGAGGGCACCAGGTTGGGGAAGGCTGATACTGATAAAATAACCAGGTTTCGGCTTAGCACCATGCTAATGATGAACGAAGCAACAAAGGCTCTTACACAGCATCGGTACTCATTAAGCAAGTGCCTGGGCAGTGGCATTGTCTTGAGTTGTCGAAGAACAGTCCTAGGCTGAATCCCAGCAGCTGTGCCACGATCACAGAGAAGGTCTCCAGCGTGATCCCATTTTCATACTAAGTAAGAGCACATGAACATTAATGGCCGATAGCTATGAATTACTACCATTACTACTACTACTACTACTACTACTGCTACTACATCTTTATTGTGCAAGGGGGCTTTAAAAGGTACAAGAGTACAGGCCTTTGCCCCAAGGAGCCTGGGTTTAGAACTCTGCTTGGTGCTTTGGGCAAAATCGCTACTCAAAACCTTCTTGTCAGCCTCTCCCAGGAGCCTTCAGTTTGCTTGCAAGCTGAGACGTCAGGGACAGGAAGAACACAAAAAATGGCAAAAGCAAGAAGAAAAAACTCTGAGGACCAGAACTGTGTGTGGCCTAACAATTGACCTTGTAGGAAGATGGGGGGTGGGACCTAGGGAGAGGCGTGATGGCATTCACATGCACAAAGATATCCCCTTCACAGGTAAAACCCATGGACCTATCTCAGGTGTATTATTAAGTATTTGGCCTGAGCTTTGGTGAGGTGTTAATAATTTGTTCTTCCCATGCTATTCAATGTATCTGACCCTCACTTTCCTAACTGCTGGTCTGCTTCTTTTATAAACTGGATTTGCTGCACTAAAGCAACACTTCTAGGAGTAATAGACAAATAAAAACCAACAAATCACCAGTTCTGGAAGGTGTTCTCAAAGAACTCAAAAGTGAAATTGCCGCTCTTCTAATAAAACAACCACACCCATAACTTATCCCTCAGATCAGTCTGTGTACCTGAGGACTGGAAAGTATCCATTTTTAAAAGGGATCCAGGGGGGATCCTAGAAATTACAGGCCAGTTATCTTAATGCCTGTCCTGGGAAAACTGGTGAAAAGTTTTGTTAAAGATTAAAAAACCAACAAACTTTACTGAAGCACAGCAGCAAGGCTTAAGCAAGTCCTTTCTTACAGACCTATTGCGAGTTCTTTGAGAGCGTCAACAAACATACAGATAAAAGTGATCCAGTTGACGCAGTGTACTTGGACTTTCAAAAAGCTTTCAACAAAGTCCCGGTACTTCACCGAAGACTTCTGAGTAAGCTTAACAGTCAAGGAATGAGAGGACATTTCTACTCCCCACCCCCACCCCATGGTCTCAAGGGTGCTCAGAGTACCCAGCAATTATTTACAGAGCAGAAACATCCACTTCAGCTGTAGTCATGTGTTTAACCTCAGGTCTAGTTTGGCCCAAAGTTTTCAGACATCACAACTTTTAAGAAATCAAGAACAGTTCAGCAAGTGAATGAGCACAGTACAGTGGTGCCTCGCAAGACGAAATTAATTCGTTCCGCGAGTTTTGTCGTCTTGCGATTTTTTTCGTCTTGCGAAGCACGGTGTCGGGAAAGTTTTGGAAAAGCTTCAAAAATCACCAAAGTCTTTAAAAACCTCAAAAAAGGCTACCACACCACGTTCTATGAGTTGCTCCTCGAAGTCAAGTCGCAACTGTATTAACGGTGTTAAGAAAAAGGAAACAAACTTGCAAGACGTTTCCGTCTTGCGAAGCAAGCCCATAGGGAAAATCGTCTTGTGAAGCAGCTCAAAAAACGAAAAACCCTTTCGTCTAGCGAGTTTTTCGTCTTGCGAGGCATTCGTCTTGCGGGGCACCACTGTACATGCAGTCTTACCATGGCAATTGCTGCAGAAGAAGGTCTGTGGCACATCTTTCTTGCAAATGTTGACCCCACAGAATCCCCCCTGTTCCTGTAGCTGGGGTGAGGAAGAAAGGAATTATGCTTTTGTTGCAATTAGTACCTTAGCAAAAAGCATAAAAAAGGAACACTTCCTTACATAACAGCTCTTTTGGGGGGAGCAGGGGCAGGCATCTGTGTGCTTTCCTGGGATGCCTCTTCACCACCACCCAAAAACCCACATGGGACAGCTGCGCATTTCTGCATTGCAGGAGGTTGAACTAGATGATCTTCAGGGATCCTTTCAGCTCTACAATTCTGATTCTATACAGCAGAGGAGGGAAGGAGTGACCTGTCTCTTCTCTGCCAGCCTGCTCACTGTGTGGACCTCATTATCAGAGGGATTGACAAAAGATAGAACAGGATTTCCTGACAGATCTGTAAGCATCGGGCTCTAGAGTAGATCAGCAAGGATTCTGCCTCTCAAATGTTTAACAACAGCAGCAACAATGGGGGGTTTGCCACCTTCTAACAGGCCACTTTCACATCATGCATTTAAAGGTACCACTTTAAACAGTCAGTGCTTCCACCAAATAATCCTGGGAGCTGTAGTTTGTTAAGGGTGCTGAGAGTTATTAGGAGATGCCTAATCCCCTCACAGAGCTACATATCCTAGGGTTCCCTGTGACATGAGATTGACTCTGTTCTCCATATGGTTCTCCAAATAACTCTCAGCACACTTAACCAACTACAGTTCCCAGAATTCTTTGGTGGAAGCCATGACTGTTTAAAGTGATGCTTTAATTGTGTGAATGTAGCCTGAGATTGCTGAGATGAAGAAAGCTTGGGTGGCTTATACATTTAAAACTACTATGTGCTTTGCACACAGAAGGTCCCAGGTTCAGCCCTCAACATCTCCATTTACATGTACCACTCAGGATCCTTCTTCGGAGATTCCCAGAGAGGCACTGGCAACCAGGGGTGTACAATACTGGGCTCAGTGGACTTAGCTTCTTACCTGCATCCAGAGCTCAAGGACCACAGCTCAGTGGCAGAGCACCAAAGTTCAATCACTGGAAGCATCTCCAGGTAGCAAGCAGGTGATGGGAAAGAAACCCCTTCTTTACCTCATGTCCTGGAGAGACGCTGCCCATCAATATAGACAACACTGATCTACATGGACCAGTGCAAGTCCATATAAGACTGCTTCCCAGAAGTCCTTGGATACTTGCTTCCCTCACATGCCTCTTTGCTACCAACCATGTCCCTCCCTCACATGCATGGAGCCCCCAACTGTTTGGACTGCTCTTCACAGCCCTCTCCCTCTCTCCTGCCTGCCCAGCACTTTGGCCATGTTGTCCACTCAGGCAACACCAAAGGCTTTAATACAGGCATTCTTTAATAACGGGGGGAACACACTCCTTACACAAACAAGAATGCCACATCGTGGGGTCGTAGAGCAAGGTGGACCAGTTTCCAGTCCACAAACTTTTCCAGTAACTCATTGGCTGTCCCTGTGGTGGAGATTTTATCCCTGTCTTTCCAAAACTCCATAGAGGACAGTATAATCTTCATGTTGAGTTTGTAAAACATCTGAAAATAGGAGCAATATGGTTAAGTTCAATAGAGGCCACAGGCTTTACATGTTCAGACTTCAGTCCCCAGCTGGAGGAATTATTCACCATCATCATCATCATCATCATCATAATTTATATGCCAATCTGGCTGGGTTTCCCCAGCCACTCTGGGCGGCTTCCAACAAAATATTAAAATACAATAGTCTGTTAAACATTAAAAGCTTCCCTAAACTTCCCTAAACCCTAATTTCCTATGGAATTATTTACCGTATATGCTGCTTTTTTGAGTAACATCCACACAATGTTATACAGAACATAGTGTTTTTTTGTTGAGGGGGCTGTGGGGCTTGGACAAGCTTTTGGGGGCAGAGCCAGGAGATACCATGAATCTGGGATGGATTCATTCATTCATTCATATGAGGGGTGACATTTTTTAAAACTGACTTTTCTCAGTTTTATTTTATTTTGTAATATTTTTTTTAAATATCCATTCCAAACAATATTACAAAAATAAGATTGATTAAAGTATAAATATATACTGGCACACACCCTTCTACCTTTGAACAGTATTTCAGGATTTGCATGACATTTCTTTAAAGCAAAAGATAGTAAACAAATAGAATAACCTTCTGCTTAACATAATATTCAATCTGCCATGTTAGATAATACTATTTTCCTTTACAGCATTCATTGTTTTTAGACCTACAAAACCAAGGCTCCACATTTCATTATCTTAATTTTGAGTAACCTTCTTCCCTTCTTATTTTCCCTTAAAAGACCAAACCATTCTAGATGTAGTAGCAACTGTTCTACCAGATTCTGGACTATTTATAAATATATTTAAATAGATCTGGGCTGTTGTGCCCAGCACAACTTTGACTCAGGCTGTTTGTTGCCATTGACTTACCGTGTTGATAAAGCTGATGAGCTGAGTGATTTTCTTCATCACAACATCTTCATCTGAACCCATATAGTCATACTGGGAAAGAATAAGATTCTCTCATTAGCCATTGCATCAGGCTCACTGAAGATGCTCTAAGCCAGAAGCCACCACATTATCTGGGCCAGGATACACATCTCAATGTGCTGTGGCTGTCAGGCTCAGGATGGCTGCTGATGCCACATCTAAAACAGAGCAAGCAAGAGCTGTTTGACAGTGGGACAGACTAGCTTGGGAGGTGGAAGAATCTCCTTTTCTGGGAAGTTTTTAAACAGAGGTTGGATTCTTTAGCTGTGGTTCCTGCATTACAGGGGGTTGGATTACATGACCTTTGAGGCCCTTTCTATGATGACAAAGGTGAGTAAGATTATGGACTTCTTCATGACCCTTCCCCTCTGCAGGGAGGTGGGATCCAAATGGTTTCCAGAGAGTGGTAGGGGATGTTTTATCCCATGTTGATGGTCTCTCAGCTGATTCCCTGGTGGCCCACTGGAATGCGGAGTTAACCAGGGCTATTGATTGTCTGGCTTCGAAGTGCCCTCTCTGATTGCACAGAACCCGGATAGCCCCTTGGTTTTCCCCGGAGCTGAGGGGGATGAAACAATCGCTGAGATGGCTAGAACGCTGGTGGCAGAAAACTCATTCTGAATCTGACCGGAAACAGGTTAGAGCTCGGGGGCCCACCAGGGGGCGCATTGGAAGATGGCCGACAATAGCATCTCTCCGACCCACACGAGGTAATTAAGAGGCTGATATGGGAGTATGCAGCCTCCCTGGCCCCCCAAGGGAATGGGGGGCACTGCCTTGCCTGCTGTGTCCATAATTCACCCCCGGATTCAAAAGAAGGGGGTGAGGGCACTAGGCACAAAGCCCTTGGGTGGGTCGGCTCTCCCGGACGCTGTCTATGATCGCGCACTGGTTTGCAACAGCTCGAAATATATAATTGGATAAGAAGCAAATGCACATATTTCAAGTGAAGATCGGCATTAAAGACCGCTAATTAAAGGGATCTCTGTGATGTGGAGCAACGGGCTGGATTCAATAATAAATCAAGAAGAAGTCTCATCAAAGGATCGGTATGTCGGAGTGAGACTGAAAAGGGGGGGGGGACTTTTCTTTCTTTTTTGTCTTATGTGAGTACCCAATAACCCTCCCTCCTAAGAAAGAATAGTTGCAAATTACTGATTACAAGCAGGAGGATTAAGAACATTGTGGAAATTAATTACTAATCAAAGATATGGCTTGTGGAACATCGAGAAAAGAAAGAAGGTTCTCTGTGACGCAATTAGAAATAGAGGCTGTTATGGCAGATCTGTCCGCAGAAGGAGGGGGAGGAGGACTATGGCTCGTAACTATATTGGAATGTGAGTTCGGCATGGCAGGGCCCCCTGAAAAAAAATTATGAGAGTGGCAGGTCTGTGGAAAACAGAACAGACTGTGGGAATTGTTTTGTACGGAGTGTTGAAATGATGTCTGTTTATTTTGATATGGCTCTTGGACGAACGTAAAAGCCACACAGGATAACAACGTTTGTTTTCAACCCGCTTGTGGAAACTATCAGAGATCACAAAGAAAGGAATATATGATAACAACAAGAAGATGAGGAAAACAACAAAGAGAAGATTGAATAGAACTGGGACTATTATTTGGTCAGAACTATGTCATCAAAGCAGCAGCAAGAGAGATATTTGGATCCCATTCGAAGCTTGAAATATGGGTACCCCCAACAAAAATTTAAAAATTTGGCTATGTAATTTGGAATTGATGTGATTTGGAATTAATGTGATTTGATTGCCCTGTTAATAAAAGTTATTTTTTAAAAAAATCCCAAACAAACAGGTTAGAGCTCAATGTCGAGCCTACCAAGTGGTGATAGTGACGGCGAAAAGGACCTTCTTCACCGCCTCTATTGCATCTGCAGAAAACAGCAGGAGGCGACTCCTTCAGGTGGTTCATAATCTAATGGAACCACTTTCACCATTGAGGCCCGGGAAGGGCCCCAAGATCTCCTGCAATGATTTTGCAAAGTTTTTTTTGCAGATAGTCGCTCAGATTCAGAAAGAGGTAGCCTCTACCTTGGGAGCAGGGCCGGGGCGGGAGAGTGTTAAGAGTTCTGTCTAGTCAAGTTGCATGAGATCAATTCCAATCTGTTACCGCCGAGGATGTGGACAGGCTGCTTGGACAACTGAAACCGACCACGTGTCTCCTTGATCCATGCCCTTCCTGGCTTATAAAAGCAAGCCAGGAAGGGCTGGGCGATGGGCTCCGCAGGGTGGTGAATGCTTTTCTGTAAGGGAGCCTTCCCAGATCCACTGAAAGAGGCGGTCATTAAACCGCTTCTTAAAAAACCATCTTTAGACCTGGCCAATATGGCCAACTATTGCCCAGTCTCAAATCTTCCATTCTTGGGCAAGGTGATTGAGCAAGGTGGTTGCTCAATAACTCCAGGCATGGTTGGGGGATGTGGACCATTTGGATCCCTTCCAGTCGAGATTCAGGCCTCATCATGGGACTGAAACTGCCTTGGTCACACTGGTTGATGATCTCCGGTGGGCTAGGGAGAAAGGTGAAAGCTGTTTCCTAGTTCTGCTGGATCTCTCAGCAGCCTTTGAAAACATCAACCATAACATCCTTCTGGACCATCTTGAGGGGCTGGGAGCTGGGGGCACTGTTATACAGTGGTTCCACTCCTTCCTCCTGGGCTGTGTTCAGAAAGTGGTATTGGGGGATGAGTATTCAGACCCCTGGGCTCTCAGTTGTGGGGTGCCTCAGGGTTCTCCCCCATGCTTTTTAATATCTATATGAAGCTGTTGCGAGAGATCATCAGGGGGTTTGGGCTGAGTGTTCATCAGTATGCGGATGATACCCAGCTCTACCTCTCCTTTAAATCAGAACTGGTGAAGGTGGTTAAGGTTCTGTGTGAGTGCCTAGAGGCGGTTGGAGGATGGATGGCGGCTAACAGATTGAGGTTGAATCCTGACAAGACAGAAGTACAGTGGTACCTCCGGTTAAGTACTTAATTCGTTCCGGAGGTCCGTTCTTAACCTGAAACTGTTCTTAACCTGAAGCACCACTTTAGCTAATGGGGCCTCCTGCTGCTGCCGAACTGCCAGAGCACAATTTCTGTTCTCATTCTGAAGCAAAGTTCTTAACCTGAAGCACTATTTCTGGGTTAGCGGAGTCTGTAACCCAAAGCGTATGTAACCCGAGGTACCACTGTACTGTTCTTGGGGGACAGGGGGCAGGCGGGTGTGGAGGACTCCCTGGTCCTGAATGGGGTGACTGTGCTTCTGAAGGACCAGGTGAGCAGCGTGGGAGTCATTTTGGAAATCCGGCCGGATGGGTGGGTTATAAATAGTAGTTGTTATTATTATTATTATTATTATTATTATTATTATTATTATTAGGAGAAAGTGGGCAGAGAGCTTTTCCTCCTACTCTCATTATCCTAGAACTCAAGATGTTTCCCCTCCACTGCCAGACATAGGAGGCTGGGAATTGCCCATGTTTTGTCACACTAAAAGGCTTGAAGGCTTTTGTCACACTAAAAAGCTTGAAGGCTTCCCATGGGCATCTCGTTGGCCACCATGGGAACAGGATGCTGGACCCCATGAGTCTTCTCTTATGTTTGTATATGAAGAAAGAACATACTTCTGAAAACCTTGTAATGAAAGCTTGAAGTGACGTACGTAGTGGGGGGGGGGGGGCAACAGGGAGTTCTTCAAATAAACCTACCAATCCCTTGGCCACAACTATGTGCATTTCCACATATCTCGTGGTGCTGAAGTTAACCTGTTGTAATTCAAGAAAGAACATACCATTACTGCACTCATACTAACATCATGAAAAATTCACAGGTAGAACTCTAAATGCTGCTGAATCAGAATTCAAAATGTAGGTGAAGTATCTGGCAGATTGGGGTTGCATCAAAGCCTGGAGAAATGTGGGGTGGGTTCCCAGGCATTGGTCATACTGGCTGGGGCCAGTAGGAACTGTAGTCCAACATTTGGTGGGGGAGCACAGCTTTCTCATGGCTCAGCTAGGAAGGCCAATAGCCTGATTCTCTATTCTCAACATGTTCATTCAAAAGAATTATTTGAGAGAAGGCATTACTGTTTAAACTGGTATCATAGTATTTTAAATGTATGGTGTGAATGTGGCCTAAGACAAGGTTGGGGAATGTTTTTCAAACCGAGGCCACATTCCTTTCTATGCAACCTGCCAGAGCCGGACACATAATTAAGCCAAGGGCCCATTAAGCAGCCAGGCAACCAGCTCCTCCAGCAAGGCAGAGCCAACTGCACTTGGGCCAGCTTTCATAAGGTTTTAGTTGCCTCCACCTCTCTGCAGAGACAATATCTGTTGCTTCAGCAAGGCCCTTTGGAGCTGTTTTTCACTGGACTCTGCTGGCTTCCTTAGATGTGGACAGCATTTTCACCTTTTTATTTCTTGATTTTGGAGTCTCCCTTTAAGGTTGCAATCCTGTGCACACTAACCTCAGTCAAAACAGTGGTACCTACTTCTGATGAAACATGCACAGAATTAGGCTGCAGAGGTGAGCATCACACACAGCTTGCTGGAGACGCTAAGCTATGAAGCTGCTGCTCAGAGAGCCAGCAGGGCATCATAACTGTCAGTGTGAAAGCTGAGAAGAAGAAAAGCAGTGTTCTGCCAGAGAGTATATGCTTTCTAGGTGGTCAGAAAAGGAACAGCTCTATTGACGGGGGTGGCGGCAAATCAAGCAACAGGCTTGTGGGACCTGCAGTTGCTTTTAGGGTGCTACTTAAGGCCCATATTGCTTTCTCTGTTGACTGTGGGCTCACCTCTGTTCTGCATCCACATGTATATGGACAAACAGTTACAAGCACTGAAGTCTTGGGGCGGGCACAGTTCTCATCGAAAGAAAGCTGGCCTTGAAAAGGCTTCCCCCAGGAACTCCTACTGCTTAGGGGAGGGGGGAGGGAGGGAGGGAGGGAGGGAGGGAAGGAGCATGTACATGCATAGGTGCACGTATTACTATTTTGTTTTGGATCTATACACACAATTTTCTTTGAAGAAAAAAAAAGCACTCACTGGTATTCCTGATTCTACCCTTGGCGTTATTCCTGAACTCCATCTAATGGAATAATTCTGTTCAGAAAGTGGACGCTCTGCATCTTCATATTCAATCTGATAAACAAGATGCTGAAATCCAGAAGCAGATTCAACTGGCTCAATTCCGTAGCTGCTGTTCTCAAACTGCAACAGCCCACTGGTAGGAGGAGATAAGGTGGAAAAGAAGCCCCCCACCCCAAAAAAATGTTGATGGTGCAAACCGTGACTCGGTAGCCAAAAGCTAAATTCCCATTTCAGTCCAATGCAATGCTTCAGCTGGTGGGCAGGGAGTTCAATCCTACTTTCTGCAGGGACTGGCTGTGTGAGCAGCCAATCCAACTATGTTTCTACATATGACCTACCACATATGGCATCAGCGTGGAGCACATAGGCATGGTTCATGGGGAAAGGTGTTTAGGCCAAACAGTAAGACCTAGTGGGCCAAATCTGGTACACAGTCTGGGGTTAGCCCATCCCTAACATAGGAGAAGCTGACATGGGATGGAAATAATCCCATTTGAAAGAAAACTGAAAAAGACAGCCTTTTCCCTGAGTACTAAACAAAAACCACAGAGCCCAGGGCTTGCCAATCAGAAGGTTGGCAGTTCGAATCCCTGCGACAGGGTGAGCTCCCGTTGTTCAGTCCCAGCTCCTGCCCACCTAGCAGTTCGAAAGCATGTAAAAGTTCAAGTAGATAAATAGGTACCGCTCCGGTAGGAAGGTAAACAGTGTTTCCGTTCGCTGCCCTGGTTTCGCCAGAAGCAGCTTAGTCATGCTGGCCACAAGACCCGGAAGCTGTCCACGGACAAAACGCCAGCTCCCTCGGTCAGCAAAGTGAGATGAGCACCGCAACCCCAGAGTCGTTTGCAACTGGACTTAACGGTCAGGGTTCCCTTTACCTTTACTGACTAGAACACCCGACTATTTTGTTGTATCAGGTGTGCATGTTATGGCAATCCATATAAAATGAACAGATCCTCAGTGTGTGTTCAGAGAAGCTATTTGGGAAATATATACTTGAGACTGCATGTAACTGGTGAGTAGAAAATGCTGATATATGTTAGTTAAATGTCAGTTATAAAAGGGAGTTCAATTTATACCTTGACTTTTACCATGTGTGTGTTTGTGAAGAGGCTGATTCATCCATGCCTAGTTATACTTTGCCACTCTGGCTTATTAAGCAGGATGTCAAATTTCAGTGGGGTTATCCTTGCTCAAAGCCCTGGAGTGCTCTGCAGGCAGCTGAACTTGGGACTGAGGAACAAAGGGTTCTGTTCAAGAATAACACATAGGTCTCACCTAAGCCCAAGGCAGGTGCTGAGCATCACAATGGAATCAGTATAGCCTTCAATGTAGCCTTGATAGTAGCAATTGCGCTAGAAAGAGTAATCAGAACACTTTACCTACTACCAGGGGGCAACTCAAAAGTGAAATACATACACTGCTATATGAAATCCAATCCTAGAGCACACAATTCAAATGAGAGGTTAACAGGCTAAATTTCGGGTTGTTACCTAAAACCAAACTATGCAGTTACTCACCTTTCCTCTTGGGCTGACCAACTGCAGTTTCCCTTCTGGTCACAGTCAGGGTTGATGCTCACGTGGACAGTCCATTGAAAGCTGCTCCAGCAGCACCACAGAGAGTGGGGTATCTAGGCTTGTTTCTCCACTGCATATTGCCTAACCATGGATGCACTGGAACCCGCATATGAATTTGTGCGATGGGCCAATCCTCTGCTGCTGGTGGTGAAACAAGGTGCACAAGTGGCACCAGCGGCCTAACACCCCCCACCAGTGCAGGAGCAGGCCAAAGGTGTTGAGCTTCGTTTAGGGCAACCAGCCGCCAATTTCAGGTGCCACCCTGCAGCACCTGAAATGACCAACAACTGCCGTGATCCTTCCCACCCCCAGCTACGCTAATGTGTGGCACACTCGGTGTAAGGATGTCTGTTTTTGTTTGATGCGTGCTTCGAAAATTCCCTGCCTTCTTAATTATTATCAACATATATATTTCAACTAATCAGTTAAAACTACTATAGTTAATCTATTTTAAAAAATTGATTGGCAGGTCTAATGTAGCTCGAACGATAGCCACTCAAAGAAAAACCTGTTTCCTACACCTGAGAGAATCTTACCTGAATGGGAGGAACAAAAGACACTGCTGACCCTCCATGGCTATACGTATAAACTCTGAAATCATTGGTTAAAAAGGATCTAAAAACAAAGCATAAAAAATACACAAAGGTGGCACGGAAAAGAGGGAAGGAGGGAGAAATGGTCCAGAAAGTTACAACAGTGCCTGCTGTCATGTCCTGATATGTGACAGTGACTCAGAGCAGTATCCAACTAATGTGTACCATCAGCGCAAGGAGTTCCATGATGTGCATATGGAGCCCGCAAGGCCTTTTTGGGTGGCGGCTCTTGGCAACATTTAAGAAAAGGCATCTTAGCCTCCCAAAGTGCTTCTGCATGGCTGGAATGTGTTATGGAACTGTTATCATACCTCTTGCTTGCCTGGATGAAGGTGGTGGGGCGGGGGCAGGTGTATAAACCTTTGAATTTTGCATGGCTGGCACGTCTGCCACACAAGGGTGCACCCATTATTTGTCGCTGGACCTGCCACCCCCACCCCACTGGCATGCAGCTCCAGAAAAGCTGCCCTCTATGGAATGAGGTCCTTGGGCCTTTATAAGGGGTGCGCCTCCCCTTCTGTTACAATATTTTACCTTCTCAGCAATTCCGTGCACTGGCTGGCAGAGGTACCTTTGTGGGCACATTTTAAATGCAAGAAGGTTTTCCCAGGAGGCTACAAAGGAGCCAACTCCTAGGGGCCAAGGTCCCACAAGTTGATAGGCATTGTCATTCAAATGGTCTGTGTGTGCTGCATCATGTGATCAATTATTCAGGGCGGGGCTTACCTGCACCCCATATTTTATTCAAATTGGCAGCCTAGGAGGCTATTAAGATTTACTTCTGAAAGTAAGCTTGTTTTCTTTACAGAGGATAGCTGAGTGCTTTGTCCCCTCTCTTCCTCAGAAAAGCTTTCTAGGAAATCTTTCTAGACACTACCAGGATTTATTAAACAAGATTGCAATGTCTTATAGAATGGGGGGCAAATCCCAGTTATTTATTCTACTCACTGTTGCTTCAGATGAATGATATATGGCTTTCCATTTATATCAATATCAAAGGTCATCCTTTCCTGCAATAGCCAAAGGGTTAATCATGCTATAGTTTTTATTTTGTTTACACATGAAACTCCAGCCTATGCAAAGAATTTGTGCACACTCCACATGGTACAGATGGTAAAAAGTAGTACAGATGAAGAACAGATTTTAACAAATGGCTTGTGGCCACTGCAAGCCAGAGTCATTTCAATCATGAAGCTCAGTACAGAAATTTAAATTAATAATAGTAATAATGGCTTTAGTTGGAAGTGGGATTAGAACAGTGGTTCCCATGCAGCGCTTTACAATGCTACAAATGGGATCCACAGCAAAATGTTGCAGCATATGTCCACCCCCTAAGAGGAGTGCTCCTGTTCCTGTCTCTAGGCTACCTGCAAGAGGAACCTTGTTCACATTAGTGGGGGAACTTTTTTCTTGCCCTCCCCCGCTTCCCCAAACAGAAGCATTTATCTCTATGGGATGATGTGGGAGTTGGCTTAGTTCTGCACAATGTGGCAGTAAAAAGGACCAGGATGGGGCAAAGTTCTCCAGGAACTCTACACGTTTGCGCAGTCTCAGTAAGCCATAGCTTCACTAACTGCCTCGTGCAAACCAACTTGTCTGCTGCTGCTCAAATTAACATTGTTGGTTTTAAAAGTTAGCATTTTTTTTTTAAAAAAAAAACCTTTTACTTTAGGGCTGCCATACATCCAGAATTTCCCAGACATTACCAAGATTTCAAAGGCGAAATTGTTATCCAGGGGGAATTTCCGAAAGGTGGTGCTTTGTCCTGGATCTTAGGCAGGTCAAATGAAAAATCATGGTCAACAATTTTGGGGTCAACAACTTTCGGGATGTCCCGGTTTTTACTTTTTGAAATATGGCAACCCTAAAAGTAAACAGCCTTGACAGGGCAGTCTGGAATGAAAGGTCAGGTAGAACACTTTTCATAATCAAACACAATACCGTATTTCCAGTGACGTAAGATGGGATCCTCTGAGGAACAGTCACTTGGAGGAATGTTCGCTGAGACCCTAGACAGAAGAGACGCTTCTATAGCCATTTATCCGTGAATACAGTGCACTTAGATAAGCTCTGGGTGGGTACTAGAGGGAAATCATTTTGCAAGAATTTTCAGCCCCCTCAACCAATTACCGTTTTTCAGCATATATGGCATGGAGCCATGACAGCTAAGGTGGCAGATTTGAATGTATGTCCGTCCGTACGTATGTATGTAACTACACATTTGCAGTGTAGCTGTGACTTTTTCAAGGGGAGGAGTTTAGGGGCCAAGGAAGGCGGCCTTCGTGCCCCTCAGCCTCATTCTGCAGCAAAGAGGCGCCGCCCCCGGAGCAGCTTCTTCCTCGGCAGCTGCGCTCGTGCGGGGCCGCAGCTCCGCCGCCGCCGGGTCAGGCCTGGCCCGGGGAGCAGAGCAGGAGAGGGGGCAGCAGCGTGGCCGCACCCCCGCTCGGCCACCGCAGCGCTTCCCGGCCCTCTCGTCCCCTCTCGGGCTCCGCGGGACGGGCAATGCGCACGGATGGCGCCTGGATACCGAGAAAAACGGCAGCGGCCCCTCCGAGGAGCCAGGAAGAAAGGCCAGAGGAGGAGCGGGGCCCCCGGGGGCGCAGCAGGCTCACCCAGCGCAGAAAGCAGGCACACGCTGCGCAGCGCCAGCAGCAGACCAAGCAGCGCCATGGCGCCCCTCGCTCGACCCGCAGCCGCCGGCGACCAGTAACGGGCGCCGAGGAACTCGAAGGCGGGGCCCGGGAGAAGGGCGCGCTGGCGCCGCCGCGGGCCAACGGCTGCCGGGCGGGGCGGAGAAGCGCGAGGGGCCACGTTGCAGGCTGCCTTGGCCGAGGCGCCGGGGCTGGGAGAGGCAGAGCTGCAGGCGGGTGGGGCGCGCGCAAAAGGGGCTCGGCTCTCGCCAACGTGCCCCCTTCCTGCTGCTTTTGCGGATTGGGCAAGAACCGCTCATCCTGAGCCGGCGTTTGGATTCATCAAAATGTCTATAAACAAGTTTCAAAAAGCCATGATTTCTAACATATGAGCGTGGTGCAGTCTCCCAGTTGGTAGAGCATGAGGCTCTTAATCTCAGGGTCGTGGGCTCAAGCCCCACATTGGGCTATAGCTGTCAAGTGTCCCTTATTTGAAGGGACAGTCCCTTATCCCAGCGCCGTGTCCCGCTGCTGTCCCTTATTGATGATGTCCCTTAAATTTCCCGGGTTTCAAAGGAAGCAGCTCCTCTCCCTCCCTTCCTGCCGCCCGTTGAACCTCTGGTTACAAAGTTGGCTGGACAGTGTTCTCGAAGCTAACCAGCATGAGTTTGACCAGACTGCAGGAAGACTGGAGTGCCTGGAACAGGTGAGGCTGAAGGTCCCTTATTTTGGCTGCTGGTCCCTTATTTTCAAATCTGTAAGTTGACAGCTATGCATTGGGCAAGATTCCAGTATTGCAGGGGATGGACTAGAAGAGCCTTGCGGTCCCTTCCAACTCTGTAATTCTGATTGTATGTATGAGCATGGGAAATGAGGGGCAGATGGAGCCCAACAACCTGGGAGGGTGAAGGGAAGTTTTCTTTCTGCAGTTCTCTTACTGCACATAACTGTGGCATTATGGGACTATGAGAACTATTGCTTCTTTTCTCTTGCATTCTGGGAAGTCTCGCTCATAATCTTTTCTCTGCTTCTGCACAAGAGTCTGAGAATGTTCTGAACAGTTCCCATTGAGTTCATGAAACAGTGTATCCTGACCTGTTCTTAATGCATTGCTGACCACATCTACGGAATGCGATTGTTGTATTCTTTCATGTTATGTTCTTTCAATATCAATCTTTAGTTATAATTTAATTAGGAGGTTTCATGCCTGTCTAGTTCCAGCTCCATTTCTCATCCTTTGATCTATCAGTGATAAATGGTTGTATGTAATTCCCGCCTTGTACCTATGTTAACCAATCAGCAACAAGATGCTTTGTGTTTGTATCAACCAATCAGCCACAAGCACACCTGTGGCAATGTTTGTAATATTCAATAAAAGAGAGTTCCCGGGGCCTGCCCCGGCAGACGCCTCTCATATGACACCTACCACTCGTCTGTCGTGATTTCATCCCAACATCTGGTCACCCCCGACGTGCCAGATCCCTTACGCAGCCAGCCCTCATACTTCACTCAACTGGAAAAGTCTCAGCGCGCTACTTCGTGAGTATGGGAGGGGAATTGACTAAATTCCAAAAGGAGCATGCTAAAGAATTGCTTTGTTTAGTTAGACAGCGAGCGGTGGGTGTTAATATTTCCTTAAAAGAAATTGAACAATTGCTATGTGAGATCGCTATAGAGTGCCCCTTCTATCCTGAGGCTGGTTCCTTGGAGGTAGAGACTTGGCAAAAGATCGGAAAGACCCTTTTTACAGAACCTAGGGCTCCGATTCATTGTCTGCTCACTTGGCAGAAATGTGCAGACGCCGTTGCTAAATTAGGGCCCCAATTATTGGGACCCAAGGTGTCTCCCTCGGCGTCTCCCCTTCTAGCCATCGCAGACAAACCCCCACCTTACCCAAAGCTTTTGCCTCCTTCTCCTTTGCAGCCCAGCCAATCCCTCCCTGCGTCTCAACCTCCTCAGCCTGCATCCTCCCCCCCCATCCCTCCTCCTCCTGCCACAGCCCCTGTTTGCTCTATAGGAGCTGTGCACGCTGCGCTTTCTTTGGCCAGGCAGAAAGGGCTCCTGTCCTTAGAGGAGGAGTCTGAGTGGCCAGGTGAAATGCCGTCTGCTTTCCCTATCTCCTATTCAAACCCTGGAACTGCTCAACAGCAGGTTTTTTATGAGTCGCTTCCTTATTCTGTAATGAGAGAATTAAGGAAAGCCATTGCTGATTCTGGTCTAAAATCCTCTTATGTGACAGGAATGCTAGAAGGCATAGCAACTGGTTACATAATGCTACCTCAGGACTGGAAAGACCTGATGCGCATGCTTTTGTCCCCAGCTCAGTATGTGGTGTTTGAGAGTGAATTTAAACATAGCGCATCAGCCCTGTCTGATCCGCAGCATACTGCCAATGAACTTTATGGCGCTGGTCAGTATGCTGATATAACTGCCCAGGCAACGCTGACACCTGTACATTTTAGTCGCACCGCGACCTGTGTACAACGCGCCTTTCGGAAAGTCCCTGTTTCTGGGCAACCGCTGAACTCCTTTGTTAATATTAAGCAACAGCATTCGGAGCCATACCATCAGTTTATAGATAGATTGAAAGAATCAGTCACTAGGCAGATTGATAACACTACAGCTCAAAATGAATTGATGAAAAAATTGGCCTTTGAAAACGCAAACACCGATTGCAAGAAAGCTTTGCAGTCAATCATACATCGCCCTAAATATGACCTGGCCGATATGATTCAAGCTTGTGCGGATGTCGGTAGCCAGAGCCATGCGATGTCTTTGCTTGCTGGCGCATTCCAAGCTACCAATATACCTACAGGTAACTGCTTTAATTGTAAGCGCCCAGGCCATTTTGCCAAGCAATGCAGAGCCCCTGGTGGGGGGGCACACAAGGATGGTGCTGCCTCTAAGGCTAGACCTTCCAAAAAATGCCCGAAATGTGGAAAAGGCTATCATTGGGCTAATCAATGCAGGAGTCCGGGAAACTCCATTGCGGCCCCACTCTCAGGCCAGGGCAATTAGAGAGTTTTCCACCTTTAGTTTCCGCTGCTGCAAACTTTTCTAAAAATACACCCTCTGAATTTGCCATTGATTTGATCAATCAAGAGGCCAAAGACTCTGTTTTACCTGGTGAAATTGTTCTTATGCCCACTCAATTGGCAGGCCCACTGCCTCCTAAAGTCGCAGGTTTAATTTTACCCAAATTTTCTGCGGCAAAAGAAGGAATCCAGGTTATTCCAGGAGTTTTGGATCCTGACTATGTAGGCACAATAATGGTTCAACTCTGGAGCCATATGCCCATGCAATTAAAAAGGGTGAGTCTGGGCGCATTTGGTGGTGCTCCTTCTCATCCTACTGCTTCTATTATGGATACTAATTTGCACGAGCTCTCTTCTTTCCCTCCACAGCTGTTAGCTGTAGTCCAGAGGATTGGTGAAAAGAAACTTCTTCGTAAGTATAAAATCAATGGTATTGTGCTGGAAGGCTTGATTGACACAGGCGCAGACGTTTCTGTAATTTCTAGTAGTTGCTGGGACCCCACGTGGCCCCTTGAGTCTGCTTCTGCAGTCTGGGGTGTGGGTGGCCCCAAACCTCTTCCAAAGCGTACAGTGGCTGCCTGTTTCTCTGCCTGATAGCTCTGAAACCATTGCTTACATCCAGCCCTGTGTGCTGAAAATCCACCTCAATCTGTGGGGAAGAGATTTACTACAACAATTACAAGCTACCATTCAATTTAATGAGTAAGCTTGCACTTCCCCTCAGCTGGAAATCTACCAGTCCTGTATGGGTGGAACAATGGCCCATAACAGGAGAAAAGCTACTTGCTTTAAAACAATTAGTGAATGAACAATTATCGGCAGACCATATTGAGCCTTCAGTTAGCCCCTATAATACGCCCATCTTCGTCATAAAAAAGAAGAGTGGCAAATGGAGATTTCTCCAGGATTTAAGGAAAATAAACCAAATCCTTGAACCCATGGGGCCTTTGCAGTGTGGTCTGCCTAATCCAAATATGATTCCACATTCTTATCAATTGGCTATAATAGATTTGCAAGATTGTTTCGTCTCCATTCCCCTACAGGAGAAGGATCGTAAATTCTTTGCCTTTACCGTTCCTGTGTTAAATAACAGTCAGCCCACGGAACGGTACCAATGGAAGGTCCTACCACAAGGGATGTTGAATTCCCCTACCATGTGCCAACAATACATCAGCCATGGCACACTTTGCTGTTTAAGCCGTTTGTCCATCATTTTACCCAAGAAGCATCATTTATCCCGCCCTCGATATCGCCGCAATATTGAATTGACTAATGATTGTGATGCTTTTGTCTCTCTTCTCAGTAGGTCTGAATATATCTCTTTAGCTGTTTCTCTCTTAGGAGTCCCTGGATTGGCTGTACGGTATCGTATGAACATTAATTCTTTAGCAAAAGCCCTGAATTTTACTTCACAAGCTCTTCACCTTTTGAATAAAGAACAGAGTGAACTATATAATGGACTTTTATGAAATCGTGCTGCTATCACTATTTGCTGATGCTTCATCATTATGGCTGTGAACAAGTGAATGACATGTGTTGTTTCAATATTACTGACAATTCTAGAGCCATTCAAAGCCAAATCTCTCATTTGCAAATTCTTATACATCACATTAAACAGGACGTTGGTTTTTCTGGCCTCTGGGATTCTTTTACCCAGTGGCTTACCGCTTGGTTGCCAAACCTGAATTGGCTTCGTAATCTTTTTCAATATGCTATTGTCATAATTTGTATTCTTATTTTGCTATGCTGCTTCCTTCAATGCGTTCCTAGCCTCATAAGTATTTTCTCTCGGCTTCTCTCTCCCCTTCAACCACCCAGTAAACTCCTTGCTGCCTACTTTGCGAAATGGCAACACCAACAGTAAACTTTAGGGGAGATGTGGGCGGATTTATTTTGGGCATGCGCTGGCAAACCACGTATCCTGAAGTATTTTTGTCCCATCGACCCTGGCAAACTTATTTTGGGCATTCGCTGGCACACCACTAATCCCGAAGTATTTTTGCCTTATTTACCCAGAACGCCTCGCAAACAAGAAAAGAAAGGGGGAGATGAAGGGAAGTTTTCTTTCTGCAGTTCTCTTACTGCACATAACTGTGGCATTATGGGACTATGAGAACTATTGCTTCTTTTCTCTTGCATTCTGGGAAGTCTCGCTCATAATCTTTTCTCTGCTTCTGCACAAGAGTCTGAGAATGTTCTGAACAGTTCCCATTGAGTTCATGAAACAGTGTATCCTGACCTGTTCTTAATGCATTGCTGACCACATCTACGGAACGTGATTGTTGTATTCTTTCATGTTATGTTCTTTCAATATTAATCTTTAGTTATAATTTAATTAGGAGGTTTCATGCCTGTCTAGTTCCAGCTCCATTTCTCATCCTTTGATCTATCAGTGATAAATGGTTGTATGTAATTCCCGCCTTGTACCTATGTTAACCAATCAGCAACAAGATGCTTTGTGTTTGTATCAACCAATCAGCCACAAGCACACCTGTGGCAATGTTTGTAATATTCAATAAAAGAGAGTTCCCGGGGCCTGCCCCGGCAGACACCTCTCATATGACACCTACCACTCGTCTGTCGTGATTTCAACCCAACAGGAGGGTATGTAGGAGAAGGAAAACTGATCTGAAATCTCTGCTGCCTTGCAAGTCAACATGGGGAAAAGAATGCTCAGGAGAAACCCCACACAAATCTCTGAAACAGATGGCACCTTGTACACCTCCGTCCGGCAACTCCTGCAGCCAAGATGATGCTTTCTTTTGGACCCCATCAGCGAGGCCAAGAGGGGGACCCTGCCATCTGGGCAGCCCAGGACCTCCAGACACACTGCCCCGGCTTGTGCATTGGAGTGGTCACTTTGGTGCTGCCAGCGCAGCTGTTTGACTTGTAGTTTCATAGAATCATAGAATCATAGAGTTGGAAGAGACCACAAGGGCCATCGAGTCCAACCCCCTGCCAAGCAGGAAACACCATCAGAGCACTCCTGACATATGGTTGTCAAGCCTCTGCTTAAAGACCTCCAAAGAAGGAGACTCCACCACACTCCTTGGCAGCAAATTCCACTGTTGAGCAGCTCTTACTGTCAGGAAGTTCTTCCTAATGTTTAGGTGGAATCTTCTTTCTTGTAGTTTGGATCCATTGCTCTGTGTCCGCTTCTCTGGAGCAGCAGAAAACAACCTTTCTCCCTCCTCTATGTGACATCCTTTTATATATTTGAACATGGCTATCATATCACCCCTTAACCTCCTCTTCTCCAGGCTAAACTTGCCCAGCTCCCTTAGCCGTTCCTCATAAGGCATCGTTTCCATGCCTTTGACCATTTTGGTTGCCCTCCTCTGGACACGTTCCAGTTTGTCAGTGTCCTTCTTGAACTGTGGTGCTCAGAACTGGACACAGTACTCCAGGTGAGGTCTGACCAGAGCAGAATACAGTGGCACTATTACTTCCCTTGATCTAGATGCTATACTCCTATTGATGCAGCCCAGAATTGCATTGGCATTTTTTAGCTGCCGCGCCACACTGTTGGCTCATGTCAAGTTTGTGGTCAACCAAGACTCCTAGATCCTTTTCCCATGTACTGCTCTCAAGCCAGGTGTCACCCATCTTGTATTTGTGCCTCTCATTTTTTTTGCCCAAGTGCAATACTTTCTCCCTGTTAAAATTCATCTTGTTTGTTTTGGCTCAGTTCTCTAATCTGTCAAGGTCGTTTTGAAGTGTGATCCTGTCCTCTGGGGTGTTAGCTACCCCTCCCAGTTCGGTGTCATCTGCAAATTTGATCAGGATGCCCTTGAGTCCATCATCCAAGTCGTTGATAAAGATGTTGAATAAGACCGGGCCCCAGGACAGAACCCTGTGGCACCCCACTAGTCACTCTTCTCCAGGATGAAGAGGAACCATTGATGAGCACCCTTTGGGTTCGGTCAGTCAGCCAGTTACAAATCCACTGAGTGGTAGCATAGTCAAGACCGCATTTTACCAGCTTCTTTACAAGAATATCATGGGGCACCTTGTCAAATGCCTTGCTGAAATCAAGGTAGGCTACATCCACTGCGTTCCCTTCATCTATCAGGCTTGTAATTCTGTCAAAAAACAAGATCAGGTTAGTCTGACATGACTTATTTTTCAGAAATCCATGCTGACTATTGGTGATCACAGCATTCCTTTCTAGGTGCTCACAGACTGTTTGCTTAATGATCTGCTCCAGAATGTTCCCTGGTATTGATGTCAGACTGACTGACTGACAGACTGTCCCCTTTTTGAAAATAGGGACAACATTTGCCCTCCTCCAGTCTGCCGGGACTTCGCCTGTTCTCCAGGAATTCTTAAAGATGACTACCAGTGGTTCTGAGATCACATCTGCCAGTTCTTTTAATACTCTTGGATGCAGTTCATCTGGCCCTGGAGACTTGAATACATCTAAACTAGCCAAGTATTCTTGTACTATCTCCTTAGTTATTCTGGGCTATGTTTCCTCTGCTGAATCATTTGCTCCAAATTCTTCAGGTCGGGCATTGTTTTCTTTATCGGAGAAGACTGAGGCAAAGAAGGCATTGAGGAGTTCAGCCCTTTCTGTGTCCCCTGTTTGCATTTCACCATCTTCTCCTCTGAGTGACCCCACTGTTTCTTTGTTCTTCCTTTTGCTGTGAACATACCCATAAAAGCCTTTTTTGTTGCTTTTAACCTCTCTAGCAAGCCTGAGTTCATTCTGTGCTTTAGCTTTTCTGACTTTGTGTCTACACGTGCTGGCTATTTGTTTGAATTCCTCTTTGGTGGTTTCCCCCTTTTCCATTTTTGTACACATCCTTTTTAATCTTAACTCAGTTAAAAGTTCTTTAGATAGCCACCCTGGCTTCTTTAGGCACCTTCCATGTTTCCGTCTCATTGGTATTGCCTGAAGTTGTGCTTTTACTATCTCCCTCTTAACAAACTCCCAGCCATCATGAACTCCCTTTCCTTTTAGTATTACTGTCCATGGGATCTCACCCAGCACTTCCCTAAGTTTTATTCGGCTTTCTTAAAGTCAAGAAATTGAGTCCTAGTATGCTTGGCTGCTCCTTTCCGCTGTATAGTAAACTTCAGAAGAGCATGATCACTCATGCCTAATGATCCTTCCACTACTACCCCACTAACCAGGTCATCAACATTGGTTAGGACCAGATCTAAAATGGCTGTTCCTCTTGTTGCTTCTTCCACTTTCTGGACAATGAAGTTGTCTGCAAGGCCAGTGAGGAATCTGTTTGACCTTATGCTCTTGGCTGAGTTTGACATCCAACAAATATCCGGGTAATTGAAGTCCCCCATTACTACTATCTCCCTTCCTTTTGCATGCTTGGCCATCTGTTCCAGGAAGGCATCATCTATGTCCTCCGTTTGGCTTGGGGATCTATAGTAAACTCCCACAATGAGGTCACTGTTATTCTTCTCTCCCTTAATTTTGACCCAAATGCTCTCACTTTGGCTTTGAGGTTCTAAATCTTGGATCTCTTCACAGGTATACACATCCCTGACATATAACGCCACTCCCCTCCTTTCTTGTCTGGTCTGTTTCTCTGAAATAGATTGTATCCCTCCATTATTATATTCCAATCGTGGGACTTATCCCACCAGGTTTCAGTGATGCCTATTATGTCATATTTAGTTTGCTGTACTAAGAGCTCAAGCTCATCTTGTTTATTTCCCATGCTTTGCACATTAGTATACAGACATTGAAGTCCATTAATCATTCCCCCGTGTCTCTTATTTAAGGATTTTTTCCTCCCACCACTAGGTCTGCGTGCTGTTTGCTCCATTTGGTCTATGACATTTGGATGATCATCAATTGATAGACTCCTACCTTCAGGAGTTTCCACAGACATCAGGCTGGTGGCTGTGGGTAATGGGAGGCCTGACTAGAGGGAACCCAGAATGGGGAACCTCAGGCTGCAGGTCACATGCAGCCTTCTAGATCTGAGAGTTTTCCCAGGCCACACCCCACACCAGCCCTGCTTTGCCACCCTTTGTGTGTGTTTGCGCCAGGCTTCAATGTGTCCTCGAACCCAAATTACCAGGACAGGTACCAGAAAAGAGGAGCTGCCCTCAGTAAATTAGGTTGGATAGGACATAAGAATTGCACTGCCATCCTGCTCCTCCCCAAGAATCACCTAGTTTAGCAGTAGTGTGCAAGGCAACAAAATTTCATTCACAAACAAAAATTCATGTAAAGCTGGAAGAAGGGGACAAAGTAATTGTTTCATTTCTACTTCCCACACAGCTGGTAAGCCTAAGAGCTGGCGGGTGGGGGGGGGCAACTTTAGCTGTGAAGAATGCTTGGATGTGTGCCTAAGAATACAAGCATTGCTTTTAGGCAGAGCTTTGATGGGTAATTGGCAGTACTTGCAGCAAAGCAAACCTTTCCCTTGTCACTGTAATCTGCATGGTTAGGGAGAGCTTCATTTCTTAATATGTGCCATGAAAGAAAGCTGTGGGGGGCAAATAGGATAGTAGCAAATAGCAGCCAGGGAGCAAGAGGCAAAAGTGCCTGTTACCCCCTTGCTCCCTCTGGCAGAAATCCCTGGCAGAATTGGCATCTATTCCCTCGAAGAGAGATTAGCTCACTGCTGGTTTTCGTTGCTTGGAGATGAAGAGGCAATAAAAGCAAGGAGGAAGGCAAAGAGGCTCTTGGAACAAGCAGTAAGCCCCTATTGGGGTGTAGACCGCAGCATGTGTCTGCTGATGCCAACCCATAATGAAGCCCCTGCATGCTGTATACAAATGCAAAGAAGGACCTGGAGAACCATTCACAGAATACTTTTCACCTGTATAAGCAAGCAGTAATTTATTAAACAGCTACAAGTCACATAAACAGCAGGAGCCTGACCCAGTTCTGGTCACATTGTGTCTTCTTGGTTGCTCAAGCTACTCACATCCCAGGGGCAGCAGGAGGGAGAGAGGAGAGAGGAGAGAAGACATGATGGAGCAATACAATAAGGAGAATCAACAAAATTTAGCACCACCCAGAAAGATGGAGAAGAGATTGGAAAAACAACCTTCTCCCATAGAAGCCTCTCCACTCCCTGCACAATCTGTGAAATTTCTGTACCATGGCTGGCCCAAGACACTTGGGCTCCTAAGGCAAACCACAAACTGGCATCTCCTGCCTGTCAGGGAGGAAGGTCTGAGTTCACTTCATCTACATCAGAACCGGGGGGAATAAAGCTGTGCATTGGGAAAAAGAGTCGGAGGAAACCTGTTTGCCAAGAGGCTGCTGGGAAACACAGATCTGGCCTCCAAGGAGTGGTGTCACTGCCCCCACAGCAGCAGCAGGGGGTGATGTGTACCTTGGAGGCCAGATCTGCTGTCCCCATGAATCCTGTTGCCTGAAGCAGTCACTTTACCTTGCCTCTTGGGTGGACTGGCCCTACTTTGTACCTTACCTATAAGAGGCAAGATCTAGTTTTGTGGGGCTTTGCCTGGAAGTGCTGCTGCTGTTATGAAACAGTTCCCCAAGCAATGCCTGTCACTGCTTTGTTCAGCCTTCACCAAGGTGGTGCCCACCAGATGTTTCAGACCACAACTCCCTTTAGTCTGGCATCAAACAGCCATGCTCACTAAGACCAACAGGAGCTGCACTCCATAACATCTGGAGGGCACCACACTGGTGAAGGCTGGCAGAGTTTTAGGTGTGCCATTTAACATTGTTGAATTGATGAAACCATGTGAATTGAGAAAACAGTATCTAAACAATTAGAATGAATACTATCATATATATACAGTTAAAATTGAGTAATGATGATTAATAATATACAGTGGTACCTTGGTTCTCAAACTTAATCTGTTCTGGAAGTCTGTTCCAAAACCAAAGCATTCCAAAACCAGGGCACACTTTCCCATAGAAAGTAATGCAAAGTGGATTACCGTATTTTTCGCTCTATAGGATGCACCAGACCACAAGACGCACCTAGTTTTTGGAGGAGGAAAACAAGAAAAAAAAATTCTGAATCTCAGAAGCCAGAACAGCAAGAGGGATCGCTGCGCAGTGAAAGCAGCAATCCCTCTTGCTGTTCTGGCTTCTGGGATAGCTGCGCAGCCTGCATTCACTCCATAAGACGCACACACATTTCCTCTTAATTTTTAGGAGAGAAAAAGTGAGTCTTATAGAGCAAAAAATACGGTAATCTGTTCCATACTTTTAAAAACAACCCCTAAAACATGAATTTTACTATCTAACAAGACCATTGATTCATAAAATGAAAGCAATAATCATTTGATTTAATCATTATGAAGTGTGTTGATTAAGGAATTTATAAGTATATTGACAAATCATATTAACTAAGTTCTAGGACATAAAGGGTAACAAATCTCGATTCAGGATCTGAGATAGTAGGGAGGGCAAGGAGAAATATTGATTGACAAATATTTTAAGAAGTTGATAATCAATTAGAGTATTTAATAATACATAAATGCCAAATGCGGGAGGAATAATTGAACAAATACTTCCCAGAGCTCTCTGAATAGAAACAATACAGACCTGAGGGTATTTAAAGTACAAAAATATCAAAGGAACTTATTAAGACTGGGACAAAGCTTATATTCATGTGTATATAGAGAAGCAACTAAAATGACTTCCAAGACCTCTTCAGGAGCTCCAAGACGCCAATCAGTGGTGGAGTTAGATACAAATGCTGATATAAGAGAGTTGGTTATTGGAATGAATAAATCTATTAATGATAAACTTGATTCCATGGGCAACAAGATTGAGCAAAATTCAAAATTAATAATAGACCTATCTGCACAGGTAAAAGATCTGACTATTAAAATTAGGGAGATAGAGAAAACAGTCCAAGATTTGAAATCTAGATCTAATAAACAAGAGGAACTCTCGAAGGAAAAAAACCAAGAAAATTAAAAATGAAAGTAAAGAGCTGAAAAAAGGCGAAGACGTTATAAATGATGAGGTAATAGAATTAAAGAGAATACAGGAGAAAATGTTAAATCAAGTCGCGATTCTCGAGATGCACTAAAGGGAGCTTATTCTATGCTTTCAGGGGATCCTAGAGATGCAGAATGAAGACACTGAAACCAAACTGACAAAAGAATTAGCTAGATGGCTCAGAGCCCAAGAAGAAGAATTAATAATGGACATAGATAAGATCTTCAGAATCAAATCTGAAGGAACAAAGACGAATAAAGGATCAGGAACTGTATGGTCTTCTTTTTTAAAAAAAAATAATAATTTTTATTAACAAACCAATCAAATCACATTAATTCCAATTATACCAATACATAATAAACTCCAAATATTTCCAAATATTTAACCGAATTTTTAAAATTTTGTTGGGGTACCCATGCTTCGAGCTCAGAAAGGGTCCAATCCTCTCATATTTCTGTTGCTTTGATGTTCACAGTTCTATCTTTCCATCTCCTTGTTGTTATTCTTTACAAATCATCTTCCAATCTTCTTGTTGTTATCATCCCCCCCTTTCTTTCTAACCTCTGTAAATCTCCACAAGTGAGTTGAAACGAACATTGTTATAGTCCTGTGTGGATTTTCACATTAGTCCAAAGGTCCTGTTTGAACGGCAGATACCATTTCAGCATTTCCATAAAATACAGTCTAAGCGTCTGCTCATTAACTTTGCCAGACCTGTTGCTCCGACATCAGTCTTTTCAGGGAGTTCTTGCCAGATCAAATGTAGAATTCAGATATAATAGCAAAGCCGTGGCTTCCTCCCCCTCTTGACCGTAAATCTTGCAACAAAGCCTGCCTCATCACGGGGGTTCTCAATTAGAACTGCGTCATCCAAAAGCCTTTCATTCCTTTCCAGATCTTCCACAAAACAAAGCCTTTAGCCAACAATTCATTTCCACACAGTTTATTATTCCATCTCACTTGCTAATCAGTCATGCGACGGTTCTTCTTAGGGAGGGGTTGTTAGGTAAATCACATAGGTTTTCCCCCCCTTTCCGCTCCGTTGCAACATACCAACATCTTTGATGTAGTGTTCTTTGATGTAGTTCTGTTCAATCCAACCCGTCACTCAGCTTCACAGAGGTTGATTTAATTAGCAATCAATACTCCCTTTCTTTCACTCAAAACAAGTGCAATTACTCTTCTCCAATTGTTTATCTTGAGTCATGCAACTAGGATCGCAATCAGAAGCAGCGTCAGGGAGAGCAAAAAAAACACACAAGGGCTTTCCGTCCAGTGCCCTCACCCCCTCCTTCTTACAAACTCGGGGGTGATTTATAGGCATCCGCGGACGAGGCAGCGTTTTCCCATTCCCCCTGGGAAAACTCGGGAGGCTAATTACTCCCATATTAGTCTCTTAATTACCTCATGTGAGCCGGAGAGATGGTATTGTCGGCCATCTTCCAATGCGCCCCTAGCGGCCCCCCGTATGGTCTTCTTTAATTCAAGACTACTGAAGGATAAAGTACTCCAGAAAAGGAAGTTGACAATAGATGAAAGGAATATAATAATTCATAAAGAAATATCAAAAAGACTCCTTAAAAAAGACAAAATTACAAGACATTAACAGATGCTTTAAAAACCAACACAATAAGATACAAATGGGAATTCCTGGAGGGGCTATTTAGGGAAGTTCTGGAGAAAATACAAGAGAGAACTGGGAGGAGAAGTCATGCAGGAGAGATAAGAGTTAGAAACTACAGGAGGGGAGTAAAAGCAATTCTTATTAAGAGATACAATAAGACGTAACCCACCAGATTAAATCTATATTCTATATATTTTTCTGAATCCAATTTGTAATTGTTATTTGATGAATTTGAACATTATCTCGTAGAATATCAATGGTTTAAATAATAAAGAGAAAAGGAATAAAACCCAACATATCCTAAAAAAGAAGAACTGGGACATTATCTGTCTTCAGGAAACACATATAGCTAAGAAGCACAAGAGAGTTTTGGTAAATAAGAAACCAGGGGTATAATTTATAGCTTCAGATTTACATAAAAGAGAGGAATCGTTATATACATAAACCCAAAATTAGAATCCAAATTAATATTTAAAGACAATGAAGGATGATTGCTGGGCGTGCAGTTAACAAGAAGCAAAAAAAATTAATACTGGTGGGTGTGTACTTTCCAAATGGAAACAAATCAAAATACGTTAAAAAACTAGAGGAAAGATTATTGGAACATAACAATGAGGACATGATTCTTATGGGAGATTTTAATGGGGTCACTTTGTTGAACCTTGATAGAACAGAAAGAGAGAAAGCATCTAAGGAAGGAAAACTTCCAATTTTTTTTCCAAATGGTTGAAGATCTGAACTTAGTAGATGCTTGGAGAAATAAACATACAAATGAAAGACAGTATACAGTCTATTCTGAAGCTAAAAAATCTGCAGGTCGAATAGATGGAATATGGATATTGAATAGTTTAATGACACTAATTAAAAAAACTGAGATTCAACCCAAATCCATTTCAGACCATAACCTGATTACACTAGAATTAAGGGATAAGAAGAAAATGAACAAGCAGTGGAGGATGAATGAGAGAATCCTGAATGATGAGAAAATTATTTAAAAGGCTGAAGAGGCCATGAAATAATTCTTCAAAATAAATATGACACAAGAGACTGATATTAGATCAATATGGGATGCCGGTAAGGCCTTTATATGAGGCTTTTATAGCCAACAAAACATAATACAAAAAAAGGATTGGAGAATCAAAGTTAGACCAGATTAGACGATTGAAAGAAATTAGAATCTATTTGTTAACAACCCAAAAAACAAAACCGCAAACCAAAATATTAAAATATTGCAATCCCAACTATCAATATTCTTAAATGATGAAATAGAGAATAACATCAAAAGGATGAAACAAAAGAATTTTGAATTTGCTAACAGACGAGGTAATTAAAAAAGAAACAAAGAGAAAAACAAATTGATAAGATAGTACAAGAAGGTAGGGTAATCGACAAACAGGAAGAAATATATAATTGCTTTTTAAGATATTTCAGGAAGCAATATAAGATAGGAACGGAAGGAGAACATGACATAGTGAAATACAAGGGAAAGAAATTCCCAAAATAGCACAAGAGAAACTTGAACAATTAAACTCGCCAATTACCAGGAAGGAGATACACCAGACAATCTCTAGTTCTAAGCTGGGCAAATCCCCAGGCCCAGATGGACTTCCTGTAATCCATTATAAAAAAAATGGGAGATTATAGCCCCGCCACTCATGAATAAAATAATACAAGATGGGAAATGCTAGTCAACGCCTAGAAGGCTTTCAATAACGTTTCTTGGAAATTTCTAAGGAAAGTGATTGACCTATTCACAAAGGGAGAATGATTTACCTAGGCTATAAAAGCCATATATGAGAAACAGAAAGCAAATCTAATAGTCAATGATGGGAAAACAGAATACATCCCAATAGAAAAAGGCACAAGGCAAAGCTGCCCACTCTCTCCTCTACTTTTTGTATTAACCCTAGAAATATTAAATTTGGAACTGAGGAAAGAAGAAGAAATTAAAGGGATATCTTTAGGTCAAAAGACTTTCAAACTGAAAGCTTTTGCAGATGATTTAATTTTAACAGTAGAAAACCCAGAAACGAGTATTCCCAAAGCGTTAGAAAAGATAACAGAATTCGGAGAGGTCTCCAGCTTCAAACGTAACAGATCAAAAACAAAGCTTATGGTTAAAAATATACAGGAGCAAGAGAAAAAGGAACTGCAGGAAAAAACAGGGTTGTCAATAGTGAAAAAAACAAAATATTTGGGAACTGACATTTTTGATGACAATTATAAAAAAACCTGGAATGTTTTTTTTATTTTTATTTTTAGAAATTTGGGCTAGACTGAAATTATCATTTTGGGGAAGAATCTCAGTAATAAAAATGAATATACTCCCCAAAATGCTCTTTCTTTCACCCAAAGGGTGCTCATCAATGGTTCCTCTTCATCCTGGAGAAGAGTGACTAGTGGGGTGCCACAGGGTTCTGTCTTGGGCCCGGTCTTATTCAACATCTTTATCAACGACTTGGATGATGGACTCAGGGGCATCCTGATCAAATTTGCAGATGACACCAACCTGGGAGGGGTGGCTAACACCCCAGAGGACAGGATCACACTTCAAAACGACCTTGAGCATTGATGAAGAGAACTGGGCCAAAACAAACAAGATGAATTTTAACAGGGAGAAATGTAAAGTATTGCACTTGGGCAAAAAAAATAAGAGGCACAAATACAAGATGGGTGACACCTGGCTTGAGAGCAGTACATGGGAAAAGGATCTAGGAGTCTTGGTTGACCACAAACTTGACATGAGCCAACAGTGTGGCGCGGCAGCTAAAAAAGCCAATGCAATTCTGGGCTGCATCAATAGGAGTATAGCATCTAGATCAAGGGAAGTAATAGTGCCACTGTATTCTGCTCTGGTCAGACCTCACCTGGAGTACTGTGTCCAGTTCTGGGCACCACAGTTCAAGAAGGACACTGACAAACTGGAACGTGTCCAGAGGAGGGCAACCAAAATGGTCAAAGGCCTGGAAACGATGCCTTATGAGGAACGGCTAAGGGAGCTGGGCAAGTTTAGCCTGGAGAAGAGGAGGTTAAGGGGTGATATGATAGCCATGTTCAAATATATAAAAGGATGTCACATAGAGGAGGGAGAAAGGTTGTTTTCTGCTGCTCCAGAGAAGCGGACACGGAGCAATGGATCCAAACTACAAGAAAGAAGATTCCACCTAAACATTAGGAAGAACTTCCTGACAGTAAGAGCTGTTCGACAGTGGAATTTGCTGCCAAGGAGTGTGGTGGAGTCTCCTTCTTTGGAGGTCTTTAAGCAGAGGCTTGACAACCATATGTCAGGAGTGCTCTGATGGTGTTTCCTGCTTGGCAGGGGGTTGGACTCGATGGCCCTTGTGGTCTCTTCCAACTCTATGATTCTATGATTCTTTTTCAAATGATGTCGATTATAGCGAAAACAGAATGCATTGAAGAATGGAGGTAAGATCTGACAAGGTTCATTTGGCAGGGTAAGAAACCTTGTATTAAATACAAATTACTGACAGACAGGAAAGAAAGAAAGAAAGAAAGAAAGAAAGAAAGAAAGAAAGAAAGAAAGAAAGAAAGGGTTTTGCACTACCAAAATTAAAAATCTTTTGTCAGGCAGTGTTTAATTTGGATGAGGGATTGGATTCTATTAGAGAAAACAGATATTTTGGGTTTGCAGAGTGTCAACAACAGATTTGGGTGGCATGGCTACCTTGGCTATAATAAGGTAAAAACACCATGGTGGTTGTCCCCATTAGAGGCATTCACAGTTAAAAAATTAAACATGCAAAGCAATTGGGCAACATATAGCCAATTATTAAAAGAAGACCAAGGGCACCTGAAGTTAAAATCATTTGAGGAGATAAGACACTATCTTACTGACTGGCTCCAGTTCCATCAGTTAAATAATGTATTTAATGTGGATAAAAAAACAGGATTTGAGAAAGAAGAATCTAAATTACAAAAATACTATAAAAAAAAATAAGAAATTATTATCTAAAACCTATGATTTGCTGTTTCTTTTCTTATTTTCTTTTGAATTTTTTGTTTACAGCAGCCAGACTAGTACTGGCAAAAAATTAGAAAGGAGATACTATCCCCACAAAAGAAGATTGGTTAAATAAACTATGTGATTCTATACAACTGGCAAAGTTAACAGCTGCCGTAAGACTCCAGACAAATCAGAAACTAAGGAGTGAATGGTAATGTTTTGAAGACTATAAGAAAAAACACTGGTCTAAAGATAACATGTTAATATGCATAGATTAAGTATGTAAAAGCTGAAATAGATAGAATAGATATATTAGGAATATCAGGGACAAGATATAAAAGATGCAATGGTAAAAAGACTGAAAAAAATTAAGAATGTTGAGGTTTTTTTGGGGGGGGGAAGCCACAGGGGGTATTTGTATATATGTTTTTGTTTTGTTTTTTGTTATTTTATTTTTATGTTAATTTTTATTTTATGTGTTTTTTAAGCAAGAAAACAAAAAATAAATAAAAAAGAAAAGAAAGCAATAATCAATGTACTGCAGTCACACAATCAATCAGTAGCTGAATTGGGTTCCACATAGTCACAAAAACAAAAAGAGCCACAAAAACACAAAATAAATAGCAGAAACAGACCTCAGCGTAACACTCAAAATGGAGCATGTTTGGCTTCCGAAAAATGTTTGCAATCCGGAACACTTACAGTGTTCTTACAGGGTTTGCAGTGTTTGGGTTCCAAGTTGTTTGAGTACCAAGACGTCTGAGAACCAAGGTACCACTGTAAGAATGTATAATGCTGTAAACAAAAAATTCAAAAGAAAATAAGAAAAGAAACAGCAAACATCACTGCAATTAATAGGACAGTATTTAATGGGTTTTTTGTTTGTATTTGTAGTATTTATATATTTATGATCTATAATTTAAGGAGACTCATAGTCATATACAGTGGTACCTCGGGTTAAGTACTTAATTCATTCCGGAGGTCCGTTCTTAACCTGAAACTGTTCTTAACCTGAAGCACCACTTTAGCTAATGGGGCCTCCTGCTGCCGCTGCGCCACCGGAGCACGATTTCTGTTCTCATCCTGAAGCAAAGTTCTTAACCTGAAGCACTATTTCTGGGTTAGCGGAGTCTGTAACCTGAAGCGTATGTAACCTGAAGCGTATGTAACCTGAGGTACCACTGTATTCCCACAGAATAGCAAAAGTCATGAACATTTAAAAAAAATTCTTTGGAATCCTGCCTGACAGTCCCCTCCAGGAGACAAGCAAAATTCCTCCTTGTTTAGAAAGGCTTCGGGTTGTGCGACTAATTCCTGCATGCGGTATGATCCTTCCCAACTCATGTTCCATGTCAACCACAAGTGAACCCACCTCTTTGGGTTGCTTTGGCTGACTGGCTCAACCTTGGTGTGGCAAAAACTCTCATCTTCTGCATCACAATCCTTCACTCAGTGCAGTGATCAACTGGAGGCTGATGGCTGTTCTGGGGTGTCTGTGACTCTTCCTGTTGCATCTTCCACTCTTGGCCTTGGAGAACCTTGGGTGGGCCCTGAACCTTTGTCTCGGCTTAGGACGAATGTGAGTGCTCTTTGAAGGCCCCCTAAGCCCAGAGCTATATGGGTGCTGTGTTTTGGGGGTTCTCCTGTGTTGTGCTAAAAGAACAACAGCTGTGAGTCCAAGCAGCCTGGAGACTAGCAGTAGAGGGCTGACTGCTGGCTGTGCCACTGAATCTGTACCATTGGGGGACAATGATGCACGTTGTGTGTCTGATGATGCAGTGGGTGTGCTAGGAGCAGGACTTCATCATTATGAGTCCATTGGCTGCATGTGGGGGCAGCCTGTGGGTATCCTTGCTGGTGGAATCTAGGAATGGTAGGCTTTGATGGTTTTCCAGGAATGCTGTGTCTGTGACTATTAAGCTGACTTCTAATTTTTGGACTGGTGTGTTTTCCCCTCCCAGGTAGAGTGAGACTGAATAGTGAAGAGTGAGACAGTTATTTCGCTGGCAGAGCAACAGAATCACTCTCCGGCCACCCCCATGCACAACCCCTGAGTAAAAGACTGCTCTGCCCATGTTTGTTTTCAGGTCTTATTTTACTGTGTGTTCCCTTGAGGCTCCTTGGAAGGAAAGGTAATAAGCAGATTTTGCAGATAAACCCAGTCCATCCTTAAGTGATGGGAAAAACTAGACAATTTAATCCATGTTTCACTATCACAAAGGGAGAAAATAAATTAGGGAGTGATCCTTTTCTAGACTGCAGCCGGCTCTGGAAGGAAAATTAATCAATATACTTTAAGTTAGTTGAAGCTTACCTTGTTTTGTCTGACATGCTATATTCATCGGATCTAGTATAAGATCTGAAATGTAATGAGAATTAAGATTACTTAACCTTAATTATATACAGATAAACATACTTCAGTTTTGTCATGGAGTTAGCTTTACTATAAAGTCTGAAAGTTAATTATTATTATATGTACTGGGGTGGGCAACCTATGACCCTTCAGAGGTTGCTGGACTACACCTCCCATCTTTCCTGACCACTAGCCACCATGGGTTGTTGCAGTACAACAGCACCTGGAGGGTCACAGGTTTCCTATCCTTGCTTTTCTTTCTTTTGTTGTTGGACATCATCTCCCTCCAGTATGGCCAACCCTTCCCTGATATATACTAACAGCAAACTCCTATCTGTGTTATTATGCAGCTGAAATGCACCTCTGACCCATCAGCAGGCTCAGACGAACCCCAAGGTTTGCAGAAATACAACAAAAATATTAGGAAAAAACCCTAAGCAAGGGACTTTCCTCTCACACACCCCACAATAAAACCCCACAGCCCAATGCAAAAGTGTGTGAGAGGGGAAAGGGAATGTGGAGGCAGCCATGGCTAAAGACTGCATTCTGTTGCAGGTCCTACTTGTCCAAATTGTTGATGGACCAGAAGATTTCAGGTGTGTACAGGGCAGGCCCTGATAAACTGTGGCCAAAGTGACTTACTCAGAATCGCCTAGAGACTCGCTGTCATCTATGCAGTACTTGCTGATTCGTGCCCATTTGACAATCAGGATGGCTGACCCAACCACAATGGGCAGAAAGAGAAATATGCTCAGGAGCACCCACGTCCGCATGTTGTCTTCTATGACTCTTTCTGTAATATCTACATGGAAACAAATTTCACAGCAAAAACCAGGAAAGCTGCCGCATTAGACATTTTTAGCGTGGCACTGCCCAAAGCTCCAATTTTATAAAAAATTTTAAAGATTAGAAAGCAAACTCTTTCCACATTGCTAAAACAGCAACAACCAGAAAGGTTTTTTATTTTTAAATTAGCATTATTGTGGTATAAAAATGTAATATTGTAGTAACACAGTTTTATAGCACCATTCCTCTCTTTCATTTAAAAAAATAGAGAGATGGAAAAGTGTTAAATTAAAAGACCATTTAAAAATATATGAAATGGGGTTATAAAATGGCATCCTTCACAAAGGTCATAGTGAATGTGTACTGAGCTGCAGACAGAAGTTATGTCAAATCCACAGGTGTCCGAGGAACATAGCAGGTTATACACATAGAAAAATGCCCTACTACTAATGATGTAGGAAATCAGTTGCAGTTCTGCTTGCAGCTTACAGCAGAAAAGCAGTAATTGGGTAGCACTAGGAATGTGTTGGCTTCTTTCTCTGCAGTGCTCTCTCTCTCTCTCTCTCTTCTGTGTCTAAATGCTATCCTCACGTGCAGCTCCTGTTCCTTTCACTGGAGTTTGGGCAAGAGTGTCTCCTGGTAGAGTGTCTCCTGTGCTCCAGGGTTATTACAAGCAGAAGAAGGAGGTATTGTTTGGATTTTTTCATTCTGGCACCAATAAGTATTGTTCTGACCCATACTGACTTAGTACTAGTCCACTGGGATTCAGCTGGCGCATCAGAATGCACAAGTCCATCACAGCCTGGTTTAGGGAGGGGCAGTAGTACTAAAACATTTGCTTTTCACTTTTGCTCTTTGAAAGAGAACTAGAAAACAGGGATGGAGAGAGGGGTTAAATCTATACTGAAAATTTTATACTAGCTTAACTGCCACACTTCTCCCATTGCCTGGGAATTGCAGTTTAGTTCAGGTACTAAGAATTCTGAAACATTTCACTCACACTCACTCTCATAAACACACAACCTACAATCCTAAAGTTCCTTTGGAAGAAGGAATGATTATTAAGCTAATGTGCTGTCACTTCTTATCTTGTTCTTTCTGCCTTGAGAAAGACAGAAAATTCAAGGGAAGAATAAAGAGGGGAATGAATGGGTTAAAACATAAATCAAACCCAGTCCCATGTTTTCAGGTTGAGATGAAAAGTGGGTCCTAATTCTAAACAGTTTGGAAACTACTGCAGCAGAGCTATTTGTCAGGATGGAAGATCCTGCTTTTACTGACCAGAAGCCAACATACGAAGCCCACTGTCAATGCTTCCTCCTAGGGGGCCTCCTTTTTCCTTGCAATTTGGAGGTGCCCATCCTGGATCACAGTGGCAGTTTCTTTTGTTGTTGCAAATCTGAAGGTGGGGGAGGAATAGGAAACATTTACTCCTTGCTTATGTGCTTTATCTTAAAAAGAAAAATATGCTTCAAGAAAACATTATTATTCTTATTACTTCCTGAGTAGGACCTCAGTTCTAGTCTAAAATAAAATTAAGGATAAAGTAGTAGTAGTAGTAGTAGTAGTAGTAGTAGTAATTATTATTATTATTTCATTATTTGTACCCCGCCCATCTGACTGGTTTGCCCCAGCCACTCTGGGTTGCTTCCAGCATATATAAAAACATAATAAAACATTAAACATTAAAAAATTTCCTATACAGGGCTGCCTTCAGATGTCTTCTAAAGGTTGAATAGAATATCTCCTTGACATCTGATGGGAGGGCATTCACAGAGAGGGCACCACTGCTGAGAAGGCCCTCTGCTTGGTTCCCTGTAACGCTCACTTCTCGCTGGAACTGCCAGAAAGCCCTTGGAGCTGGACCTTCAAAGGTAGCCCCATGTAGAGTACGCTGCAGTAGTCCAAGCGAGAGATAACCATGGTATGTACCACTGTGCTGAGATAGTACGCAGGCAGGTAGGGTCTCAGCCAGCGTACCAGATGGAGCAGGTAGACAGCTGTCCTGAAAATAGAATTAACCTGTGCCTCCATGGACAGCTGTGAGTCCAAAATGGCTCCCAGGCTGCGCACCTGGTCCTTCAAGGGCACAGTTACCCCATTCAGGACTAGGAAGTCCTGCCCCCTGTCCTCCAGAAACAGTACTTGTGTTTTGTTGAGATTCAATCTCAACCTGTTAGCTGCCATCCATCCTCCAACCGCTTCCAGACACTCACACCGGACATTCACTAGTTCCAATTTAAATGGAAGGGATCCAAATGTTCCACATCCTCTAGACATGCCTGGAGCTGTTGAGCAACCACCTGCTCAATTACTTTGCCTAAGAATGGAAGATTTGATGATAATTGCCCATAATGGCTGGGTCCAAAGAGAATCAGCTGAGAGGCCATCAACAGGGGAACGCTTCAGGCACTCAAGAAAATACCAAATAGTTTATGAGGGAAAACCAGCATCTCCTTTTTATAGCTGAAACACTAACATGGAAAATATAACATTCATTTTACTTACTCCATGCCCAAAGCACTTTTTTGTAGGATCACAATCATATTTCAGGATGCCATACTTTTCACATACTTGTTTGATACAAACCTTTAAAAAAAGCAATAGTATTTTTCAGTTTTCAAGAAGAGTTGCTGCCCTGCAACAGACCTTTTGCGTCCACCAGACCCCATCTATGAGTGCTTCCAGACAGGTGTTTATTGTGAGATCTTAATGCAAGATTTTTTCAGTGTATGTACAATGTCATCTGCATCCAAGTGCTAGTCTGTATTTTTCCCTCCATTAATCCAGATCTACCCTTTTTACAGGAAAACTGTGTGGGATGTAAAACACAGGAGCAGTCAATTACAACATTCCTAGAGTATACATGTTAAGACATGGGGAGGGATGTCTGTCCAGCCAGCAGGTAAACTTCCTGGGACAACAGGAATGTTGTAATTGATAAAAGTACAGGGCAGGACAGCCATCTCTCTCTTGCCTCTTGCTCTCTCTGCCATCTTCCTTCGAAGAAGCCACATCTGCTAAAGATGCCCTCTTGGCTCCCAGCCAAGAGAGCAGAAAGGGACTATCGTCCTATAAGATAGATTCTAAATGTATTTTACCTTTTTAAGCCTGTCTGCCTTCTGGGATCCTATTGTGAACAGAACGTGAGTAAACTCTTTTTATACTTTTATAAAAGACTGTGTCGTGTCTTCTATTTTAAGAGGGAACAAAGGGGAAATTACCAGAGTAATTATTATAGAGGTTCTAGCGAACCTGAGCACACATTACCGTTGCGAACTTAAAAGGGGAACGTCTACTAACTCTGCTGATATTTTGGGAACTTGTTAGCACAAGTTGGATAAGGATATAATCTCACAATATATCCTCTCCTGCATCCCTGAACATTCCCACAAAGGGTTATTGGCCCCAGTATTCCATATTTTTGTGTATTTTTGAAGGATTGCGTTGGATTGTGATTTTCAGTTGAGTAGTATTTTTCTGAGATAACTTCCTGGTAAGCACATGGTCCTTTAAACTGACTAATGTGGGGGAGGGAGACAGTGCTCCTGAAGGTAGGAGTCTTATCAATTGATGAAGATGATCATCCAAATGTCGTCATAGACCAAATGGAGCAAACAGCACGCAGACCTAGTGGTGGGAGGAAAAAATCCTTAAATAAGAGACACAGGGGAATGAGTAATGGACTTCAATGTCTGTACACTAATGCGCAAAGCATGGGAAATAAACAAGATGAGCTTGAGCTCTTGGTACGGCAAACTAAATATGACATAATAGGCATCACTGAAACCTGGTGGGATAAGTCCCACGATTGGAATGTAATAATGGGGGGGATACAATCTATTTCAGAGAAACAGACCAGACAAGAAAGGAGGAGGAGTGGCGTTATATGTCAGGGATGTGTATACCTGTGAAGAGATCCAAGATTTAGAACCTCAAAGCCAAAGTGAGAGCATTTGGGTCAAAATTAAGGGAGAGAAGAATAACAGTGACCTCATTGTGGGAGTTTACTATAGATCCCCAAGCCAAACGGAGGACATAGATGATGCCTTCCTGGAACAGATGGCCAAGCATGCAAAAGGAAGGGAGATAGTAGTAATGGGGGACAAAGTCAGAAAAGCTAAAGCACAGAATGAACTCAGGCTTGCTAGAGAGGTTAAAAGCAACAAAAAAGGCTTTTATGGGTATGTTCGTAGCAAAAGGAAGAACAAAGAAACAGTGGGGTCACTCAGAGGAGAAGATGGTGAAATGCAAACGGGGACACAGAAAGGGCTGAACTCCTCAATGCCTTCTTTGCCTCAGTCTTCTCCAATAAAGAAAACAATGCCCGACCTGAAGAATTTGAAGCAAATGATTCAGCAAAGGAAACACAGCCCAGAATAACTAAGGAGATAGTACAAGAATACTTGGCTAGTTTAGGTGTATTCAAGTCTCCAGGGCCAGATGAATTGCATCCAAGAGTATTAAAAGAACTTGCAGATGTGATCTCAGAACCACTGGCAGTCATCTTTGAGAATTCCTGGAGAACAGGCGAAGTCCCAGCAGACTGGAGGAGGGCAAATGTTGTCCCTATTTTCAAAAAGGGGAAAAGAGAGGACCCAAATAATTACCGCCCAGTCAGTCTGACATCAATACCAGGGAAGATTCTGGAGCAGATCATTAAGCAAACAGTCTGTGAGCACCTAGAAAGGAATGCTGTGATCACCAATAGTCAGCATGGATTTCTGAAAAATAAGTCATGTCAGACTAACCTGATCTCGTTTTTGACAGAATTACAAGCCTGGTAGATGAAGGGAACGCAGTGGATGTAGCCTGCCTTGATTTCAGCAAGGCATTTGACAAGGTGCCCCATGATATTCTTGTAAAGAAGCTGGTAAAATGCGGTCTTGACTATGCTACCACTCAGTGGATTTGTAACTGGCTGACTGACCGAACCCAAAGGGTGCTCATCAATGGTTCCTCTTCATCCTGGAGAAGAGTGACTAGTGGGGTGCCACAAGGTTCTGTCTTGGGCCCGGTCTTATTCAACATCTTTATCAACGACTTGGATGATGGACTCAAGGGCATCCTGATCAAATTTGCAGATGACACCAAACCGGGAGGGGTGGCTAACACCCCAGGGGACAGGATCACACTTCAAAACGACCTTGACAGATTAGAGAACTGGGCCAAAACAAACAAGATGAATTTTAACAGGGAGAAATGTAAAGTATTGCACTTGGGCAAAAAAAAGGAGAGGCACAAATACAAGATGGGGGACACCTGGCTTGAGAGCAGTACATGTGAAAAGGATCTAGGAGTCTTGGTTGACCACAAACTTGACATGAGCCAACAGTGTGACGCGGCAGCTAAAAAGCCAATGCAATTCTGGGCCTCATCAATAGGAGTATAGCATCTAGATCAAGGGAAGTAATAGTGCCACTGTATTCTGCTCTGGTCAGACCTCACCTGGAGTACTGTGTCCAGTTCTGGGCACCACAGTTCAAGAAGGACACTGACAAACTGGAACGTGTCCGGAGGAGGGCAACCAAAATGGTCAAAGGCCTGGAAACGATGCCTTATGAGGAACGGCTAAGGGAGCTGGGCATGTTTAGCCTGGAGAAGAGGAGGTTAAGGGGTGATATGATAGCCATGTTCAAATATATAAAAGGATGTCACATAGAGGAGGGAGAAAGGTTGTTTCTGCTGCTCCAGAGAAGCGGACACGGAGCAATGGATCCAAACTACAAGAAAGAAGATTCCACCTAAACATTAGGAAGAACTTCCTGACAGTAAGAGCTGTTCGACAGTGGAATTTGCTGCCAAGGAGTGTGGTGGAGTCCCCTTCTTTGGAGGTCTTTAAGCAGAGGCTTGACAACCATATGTCAGGAGTGCTCTGATGGTGTTTCCTGCTTGGCAGGGGGTTGGACTCGATGGCCCTTGTGGTCTCTTCCAACTCTATGATTCTATGATTCTATGATTCTTTGTTCCATTGTGCAGTGGGGATTAAGCAACCCTCCCCCCTTCCCTCAGAGTTCACCATGACCTAAGGCAGTGAAGGATTATTTTTTATTTTGAGATTTTTGAGATTTTGATTTTAGAATTTTGCGAAATTTTGAATTTTGAAGAATTTTCAAAAAATTTGTAGGCGTGGCGTTTCGCATACCCTACTGGCAACCACTCTAAGCTGCTTATTAGCGGCAGCGCTGAGTTCTGCGAGCAGAGTGGGTGGAAACATCTTCACGGGAACCCGGATGTTCTTTCAGAACAGTTTGACTCAGATGAGGAAGAGGAGGACGACGAAACTGAACCTGTTGCTGAGGTGCACACTCCACAGCCACAGAGTCCAGAACCAGGGTCCCCAAGGGAGAGGCTCCGAACCTCTCCAAAGGGAAGTCCCAAGACCCCTCCACAGGTCTCTGTCAAGTCTGAGCCAAGGAGTGAGCCATCCTCGCCTACAGACCCAGTTGTGAGGCCTAAAAGGCGCAGCAGGTCAGAGGGGGACGTTTCTGACACAGGGGATGGTGTGGCTGGCCCTAGTGAATCAGGTGCAGTTCCAGAATTCACGCTGAGAAGGTCAGCAAGGTCAACCAAAGGAAAGGTATGAAGCCACTATCGTGTGGGTAGGTGTGGCTAGATGTGAACCTGAATCCTTTGAGGATGTTCAGAAGTTGCCTCAGGAAGAAGCTAGCAAATGGCATGAGGAGATGTGGAAGATGAACTCAATGGAATCTCTTGGTATGTTCTCACTCACACAATTGTCGGCTGCCAAGCAGGCTATGAGTTGCAGATGGGTTTATCGCCTGTGGACCCACAGAAGCTGGAGAACCACAATATAAAGGTTGGAAAGCGAACATTTTGACGTGGATGTCGCCTATCTGAACTCAGACCTCCAGGAGGACTACATGCTTCCTCCTCCAGGGTTTGAGGTCAGTGGGCCAGGCATCGTGTGGCGGTTGCACAAATCCATTTATGGGTTACGTCAATCTGCCAGAAACTGGAACATGTGTCTGAATGAAGCCTTAGAAGAGCTAGGTTTCAAGAGAAGTGTTGCTGACAGCTGTCTTAAAGGGTCAGGTGTGACACAGGAAGCTGCTCAGATTTTTCTTGATGATATTTTGTACATATCACAGACAGGTAAACAAGTGGAGAAGTTTGCTAGGGAGCTTGGAAAGCTGTTCAAGCTCAAGCAGCTTGGAGATGTCAAGTCGTATCTAGGCGTAGGGATAACTAGAACAAGATATGGAAGCTTTTTGCTCAACCAGAAAGGTAAGATTGAGCAGTTGCTTGAGAAGTTCAGAATGTCTGAGTGTGCAGGTGTCAAAACACTCATGGAGGCTGGTTACGTGAAAGAATGTCAGCAAGTAGAACGCTCTGTGTTCGAAAATGCTGAACTCTTTCAGCTCTGGGTAGTCTACTGTATCTGTCACAGTGGAGCAGACCAGATATAGCGTTTGCTATCAATCTGCTCAGTAGAGAGGCTTCAAGTCCAAGTGTACAGGCCTGGAATGGTATTAAACGGGTGCTGCGTTACCTGCAAGATACCAAAGATTTTTGCCTCAAGTTGTCAGCTGAGGGTGATGTCAAGCTTACAGCGTGGGTGGATTCGGATTGGGCTAACCTTCAGGACTGCAAATCAGTTCAGGCCTAGTGGTGAAGTTTGGGAACTCAGTAGTTGGGTGGAGGTCCCGGAAGCAAAGTCTCATAGCGCTTTCGTCTACTGAAGCTGAGTTCAGTGCGCTATCTGAGGTTTGCAGAGAACTGGAGTTCTATGCGTGTTTGGTCCAGGAACTCTGTGAAGGTCTGTGTTTGGGGTGAGCATTGTTGCTTGTTTCCCCCAGATGCAGGACAAGAGGGGGTGTGGAGTTTGGAGGTTATAGGGTTAAACTCCTTGGTGTCCTGTATCTGGGGAGGGGCCGTACATCACAGGCTTTGTCCGTTTTTGTCTGTGAAAGCTACTTTCACATTAGACTGAGAGTCACTGTAGAGACTGTGTGTGCTTTTAGCACGGGAAAGATGCCGGAGAGTTCCGATGGAATGAGACTGATTTATGGCTTGTAAATAAACACTTTTAGAGATAGCAAGAAACTGTCTCTGGACTTGTTTTATCCCTCTATCTCACACGGACGGCAGGACCGCTGCGACTCTGCATTTTCTGCCCAGGTCAGTCCCAGCAGAGCTGAGCAGGGAGCGCTGACTGGACGGCAGGATTAATTTGCATAGGCCATATGCTAAAGTGGATGGAGCAAGAGAGATGACAGAAGCCGGCCATGCAAGTCTGCGGCCATGCTGTGTGGGTTGACATGCAAACCCCTCTCTCCCTCTTCCACTCAGGCAAGCAAGAGGTGTCAGCACTGCTCAGGGACATGTTGCAGCCAAGCAAAAGCAGCCCAGGAGGGCACAGGTCAAGGCCAGTGAGAGGTGAGATCTGTGGAGGGGGCATAGCCTGAGGAGAAAGAAAAGTCTGCAGGGCTGCATTAAGCCCCCTGGCCCTGAGGTCCCCCCCTCACTTTCGGCACTTATGAACAAACAACGTCTAATTGCATTTGCTGATTTCCATCTCTGCTTCTCCCATCGCTCCCAGCCCATCATACCTGTCTCCTCAAAGCTGAAATTTAGATTTTAAGTTCTTCAAGCATGAGACCAGTGGTCTTCCTTTTGCTTATGCTGCTCTCTAGGACACCATACACACTGGTGACAACATTTAAATCACAGTAATAGTCATGCTGTGTCAGATTGTATCCCTTACCTTTTTAGTTCCACATTTTGTACCATCTTTCACCAGCATTGGGTCCGGAAAGCCCTCTGGTTGTTGAAGGTCCAGAGATATACAAAGGGTATCTTGGAAAGGAGTGTACAGAATTGGAATGTTCATGTCAACATAAGGCTTTCTGGTTGGATAGACACAAATTAACTTTCCACATTTGATATCCCTATCAAAGGAATTGGAGAAAAGAACAGGATCACACATTTGTAAAGAGTTGGGGATTATGTATTGGAAATGTTTTTTTCACCTCCAAAATATCAGATTTAACAACTGAAGTATATTTTTGAACATGTTACCTAAAAATGCATGCTTTTCATTACACAGATGACATGTGGGAGGGGCTGTCATTCCTCAACCTTTGAAACATCTGGCATCAAAGATTACTGCCCAACAGTTTGTGCCCAACGGATTTATTTTGGTATATCTTAATTTGTTGTAGTAGTATGGTTTTGCTCTGTTGATTTTCTTATGTGAACTACCTTATAATCATTTTGGTGAAAGGCAAGCTACAATTAATTAATTAACTAATCCTTCCTCTCAATCCATTTTTCTTTTATGTTGTGTCCGTTATTTTTTCAAATTAGTTTTTATTAAAGATTTTATTGTGTAGCAAACAAACAAATAGACAAAAAAAGTACATATAGTGTCTCTACTTTCAATTCATAGTTTTTTTCACAGTTCATTAACATTTAGTACTAGACACATATGCGATTGGGGGACAAGAGAGAGGGAAGGGGAGAGAGATGAGGGGACACTGATATTTTGTTCTGTTGTGTAGTTTGTGCAGGGTTTTTATGTCAGCATCGTGTGGGTAGGTCCTCTATATATTTATATATTTATTCATTTATGATGGCACTGCGAGAGATTTGAGTGCCCAACGCTCGGTTGGTTGTGTTCAGTTAGTTGCAGTGTGGTTGGTTGGTTGGTTGGTTGGTTGGTTTGTATGAGGGTATGGGGTTGTTGGGTCAGATTACCCATATTGATTCTTATGCTGTTGGGGTGGGGGAGAGAATAGATCATTGTCTTGTTGTGCTGTATATATGATAAAGGGGAGCCACACCCGTGCAACTTTAAGTTTGTTGGTTAACTTTTCTAATAGGGCAGTTTTCTATACTTTTTGGTACTAGTGGTCTATATTCACTCCTGATAGGTCATTCCAGTGTCTAGTCATGATGTTTTTAGTTGCTGAGAGTAAGTGACTTGTCATGTGAGTTGTTCCTTGGAAGATATTTAACAGGACTAATTCTGGAGTTGCTTCTATTACTTGTTTTGTTATTATGCAGATTTCCTGCAGCACTGATATACAAAAGGATTAAATTTGGGGGCATTCCCACCACATGTGGAGGTACGTGGCCATGGAAGTGCAGCCTCTCCAGCATTTAGATGAGGAAGTGCCAGATTCCGTGGTGTTAGGTTCCATCTATAGATAAGTTTCAGAATGAGTTCTCTTCTTTTGGCTGAGATGGATTTAAATGATGGGGAGGTGTGAGGGCTCTGACAGGACCCTAGAGTCCTCCTGCTTCCTTCCCAAAGCCTAGTTAGCACTTGCCCAGCTTTAGGGTGGGAGGGTGGGTAGGAAGGAGGTGGGAGGGAGATTTGTGCCTCCTTCCCAAAGCTTGGTGCCTCCCTTCCCCGGCTTTTGGAAGGCAGCTTTGGGTGGAGTGGGGAACACGTCAAATTTGGGCCTCACACAGGGCACCATATTACCAAGATCCGCCCCTGCTTGGAAGTGAACTGAGGACTTGTAAACCTCTGTCTCGAGGCTCTGCTGCCTTTGGGGAACTAGAATCTCCTAAAGGGCCTGAAAATAGGCACTTCTTCAGTGCTCCATGACCTCCCATTTGGTGTGCTTCTTGCACCGTTGGACTGACAGTGTGGGAGACACTGTGTTCCTTGGTCTTGAGGGAAGAGATGCCCATGACAATCCTGGCTCCAGCACCATGGGCCTTGATGCTGTGGGATGTGGTTCAGCAGACACCTGACTGTCAACCACAGTTTAGTGGGACTGACCTCCAGCATCAAGGGTCAGGGTCATAAACCAAGTGCCGTCCCTCAGCTAGTGACACAGGAGCCTCCAACTGGGTGTCCTAGTCCCTGTGGGAGGATCATGACAGCCCACTCCACCTGGCTACCTTGATACCATAACAACAGTAAAAACATGCACCATACAATAGAAGATGCCCAAGCCGCCAACCCACAAACATCCTGCCACACTCCTCCCCCTGAAAATTTTATTTCAGTTTCTTCTGTTTCCTAATCACATACCGGAAAGAACAAGTCTTAAATCCCTTTCGTATGTCAATCCCACAGTGTCCAAATCTATCTGTCTGACCATTAATTTCTTCATAACATGCTTGAGGAGCACTTTTTGACTCTATAAATATTAAAAGGATTTTGATTAGAATAACTAAAATGAAACATTTAATAGTTTTCTTTTAGCAATGCTCTTAACAGATACTTTCATATGTGTACAAACAAATCAGTCTGATGCATAAATTGGATTTGCCTCTGCAAATAATGAATGTTAGCCCTGAAGGTGCTGCAAGACTGTTGTTTTCACTGAAGCAGAATTATTTAGTTATTTAAGATATCTTCTTCATGCAGCACATAGTTAAACATAGAATCATAGAATCATAGAGTTGGAAGAGACCACAAGGGCCATCGAGTCCAACCCCCTGCCAAGCAGGAAACACCATCAGAGCACTCCTGACATATGGTTGTCAAGACTCTGCTTAAAGACCTCCAAAGAAGGAGACTCCACCACACTCCTTGGCAGCAAATTCCACTGTCGAACAGCTCTTACTGTCAGGAAGTTCTTCCTAATGTTTAGGTGGAATCTTCTTTCTTGTAATTTGGATCCATTGCTCCGTGTCCGCTTCTCTGGAGCAGCAGAAAACAACCTTTCTCCCTCCTCTATGTGACATCCTTTTATATATTTGAACATGGCTATCATATCACCCCTTAACCTCCTCTTCTCCAGGCTAAACTTGCCCAGCTCCCGTAGCCGTTCCTCATAAGGCATCGTTTCCAGGCCTTTGACCATTTTGGTTGCCCTCCTCCGGACACATTCCAGTTTGTCAGTGTCCTTCTTGAACTGTGGTGCCCAGAACTGGACACAGTACTCCAGGTGAGGTCTGACCAGAGCAGAATACAGTGGCACTATTACTTCCCTTGATCTAGATGCTATACTCCTATTGATGAGGCCCAGAATTGCATTGGCTTTTTAGCTGCCGCGTCACACTGTTGGCTCATGTCAAGTTTGTGGTCAACCAAGACTCCTAGATCCTTTTCACATGTACTGCTCTCAAGCCAGGTGTCCCCCATCTTGTATTTGTGCCTCTCCTTTTTTTTGCCCAAGTGCAATACTTTACATTTCTCCCTGTTAAAATTCATCTTGTTTGTTTTGGCCCAGTTCTCTAATCTGTCAAGGTCGTTTTGAAGTGTGATCCTGTCCCCTGGGGTGTTAGCCACCCCTCCCAGTTTGGTGTCATCTGCAAATTTGATCAGGATGCCCTTGAGTCCATCATCCAAGTCGTTGATAAAGATGTTGAATAAGACCGGGCCCAAGACAGAACCCTGTGGCACCCCACTAGTCACTCTTCTCCAGGATGAAGAGGAACCATTGATGAGCACCCTTTGGGTTCGGTCAGTCAGCCAGTTACAAATCCACTGAGTGGTAGCATAGTCAAGACCGCATTTTACCAGCTTCTTTACAAGAATATCATGGGGCACCTTGTCAAATGCCTTGCTGAAATCAAGGTAGGCTACATCCACTGCGTTCCCTTCATATACCAGGCTTGTAATTCTGTCAAAAAACGAGATCGGGTTAGTCTGACATGACTTATTTTTCAGAAATCCATGCTGACTATTGGTGATCACAGCATTCCTTTCTAGGTGCTCACAGACTGTTTGCTTAATGATCTGCTCCAGAATCTTCCCTGGTATTGATGTCAGACTGACTGGGCGGTAATTATTTGGGTCCTCTCTTTCCCCCTTTTTGAAAATAGGGACAACATTTGCCCTCCTCCAGTCTGCTGGGACTTCATCTGTTCTCCAGGAATTCTCAAAGATGACTGCCAGTGGTTCTGAGATCACATCTGCCAGTTCTTTTAATACTCTTGGATGCAGTTCATCTGGCCCTGGAGACTTGAATACATCTAGACTAGCCAAGTATTCTTGTACTTGGCATTGTTTTCTTTATCGGAGAAGACTGAGGCAAAGAAGGCATTGAGGAGTTCAGCCCTTTCTGTGTCCCCTGTTTGCATTTCACCATCTTCTCCTCTGAGTGACCCCACTGTTTCTTTGTTCTTCCTTTTGCTCTGAACATACCCATAAAAGCCTTTTTTGTTGCTTTTAACCTCTCTAGCAAGCCTGAGTTCATTCTGTGCTTTAGCTTTTCTGACTTTGTGTCTACACGTGCTGGCTATTTGTTTGAATTCCTCTTTGGTGGTTTCCCCCTTTTCCATTTTTGTACACATCCTTTTTAATCTTAACTCAGTTAAAAGTTCTTTAGATAGCCACCCTGGCTTCTTTAGGCACCTTCCATGTTTCCGTCTCATTGGTATTGCCTGAAGTTGTGCTTTTACTATCTCCGTCTTAACAAACTCCCAGCCATCATGAACTCCCTTTCCTTTTAGTATTACTGTCCATGGGATCTCACCCAGCACTTTCCTAAGTTTTATGAAGTCGGCTTTCTTAAAGTCAAGAAATTGAGTCCTAGTATGCTTGGCTGCTCCTTTCCGCTGTATAGTAAACTTCAGAAGAGCATGATCACTCGCGCCTAATGATCCTTCCACTTCTACCCCACTAACCAGGTCATCAACATTGGTTAGGACCAGATCTAAAATGGCTGTTCCTCTTGTTGCTTCTCCCACTTTCTGGACAATGAAGTTGTCTGCAAGGCCAGTGAGGAATCTGTTTGACCTTATGCTCTTGGCTGAGTTTGACATCCAACAAATATCCGGGTAATTGAAGTCCCCCATTACTACTATCTCCCTTCCTTTTGCATGCTTGGCCATCTGTTCCAGGAAGGCATCATCTATGTCCTCCGTTTGGCTTGGGGATCTATAGTAAACTCCCACAATGAGGTCACTGTTATTCTTCTCTCCCTTAATTTTGACTCAAATGCTCTCACTTTGGCTTTGAGGTTCTAAATCATGGAGATCGCTGCAAGATGTAGTGAAGGCCACCAATTGAGATGGATTTAAAAGGGCATTTGCAAAATTATGAATGGTAAGTCTATAGATAGCTACTAGCTATGACAGCTCTATATACAGTATAACTTCCTGTAGAAAGAGGCAGAAGGAGCAGCAGAGCTACTTGTAGGCTTCCTATAGGCATCTTGTTGGCTACGGTGAGAACAGAATCCTGACTAGATAGGCCTTCGGTCTGATTCAGCAGGATCCCCCATAAAGGCATTTGATGAAGGGCTCCACCAAAACAACATAACTGAACAGGTTGGCATGGTAACTAACAGCAGTTTGGCTTGTGCCTAAGTGCAGTTAGGTAGCTAGTAGAGTGATTTTAAAGTTGGCATAAAATGCATAAACCTGGTCATACCAGTCAGAATTCTGGTAGCCATCTTCTGAACTAAGGAAGAAGAAGCATGCCTTGGAAACCAGCCACATTGGGACTAGTTGCAAACGTGGAAGGCAGCACAACTAACACTATGAGCTTCCCCCTCCAGCCAGCTCAGCCAAAAGGGCATATGTGTCAGGAAAGCCCCCCAAACAGGGTGTGGGGGGAGGAGGGGGTAGAAGGTTTCAACCCCGTTCACATCCTGAATAGAACAGGTCACGTTTTGCTGCTTCCGTGCATGCGCGTGACGTCATTTTGACCATCTCCGCCTGCGTGAGTGACAAAACCAGGAAGTTCACCAGTTCACCGTGGAGCGCAACCCGAAAATACTTATCCTGAAGCATATTTATCCCGAAGTATGACTGTACAGTAGTGTGACGCTGAATTCTGCTCAAAGAGTTCAAGAGAAAGCCAGGACTCATTCAACGGGCAAACTGGTATAAAAGCTGAGGAAAGCTCATGGTATAGGTATGAGTGGGCATGCACACACAATTTGGTTACAGAAGGAAGCTGCTTGCTTCCTTGCTTGTTCTTTTTAAGAGTAAATATTTCATTTTGTTTTTAAAAGAAGCCAAAAAGCAAGTTGTCTCACTTACTTTCACCAAAAAGATCCTGACACTGTAGATCAGCTGCCTGACAGGATCCACCATAACAGTAGCCAGCATTAGAAGCACAGCTATAGCCATTCTGGGCATAAACATTGCTTGGGCAGGACGCCGAACTGCCATTGCAGTACTCAGGAAAATCGCAGACACTATCTACAGCTGCTCTACAGATTGTGTTTCTTGGCTTAAACTAGGTGAAAAGGAAAAGGAAGAAGGAAAGTATCAATAGCATTTTTCACGGAGGACTACAGCTAGGGTTGAGAAGGATTCCTGTTGACTCCACAATTTGCAGTTAACCTTCCCATTTCATTACCCTCAGACTTATGCACAGGTCCTAAAGTTGTTTAAGCCACATAATCACCGGACTGAACAGGGCACATGCCCACACAGTCCTTACAAGATGGTCTAAGGCCTGTCTGTTTCTTTAACTCTTAAGAGGTTGTAAGCTGCTTAGAGCAGCTCCATAGCCAAACACCACATGTGGGAACCATATGGAAAAAAGTGGCTGTCTACCTTTGGTGTCTGACGTCTTTTTTCCACTCATTGTACAGAAAAATGTGCAGATGGCATGCTAGCATGGTCTTCCTGGAGGCTGTTTATTGCCTCAATATGAGTATTTATGTGCATGTTTTACATATTTAGTTCCTCATATTCCACACTTGGGGACGCGGGTGGCGCTGTGGGTTAAACCACAGAGCCTAGGACTTGCCGATCAGAAGGTTGGTGGTTCGAATCCCCACGATGGGGTGAGCTCCCATTGCTCGGTCCCTGCTCCTGCCAACCTAGCAGTTCGAAAGCACATCAAAGTGCAAGTAGATAAATAGGTACCGCTCCGGCAGGAAGGTAAACGGTGTTTCCATGCGCTGCTCTGGTTCACCAGAAGCGGCTTAGTCATGCTGGCCACATGACCCGGAAGCTGTACACTGGCTCCCTCGGCCAATAAAGCAAGATGAGCGCCGCAACCCCAGAATCGGGCACGACTGGACCTAATGGTCAGGGGTCCCTTTACCTTTATTCCACCCTTACTTTGAACTGGAGCACAGAGTGGATTACAATGCTGTTGGGGATTGCTGTAAAAACTAGGTCATTTGTTCTCAGAAAATTGTTATCTATGTTAATTACTGACATGAGTTTGGGGAGTTGCCCACCACCTGCAAGGTCAAAGAAATGAAGTGACAAGTGCCAGAGTGCACAGAAATGCCGTTTACCTTCCCGCTGCAGCAGTACCTATTTATCTACTTGCACTGGTGTGCTTTCAAACTGCCAGGTTGGTAGGAGCTGGGACAGAGCAATGGGAGAAACAAGGCTTTGATGAAACAAGGCCTGGGAAACAGACTGTGGGACTAGCTTCCTGAACCATTAGTAGAGTAGTATAATTTTATTATATATTTATTTATCTCTTCCCTAGAGATTAGTGAAGCCCTGCCTTGGGCTGAGCAGAGAGTCTCTTGTGCCTGAAGGCTAGATGAGTTGCCGTTGAAGGTATAATTTGAGTGCAGTGAGCCGTCTTTGATCAGTAACTGCATTCCCTGTTGTGGCTGCAGCCTTTGGGGCATTTGTTATGAATTGCTATATTGTAGTCTGGTGGCCATGTGCATTGCTTTGCAATCAATAAAACCGTCTCCTTTTTGTGATTTGGATTTCTCCTACATGGTCTGCAGAACTTTGGTAAACCTTCACACTCACCTGTGTAAGTGCTTACATTGCTGCTGAGATCCCGAGATTCTTTCCCTACCCTTGAACAACATCAGCATTTAATGCTGATATGGAAATCCTCAAAAGTGGCATTCCATCTTTAAAGGAAATTCTTCCTTGATCTGATTGCAGTTCAAAGTTAATTAGAATCTTACATCAGGCTGCAAATGGTTGTAACTAACTAAGTTCTACTCACAGTAGACACATTGAAATTAATGAAACTAAGCTAGCCATGTCCATTAACTTTGATGGGTCAGCTTTGTGTAGGATGAGCATTGGCTGCAACACAGAGGTTACGGAGATAAAATTCAGAGGAGGTGGTAGTGTCAATTCAAACAAACTGAGGTGAATGTGTGGCCAAGGCAGTGAAGAGAGTACTTTAGCATCTTACCTGACAGTTTTCACAGCACAATTCGTTGCTGCACACTGCTCCACGGAGAAACGTACATGAGCTAGTACAACATTTACTGTACTTACATTCCTGAAAACAAAAATCATACAGCTTTTTGTTTGGGGTCAGTAAAGAGTTTAGACAATGAAAAAAATGAAAGTGAAAGCTGAAACTCCAAAACTTTAAGGCCAACGGGGCACTCTATTGTTTTATCTTTTTTTTGTAATAATAATAATAATAATAATAATAATAATAATAATAATAATAATAAATTTATTTATATCCCACCCTCCCCAGCCGAAGCTGGGCTCAGGGCGGCTAACAACAATCAAAATAATCCAACGTTCTAAAAACATTTCATTATAAAAATTAATTAAAATCAAATTGGCAACCATTAAGCAAAATTCTGTGCAGATTGCCAGAGGAGGGGGTCAGGCTGCGCCCTGACCAAAGGCCTGGTGGAACAGCTCTGTCTTACAGGCCCTGCGGAAAGATGTCAGGTCCCGCAGGGCCCTAGTCTCTTGTGACAGAGCGTTCCACCAGATTGGAGCTGCGGCCGAGAAAGCCCTGGCTCTAGTTGAGGCCAGCCTAACCTCTCTGTGGCCTGGGATCTTCAGGATGTTTTTATTTGCAGACTGTAAGTTCCTCTGTGGGACATACCAGGAGAGGCGGTCCCGTAGGTACGAGGGTCCTAGGCCGTATAGGGCTTTAAAGGTTAAAACCAGCACCTTAAACCTGATCCTGTACTCCACCGGGAGCCAGTGCAGTTGGTATAGTACCAGATGAATGTGATCACGCAGCGAAGACCCCATAAGGAGTCTCGCCGCGGCATTCTGCACCCGCTGGAGTTTCTGGGTCAGTCTCAAGGGCAGCCCCGTGTAGAGCGAGTTACAATAATCCAGTCTGGAGGTGACCGTCGCGTGGATCACAGTGGCTAGGTCAGGACGAGAGAGATAAGGAGCCAACTGCTTAGCTTGGTGGAGATGAAAAATGCCGCCTTTGTTATAGCTGTAATCTGCGCCTCCATAGAGAGGGAGGTATCGAAGATTACATCCAAACCCTTAACGGACGATGCTGGCACTAATTGCACCCCCGCAAGAAATGGGAGTTGCCCCCTCAATCCCATATTGTCCCGTCCCAGCCAGAGGACCTCTGTCTTCGAAGGATTTAACTTCAACCGGCTCCCACGTAACCATCCAGCCACAGCCTCCAGACATCTGGTCAGTGTGTCTGGGGCCGAGTCAGGATGGCCATCCATCAACAGATAGAGTTGGGTGTCATCAGCATACTGATGGCAACCCAGCCCCAAACTCCGGACAAGCTGGGCGAGGGGGCGCATAAAGATGTTGCTTTGAGGTAAGCTTTGAGGTTTGTTTTACAATCAAGCAGTGTATGAATTTTATTAAATAAATAAATGTAAAGGTTTATACATGGAATCTGCTCAAATCTTTTCTGCTACATCATGCTTTTTTACACAGAGGAATTTCAAAATACAGGAAAGGACAAGAGGGAAAGGTTGACTTCAAATTTTACTCAAATAAACCTGATTATAATACTATTTTTAATATACGAACCACTTCCCAGAGGTATTTACAAATATATATCAGTTACAACTATTACATATAACAAAAATCTTACTATATACAGGTATTTAAATAAAAATAACAGTCTAAAACAACACCAGCACATAACATTAAATCAGTTCAGATTCAATATAGACATCAGCTGGGATAAAGATATCCATTTAGAACGCTTGTTGAGATATCAGTTATGAGATTCTGTCACCCCACCCCACCCCACCAGCAACCAAGCTGCCACTATCAAGAGTATTATGAGCAGCCTGGGGGAGGAGGGGTGCTGTTTAATCATTCCCTTCCTGTAGTTTGTATGTACATCATCACCCCCTTATTTGCTTTTATACTCAACAGAGGGGGAAAAATAAAGGTTCAATGCATCTTTCTTCCTCTAGGGAGAGAGAATGCTTCGGGAGGGCATTTTTTTGCCCACTTTTCAGTCATTGTGGGAAAATGGGGCACATGCTAATGTTTAGCTCCCTCTTCCGGGGGTCCTTTGGAGCGTCTTTAGCATGGGGTCTTTCCCAGTCCTGCTGCCTGGAATTCTATAGATGGGAATATTCTGAATCAATTCCAAGTTCTTCTGCATATGGGGCATGTGATCTGTCACTGAGTTATCACCCCCTACCCCTTGATGCAGAAGAGAGAAACCGCTCACCTGGGGCTCTGGATGGGCAACGTCTGCTGGATGGTGTGGCCGTGGTGGGTCCAGGGATGCCACCATTTTCTGCTGCAGCTGGGGGAAGGAGTGGTTACCTGGCATCACCCCACCTCCATCTGCAACAGCCTTGCAGGTATGGGCAGGCAGTGCCTGTAGGTAGGGCCAAATCAATGGCAGGGTTTGGAAGGCTGCATCCAGCCCATCTCTGGCCTATTTAAGAGAGCAGCCAGGTGCAGGTCACCCTCTTGCCTTATTGTCACTTGATTTTCCACCCACCCAGTTAGGGACCGCTCAATGGGAGAGTGGGCAAGTGGCATATGAACCTTGCTGTGATTTACTCGGCTGTCATATTTGTGGCCAGAGAGGAATTTTCTCCTGCAAGCAAACTGGCCGCTTTGCAGGTTTTCACCTACCTCATGGCAACCATCGCAGCTTGGGTAGATGAGGCATTGGACTGGATCGTTAGTCACAGGGGTACACCATTAGAGGTGTCCAGGAATGATGGACTCTGGGAGTCCCTGTGGACTCCCAGAGTCCATCATTCCCCCTGTGGACTCTGGGAGTCCACAGGGGGAATGATGGGCCAATACACCTCTCCAAATGGTGGCCTGTGTGGAGTCAAGACACCCAATCTACATTGGGGGCAACTCCCCAGCACAGGATGGAACCCACTGGGTCCATATCAGGTAGCAGGCAGGCTGCCTGATCAGGATACATGCCCAGTGCCTTAGCCAAACCTACTCTTTCCTGTGATCAGTGAAGTTGTGACCTTATTCAACCCAATACCAGTCTGCTGTGTCCATTCCTGTGGACCCCCCTGCACCTGCAGCAGCCATTATGTGCCTGTGCCAGCAATGTGTACAGGCTCTAAGGAGGAGCCCTAAGGAGGAATAGTCTAGTGATGAAAACAAAGGATACAACTCTGTGGTTGGTGGGGAAGTCATATGGAGAGCACCTTCTCAATTTCACATTGAAGCAGTTGGAAACCCGAAGGCAGGCTGGAGCCCTCAGAGGCCTTCCCGGGCCCTCACAGGTTCCCATCCCCTTGCTCTTCCCTCCACTGAAAGAATATTTGTTGAGCCAGTGGAAGGGTTTTTCTCAAGTCTGTGTTCAGGGAGAATGGGGTACCTGCCATAACAGCTGTAATACATCTAAAAGGTGAGGTGCTTTTCACCTTAACGCCAGCTCTCACATGTGTTTTCTCTTCATCAACCTGGTGCCCTCCAGGTGCTTTGGACCACAGCTTCCATCATGCCCAGCCAGCATGGCCAATAGTCAGGGAAGACAGGCGTGGTATTCCAACAACATCAGGAGGGCCATTGTTCCCCTACTACTGTATTATAACTTGCATCCATAACCCTGGGTGTTGCATGTCAAAAGCCTATTGAAATAAAAAGCATCTTCAATTTCTGGCAAAAGAGACAGCAGTGATGACTGGTGCCCATTGGGACAGGCAGGGCGGAAGGCAGGGAGACTAACAGTAACAAGGGTCAGAGCCAACAACAGACAGAACCAACTCATTCTGGTTTTGTCCCCATCCCCATCCTTGCTGATTTATCCAAGGGACAACATTGAGAGTGAGAGGAAGCCGACTGTTATCCCCTGGACTAGTTAAAAGGTGGGCAGGTGAGGGGGCACTGAGGTTGTCAGGGCAAAGCCTCATTTGCCCTTTGAATCAGCCACTGCTGCCTGCCAGTTTTCAATTGATAAAAAAACAGTGAGCTACAGAGAGGACCTGTTTCTTGTGCTCACTCAAGAAATATACTGTATTGAGATGGCACCAAGAACAAGGAATCTGACAGCTCGTTCGGTAGAGCATGAGACTCTTAATCTTAGGGTCATGGTTTCAAGCCCTATGTTGGGCAAAAATATCCCTGCATTGCAGGGGGTTGGACTAGATGACCCTCATGGTCCCTTCCAACCCTACAATTCTATGATTCTCTGACTTTCATCTTAATTCCTAGGCAGATATATATTGGTCCCAAAGCTAACCTGGTTCTAAGCCGATGAGCTTTTTGTACTGTTATTTGGATATAGGGTTAGTTTCACATTTCTGACAATAAACTGGTCTTCACACATATATATGGTCTCCTGTTGGCTTTGGTTGGCTTTTCAAATAACTGCTACATAGTTTTTCATTTGATAACCATGTTGTTTTTAAATTTCCAAAGCTGTGCTAGAAGAGAATACAACAAGTATTTTTCCAATTTAAACACATCAGGAGCAGGCAAAAACAACCAGAAGGGCCATAGTTTAGTGCTAGAGCATCGGTTTTGAATGCAGAAGGTCCCGGGTTCAATCCCCATCATCTCCAGGTAAGCTTGGTTTAAGGCAGCTGCCAGTTTTCCAAAAGGGGTGTTTGCAGCAGCCCTGGAGGCTTCCCAGAGCAAAAGTGGAAAGCAGGCACAGGTAGGTGGGAGTTATTCTAAATGTCTGCTTCTCTGTTTATTTTAAATAATCAACCCAAAACCCCTGGAATAGGGCAGAATACACATTCAAATGAACAAACCTGGAAAACAGGAGGTACTGACCTCTTCAGAGCCACAGTCACACTTCTCTCCAGCTTCCAGAACACCATTCCCACAAAGCGCTTTGCTTCTGGCACTTCGCTTCTTATAAAACAATTTTAAATTAGGTCGATTAGAGAGGCAATGGGCTCCCTTGAATTTAATGAAATTTTGGAAGTCTTTAATGCTGCAGCTGCTAAAAGCTTTAATTCCACTTGAAAGTCTAAAACATAGTAAGATGAATCTGCTATTATTATATGGCAAGCACAAATACACACACAACATATTTTGTTATAAAAAATAAAAACAAGAGCTCCTTCATTCTTATGCATGCTGAATGGAGGGCTGTCGAGTGCCGCAGGAGGCCAGGCCAGTCTCTGAAACCTGGAAGGTGACTTGAGCAAACTTTAATATATGGAGTTTTTAAGAAGTTTTGTTACAGTCTGCACAGTTGCAGACACGGCTCCAAGGCATCATACTGAAGCACTATAAGGTAGGAGCCAATTATTAAAAATGAGTATTTATTTTGTCCTCCTTTCAGCTGGTAAACATCCACACCATAGATTTAAAGCACATGACTTCCCCCAGTTATCTGGGAACTGTAGTATATCCCTCACAGAGCTACACTTCACAACCACAAAGTATAGTTTCCAGGATTCTTGGAGGGAAGCCATGTGTTTTAAATGTAAGTTGTGGGTGTTTTGCAATTATTGAAAGAATACAAAAGAGCTGAAAGAACTTGCTGTCAAGAGGCAAAAGGAGAAATGAGTGCACACAGCATGATCCCTCTTTAAAACCACCTCCAATTATCTTGAGGGGGGGGTAGCATAAGTCTCCAGTATTAAACAAGGTTTACCCTTTCTACTTACTGGATTTTTTCCAGTTACATTTGGTACAAAATGATAACAGCAGATACCAGATCTATCAATAGCAGTGGAAGATTTTTGGCTCTTGAAAGTTTGCTAGTGCACAAGCCCTATTTATACACAGGTATAGCAGAACTTCACCCCTTATGGCAGGAGTGGGGAACATCAGACCCACGGGGCATAAATTAGGCTTTCCTGACCTCTGAATTTGTCCCAGAAGTTGAGGAGTTTTTAATGTGTGGTGTTGAATTGTGCTTTTACTATTTTTTGTTGGGAGCCACCCAGAGTGACCGGGGCAAAACTGTCAAATGGACAGCATATAAATGAATGTTGTTGTTGTTGACAACAAACCACAGGAGATAAGCCTGTGCCTGTTCTTTGATGGTAAACTGCAGAAGAGTAGCCACCATTTCTGTTATCTCCAATCTCTGTACAGTGCTGAGATAGGAAATGAGCTCTGCTGCTGCCTTCCACTATCAAAAGTACAAGCAAAGGCTTATGCCCAGTCCTAAAACCTATGAGCTGCTTAGTGCAATAGTCATAGTACTTACACTGCTTCCGTGTTCATTATGCAGACAAAGCCTCCTGGGCACTTGCACTCTTTGCCATTGTCATATTCCATCCCCAGGTTAAGGCCCAGCAATTGGGCCAGAACGACGGAGAATGGCTCTTTGGTCATGGACTTCTGATACTAGAAGGAAGAGGGAAAACTTGAATCAGGAACCAGATTATTCCACCCCATTATGGGAGACTAAATGCAAACAAGTCTCTTCGGTCCATATTTTACGAGTGTAGTGAAGTTGGGAAATCTTGGTATGTCAAACACTTGTTCACACAGCAGTGAGAGAGATAAAACTGTTGCTTTGGGAGAGATAAAACTGTTGCTTTCTGGGGAATGGGTGTCTGGTCTCTTTAAATGTAAAAACTCTCTGTCGCTAGAAGTGTGAGTCAATTACTTCTTGACTCTAGGCAGGATGAGATATTATCTGATTTGAAGACCCTGGCACAGCTGGGGGTTTGAGTGTGGATTGGGTTGTATAAAGGTGCAGGAGGCTATCAAGTAATAGACAGCTTGGAAGCCTGGTATGTGTAAGAAAGGCCTGGGAATGAAGGGAGAGCCTTTTTTATCTCAAGGTCTCTGCACCTAATCAAAGTTCAGCTGTGCCATCTCCTGACAACCAGGAGATATAGTCTCATCATACAGCCATTGGTAAATTGGTAATTAACCTAAAGAAATGATTGGTCCCTAACCTGCCCTCCACCTGGGTTTTAAAGGATAAAGGATTTGAAGAAGAAGAGTTTGGATTTGATATCCGGCTTTATCACTACCCAAAGGAGTCTCAAAGTGGCTAACAATCTCCTTTCCCTTCCTCCCCCACAGCAAACACTCTGTGAGGTGAGTGGGGCTGAGAGACGTCAAAGAAGTGTGACTGGCCTAAGGTCACCCAGCAGCTGCATGTGGAGGAGCAGGGAAGCGAACCCGGTTCACCAGATTACGAGACTACCGCTCTTAACCACTACATTCAGATGCAAATTGCAAAACATCTTGCCCTGGTACTTTGCCTGAGGGCGTTTAACCAGTGAAAGGACTCCTGACTACTCGCTGTGCTTTGAACTATTGTTGATGTGTGAGTATGGTTTTTAGTTAGCTATATTTTACCATGTTTTTATTTTCTGTTTGTAACTTCTAAGAACTGTGCAAACCTTTTGAGTAGCTTTTTCAATAAATTTGGAAAAGGACTTTTTGCCTTTTGTATTCTGTGCCTTTGCTCTGAGAAGCTGAACTAGTGCCTGACCGTTTGGACACCTACCAGATGAATTAATGTCTGCGTCATGGTAAAGTGACTCAGGGCTGGGTAACCTGGTAAATATCGAACGGATGTTCTCCTCCTTGAACCCCATTTGAGGGTGGCCCAGGAAAGGAGGTGATGGCAGCTTTACCGTTTGGCTTGTGATTTGCACCAACTAGTGAACTCTCCCCCGTCCCTGCCAAGTCCCGCTGGTGTCTAGGAGGAATGGTCGGTGGGGGGGGGGTTAGAGCTTCTCAGTATTTAAGCTCATTTTGTAGAACCTAAGATCATATTAAAAGGGACGCAGGTGGCGCTGTGGGTTAAACCACAGTGCAATAAATAAAGGTTATGTAATATGCAATGCTAAATTATACAACAGGTTTTAGAATAATTGGCATTACTTTTCAAAGTAGTAGATGACCACCAGAGGCTTAAAAGGAGCAGCAGATCAGGAAGAGTGTTTATTTTACAGCCACTCTGCAGCCTTCCCAGATTCCCACACTTGAAGGAGGCTTTTTCAGATCAGGGAGTGTGGGCAGGCTGAGAGGATGGAGCAGGACTGGATAAATGCTTAATGGAAAGAAAAACACACCTTGCAATGTTAAGATAAACTCAACAGACACCCACTGAAACAGTAACAAAATTCTAAAGCAGCCTGAGAATGAGGCAAAGAAATAATAATGGAAGGCTCTTTCAAAGGAGAAGAAAACTTTCCAGAAACTGGAGGACAGGCTTCAGCACAGCACTCGTTAGAAGGAGAGGAGAATGAATGAATGAATGAATGAATGAATGAATGAATTTATTTCCTGCCCATCTGACTGGGTTTCCTCAGCCACTCTGGGTGGTTCCCAACAGAATTAAAAGCACAATAAAACATCAGACATTAAAAACTTCCCTAAACAGGGCTGCCTTCAGATGTCTTCTAAAAGTCAGATAGTTGTTTATTTCCTTGACATCTGATGGGAGGGCATTCCACAGGGCAGGTGCCACCACCAAGAAGGCCCTCTGCCTGGCTCCCTGTAACCTCACTTCTTGCATGGAGGGAACCGCCAGAAGGCCCTCGGAGCTGGACCTCAGTGTATATACAGAATGTAGTGGTGTGTTTGGGTGCTGAGCTACATCACATCCTATGCTTTGCTGTGGCGACATAGGCAAGGTGTTCACTGATGCAGGCATGGCTTGCAGAATAGCAAGTTCGACTTCCGGGGTGGCGCCATCGGTAATGGCGGATTCCCTCTGACTTGGAGGGAACCGGCTCTACGGAAATCGGGTCTGTACCGCTACGGCGCAGCGGGGACCCTTCAAAAATCACAGGCGGGTGAAGTCTGTGACCGTGGGACTCGGCGGGCACCGTTTGCGGCCCCCCCAATTGGCAAAGGAGCCTGGCAACGGGCTCCGGAGCGGAGCGGGGAAGTGGCGCGGTGCTGTGAGTCGTCTGCTTCTTCCGTGGAGCGAAGCCGCGTAGCTGTTACCGGAGAGCACTGCCTTTTTCCTGGGACAATTTGGCTGTAAAACAACGATCCGTGAGTAGGCTAACTTCGGAATTAAAGGAACTTTACAAATTTTATGAATAACTTGGCACCGAAGCGGAGAGGCATAAACAGGAAGTCTGCCTTCCGTTCTTGTAAATGGAGTAAAGCAATGAACTTGAAAGCGGAAGCTTTAAAAGACGTTGGAAAAGAATTATAATTCGAGCATCAAAACAGTGATTTTCCCCCCTTGATTGCAGGGGAGGAGGGGGGAGAAGGTTTGAACGTTATTTCCCTGCAAAAAAAGAGAGGAAGAGGAGCTAAAATCTACCACTTAAAACCCTGGAACAGGTTCCCAGTGACAGTAAGAAAGCCGTATTGAGAATTGCGCTGTTACTGAAAGTACTCTTTGACAGTTAACTCTGCATCTGAGATACAATATTGCTGACAGGCTTCTCCTGGTTTTAAAGTAACAGGAAACAACTGAGATAGAAACTGTTGTCCTTTTGGTGAATTGGGGGGCGAAAGGGAGAAGTTAATTACTTTAAGACATTTTTGACTGTTACTGTGTCCCCCTAGAGGAAGTTTGAAACTGTTACAACTGCAGCTGGGCTAGGGAATTTTCCACTTCAAAACAACTCTGACTCTGATCGTGAGATTGACCTTGGGCTGTATCTTGAGGGTTATGGCAGATGGGAAAGAGAAGATAGATTTGTTACAAGCAATGAGGTCTGGCAGAGTATTTCGCACAGACGGTGGGCTGCAAAGAAGGGCATCGACATCTGGCCCTTCTGGTTTACCAACAGCAACCTCATCGGCACAACCTAAACCCAAAGGTATGGCAGCTGACGATGCCCTGGCTCAGGCACTAGGCAAAATTAATGAATCTTTGGAAAGAATAAGTAAACAAGTAGCCGAGGCATTGGGCAAAATTGATCAAAACACCACAAGTATTAATAATTTGGGACAGAAGGTAAATACTAATACAGAAACTATTCAGAAATTACTGCAGGAATCCACCTCGACACGAAAGACAGCCGAAGAGGCTAAGGAAATTGCAACTGCTACAGCTACTGTTGTAGAAGAGAAGATACCACCATTACACAAACAACTTGAAGACCACAAGTCAATACTGTCTATGATTGAGTTGAAGGAGAAACAAGCGAATTTAAGGGTCAGGGCCGTACCTGAATTGGAGAAAGACAATTTGATTGAATTTCTTACGCAGGAATTTGCAGACTTTGGAACCCAGATTTGGGGAAGGATAGTTTCAAGATAGTGAGTGCTTTTAGGCTTGGAAAAGGAGGGAGGAAGAACAGGGTGAGAGACTGTTTGATCACCCTCCGAACAAAAGAGGAGAGAGACAAAATCTTGAGTCTGCACTTCCAGAAGACCTTGGAAATATATCAGTCAAGGATATTCCGAAACATCTTTTGGACCTTAGGTCCAATTATAGAGATTTGGTTGCCCTGTTGAGAAGTAATGGAATCATTTTTAGGTGGGAATTCCCCCAAGGCCTATCCTTCAGTTATAAAGGGAAGAAGATAAAAATAAGATCAGAAGACGACAAAGATAAATTTTGGAGAGACCACGGAGAAGACCTGCAGAAGAAAGTTACAGGAGAGCTAAGAGCACTTGTAAGTGAAACTTTAGACACACCAGATTTACCTCCAGAACTAAAAGACCGCCTGAAGAAGGTGATACCACCAACAGAACAGGAACAGGCACTGGGTGCAGTTGGAGGAGAAGTAAAGTAACTACATCATGGCTCTGCAACTACTAAGTTGGAATTGTAATGGTTTGAACTCCCCTCAGAAAAGGAGATCTGTGTTTCATTTATTAAAAAAGGAACAATTGGACTTGATTTGTTTATAAGAAACACATATAACAAGGTTACACAGGAAACTATTGATTAATAAAAGACTTGGTCAGGAGTTTATTTCATCAGACAAGGTTAAAAAAAGAGGGGTAGTGATTTATGCAAAGGAGAGATTATTACCAAAATTTATCTTTTTTTTTTTTTTTTTTGCTGATAAATTTTTATTGGTATTATACATATATACATATGAACTTATACAAAGTCCAATACTTAAATTACACATAATATATTCATTCCATAAATCATAAATACATTAATTTTAGGCTCTGCCAAGCCTTGAACTTCCTTCCACTGCTTTGGTAAGTATCAAATAGACTTTATATTCACGTATTTTATCTCTTTTGCATAATAACCTTTTACTGTTAGAGTTATTCCAATCCCGCCAGTGTCGTTTAAAGTTTGATCCCAATATATATCCAATATTTAATCCAATTGTCATGAAATTTCTGTTCATCTTGATCTCTTATTCTTCCTGTTATTCTAGCGAGCTCGGCATAGTTTGTTAATTTGATCTGCCAATCATTTATATTAGGTATGGCGTCCGTTTTCCAATTTTGTGCTAACATGATTCTTGCGGCTGTTGCGGCATATAAAAATAGTACCTTATCTTCTTTTTTAATTTCTTTACCTGTCATTCCTAGCAGAAAGGCTTCGGGTTTTTTGGGAAACGTGTATTTAAAAAAATTTTTAAGCTCGTTATAAAACGATTCCCAAAAGCCTTTCACTTTGCTGCATAACCACCACATATGGTAGAAGTCACCATCTACTTCTCCACATTTCCAACATCTTTTTTTCTTTAACCTATAGATCTTAGCCAGTTTCACTGGTGTGAGGTACCACCTAAATATCATTTTCCACATATTTTCCCTTAATGCCATACATGCCGTGAACTTCATGTTAATATTCCATAATTCTAGCCATCTCTCAAAATCAATGTTATAGCTGATGTCTATTGCCCACTATTGACCAAGGAAGATTTGTGGCAATTGAAATTCAAACACAAGGAGAAAATTTTTTGATAGTAGGAATTTACGCAGCAAATGAGGGGAAATCCGATTTTTAAAAAAAGTTGCATGAGACCCTGATGGACTATTTGGATTATAATGTGATTTTGATGGGAGACATGAATGGAGTGGTATCTACACATATGGACAAGGCACAAAGACAGGTAGTCACTAAGGATGGTAGACTACCGAAAACTTTTTTTGAGATGACAGACAACTTGGACTTAGTCAATATTTGGAGAACAAAGAACCCCATGGCTAAAGAAGGAACCTTCTTTTCTGAAGCCAATATGACATGGACAAGAATTGACCAAATATGGGTAACTAGAGGAATGGCACCAAAGACAAGAAAAGTGGAAATCTGCCCAAAAACCTGCTCCGACCATAATGCTGTTAAGATGGAAATGAAACTAACACCAACTGGCTCCTTTAGATGGAGGATGAATGACACCTTATTCAGAGATGAAGAAGTGCTTAAGAAGGCCCAAAAAACCTTGAGAGACTATTTTGAGATAAATATGAGCACCAATGTGGAAAAAAGAGTAATCTGGGACGCAAGTAAAGCGGTTATGAGAGGGTTCCTGATACAACAGAATGCATTAAAGAAGAGAATCCAAAATGAGAAGAAGGATAAAATTTTGGAGAAAATAAAGGAAAGTGAAAAAAGATTGAGAGCAAAACCAAAGTCACAAGAGATTTTGAGAGAAATAAAGTTATATCAAGTGCAATATATGAAAATGATGAATCAGGAGATAGAATGGAAAATTAAACAAATTAGACAAAAGACATTCGAGTCGGCTAATAAATGTGGGAAATTGCTGGCTTGGCAAATGAAAAAAAGACAAAAATTAAATACAGTTACAAATTTAGAAGTGGAAGGAAGGAATATACAGAACGCAGCTGAGATTAGAAATTGTTTCCAGAGGTACTTTAAACAACTATATACACAAGGGCCACAGAAAGAAACTGACGTAGATCGATTTTTGAAAACAAATGGATTACAAAAAATCTCTCAAGAAAATAAATTAATGTTGAATTACAAAATAACTGAACAGGAGATAGAAGGTGCCATTCAGAATATGCAATTGGGTAAATCTCCAGGACCGGATGGACTGACTTCTAGATACTACAGATCTTTAAAAGAATGGCTAGTACAACCTTTGAAAGAGGTCTGTAATGAAATAATGGAGGGGAAAAGGGCACCAGAGTCGTGGAAAGAAGCATATATCACACTTGTACCGAAAATAGAGACTGAAAAGACGCAGCTTAAGAACTATCGCCCCATATCATTGCTTAATGTGGATTACAAAATTTTTGCAGATATTTTGGCTAAAAGACTAAAAAGAGTGTTAGTGGAAGAGATACATAAGGACCAAGCAGGCTTTCTCCCAGGAAGACATCTATCTGATAATGTGAGAAACATAATTAATATTTTAGAAAAATTACAAGTGAATATAAATACTAAGGCAGTTTTAATATTTGTGGACGCGGAGAAAGCTTTTGACAATATTTCTTGGACTTTTATGAAAAAAAACCTACAGGGTATGGGGGTAGGCCAAGGTTTTGAAAATGGTATAAGTGCAATATATTCTGAACAAAAGGCTAAATTAATTGTAAATAATGTGGTGACGGAAGAATTTAAGATAGAAAAAGGGACACGACAAGGTTGCCCAATCTCCCCATTGCTTTTTATATCGGTCCTGGAGGTTCTGCTGAATATGATAAGAAGGGACCAGTTGGTTAAAGGTATACAGGTCGGAGCCAAACAGTACAAATTGAGAGCATTTGCAGATGACTTAGTATTGACGTTACAGGAGCCAGAATCTAGTACCAAAAGGGTTTTAGAACTGATTCAAGAATTTGGTCAAGTGGCAGGATTTAAATTGAATAAGTTAAAAACCAAGGTTTTAGAGAAAATTTAACACCAATGGAGAGAGAGAGGTTTCAGAATGAGACAGGTTTAACAGTGGTTAAGAAAGTTAAATACCTGGGGATTAACATGACAGCAAAAAATGGGAATTTATTTAAAGACAACTATGAAAAATGCTGGGCTGAAGTGAAAAAAGATTTAGAAATTTGGTCAAATTTGAAGCTTTCACTGCTGGGTCGTATTGCTGCTGTAAAAATGAATGTATTGCCTAGAATGTTATTCTTGTTTCAATCATTGCAAATTGTGGACAAAATGGACTGTTTCAAGAAGTGGCAGAGAGACATTTCTAGATTTGTCTGGCAGGGCAAGAAGCCTAGAATAAAATTTAAAATATTAACCGATGCAAAGGATAGAGGTGGATTTGCCCTGCCAGACCTCAAACTTTATTATGAATCAGCAGCATTCCGCTGGTTGAAAGAATGGCTGCTTCTTGAGAACACAGACATTTTGGAGTGGCAGAGTCAGTATTTTAGTCTTATTCTTATTGACCTTAAAGCCTGTCACAGCACCAAACTCTTCAATTTTTTGTAGGGCTTCTTTTACACTGTGCTTTGGATCTTCTAATGTTAGAACAATGTCATCCGCAAAAGCTTTAATTTTGTGTTCCTTAGTTCCTACCCTGACTCCTTTAACCTCTGCTGTATCCCTCAGCCTCTTAGTAAGTACTTCCAGTACTAAGATAAATAGTAGGGGGGACAGAGGGCAGCCTTGCCTCGTCCCTTTAGAAATATCAAAAAATTCTGATGTAGTATTATTTATTATAAGTTTTGCCTTTTGCTCATGATAGATAACCTCTATACCTTTTCTGAATCTTTCTCTCGCCCCCATCCTTTTCAAATTTTCCATCAGAAAGCGCCAAGAGACATTATCAAATGCCTTCTCCACATTGATAAATATCAAGGCCGCCTGTTTATCTATTCTAGTTTCCAGGTATTCAATAATATCTATCACATTTCTTACGTTATCCTTTAGTTGTCTTCCTGGTAGGAAGCCCGTTTGATCTTTATGAATTCTATTTTTTAATACCCTTTTAGTCTTTCTGCCATTATATCCGCAAACAGTTTATAATCGTTATTTAATAACGAAATCGGCCTATAGTTCTTCACCTCTAAGGCATCCACATCTTTTTAGGTATTAAAGTAATATATGCTTCCTTCCAGGTATTCGGAATCCTTCCCTCTTTTAAAATATTATTCATCACTTCACATAGAATTGGGCATAATTGCTCACTTAATGTTTTATAGTACTTGGCTGGTAGGCCATCCGGCCCCGGCGCTTTCCCAATTTTCATCTTTTTTATTGCCTTCCATATCTCATCTTCTGTAATCCTCTGGTCTAATAACTCTTTCTCTTCTATGGCAATCTGTTGTAAATGGTGATCTTCCAGGTATCGGTCTATTTCATAATCTATTTCCTTTCCTCTTTTATACAATTCCTTATAATACGTCTGAAATATCCTTTTTATTTCTTTTGGCTCTTCCACTATCCTTTCTCCATCCCTTATCTTGCAGATGGTATTTTGTTTTTTCCTTTCTCTTATTTGCCACGCCAAGAATTTTCCTATTTTATTAGCTGATTCAAAGTTCTTTTGTTTCATCATTTTAATTTTCCACTCAATTTCCTGGTTAACTATCATACAAAATTGGGCTTGTAATATTTTTAAGTTTTGCTTTATTGTCTCGTCACCTGGTTTAATAGCTAGTTGTCTTTCATTCTCCATAAGCTGTGCTAGAATCTCTTCTTTCCCCCCCTCTTTTTCTTTTCTTAAATGGCTGTTTTTCTGAATTAGGAAGCCCCTCATAACGGCTTTTCCTGCATCCCAGACCGTTTCTGTAGCTGTTTTTGTGTGTAAATTCCACTTGAAGTATTCTTCAATTGTTTCTTTCGCCTCACTTACTATCTTTTGATTATTAAATATACCTTCATTCATTCTCCATCTAAATACTCTAGTATCTTTACCCTTTATCTCCATAAATACCAGATTATGGTCAGATATAGTTTGTGGGAGTATTTCAGATTTAGCTAAGTTCTGTGTCAACTCCTTCGAGATCCAAATATTATCTATTCTCCCCAACTCTGATTTGGGTTTGAGAAAAAGGTATATTGTTTTATAGTGGGGTTTTTAAATCTCCAGGCGTCAATTAGTCCCATATTATCAACCAAATCAAAAAAACGTTTGAGGTAGCTTGCCTTCCTTTGTCTCTTGCTTTTTTGTTGACCTATCCAAATTTGGTGACACCACTCCGTTAAAATCGCCCATCAATATCATTTTTTGATCGATCCATTCTAATAACTTATTACCTAATTCTGAGAAGAAAGCCGATTTTTTATCGTTAGGAGCGTATATTCCGGCGACAATTATTTTTATTCCTTGGAATACAATCTGTACTACTATCATTCTCCCTTGCTCATCTTTATACAGTATTTTTGGGTCGAATTTTTCCTTTATATATAGTACCACACCTCTTTTCTTAACCTTATCCGATGCCACAAAATCCAACCCTAGTTTCTTATTATTCAGAATTCTCTTATGTTTTCTTATTACATGAGTCTCTTGTAGACAGATTATGTCAAGGTTCTTTTTAATAAAATATGTGTAATCTGGTTCCTTTTATTTTTATTGTTAAGTCCGTTCACGTTCCAAGACAGTATTTTTAAAGCCATCTATTATGTACAATTAGTAAATTATCAAATCTGGCTTAAAGCTGCTGCTCTTTGTCTTCTTTCTCTTCCTCTTCCCTCGCTTCTGTTAAGTTTATCTCTCTCTCTTGCTCTTCACTCCCCCCGCCCCCACCCCCCTCCCCCGGCCGCTCCCCTCCCTCCCTCCCCCCACCCCGCAACCCTTCCAAGTTCCTTCTCGTATCTTCTTGCAAATTTTTCAAGTTCTGAAGGGCTGGACAGTTTGAATCTTTTATCCTTAAAGTAAAATGAAATTCCTTCCGGAAACTCCCATCTATATAGGATCCCATTTTTCTTCAGTTGGTTATGGGAAGGAGGGAAATGGGAAGGAGGGAAAAGAAATCAAGGACTACGATAGTTTGATGGCTGAAATAAGGAAAGAATTTAAACATAATGAGCAATATATAGAGAAAAAGCTACTGGAAGTGCAGGATACATTAGATAAGAGATTAGAGGGGGTGGTGGGAGAACTGATAGGAAAAGTCAAATATCTATCGGTAAGAGCCAAAGTACTTGAGGATTCTATGAAAAGGGTGCAAAAGGATACAAAAGACAGTAAGAAGGATTTGGACAGAATTAAAATAGAAGTTAAGGAGATAGGTAAGGTACAGGAAGAATTGTTGGACAGTATGGCTATGACTCAGATGAGACAGAACCAACTAAATTTAAAATTTAGAGGGATCCCAGAGGACCCAAACGAGAATATAAGATCTAAAATGGTGAAAGAGTTGGCAATTTGGTTAGATAGGAAGGAGGAAGAGATAAGCTTCTCCCTAGCAAATATATTTTGGATAAAAACAAAATCGGCTAAAGCTGGGGGGGGGGGGAATTGCCAGGAGATGTAATAGCCATGTTTAACTCGTTGGATATGAGGAATGAAGTACTGAAACAGAACTATAGTAAAAGGTTATATATTGAAGGAAACCCAATTATTGTATTTAAAGAGATCCCTTCGAGATTTCTTCGAAGGAGGGATGTGTATAAAAAATTAACTAACCAACTGAAGAATGCTCCTGGAGTGTTAACTAACCCCTGACAGTCCAGAACCATAACAGTTTAGTGTGCAGTTGGACACAGTATTAGGCAGCTGGAAAGCTGATAATGTACAGTCCGAAAAAATGGTGTGGGGGGTAGACATGTTAAGCATATGCACTTATTACACACTTAAATGACCGGCAATGTCAGGGACAGCATGACTCCAGTACAGGATTATATCCTAAGCTACTTGTCAGGGAACTGACATCGGAGCTAGAGGCGGAGGGAAGGCTCTCAAATGATGCTGGAGAAGGGCCCAGCAGGGAGAGGCTTCATAAGAGAATCAAAAGCGGTAGGGGGCAGTCCAGTGTTCTTTGTGGACAAAAAGGACACTAATCAACCCAGGCTCATTGTGGACTATAGGGGGGTCAATTTGGTATCAGAACCAGTGACCTTCCCAATGCCCAGGATTGACGACATTTTAACACGGGTGAGGCAGGGGAAAATTTTTACCAAGCTTGATCTCAGGGGGGCATACAACTTGATTAGGATGAGGGAGGGGGACGAATGGAAGACCACAATGTTCACACCCTTGGGGGCCTTTGAGTACCTAGTTATGCCATTTGGATTACAGTCGGGCTCCGCCTGTTTTCAAGCTTTCATGCACCACGTGTTGGGGTCCCTGCTGTACAAGAACTGCGTAGCCTTCTTGGACGACGTCTTAATCTATTTGAACAATGAGGAGCAACATGTCAGAGACGTCAGGGAAGTGCTAAAACGACTGCAGAAGCACCAGTTGTGGGTCAAGCTGGAAAAATGTAAGTTTCACGCCAGAGAAGTCGAGTTTCTGGGGTACAAGTTGTCAGACAAAGGCTTAGCGATGGACCCAAGCAAGGTGCAGGCAGTGCTGGAGTGGAAGACGCCCAAAACCCGGAAGGACGTGCAGAGGTTCCTAGGGTTCAGCAACTTCTACAGGAAGTTCATCAAGAACTTCGCCCACTTGACAGCACCCATCACAGATTGTCTCAGTAGCAAAAGGAAGTTTGTCTGGACAGAGGAGGCCCAGCAGTCCTTTGAAAAACTGAAAAGGGCGTTCGCATCGGAAGAGCAGCTCCTGCACGTGGATCTGGAGAAACCCATGAGGCTAGAGACCGACGCGTCCGACAGAGCCATTGGGGCGGTTCTTTTGCAGCCAGGGAGGAGCAAGCAGGAATGGAGACCGTGTGCCTTTTTCTCGAGAAAGCTGAACAAGTCGGAGCAAAATTATACTGTGTACGACCGCGAACTGCTTGCGATCTATGCAGCGTTTCGTCGATGGCGACATCTACTAATAGGGGCGCAGCACAAGATCCAGGTTTGTACAGATCACAAGAACTTGGAATACTGGAGGACCGCACGAGTGCTCAACCAGAGACAGATTCGATGGGCACAGGAGTTCTCCAAGTTTTCCTTCGAAATCCGATACGTGCCAGGAGAGGAAAACGTGAGAGCGGATGCTCTCTCCCGGAAGCCGGAGTACTTGGAAGGAGAGGGGCCACCGGAGATACGACACATGATCCCCGAGGACCGATGGGTGTGTGGGGGAACCTTGGTGGGGCAACGAGAACTGGCTGGACTTACTAGAAACGACGTGTTCGCACAAACTAAAATCTGGGAACTCCGAGACGGTAGAGAAACCCAAGGAGGGTTTGAGGAGAAGGAAGGGGTCTGTACTATAAGGGGGCGCTGTATGTACCAGGGGAGGCTCTACAGGGGAAGGTACTCAAACAACTCCACGACAACCCCACAGCTGGGCACTTTGGACAGCACAAAACCATGATGCTCGTCACCAGGCAGTTCTGGTGGCCCAGGGTGAGGGAGGATGTACGGGAATATGTACGGGTGTGCGACCGCTGCCAAAGGGCAAAGGGGGAGCGGGCTGCCCCTGCAGGATTACTGGAACCCTTACCCACGCCGGGGAAACCGTGGGAGGTGGTGTCCATTGATTTTATGACCAATTTGCCCAAATCCCGGGGGAAGACAGCGGTCATGGTAGTGGTCGATCTACTAACCAAAATGTGCCATTTTATAGCTTGCTCACATGCGGTCACGGCAGAGGAAACAGCCAGGTTGTTTGTAGACCACATCTTCAGGTTGCATGGGGCTCCTTCGAGGGTTATCTCCGACCGCGGGAAACAATTTACTTCCCGGTTCTGGAGGAAGCTCATGAGCTTGCTGCAGGTCGAAGTGGCCTTCTCAACGACGAGACACCCGGAAACCAACGGGCAAGTAGAAAGAGCGAACAGTATACTCCAGCAATACCTACGCTGCTACGTCAACGAGAGGCAGAACGATGGCTGAATTTGCGTACAATAACGCTGAACATGTGTCAACGGGAATGAGCCCGTTCCTGGCCAATTATGGGTGTCACCCCAGGGCCTTCCCGGGGAGTGGGGAGGAAGGTTGGAGCGTACCGGCGGCAGAGCAGTTTGTGGAAGAAATGGAAGCCCTGCACCAGCAACTTAAGATGAACTTGGAGCGGGCCAAGGAAATTTACAAGAGGCAGGCAGACAAGCGCCGTAGGGAAGGGGAGACCATAAGGGTGGGAGATCGGGTGTGGTTGTCAACCCAAGGGTTACCTTTTAAGGGGGGGTGCAAGAAGTTGCAGCCCAGGTGGCTGGGACCGTTTGAGGTAACACAGCAGGTGAGCCCAGTGGCATTCAAGCTCAAATTGCCTGACAGCATGAAGATACACCCAGTGTTCCATAGGTCCCTACTCTCACCGCACAGGGAAGGACGGGGGTTCCCGGGGCGAGAGGGGGAAGTCACCACACATCCGCAGGTAGAAGAGAGGGAGCACCGCAATTTGGCCACGGAAATACTTGATTCAAGGTGGCGAGGGCGCCAGGTGGAGTACTTGGTGGCTTGGGAGGGAGAACCCGGGTCGGAAAACACGTGGGTTCCCGCGGAGGCAATCACTGACGGGTATCTGGTGGAGGAATTTCACCGCCTGTTCCCGGACAAACCCAAACCACTGGCGAGATTCTGGGAGGAGCAATTTGGAACCACAGATGATGAAGAGGATTTTGTGGGTTTTTCTGCCTCCGAAGGGGAGGGAGAAGAGGCTTCGGAGGAAGAAGAATCAGACTGGGAGGCCCACCCCGAGGGAAGGGATCAGAACGGGTGGGAAGCGGGTTTTGAATCCTCAGAGGATGACGACAGCTCCTTCCGGGGGTTCCCCGCATCGTCGGCCGAGGAAAGGGACGAAGTTGGATCAACAGGTTGGGCCGGGGGTGGAGGGGGTCCTGGGGGGGAGGTGGATGTCAGGGAACTGACATCGGAGCTAGAGGTGGAGGGAAGGCTCTCAAATGATGCTGGAGAAGGGCCCAGCAGGGAGAGAGGCAGCTCAGCAGATGGGGAAGCAATTCAGTGCAACACCAGGAATAAAGAGGGGCAGATGGGGGAATCGGCGAGAGGGCTCCCAGACTCTTCACCGGACACCAGCGGGGAGAGCACGGGTCCTCCGCTACCCACGCCCTCCCTGCGCAGAAGACTTCCACGCAGAGAGAGTAGGAGGAGACTGGGTGTCAAACAACTTTTATGTTGGAAAAGGTTTAAGAAACGCCCACTGACGGATTCTGCTAGTGACTGAGGCAGCCACGAAGTGAAGGGCTGTCCAGACTGAAAGGTTTAACAAGGCAACAAAGCCAGGAGAGGTGGCAACTTACGCACGAGCAACCCATACTCTTTACACTACTGAATGCAGCTCCTCCAAGAATTGCACTGGCAAACAAATACCCAGAGGCATGTGACTTATACTTACAGCAGGAACAGGGAACCTGTAGCCCTCCAGATGTTGCTATAACTAATCTAATCTTACTTATCTATGCATCCTTTTATGGCAAAATAGGCTTTGCAGTGGTTTACGATGTATAAAAAGCAGTTACAGAAATATAAAAGTATAAACATCCATAATTAAGATATGCAATAAAACAATCCCAACAGCAATTAAAAGAGGCTTAAGTTGAGAAACAAGTGCCTCTTCAAAAGTTGACAGAATGCCAATACTGATTGGGTCTCTAAGGTTTCAGTAGGGCGTTCTTGGATACCAGCTTCTACAATCCCCAAGCAGAAAGAAAAATGGTCAAGGAACATGGGGGCTGTAGTCTCACAACATCTGAAGGGTCACAGGTTACCCAACCCTGCAATATCTAAATCCAAGACAGGCAACATATACACTTCAGCTAAGAAAGTTCAGCGATACTGTACCAGAGCAACTCCTGCATCAAAATTCCGGAGGCACAGCTTCCCCATAAATCCTGCTCCTACATAATTAGGTTTCTCCCTGTAACTAAAACACAAAAGTAGATGGTGGGCCATACACTTTGGAGTAGCCAAAGGGATTGTGTCTTCAAAACAAATGGCAAAATCTTCACATAATCAAGAAGCTGTGGAGAACATTACATACACAGTGGCCTTCGCAAATCTTGTTACCAAGCTGGTCCCTTCCACCATCATTTGCCCACAATCCCAGGTGAGCAATCTGCTATTTAGCTCTAACATCTGCTGGAATCTTTCAGTAGAAGGGAAATATGTTCCTGGCAGGGGCCTCTGAGCTGTGCTTCTATGCTTTCAATTATCTCTGCTTGCTGTTCACTGGTTGCGGCTTTCTGTACCTACCACTCAATCAGTGTGTGTTTTTAAGAGGAGGGATAGTCCATGACAACATTTTCTTGTGCAGTTTCTGTATTGCATCTATGACAGGTGCTTTGCCAACTTGGTGCCATTTAGTTGTTTGGGATTACAGCCACTCTCATCAGCCACAGCCAACAGATAGCTGGGTATGATAGAAGCTGTAATCCAAAACATCTGGAGGGCACCAGGTTGGCGAAATCTCTGTCTCTCTCATACCCTTCTGTTGGAGTTTTCTCTTATGTCTTAAATTGGCTTTTCCTTAGATCCATCTATAATGTGAACATAAAATCCTACAGTTGTCCAAAGATGCATTTGATTTCTCTTCCATATGCTGCCCCACATCAAGAGCATTTAATGTGGCACAACTATTATTTGATATGCAGACATTTTTCATCCCATCTTCATCCAAGGAACTCAGGCAACTCTGTGACAAAATGCTTCGTGAGGAAGGGGCATGATATAAATATTGCACTGGATTCAACTAACTGGTCCAAACTTGTGCAAAGACTTAAACCAGCACAATGGGGCTTTCTCCCCTCTGCCCCCATGCCCTCTGATTGGCTGGAGGAAGGGTCCAGAGTGCTCCAAGAACAGCATGGGGGGGGAGATGGTTCCATGGGACAAGCAAAAATACTTGCACTGACATAACATTTGTAACAGCACAATGCTGGATTTACTCCTTGATAAATAAATACAGAATGCTGGCCCAAGATTATTCAGTGAGCTTCAAGGCTGAAGAGAAATCTGGAAATGGGTCTCTCTGGTTTAACTCTGGTATGCTATCTACAACACAGTGACTGATCATAGGCACTTTTTATTTTAGCTTTACCTATGGAAAGGTTGGTTCACTGTCTTTGGCCAGCTGCTGGTGCTCTTGAAATGCTATATTTTTCAGTTAACTGCACAAAAAGGCTGAAAATCCTTTGATCCTAATAGCATAATCCCAAACCCAGAAGTAGGTCCCATTAAGCTCAACAGGGCATGCTCCTAGGAAAGTGGACAGGATTTCCACTAACTTGTCTTAGGGCTGACATTAATACATAGTTCCCTTCGTAAAACTGGAGTCAGCCACATGAAGCAGGGAATGGGGCAGCAACAAGGCATGGTGAAATAACAGCCCTTGCAGGGAATTAGTACAGGAAAAAGGTTACCCCCCCCCCCCATCAGCCATCAGGGCAGTCACCTGCTTTTCCCATATGAAGCCCATTAGAGAGACAATACACCATAACATCCCCAGATGCTTTTGCAGCCCCCTTTTCAATGTGCAGCCTGCCTGTTGGATCAGGCCAAAGGCCCATCTAGTGGAACATCCTGTTCTCATAGTGGCCAAGCAGGATCTCAACGTAAGAGCATTCTTCTCACTTGTGAGTCCCACCAAGTGTATTCAGAGGCGTTCTACCACTGACAGTGGAGGGAGAACATAGTTATCATTTTCTAGCTGCTTGAGTAATTAAACAAAAGAAAACATGTAGTCTCATCCCTCAGATCACCATGAAAGTATTTTTAAAAAAACTACATTTGGGGTGATTTTTCAGTGGGAGGGGGGAATTCTGCACATGGAATGTGCAAACAACAAATGTAAAATGTGAGCACATGCACAACGGCTATATGAAGTGGACTAAAACTGATCGGTCTATCCCTAGTTTTAACAGAACTGCATTTTGATGGAAGGCTGTGTTATTTATATTTGCTACCTACTCTAAGGAAGAAATATTGTTAAAGGGCACAATGTTCTATAATAAATATTTCAGTAAAGGGTAAAAACTATGGCTCAGGGTGGAACACCTGCTTTCCACGCAGAAGGTCCCAGGCTCAATCCCCGCCAGCTCCAGCTAAGTCTGAGAAAGACGCCTCTCTGAAATCTTAGAGAGCAGCGACACTGACTCAGGCCCCACACTGTGGGTGCCCAGCATGCCCCACCCAAACTGTGACATCATGACGTCGTAGTGCAGGGCATGAGCTTCAGCAGTGAGGTGACTGGACCTCTCCCACCCGAACACCACACTCTCTTCCACCCTCCACCCAAACTCCACACTCTCTCTTCCATGGAGCATGGTGTCCACGCGCCTGCCCCTGCATTTTGTGGGTGCCCAGCCCCTATACGTGAACTCTTGTGGATGCTTGGGCACCCAGAGCCCCAGGGAGATAGCACCTATGTTAGTGAGTCACTATCTCTCAGTGTATATGAGTATGCATGCTATAGCAATATTAGAGTGCTTTATATGAGAAAATATACCTCCTTACACTAACAAAAGTGCCAGATCGTGAGGCCGTAGAACAAGATATGAATTTTTCCAACGTAAAAATTTTTGGAGTAACACATCGGGCTCTCCTGATGTTGAGATTTTATTATGGTCTGTCCAGAACTCCAAAGAAGATAGAACAACTGTAATGTTAAGGCTAGAAAATATCTGAAAAGATGGAAAGAATGCAAACTCAAATAAAGGCAGGGAGAAATACATGTTCAGTGGTTCCATCTTAATTTTCGACAAATTCATCATGAAGATTTGGGTGATTGTAAGTAAGAGCCTGGTCCTAATTTGTGCCAGAGCTCACCAGTCTGCCATTACACGTGCAAGAAGCCAGGGGCTCAGGGCTGGTGTGCCCATGAGGCAAATGTGGGGGTGGCCTCAGGGAGGCAGCCTCCAGACAGCTGGAAGGGGCACCACAGTGCACACATTGCGACACACACACTGTCTGGGTGCATGCCGATAGTGGGCAGTGAGTGGTGAGTGCTGTGACAAATAGAATCAGTCACCCATGTCCTGGTATCAGATAATTCAATCTAAGTTTATTAATCTGTAGGTTTGTTAGTAAGGAGTGGCCATTCAGACAAATGTAAGGTAGCTGCCTTCAGGATGGGGGATAAGATGGAGATAGTAGCCAGGTTTCAGTAACATGTTATAGTACATGTAACTTAAGTGTTAGATGCAGGTTTCTGATGAGTAATTTCTTTGTATTGAACCTACTGGAATCTTGTACATATGCCAATGATAATAATAATAACAATAATAATAATAATAAATTTATTATTTCTACCCCAGCCACTCTGGACAGCTTTCAGCAGAACATTAAAAACAGAATAAAACTTCAGATGTCTTCTAAAAAGTCAGATAGTTGTTTATTTCATTGACATCTGGTGGGAGGGCGCTCCACAGGGCAGGCACCAGCACCAAGAAGGCCCTCTGCCTGGTTCCCTGTAACCTCACTTCTCACAGTGAGGGAACTGCCAGAAGGCCCCCAGTGCTGGACCTCAGTGTCCGGGCTGAATGATGGAGGTGGAGGCGCTCCTTCAGGTATACTGGGCTGAAGCAATTTAGGGCTTTAAATGTCAGCACCAACACTTTGAATTGTGCTCGGAAACATACTGGGAGCCAATGTAGGTCTTTCAGGACCAGCCACTCAATAAAGGTATGAGAATGAGACTTCCAGACTGCATGCACATATAGATCCTTGGGCTCAAATGCTGCCCCCTCCCCATTCCTCTTTTAGCGTGTCCACTTACGGTTTTAAACTAAACAGAGACTTCTGAACTGGGGAGGTTGGTTAGTTTGAACTATGGTTTGTTAACAAGTCAAGATCCCACAACAAGGTTTGATCCTGGTTTGTTTCAACAAACAGTACTTTTAACTAAACAGAGTTCCTCCACCCCACCTCACCCTGGTCCCAGTTCAGACATAAAAGAAACTCTAATTAGTTTTAAATAGGAAGCAAGTAGCTTCAGATCTCCTTCTCATGGCTGTGCCAGAAGAGGGGAGAGAAATAAAGAGTGTGTGAACCCAAGGTTCACTGCTACTAGTGTGAAGTGTTAGGGGTAGGCAGTGTGGTGCCCTCCAGACATTGTTGAACTCCCATTCTCTTAAACCATTGGCCATGCTGGCTGGGACAGATGTGAGCTGTGATCTAACAAACTGCTGGAGGACATCATTTTGAGCACCTCTGTGCTAAACTGTGTGTTGGCATCATCTGTCTCGAGAGACAATGGAGTGTGCCTCCAGGGGTGATGTCAAACCGCTGTGTTAGCAGCACCGAACTGACCTCCCTGGGACACAAGCTTGGGCAGTGCGTCTGGAGGTCCTGGGCTGCCCAGGCGAGAAGATCCTCCTCTCAGCCTCACTGATGTGGTCCAAAGGGATGCAGAGCTTAGCTGCAGCAGTTGCTGGAAGGAGGTATACAAGGTGCCATCCAACTGTCTTAGGGATTCCACTCTGGATTTGTGTAGGGTTGATTCCTTAGCCTTTTCTTCTCTCAAAGATATCCCACAAGGCAGCAGAGGTTTAGGATCAGAGTTTTCCTTCTTCCCAGGTTGATGAGCCCCATCTGCCCCTCACTTCCCTCTACAACACATGCAGAAACTGCCTTCTTGACTGTTGGACCCCCTCTTGGCCTCATCTGCTCAGTCTGCTGGAGCCTGTCTTTGCATGCAGGGGAAGTCCCTAACTCACCGAGGGGTTGAGACCCATTAGCTACCCTCACCTGGTTTAGCCAGCCAGCCAAAGCTGTTCCTGGGGTGTGGCCACTGTTGTATGCTGACAGCTTCTAGGAACCACGGGTGAGAGCTGAGTGCAGGGTGGCAACCAAAGTGGACAAACTACCCCAGAAAGAGCATGATGTGTCCCCTACCAGAGGTACTACCCCTCCCCTAACATTCCATACACCCCTGTGTTAAACCATTGTTTAACATTATGTCCTAAAAGCGTCAGACATGCCAATCTTGTCTTCTATTGTAGGGTAAGTACTACTGAAACCATGCATGCTGTTTAAGTTAGTCAAAACTAAGTGGTGTCTCGATTTAAATGGAATGTAATCTATACTAATTTAACTGGATCAAGACCTAATTATCTGATATAACAGAACATAATGATCAGTGTTTAATTATTTGCATACATTATTTATATGCTCCCTTTCCAAGAGAATCATTTTATGTAACATTGTAATGTTGAAATAAGATCACGAGCCATGACCTCATGAGTGTGCATGTATTCCTATCATCCAATGCTATGCAATTACTTTGCCAGAACAGATGCTTGAAAGACAAGGCTGTTAAGAGTGAGAGCCAAGTGAAAACATCAAAGTGGCTCTTGTTATACAGAAGAAAAACAAAACATGGCAGTCACTTACACTGTTGACAAAACCAATAAGCTGTGCTATGCCGTCGGTTACAATTTCTCTGCTTCCACCCAAAAAGTTGTACTGGAGAGAAAAACAGTTGTGTGCATCATAGGAAAAATAAACAATAAAACAGACAATAGTTATGGTAGACTGCCAGTGTTGGCAACAGAATGCAACTTGATATGACAGATGAACCAGACGTTGGGCCAGGCATATATGGAAAAGAGATGTGAAGTGATTTGAATGCTCTTAGAGCTCGCCTTTCTGTGTATGTGCATCTGTAGGATAGCAGTGAATCAAACAACCTTAGCAGGGTGAGATGGTCTTCAGGGTCCTCAACAACCTCCTGTCATGCTTCAATTGCAGTCTACTGCTAATAAGCTAAGTGAGTATACGGTGTTATCTCATTTTATACTCAGTAGTGGCCCTGCAAACCAGATTAGATTGAGATAAAATGGCTAGACCAAGTTGACCCTATATGCCAAATCTCACCATCTAAGGCTAACACTCTATCCACTACACCAGTTTCCAACCCATGTGCCATTGCACCCTGGGGTGCCTTAAATGATGGTCAGGGGTGCTGTAGGCACCTTCCCTCCCTCCTCTGATGCCCTCTTGCATCTCTGCCTCCCAAAGGCTTGCACAGCTGTTTGTTGCAGCAGCCTGGCTACAAGCTCCGCAGGTAAATGGAGCCTCTGAGGCTGGCCAGAGGATGCTGGTTGCCAGGAGCTGAGGCGGCCTCAGAGTAAGCAAGCAAGTGGGTGAGGGAGCCCAGCCAGCCAGTCCACCAGCCCTTATTGTTGAGAATGGCTGAACAAGTAGGAAGCCAGGCAGGCAGGTGCCATGCTGGCCTTTCTTGTGCTTGCTGTGTGCAATGTCTTTCTGGGAGCTGAATGCCCAGCGCCAAAGGGAGCCTTTCCACCCTGCAGGCCCAGCGCCACCCACGGCTGCCTCCCAAGGTGAGTAAGGTGCTGGCCTCACGCTCACCTTTGGCCGGTCTTCACTGGGCTACTAAGGCTGGGGGCATCCTCTTCCCAGGGCCTCTTTGGGGTAGTTCAGAGACCAGGGGCAGTGGCGGCAGCTGCCTGGAGGACTCCCAAGGAGAGGTGGCTGAGGGAATACTCCACAAGGGAGGGTGTTCGAAAAGGGGTGAGAGGCTGCTGACTCTGCAGGCAAGGGGTGACATAACTGGGCTTCTGAGGCTTGGAGTGTGTTTCCCCACACGGCAGCTGCAGAATGAATGTAGTTGGTCAAGGGAACATGGACTCAAAAAGGTTGAAAACCTCTGCAATGTAGGATATGAAACACATAGCAGTCAAGTACAACATTCCTAGAGTGAACATGGTAGAGGATGCTTTGTACCAGCCAGAAGAAAACTTCTTGTTTCCTCCTGAGCTGGGACAAACTTCCTCTGCATGTGACTAGAGGAGGGCATGGTCTAATCCGGCCCCCTCTCTGCCTGGGAACAAAAGCAAGGCAGGGAGCACATCTCTCTCTCTCTTTCGGCTCTTCTCCATTTTGTTTTTCTACGTGTGAGGAGAAGTGACTGCTTGTTTGCAGTCACTTAAGAACTAACTAACTCCTTTATGGGATACAGTGGTGCCTCGCAAGACAAAATTAATTCATTCTGCGAGTTTTTTCGTCTTGCGGTTTTTTTCGTCTTGCGAAGCACGGTGTCGGAAGAGTTTTGGAAAAGCTTCAAAAATCACCAAAGTCTTCAAAAAACTCAAAAAAGGCTACCACACCGCGTGCTATGAGTTGCTCCTCAAAGTCAAGTCGCAACTGTATTAACGGTTTTAAGAAAAAGGAAACAAACTTGCAAGATGTTTCCGTCTTGCGAAGCAAGCCCATAGGGAAAATTGTCTTGCGAAGCAACTCAAAAAACCAAAAACCCTTTTGTTCTGCGAGTTTTCCGTCTTGCGAGGCATTCGTCTTGCGAGGTACCACTGTATTTCCACATATGCAATATACTTTTGTAACGTAAGTCTGCTTTCAGGGATCCAACTGTGAACTGAATGAATGTGAGTAAACTACATTTATAATGACTTTAATAAGATTGTTGTGCTTATTTTTTTAAGAGGGACAAGAAGGGATCCTACCAGAAGAGCTTCCAGTTGATCGCGCCCTATCACAGTCAAAGACCCCCAGGAAAAACCTCAAATCGAGCATGAGGTCGAGCATGAGGATGCGGGATCCGGTGGGTGTAAAAAGTGGGCTCCCCCCTCCCCGGTAAGCTGTTTTGAACTCTGAGATTGAGGGGGTTGGAGCTGCAACGCAACGGATAGAACGCTTCCTTTGATGGTACGAAGCTGTGAGACTGTGAGGCATTAGTGCTCAATTTTTCCAACGCTAAAATCATTTAAGGACTGTACTATGAGTACCCTTTATATTTGGATTAAAATTTGGAACAATCTGGACATGAGTAAGGGAATTTAAAAATGGATGTCAGTCCCTACCCGCTGATAGAATGGGAAAGCAGAGATGTTTCTGAAGCAAAGAGAAAAGATTTAGAGACTTTTAAACTTCCAAAGACTGGATCTATTAACCCCCCAAAAGCAGGTGAAGGGGGAAAGAGGATTTAACATTACTGAAATACCTGCAAAAGCTCTTAAAAATGTATGTTTAAAGCTGCTTGACTCTCTGGAAGCGGTGACCCAGTCAGAGTGGCAAACAGCCATTGTGATGTAACAATAGAAGGCATGCTTGTTACTTTCGTTTCCTACTTGGATATTTTGAAGTTGCTGCAGCGGTCAAACTGAAACATTTTAACCCTTAAAGTGAAAACTGGCAACATACCTCTATCTGAATTGCTTGAGGAGTGAAAAAGGAAAATAAATAAGAACGGCAGCTTGGAAAAGTTGGGACTGTATTTTAACTGACTTGTCTTGCAAACTGGAGCTGTTGTCTGACTTCCAGCTCATTACTCCTGACTGTTTTGAAATAAAAGTATCTTTGACTTTGGAAATCTGAGTTACTAGCGGTGCTATGGTGGGTGAGCCTGGGAAAAAGCCACAAACAAGAAGAGACTCTAAAGACCAGGCTTTCCAAGAGCAAATATTGGAGTTTATGAAAGATAATAAGCAGGGTCTGCAGCGTCTTGCAACAGAGGTCAGAGCTAATAGGCTCTGTCTCCAGGAATTTAAAAAAGACTTTGGAATTCTGTGCAAAGATCTCCAAGAGGTTAAATCAGAAGCTGTAGGTTTACAGAAAAGACTATCAGAGATTGAAGCTGTTAAACTTTCAGACTTAAAAGAATTACAGGAAGAGGCCCAAACAGCAATAGCTTTTTTACAACTTAAGGAAAGAGAGACATATCTTCGTTTGAGAGGCCTACCAGACATTGAACAAAGAAATTTGAAAGAGGAATTTGTGTCCTTTTGGGACCTAACAAAGGAAGAGGTGGAACCTACAACTGTAAAGGCCTATAGATTTGGACCCAGAGGAAAAAAGGACTCAAAATTTTAAATGATTGCCTGGTAGTCTTTCAAACAAAGGATCAAAAAGATAAAATTTTGGGATTGCATTACAAGAAGAATTTTGAAGTACAACAACATTCAATTGTTTTATTTAAAGAAATCCCAAAAATTTTCTTGGCGAAAAGAAATAACTATTTGGATCTTACAAGTGCATTGAGAAGAAACAATATCTTCTTTCGATGGGAATTTCCACAAGGCCTTTCATTTAAATACCAGCAAAGGAAACTTCGAATCAGGTCAATTGAAGAAAAGAGATTTTTGGAAAAGAACGTTAGTGATTTTGGATTTGACACAGGAGCAGGAGTTGGATCAGCTACAGGTGCAGGTCCGGGATCAGGATCAGGACTTGGGGCAGGAATCGGACCTCCAGATTTGGATTGAGATAATATGGCATTAAGAATTTTATCTTGGAATGTGAACAGACTTAATGCACGGCCTAAAAGAAATAAAATTCAACATGTGCTGTTAAAACAGAATTTAGATGTGATATGTTTACAAGAAACTCATGTAATAAGAACCCACAGGAACATTCTGCAAAATAAAAAATTAGGCCAGGAATTTATCTCTTCAGATAAGGTTAAAAAAAGAGGTGTTGTGATTTATGTTAAAGAGAAATTCAGTCCCAAAATGATCTTTAAGGATGAAGTTGGAAGATATGTTGCAGTGGAATTGACAGTACAAGGCCAAAAACTCTTGATGCTTGGAATCTATACACCAAATGAGGGCAAATCGGAATTCTTTAAAAATTTGTAGGCCACCTTGAGACTTCCGGGACAGCGCCATCGGCAATGGCGGAGTTCCTCTGACAGAGAGGAACCCGCTCCGTGAAAATCGGGTCTTGCCGCCGCGGCGAAGGCGGAGACCCTTTAAAAACCCCAGGCGGAGGAAGCCTGGGAACGTGGGATTCGGCTGATACCAGGAGCGCCTCCCCTACTCGCAGGGAAACCCTTTTTCGGGGGTCCGAAGCGACATGGGGTGAGTGGCGCGGTGTTTTGAATCAACCGCTACTTTTACGGAGTGAAGCCGCACAGCCGTTGCCGGAGAGCGCTGACCTTTTCCTGTGGATATTTGGACTCTAAACAAGTACCCGTGAGTAGGACGAAAAATTGGATTAAGTATTAAGAAATATCTTAATTTGGCACCGAAATGGGAAGGTTCTAAACAGGAAGTCCGCCTCCCGTTTTTTGTAAATAGATTGAAGCAAAAACTTTGTAAGCTAAAGTCTGGAAAGTCGTATATAAAGTTGTAAATCTCCTTCATTCATCACCACCAAAACCCCTCTTGGAAGCAGGAGAAAAGAGGGGGATTTTTGACTGTTTAAGCCTGCAGGAGAGAGAGTAAAGAAAGATAAATTTTCCACCGTCTCAAACCTGGGAACGGGGTGTCAGAGACAGAAATTTATGGGGGAAGTTCATTGACTGTGAACTTTTGATAGATAGTTTAAAAAAAAAGAGAGAGAGAAATATATTGATTCCAATGTTGCTTCTTGCAATCAAAAGAAACAAGGTATTTGAAAAGTGAAAGTAATTTTTCCTTGTTGGTCCTGCTTTTAAAAGATGGATACAAATAGAAAGTGTCTCCTCTAGAGGGAGCTTGTTAATTTGTTGCCGGAGCTGATCTGCGGACCTCACAGCTGTATGATTAGGATCGTGAGACCAGACTCTAACCTTGGGGGGAAAAATGTGTTTACAAGAAGTTTTGGTGCTTGCTTTTTGCAAGACAAGTGCTTTGCTGGAGCAGATGCATGAGAAGATGGATTTGATGACTGTTGCAGTTAAAAACTTTGGACAAACGGCGAATACCTATATAGAAACCACTCAGGAACCAGCCCAGGAATCTGTTTTGATAGGGCAAGCGCAAGGGCAGAAGAAAATGGAGGAGGTTGTTGTTGAACCTCAAATAACACAAATGGAGAGACCTGAGGCCTTGCAGGAGTATAAGCCGCTGTTCTTGAAGTTCGAATCTGGAGTGGACCAGGGGGGGTCTGGAGTTGTGAGGGCTCTTAACTTTGGAAAGACTTTGAAACATGCTTTTAACTACTTTCTGGATTATAGTGAATGACTGTGGGGAATGGGACTGTGGGGAATGGGCTGATCTGCTGAGGAGAGATGAAGATACTTTTGGATTGGAGTCCTCCTGAGACCTACCCCCCCCCAATGAGAAAGGAAAGAAAATAAGAAAAAGATCAACAAAAGATAAAGTAAAGGGCAGGTATAAACAAGAAAAAGACCTGCAGAAGGGACATGGAAAAGATTTAAGAGCCTCGGACATAAGGGCACCAGGTTGATGGATTAGATAGACGAGAAAGGACTGACAAAACCCAAGACCAGGAAGAAGAGACGATGGATGAAGATTGGAAGAAAGTTTAAAAATTTATTTAGAAAAGTATTATAAAATTAATGAGTATTAGAAAAATGTTGGAATGAAATTATTTGGCTTCAGCAGAAATGTCAAAAAGAATTATGAAAGAATATATTATGGTTAAAAAAGTTTGGTATATATGTTTTAAATTTTAAGTTTTAGGGTTTTTTAGGTAAGATAAGGTTAAAATAGATTAAGGTAATTTAAATGACAGAATATTGTGAAAGATGGAAAGGATTTGCTGAGATAATTAACAACTAGAATACAAAAAAGGGAGGTGTGAGGAGGTCGTTGAAATAAGTTAATGAAAGTTAAGGATTTGGGAATATTAGATTTGTTTTTTAATTGTTTGTTTATTTTTGTTTTTTGATTTAGATATATTGTGTGTTTTGTTATTTATTTATTTATTTATTGACTTTGGTTTTTATTGATCTGTATTGTTTAATTGTTATGTTTATCTACTTTTTTCTTTCTTTTTCCTCTTCTCTTCTCTTTTCTTTCTTTTTTCTGTTTAATTTTAAAATTCTCAATAAATATCATTTTTTAAAAAATGTAGGCCACCTTTATGGATTACCTGGATTACAAAATTATCTTGATGGGGGATTTGAACAACAATGATGGATAGAACCCAAAGGCAAAAACTTACTGTCAGGGAACTGCAGGCCGCAAGGGAGGAAGGAAAGGGAGGATACAGGGAACGAGATAAAGGGAGGATACAGGAACAGAGAAGAGGAAAGTGAGTCTGAGCAGGAGGGGGTGCTTCTGAGAGAGGGGGATCCACATCACAGGGAAAGATGGAAGGGGCTGGGCCGTTGGCTGTGCTGGTCTCGAGGGCAAGGGGAAAAAGAAACCAGTCGAACCAACGTGTCATGAAAGACGGATCGCTTTGTTTATTCTGCCTGTAATCTTGTCAGAAGGAAATAAAGAATGGAATTTATGGCTGGCTGCCTGGAGTGCTTTCTCTGCTGAGAGCAGCAACGCGCTGCAGCTGGTAAGCTGACACTTACTAATGATGGGAGGCTACCAAATACATTTTTTGAGATGGTGGACAATTTTGACCTGGTGGACATTTGGAGATTGAGGAATCCAATGGAGAAATATTTTTTCAGATGCAAATCTATCATGTAGCCGTCTGGATTATATATGGCTAACTAAAGACTTGACCCCAAGAGTGACTAAATCTGAGATTTGCCCAATCATTTGTCATATCATAATGCTGTGTTGACAAAGTTAAAATTGTCTCTAGAGGGTTCTTTTAGATGGCGGATGAATGATGCTTTACTGAGAAATGATTTGATTGTAAATAAAGCTCAGAAGACCCTAAAGGACTATTTTGAGTTGAATTTGAATCCTGGAATTGAAGCAAGGGTCGTATGGGATGCAAGTAAAGCAGTAATGCGAGGTTTCCTGATTCAACAGAATTCTATCAGGAAGAAAGCACAGAATGAGCAAAAGGAAAAAATCCTGTCTCAATTAAAGGAGAAAGAGAAAAAACTGAGATGTAATCCAAAAAATCAAGAGATTCAAAAGGAGATTAAGGCGTTACAATCTCAGTATTCACAAATAGTCAATCAAGAAATTGAATGGAAAATTAAATTGATGAAACAAAAGACTTTTGAATCGGCAAATAAATGCGGAAAATTATTGGCTTGGCAATTGAAAAAGAGACTGAAGGAGATTACAATAATTAATATTATGGAGGATGGAAAGAATATTGAGAACCCAGTAGAGATTCGAAAATGCTTTCAAAAGTACTATAAACAGCTTTACAAAAAAGAAAAAGAAGAAAAGGAAAAAATGGAACAGCTTCTGGACAAAAATGGATTGCAGAAAATTCCAGCGGATAAAAAGAACCTACTAAATGAACTGATTACAAGACAAGAAGTTGAAGGGGCAATTGCCCAAATGCAAATAGGCAAAGAACCGGGACCTGATGGCTTAACATCCAAATATTATAAAATAAATTTAAGGATTGGCTGATACAACCATTGATGGATGTTTGTAACAAGATATTACAGGGGGACAAAGCACCCGAGTCCTGGAAAGAGGCATCCATCACTCTGATACCCAAACCGGACACAAACAGAGCTCAAGTAAAGAACTACCAACCAATTTCTTTGTTGAATGTGGATTATAAAATATTTGCAAATATTTTGGCTACAAGATTGAAGAAAGTTTTGAATAAGCACATACATAAAGATCAATCAAGCTTTCTACCTGAGAGGCATATGAAAGATAATATTAGGAACAAAGTGGATGTGTTGGAGAGATTAGAGGTAAAAAGGAAAACTAAAGCAATGTTAATGTTTATTGATTCAGAGAAAGCCTTTGATAATGTTTCTTGGAGCTTTATGAAGCAAAACTTATGTAATATGGGGGTCGGTCAAAACTTTTAAAATGGTATTAATGCAATTTACTTTGAGCAGAAAGCAAAAATTATAATTAACAATGTGGTCTCAGAAGAAATTAGGATTGAAAAGGGAACCAGACAAGGGTGCCCACTTCCCCCCCTGCTTTTTATTTCTGTCCTAGAGGTGCTGTTTAACATGATAAGGAAGGATGAGGAAGTTAAAGGCATAGTAGTGGGAACTAAACAATATAAGTTAAAAGCCTTTGGTACTGACTTTACAGGACCTTGAGACCAGTGCAATCAAAGCACTGAAGATAATTCAAGAGTTCAGACAAGTTGCAGGTTTCAAATTGAATAAGAATAAAACCAAAGTCTTAGAGGAAAAAAATAACGATACAGGAAAAACTTAATTTAGAGGAAACCACAGGGCTGAAGTTTGCGAAAAAGGTGAAGTATCTGGGTGTAAATATGACTGCAAAAATTTGAATTTGTATAAAGACAATTATGAAAAGTTATGGAAGGATATCAAAAGAGATTTGGATATCTGGACAAGGTTGAAACTATCTTTGTTGGGCTGAATTTCAGCGGTAAAGATGAATGTATTGCCTAAGTTGTTATTTTTGTTTCAAGTTGACAAGTTGAATTGTTTTAAGGAATGGCAAAAGGTATTATCTAAATTTATCTGGCAGGGGGGGAAACCCCAGAATTAAGTTTAAATTATTAACAGATGTGAAAGAGAGAGGGGGTTTCTCCCTGCCAAATTTAAGTATTTACTTTGAAGCAGCATCCTTTTGCTGGTTGAAAGAATGGTTTTTGTTGGAAGATACAGATGTTTTAGATTTGGAAGGTTTTGATAATGTTGGCATGCATATTTATGGTATAATAAGATAAAAGCTCACAAAGGATTTAAAAATCATATAATTAGAAAATCTTTGTACAATGTTTGGATAAGATATAAGGATTTGTTAGAAAGGAAAACACCATTGGAAGCTAAGACCCATAAAAGGTTGAATATGAAAGCCACATGGTTGAAGTATAATGATATTTTGATGGAAGTAGGGGACCAATTTACATTGAAATCTTATGATCAGTTGAAAGATAAATTAGATGATTAGTTCCAGTACATCCAGATAAATGAAGCATTTAAAGTGGATAAGAAAATTGGTTTTCAAACAGAGAAATCCAAACTGAAAATGGAATTATTAGATACAAAAATGAAAAACTTGTCCAAGATGTATAATTTATTACTGGAATAGCATACGAAAGATGAACAAGTGAAATCTGTAATGATTGAATGGGCTAGGGATGTGGGGCACAATATTATGATGGTGGACTGTGAGAAATTGTGGGAAAAAAGGAATCCAATTTACAGAATGTAGTGTATTAAGAGAAAATTTGGTGAAAGTGATGTATATATTGTACTTAACACCAGGGAAGTTAGCAAAAATGTATCATACTCATGATAATAAATGCTGGAAATGTAAGGAAAAAGAAGGAACCTTTTACCACATGTGGTGGACGTGCCCCAAGGTGTCAGAGAAGAGTTAGAAGTTTCCAGTTTATCAGAGGGAGAAAGCATTCCCCAAGGGGGGAGGGACAGCAGTGAAGCTAATAGAAGGGAGCAAGAGGAACAACAGGGAGGGACCGGCTGTTCACAGGAAAGGCAAGGGTTAAGTTCTAGCTCAGATTCGGAGGAGGGGAGATACAGGCCAGCTCTAGCCAGGAGGGTAGGAAAAAGAGCGGGAAAACGAAGGGAAAGGTGCCTTCGCCATTTTGAGGGTGGCTGGTCACGGAGAAGCAGAGCTCAGAAGGTATCTGAAATAAGTGACTCTGAGGAATAATAGTTAAGAACTGTTTATAAGATTATTTTGTTAATACACAATAAAAAGTTATAAAAGAACAAGAAGCGTTTGTGTGGTGATCTGAAGAGGACAACGACCAGTCCTGACACAAGGTAAAAGACTTATGGGAAACGATTTATAATGAACTGAAAAAAGTTTTTAAAAACACATTTATTAAGAAACCAGAAGCCTTTTTACTTGGTATAGTGGGGGGTGAAATCCCCAAAAAGGATCTTACTTTTTTTCTGTATGCCACAACAGCTGGAAGAATATTACTAGTGAAGAATTGGAAGAAATAAGATTTACCAACTATTGAAGAACGGCAAATGAAGATGATGGACTATATGGAACTTGCCGAACTGACTGGGAGACTCCAGGACCAGAGAGAAGAGACGGCGGAAGAAGATTGGAAGAAGTTTAAAGAATATTTGAAAAAAAATGTTAATATTTAAATTAGAATAGCTTTGGAAGTGGATATAGGCTGTAGGGTAGAAGTAGAAGACAGTGTATTTTAAAATAGTATTATATGTAAAAGGCGAAAGATTTATACGATCTGAAGAGAAACCAGAGTATAAATATATGTAAGGGATAAAATGTGAAGATTTTTATGCTAAAAGTACCGTATTTTTCGCCCCATAGGGCGCACCGGCCCATAGGGCGCACCCAGTTTTTGGGGGGAGAAATAAAGAAAAATATTTTTATTTCCCCCCCAGGCGTGAGCTTCCCCCGACCCCATCACCCATAATAGGCTGCTCTCCACAAGCTGTGGGAGCCCTCCCACGGCTTGCGGAGAGCTACCCGAAGCCCGGGCCCGACTGCTCAGCGCGCCCAGGTTTCGGGATGCAGGCAGCTCTCCGCAAGCCGTGGGGAGCCCTGTGGGAACTCCCACGTGCTCCCAAGGCTTGCAGATAGCTTCCTGAAGCCTGGAGAGCAAGAGGGGTCGGTGCGCACTGACCCCTCTCGCTCTCCAGGCTTCAGCGAAAGCCTGCATTTGCCCCATAGGACGCACACACATTTCCCCTTCATTTTTGGAGGGGGATAAGTGCGTCCTATAGGGCGAAAAATACGGTAAGTGTGATTTTAAAACATGGTTAAAAATTATGATATCTATAAACTGCTAAGGATGAGGTAAAATGAAAATCAGATAGGGAGGACTTGGGGAAGCTCACCTAACAATGTGAGCAAGGATAAGACAAGGATAAGACAAGAATTTGTTTGTATTGTTTGTTTGTTTTTTTCTGTTAGTGCTGTTTATTTGTGTTATCAAATGAATATTTTTTTTTTGGAAAAAAGAAAGAAGGGATCTTACCAGGAATCCTATATATTTAGAGGCTAAAACTAGCCTGCAACAAGTTGTGTGTTTGAAAAGGGAATGTTGAAACTCTGCTTAGATATAGAACTTGCTAACACAAGTTAGGAAGGATATCATTAAACAATATATCCTCTCTTGCCTCCCTGAACATTCCCACATGCACAACACCAGGCTGGTTCAATGAATTGCCTTTGCAATTTAAGAAGATGTGTTTCTCGTGGTCAGTAACTTACCAAACCCTTATCCAAAACGATATATATTTCTATGTATCTGTGTAGTTTAGTGACATCTGACAGTGGCTGAGGAAAGACAAAATAAATCACATTTAGTAATCATTTTTGTATTTTGGTCCCCGGAGCTTTTATAATGCAAAATGGCTTAACGTTAGCAGCAGATTACTAGAACCAAGCCTGCATCAAGCTGCCCCACTTTTTTCAGGCTGTGCATTGCATCTGTATTGTAAGCCTACTAATCTGAGTTCTCAGGGAGGACTCCAAATAAAAAATGAATATTGATGGTAATTACTCCTAAAGGCCAGTTTAAGAATGAAATAAACCTCTTAGCACTTACCACAGTATCTGAGAGCAGCTTATAAGGCATGCCTTCACTCCCCAGTTGTCTTTCTGTAGATGTCAAATCTTCTCTCCTAAGTGGACTCTGGAGGTTTTTGTTGTTTATCTGATAAATCAGGTGCTCAAAATTAGCTGAGGATTTCAAATGCTCAATTCCATAGCTGACATTCTCAAACTGCAACAGCCCTCTGGAAAAAATAGAAAGTACTAGCCAAGGTTCAAGGAGACCTCGGGTTACATATGCTTCAGGTTACATACGCTTCAGGTTACAGACTCCGCTAACCCAGAAATAGTACCTCAGGTTAAGAACTTTGCTTCAGGATGAGAACAGAACTCGTGCTCCGGCAGCGCAGCGGCAGTGGGAAGCCCCATTAGCTAAAGTGGTGCTTCAGGTTAAAAACAGTTTCAGGTTAAGAACGGACCTCCAGAACGAATTAAGTACTTAACCCGAGGTACCACTGTACAGGAAAAGTGAGCTTGTTGTTGTTGTTGCTGCTGCTGTTTAGTCGTTTAGTCGTGTCCCACTCTTCGTGACCCATGGACCAGAGCACGCCAGGCACTCCTGTCTTCCACTGCCTCCCACAGTTTGGTCAGCATAACTTTTATATGCCTGTTGTCTTTGTCCATGGAGTTTTCTTGGCAGGAATACTGGAGTGGCTTGCCAGTTCCTGCTCCAGGTGGATCACGTTTGGTCAGAACTCTCCACTATGACCTGTCCATCTTGGGTGGCCCTGCACGGCATAGCTCATAGCTTCTCTGAGTTATTCAAGCCCCTTCGCCACGGCAAGGCAGTGATCCATGAAGGGGAAAGTGAGCTTAATTAACCTCAAACCCATTGTGGGATGCTAATAATGTTTTTCATTACTCCCTTTACGCTCTGAGCACACAATACCCCACCTCACACTCAGTGGCTTTCTGATCGCTCCCAAACAAACTCCCATCCCTAATCTTGCACCTCACCTCCACTTCTCGGTGCTCATGTCCCAGTAAAATCCTGCCCATGACTTTTGTCTCACCTTGAACACTCTCAGTCCCTTGAACACATCCTGCTCCACCCTTTCCCCTTGGCTGCCCTTTGATGATGCTCTTCCTTTGAAAACTAAGGACTTGTTGGGTGTAGTGAAGGGTTAACTTTCTGTGTATCGAGCTTGAGGGGGGAAGGGCTTACAAAGGAAGTAAGCCAGGACATTACGTCAACAGCTTGTTATGCTGTGAGAGAGTGCTTTCGATTTCAGATCGGTTGCTGCACTGAGGATGTGAGGAGTCAGAGAAAATGCAGCTGGACACTGATGGTCTTTGATGGATTGTAAATAAGCTATTTGCTGTACAATAAAGCTTCTAGGATAGAAAAAGCTGTTTGGACTGATTTACTGTCCTTCTCACATTTCGCTGTGCATTCTGCTACATTTGCTTTCTCCCGTGCTTACGCTGAAAAACAAGAAGCTGGCAGACGCTCGCAATGGGAGCGCAACTGGACGGAGAAGCAATAAATCATAAAGGACAGGTTATGGCTCAACGCCAAGAGTGTGAGAAAGGACTTGAAAGGCTTTAAAAGACTGGACGTCGGCTTGATCGACTGCCAAAAAGAACAAAGGGCAGATCGGAGGAGGCTGACGGAGAGGGAGCATTGGAGCCAAGACTTTCCGGAACACCCAGTTGGCAAGAATGAGTGAGTACTCCAGCCAAAGAAGGGAAAGGGAAAGCATGGCAAAGCCCCAGGGACATGGCTTTGAGTTTAAGATGCCGTGTCAGAGACTGAGTAGCCATAATTGGCTGGAATGGTCTTTTGCAATGGAATTCCTGCTGGTGGGAGAGCAGTTATGGCACTTGGTCCAACCCCCACAGCCTGCAGCTGGGAAAGCAAAGGCAGAGAAGGCTGCAGTTCAAAATGAAATGGAGCAGCGTGTGCTTAGAATTTTGGCTGAAAGTGTGGAAGCTTATCTTCTTCCAGTCCTACAGGGTGCCAGACAGCCAAGGGTCGCTTGGGAATCCCTCCGAAAAGCTTGTGAAGCTGGGGTGGGAAGCAAGGGCCGAGAGGTGGCTGCACCAGAGGGGGAGAACCAAGATGGCGCCGGCCAGTTTCTTGAAAGCTCATCGAAAGCTGAGAGGAGCTTTGAGCCCCCAAGGAGGGGGTGAAGGGACTGTTGCTGTTGCTGTGACTGCTGCTGGTGCTTTTGCTGTGCCTGGGAGCAGTTTGGATGCTGTAACGTGTCTGTGTGAGGAGCCAGGAGAGAGGCTAAGATTCGGAAGCCCTACACCCATCAGAGGGGGTGCAGGCAAAGGTCCTGGAAGCCCTGTGAGCAGTGGGGGGGGGGCAGTGAGCAGTGAATGCTCAGAGAAGCCTCTTTCTCCAAAAGCTGCCAAGTGTTGTTTACGCCGTGAGCTGGAGCCTAGCCATGGGAAGCTGAGTGCTACTGTAGGCTTCAAGGCCAGCCATCTGGAGCAACCTCTGATAAGAGCTTCGGAGCTGCGTGAGAACGCCAGGAGAAGTCCAGTCTCCAAGGCAACTGAGAGAGTTGCATCTATAGAAGCTGTGAAGGTCGTGGGCAAGTGTCCCTGCTGGGGGGGGTCTGTTGCCATGGCAACCAGACAGGACATCTGCAGAGGCCCCAATGAGGGGGGCAGCAAAGAGAGTGTTGCTATGGCAATGCTTCAGGAATGTCAACAACCAGACACTCTGACTGTCGTCATTGACTCTGGAGCCACAAACACTTTAGTTCCATCTGCTGGTTTTTTGCGGAACTGCAGGACAGTAAAAACTGACAAATACGTCACCCTTGCTGATGGGAGTAGAAGAAGGCTGACACAGTCAGGACATTTTTACTGTTCCTTTCTTAAACATAAGGTCAAAGCTTATGTGGTGCCAGGCTTAGCCAATTGTTTGTTAAGTGTGCATGATTTACTTGCTGATGGTTTTTGTGTGTCTTTTGCAGGTACCCAATGTGAGTTTTCCAAGAATGGGAAGCACTTGTACACAGTGCAGGCGAAAGGCAATTTGTTTGTTGTAGAGTTGCCTGTTTCTACAGAAGAGGATGACACCAAAGATGCAAAGGGGCAATGTGTGAATGTAGCGCCCCACGATGGTTGTCCACATATCTGGCACAGGCGATTTGCCCATATGAATTGGGGATTTATCCAGAAGGCACCTGAACTGACACAGGGGTGCAAATTTAAGGCTTGTGACAGGTTCTTGGATTGTAATGCTTGTAAGCAAGCCAAGATTGTCACATGCTCTTATCCAAAGTCAGACAGACAGACCACTCAACCCTTTGAGTTAATTCATGCAGATTTGTGTGGCCCCATGTCAGTTGAGTCATTGGGGGAGTCAAAGTTCTCTCTGCTTCTGATTGATGATTTCTCGAGAAATGTGTGGACATTTGCTTTACGCTCTAAAGGGGAGGCGGCTAAGCTGATCAGGGATTGGGTCACCGCAGTTGAGGTAACCTTCTCCACCAAAGTGTGTGGCTTTCAAAGTGACAGAGGTTCGGAGTTCACTGGTTCTGCTTTGCAGGATTTCTTTAGGGAGAAGGGGATTAGCCACCGATTGACCGCTCCTTACTCTCCGCAGCAAAATGGAGTAGCGGAGAGGAAAAACAGGACGATACAGGAAGCGGTGTCGTCTGTACTATGGGATGCAGGGCTACCCCAGAAGTACTGGCGATTTGTGGTGCATACGCAGAACAGAGTGTACAACTCAAGTGTAGGGAACACACCCTATTTCTTGCTGCATAGAAAGAAACCCAAGGTGCACTACCTTCGTGTGTTTGGTTGTGAGGCCTGGGTTCTTATTCCAAAGGCTCTACGCAAGAAAGGTGAGCCAAGATCCAAAAGAATGATCTTTGTTGGGTATGAGCCTTGCTCCAAGGCCTGGCGGTTTGCGTACCCAAGTGGAAACCAGTCAAGGTTGGTGATCAGCAATAGCGCTGAGTTCTGTGAACAAGCTGGATGGTTACGTTTGCACGCTAATCCAGACGTGATTTCACAGCCGTTCTATGACTCAGACGTTGAGGAGGAGGAGGAGGAACTTGCTGCTGGGGACCGTGGTCCAGAGCAACAGGGTCCACCACAGGGATAGAGTCCAAGGCAGGGACAGCTCAGGATCCCTCAGAGGGGGGAACCTAGAACACCTCCTCAGGTAAGTGTCAAGTCTGAGCCAAAGAGTGAGCCTTCCTCACCTGCTGGACCAGTTGTAAGGCCCAAGAGGCGCAGCAGGTCAGAGGGGGAGGACACTGAAGTTGAGGATGATTTAGCTGGTCCCAGTGAGTCAGAAGGGACACCAGGGTTCACACTGAGGAGATCAGCGAGGACAAGGAGGCCTCCTGATCGGTATGACGCTTCAGGCGTCTGGGTAGGTGCAGCCAGATGTGAACCTGAATCCTTTGAGGATGTTCAGAGTCTACCTCAGGAAGAAGCAAGTAAGTGGCACAAGGCAATGGACAAAGAGATGAGGTCCATGGAAGACCTAGGTGTGTTCTCACTCACAGAGTTGCCACCGGGCAAGCAGGCTGTGAGTTGCAGGTGGGTTTACCACCTTAAACCCACTGACGCTGGAGAACCGCAGTATAAAGCTAGGTTAGTTGCTCGTGGATTCACTCAGAGAAAGGGAATACACTTCACTGAGATGTATTCACCAACTTCACGAGCAGAGACTCTGAGGACGCTTTTAGCTGTTGCTGCACAGAGAGGCTGGAAGATAAACCACGTTGATGTGGATGTTGCCTACCTGAACTCAGATCTCCAGGAGGAGCTGTACATGCTTCCTCCTCCGGGGTTTGAGATTTTGAGGCAGGGTGTTGTGTGGAGATTGCACAAATTCATCTATGGATTATGTCAATCAGCCAGAAACTGGAACATGTGCCTGAATGAAGCCTTAGAAGAGCTAGGTTTCAGAAGAAGTGTTGCTGATAGTTGCCTTTATTTGAGAGGATCAGGTGCAACACAAGAATACGTGCCGATTTACATTGATGATGTCTTATTCTTTTCAGAGACAGATAAACAGGCAGAAAAGTTTGCCAGAGAGCTAGGTAAACGGTTCAAGCTTAAGCAGCTTGGTGCTGTCAAGACCTATTTAGGTGTAGATGTTGTCAAAGCACAAGATGGGAGCTTTTTGCTCAGCCAGAGAGGCAAAATTGAGCAGCTGCTTCAGAAATTCAGGATGAGTGATTGTGCGGGAGTGAGAAGTCCTATGGAGACTAGTTTTGTGAAGGATAGTCAGCAAGTAGAACACACTGTGTTCAAAAATGCTGAAGTGTTTCAGTCAGCCCTAGGGAGTTTGCTGTACTTGTCCCAGTGGAGCAGACCAGATATAGTGTTTGCTGTCAATCTGCTCAGCAGGGAAGCCTCAAACCCTAGTATGCAAGCCTGGAATGGCATCAAGAGAGTTCTGAGGTATATGCAGGAAACCAAAGACTTTTGTCTTAGGCTACCAGTGCAAGGTGAAGTCAAACTGACTTGTTTTGTGGACTCGGACTAGGCTAATCTTCAGGATCGCAAATCCGTGTCTGGTCTAGTGGTGAAGTTTGGGAACTCGGTAGTTGGATGGAGGTCCAAGAAGCAGAGTCTTATAGTGCTCTCATCCACTGAAGCTGAGTTCAGTGCTCTTTCAGAGGTGTGCAGAGAGGTAGAGTTCTATGCTTGTTTGGTCCAGGAACTCTGTGGAACAGATTGTCTGCCGATACTTGTCTTCGAAGACAATCAGCCATGCCTTCGTTTGGCCGAGACGGGTCAATTCAAGGCCAGGACCAAACACCTAGACATTCGCTTTCAGAATGTGTGTCAGAGTGTTCAGGAGGGGTTAGTTGCGTTGAAGTAATGTCCCTCCACCAAGAACCTCGCTGATGGGTTCACGAAGCCACTCTCCGTCCAAAGACACGGGGAGTTTTGCGAAGGTCTGGGTTTGGGGTGACCAAGGGTCAATATCCCCCCCTCAGGCGCGGGACAAGAGGGGGTGTTGGGTGTAGTGAAGGGTTAACCTTCTGTGTCTCGAGCTTGAGGGGGGAAGGGCTTACAAAGGAAGTAAGCCAGGACGTTATGTCAACAGCTTGTTATGCTGTGAGAGAGTGCTTTCGATTTCAGATCGGTCGCTGCACTGAGGATGTGAGGAGTCAGAGAAAATGCAGCTGGACACTGATGGTCTTTGATGAATTGTAAATAAGCTATTTGCTGTACAATAAAGCTTCTAGGATAGAAAAAGCTGTTTGGACAGATTTACTGTCCTTCTCACATTTTGCTGTGCATTCTGCTACGTTTGCTTTCTCCTGTGCTTACGCTGAAAAACAAGAAGCTGGCAGACGCTCGCAACGGGAGCGTAACTGGACGGAGAAGCAATAAATCATAAAGGACAGGGCTTAGCCACACTTATCTTTGGTCCCACTCTTTCAGGCATCGGTCCACTGCTTTAACGCTCCATGTCAGAGCAGTTTCCTGCCCACCCCAAGCATTTGCCGGGGGGGGGGACACACTTGTTAAAGCTGAATCAGTGCAAACATCCATTTGGGTTTTCCACTGACTGACATTTGCTCCAGTTGAGCTTTAAAGAGTGTGTTTTCACAGGGAATGCTCCAAAGCTAAAAACAGGTGCTCAGACACAGAGCTTTAAATTGTGAGCTGTGTCAACAAAGAGCAGAGGAAAGGTAAGTGTGGATAAGCCCTAAATTATTCCAAGAAGACATTATAGAGAAGCAAAAGGCTGGCATAAGGACTGCCAATCGCTGGAGTTTGCTAGTATCTGAGGGTGCTGGCCATCTCCTCTGGATACCTCATACAGGGTATTTGGCTGTCTGCTGGAATGCTTAAGCAGGGCCTCCACTTATGCTTATGCTCAGCCTGCATGTTTGTAAATAAGCTCAAATATTACAAAACCAAGTAAGTCTACAGTGATTTCCTTCCAAAGGAGACCAAACCTGGGTAGGCCCCACACCTGGGAACTTTCCACTGCTCAGAGAAGAGTAAATATCTTGGGCTGCTGTAAACTTCCACTCAACAAAGTCAGGAGTGTGAAGAACAATGATGGGGATGGGAGAGACAGGACATATACTGCATGTACTTTTGTGAAACATCTGGTGCCTGGATTATGCCAGAGACAGGTTGCTGCTAGGGTTGACAGATAATTGATTTAGGCTGTTGAAATCTCTTACCTGAGCCCATAACAGGTGCTGAGTATTGCAACAGAGTTTGGGAACCCTTGTATGTATCCTTGATAGAAGCATTCGCCCTAAAGATATTTTTTAAAATTAGAAAAAAGCAATTGATGCAGCATTTACACAATTGAAATTCTCTATTAACTAGCCTTACATGCAGTTTTTAACCCTCACCCTCCTGCCCCACAGTTTCAGTTCCCCCAGAATTGTGCTTCTAACCATCTTCCATCCGTTCAGGTCAATGTGCCGGTGACAGCTTGTCTTAGAAAGAGAGAGCCTAGCCACAGTTATTTGTGATGTTCATGTGAATTATTATTATCTATAACATGTGTACACTCCCATTCATCTGAGGATCACAGGGCAGTTGTCAATGTAAAAACACAAAAATAGATAGTATAGTAACAATAGATAGTAACAAACAATAGATAGTAACAAACAAAAACAATAACCACCACCCACCATTTAAAAGGCCATAGATTGTTTAATCAGCCAAAGGCCTGGGAGGAGAGGAATATGTTCTTGCCTGGCAGCTAAAGATATGTAACAAAGTTGCCAGGTGAGCCCCCCTGGGAGAGCATTCCATAAGCAGGGAGCTACCCCAGCCATTCTCATGTTGCTGCCCTCTAGGTAAAGGCAAAGGACCTTGGATGGCGACTATGGGGTGTGCCGCTCATCTTGCTTCAGGCCGAGGGAGTTGGCATTTGTCTGCAGACAGCTTTCCGGGTCACGTTGCCAGCATGACTAAACTGCTACTGGCACAATGGAAACACCGCAACAGAAGCCAGAGCGCACAGAAATGCCATTTATTTTCCTGCCGCAATGGTACCTACTGTATGTGTCTACTTGCACTGGTGTGCTTTCGAACTGCTAGGTTGCCAGGAGCTGTGTCAGAGCAGTGGGAGTTCACCCTGTTGTGGGGATCTGAACTGCCAAACTTCCGATCAGCAAACCCAAGAGGCTCAGTGATTTAGACCACAGCACCACCTGTGTCCCTTACTTTACCTTTACCTGCTGAATTCTGCACCAGCTGAAGATTCCGAACCATCTTCAGAAGCAACCCCACATATAATGGGTTGCAATAATCTAAACTAAAGGTTACCAGAGCATAGTTTGCAGAAGTTAGGCTATGCCTGTCCTGATAGGGGCGCAGCTGGGCACTCAATGCAACCGAGGCCACTTGAGCCTTAAGTGGCAGCAATGGATCTAGAAGCACCCCCAAGCGTGTACTAACTCCTTCAGAGCAAGCGTAACCCCATCGAGAGCAGACAACCTCTCAGCCATCTGCTCTAGGGAACCACCCACTAAAGGTGCCTCCATCTTATCTGGATTGAGCTTCGGTTTGTTGGCCCTCATCCAGTCCATTACTGAGGCAAGACAACAGCCCAGCACTTCCACTGCCTCATCTGCAGATGTAAAGGAGAAGCAGAGCTGTGTGCCATCAGTATATTGATGACAATGTACTCCAGACTCTGGATGGCCCCCTTAGGACCCATTCCAGTGCATGGTACTGCTTTGGAAGATGGTCCAAAAAGTGCAGCAAATACATAACAGAGCAACTAGGTTACTAACTGGGCCTGGACATACAGAAGAACGCTTTTCACCAGCATAGCTTCTTAGCTCTCCATAAGTTTTCAGACCTAATTCAAGGTGCTTGTTTTGACACATAAAGCCTCAAGCCAAGTTACCTGATGGAGCACCTCTCCTTGTACCATCCCACCCAAGATCTGAGATCTGCCTGGCAGGTCCTTTTGGTGATACCATTGCCATATGCAGTTGAGCTACCAAAACGTTTAATGAGGCTTTCTCAACGGAAACCCCACCTCTCTGCCCCTGGTTGTGGAACACTTTTCCTCCTGAGCACCAACAATGGTTAGCTTTCGGGACCAGGGCAGACATCATGATGTTATATACAACTGAATTATGAATTTTAGATGCTTTAGTATTTCTATGACTATTTTGTGCTGCTTAACATGAGGCTCCTTATGAGGCTGGAGGAACATTACCTGGCTGTGAGTGTGAAGGCCGCTCCCTACAAAGCCCTTTCCACCTGGCCTAGGGGGCAGGGCCCACACTCACCCAGCCCTACTTTGTTAAATATGTATTCTGTAGTTGACCTCCTTTGTAATGTTTTATTTTGAAATCTTTAAGATAACATTTTAGTTTTCTGTTATGTTGCTTTGACTGTATACTCTATATTTGACTTTTTCAGATTGTTTTATTTATGTTTTATTGATTTAATATGCTGTAAACCACTTTGAGATTTTTCTTAAAACTATAAAGTGGTATAGAAATTAATAAAATAAAATTAAAAAAAATAATTTTTGTTGTGACCCACCATGCAATCATTTTGAGGAAGAACAAGATCTTATGCATACCACTTAGGAGGGTTTGTTATGATTATTTGGTTCATGCATTTATTTAAATAAATAAATAATAATATTTTATTTCATTTTTACAAAAAAGTAGCTTGGAACCAAGTTACTTCAAGGGCTGCCTCTTCCTGCATGAACATACCTGACTGTTGAGAACTTCTTCTGAGACTTTTCTGTGAGTCCCTGGGCTATTTGAGGCAAGGTGTGGGAGGTAACTGGGGGGTGTGGGGTGTTCTGCTGTGAAACCCCTCCTTTGGAAATTGCTCACCAGAGAAGCTTCCCCATCACCTCTTACAAATGCCATATGCATTTTATTTTTTTACTTTCCCCCAGGCTTTTTGCAATGTTCAGACTGAAGGGTTTATCTGATCTCAAAATGCCCTTTCCCCACAATCTTCTTCTGTAATGAAGTTAAATCTTTATTGTTACATGCCACCCCAATCTCCATGAGCAGTGTGATATTCCAGGGGTTGCAGGCACACTTTTCTTTTGGTAATGAGGCACAGTGGAGAATGGGGTGTCTTTATGATATATGGTTTATTTACACATACATACAATCTGATTCTAGATGGGTGGGAATCCCAGCATTAAACCCCAAGAGGATCTCTTGTGTGTCAGATTTTAAAGAGACCTCAGCCATAACTCTGCCTATCTGCCTTCTGCTTGCCGCTTCCAGATGGAGAGGATTTTCCTCCACACTCACTTCATGCTTTGGCATCTCCCACCCCCTGCCCCACTCCCCGCCGCCTTCAAGTTTGCAAAACCAACACTTTCTGTCTGTTTGCTTACTTTAGGCCCAATGAAATTCTGAAATTTCTTCTACCCAACTCTGGCATTGTCTTTGCTAACTACCACCCCCTGCAGCTGGCACAGCCTCTGCTTTGCTGCTTATCAGTCTTTCTGACTTCTCTGCCAGGGAATTCTCCATCAGGAAAAATCAGGGTTAGCCTGTATTTTACACTGCTTTTTTGGGGGGGGCAGAATCTGGCATACAGGAATTCAGAAGAGTCATGGTAGCCCACACACCCATAACCATATTGTATTGCCTCAAAATTTTGTACACTGCTTTTGTATATCTGACAAGTGGTGTACAAACACTTAAAATCAATCAAGCAATGTCTGAAATGACATCCAAACACAATTAAGAACCTTTACCTGAATATGTGGGGAATTGGGGTGGACAAAGCCTCCTTGGTTGTATGTATAAACCAAAAAGTCATTGGGCAAAAATGTTCTGTGAAGAAAACAACAAAGTGATATTTATGTTGGCATTTCAAAAAGAATCACTGACTGCCCTCTGGGGAAAGTCTCATAGGGTTGGGTTGAAGAGGTAATTAATGAAGATCCCCTAAGGCACTGTACTTTGTCTTTGTCAGCTAGCAAGCTGAGGAACAGAAACAGGGGATGCTTCTAAAATTTGCTGGCAGTGCTAAGTGAAGAGGTACAGCATTCATAAATACTAGCAGCAAACTGCCTATCACAATGATGGAGGCAGAGATCTTTACTGCAGTGCTTCCCATAAGTGAGGCCCAGATCCCCTTGAGAGGTTGTGGGCTCTCTCTCATTGGGGGTTTCTAAGCAGAGGGCAAATGGCCCTCTGTCAAGGGGGTTGGACTAGATGACCCTTGGGGTCCCTTCAAACTCTACGGTTCTATGATTCTATGATCACACAGTGTCAGGGAATGGAGGCAAGGTTGTTCTCACCACAATGTTGTCTCCCTCTGCAGTGGTTTGCTTTTCCTGTCTCCTTGATCCTTGCCCATCCTGGCTCATAAAAGCAAGTCTGGAAGGGCTGGGCAATGGGCTCTGCAGGGTGGTGAATGCTTCCCTCTGTGAGGGAGCCTTCCCAGACCCGCTGAAAGAGGCAGTCATTAAACCGCTTCTTAAAAAAACATCTTCAGATCCAGCCAATATGGTCAACTATCGCCCAGTCTCAAATCTACCATTCTTGGGCAAGGTGATTGAGCAGGTGGTTGCTGAATAACTCCAAGCACGCCTGGAGGATGCGGACCATTTGGATCCCTTCCAATCGGGATTCAGGTCCCACCATGGTACTGAAACTCTGTTGGTCATGCTGGTCAATGAACTTCAGCTGGCCAGGGACAGAGGTGAAAGCTGTTTCCTGGTCCTGCTGGATCTCTCAGCGGCCTTTGAGCCAATTGAACATGGTATCTTTCTAGACAGTCTTAAGGAGCTGGGAGCTGGGGGCACTGTTATACAGTGGTTCCGCTCCTTTCTCCTGGGCCGTGTTCAGAAAGTGATGTTGGGGGATGAGTGTTCAAACCCCTTGGCTCTCAGTTGTCGGGTGCTTCATGGTACTGTCCTCTCTCCCATGCTTTTTAACATCTACATGAAGCCGCTGGGAGAGATCATCAGGGGGTTTGGGCTGGGTGTTCATCAATATGCAAATGATACCCAGCTCTACCTCTTTCAAATTGGAACCAGTGAAGGCGGTGAAGGTCCTGTGTGAATGTTTGGAGGTGGTTGGAGGATGGATGGTGGCTAACAAATTGAGGTTGAATCCTGACAAGACAGAAGTACTGTTCTTGGGGGACAGGGGGCAGGCGGATGTGGGGGACTCCCTGGTCCTGAATGTGGTAACTGTGTCCCTGAAGGAGCAGGTGCGATGCCTGGGAGTCATTTTGGACTCACAGCTGTCCATGGAGGCACAGGTTAATTCTGTGTCCAGAGCAGCTGTCTACCAGCTCCATCTGGTATGCAGGCTGAGACCCTACCTGCCCGCGGACTGTCTCACCAGAGTGGTGCATGCTCTAGTTATCTCCCACTTGGACTACTGCAATGCGCTCTACGTGGGGCTACCTTTGAAGGTGACGCAGAAACTGCAATTAATCCATAATGCGGCAGCTAGACTAGTGACTGGGAGTGGCCACCGGGACCATATAACACCGATCCTGAGAGATCTGCTGACAGGGAAGAGTTACAGTTAGAATTTTCCAGTTTCTCAGAGGGAGAAAGCATTCCCCAAGGGGGGAAGGAGAGCAGTGAATCTAACAGAAGAGAGCAACAGGAACAACAGGGAGGGACCGGCTGTTCACAGGAAAGGCAATGGTTCAGTTCTAGCTCAGATTCGGAGGAGGAGAGATACAAGCCAGCTCTAGCCAGGAGGTTAGGAAAAAGAGTGGGAAAGCGAAGGGAAGGGCGCCTTCGCCATTTTGAGGGTGGCTGGTCACGGAGAAGCAGAGCTCAGAAGGTATCTGAAATAAGTGACTCTGAGGAAGAATAGTTAAGAACCGTTTATAAGATTGTTTTGTTAATACGCAATAAAAATTTATAAAAGACAAGAAGCGTTTGTGCGGTGATCTGAAGAGGACAATGACCAGTCCTGACATCTGCATTTGCTCCCAGTACGTTTCTGAGCACAATGCAAAGTGTTGGTGCTGACCTTTAAAGCCCTAAATGGCCTCGGTCCTGTATACCTGAAGGAGCGTCTCCACTCCCATCGTTCAACCCGGACAGAGATCCAGCACTGAGGGCCTTCTGGCGGTTCCCTCATTGCGAAAAGTGAGGTTACGGGGAACCAGGCAGAGGGCCTTCTCGGTAGTGGCGCCCGCCCTGTGGAACGCCCTCCCATCAGATGTCAAGGAAATAAGCAGCTATCCTATTTTTAAAAGACATCTGAAGGCAGCCCTGTTTAGGGAAGTTTTAAATATTTAATGCTGTATTGTTTTTAAACACTTGATTGGGAGCCGCCCAGAGTGTCTGGGGGAAATGCAGCCAGATGGGCTGCATAATTTATAAATAATAAATTATTATTATTATTATTATTATTATTATTATTATTATTATTATTATTCCTCCCACTGGATTGAATGGTAACCATTAATTTCCAAAGAAGACAGCCAAGGAATGTTCTCAAGAGACAACATAGGGCAGTGATGGCCAAACTTGGACCTCTAGCTATTTTTGGGACTACAACTCCCATCATCCCTAGCTAACAGGACCAGTGGTCAGGGATGATGGGAACTGTAGTCCCAAACAGCTGGAGGGCTGAGTTTGGCCATCACTGCCATAGGGTGTCTGATGTACTAGGCAATTAATAAGCAATGTACTCTGGGTGTTATTTCTTTATTGATAATATTGTACCATATTTTTCGCTCCGTAAGACATACTTTTTTCCTCTTAAAAACTAAGGGGAAATGTCTGTGCGTCTTATGGAGCGAATGTGTGGTCCCTGGGGCTGGGGGGGGGGGACCCAGGCTTCTCCCGTCAGCCCCGACAAGCTCTGGGAGCAGCGGGCAGGTTGTGCGCAGAACGTTCGCTGCTCCCTGAGGTGCTCTTTGGGGCGGGGGAACCAGGCTTCCCCCGCCAGCCCCGACAAGCTCGCATGTCATCTCTCTTTTCCTTTTAGTGCCACAGGCCTTTTAGATTCATTCATTTTTAATCATTGCTGGAATTTTTTCTATCATGCTGTTTTCTTTGGAAGTTGCATTGTTATGTAAGTGTTGCCATTTTTTTATTGTATTACTACTACTACTACTACTGCTACTACTACTACTACTATTACTACTATTGGGCTTCTTTAACCCCTTGTAAGCCATTCCAGGAGCTTACTGCTGAACAGTTTAGGTAAGATGCTTCCTAAGAAATGAACAAATAAATCTTTTGTGGGGCGCTTTTGTCTAGCGCAGGCATGATGCGTAAACTGAGAATTCTCATACTGCCTATGACCTTCTGGACAGTTCTGAGCAAAATAAGACTGGTGGCCCTGTTGAGGTGGTAGTGGACTAGGAAAGGCCCAATCTGATCACCTTCTGGAGCTAGCCATTATGGACTACTGAAATCAAAATCAGGTGCAGATTAGTAAATGACCTGGCTCACATGTCACACTAAGCCAAGCCATGGCTCTCCAGGGTTTCAGACTGGGGTCTCTGCCTAGAGACACTGGAGACTGAACTTGGGACCTTCTCCATGCACAGCACATGCTACAGCCTTTCCATAAGCCAAAGGGTTAAGAATAGGGAGTCACTTACTGTTGCTGCAGGTGAATTGTGTACGTCTTCTTTTTTATTGTAATCATGTAAGTCTGTGTGCTCTGGACAATTCAAAACAAAACAAAACAATCAGTCAGAAGAGTATGTAGAAACAGTATTTTTACAAATGAAATGAACAGTCTCTATTGAAATGTATTTGATGATGGCAGAAAAGCTATGGCAGTGATTGGCTGAGCCTCTTTATCTTTCAGAGAGGCAGTTCAGGACCCAGGGAAAGAAAATAAGTTTCATTGATGAAAGAAGGAGGCAGGGACCTGAGAAGGCATTTGCGGGAGTGGGGGCAGAGGGCTAAACCCTAGAAATAAATGGTAGGGTTTTGATTAGCTGGAGTATTGAAGGGAAGATTGCAGGCCAGTGGAAAAATACAAGCTAAACTTCCTTTCCCAGCCAAAGCTTCACCTGGGATAGCAAAAGGTGTTGATGGCCCACCTGAGAGGAATCTTTGGCCTGGGCAGATGGAAGGTTGCCAGAGTAACTGGCTGTAAAGTGACAGGAAAAGAGAGTCTTGAAAGCAAGGAGTGCTGGGAAGAAGAAGTTGGGGAGAATGAAAAGAGAGATCCATCCTGGGCAGGCTGGCTGGGAGAGATGCATTGGACTCTAGTGCTGCACTGCTGTAGGGAACAAGCTCCTCTTAAAATGACCAAGCTATAAGATCTGGACTCTCTCCATACAGACGGAAGGTGTAAATAGGTGAATAAACCATAGCTTTTAAAGTTACAATTCCACAGCCTCTTCAATTCTCCAGAGGACCATAGACCCTGGGTGAACCCCTGGAATCTTCCTACCGCTTGGCAGAGAGTGGGGCTGGCGCCCAACTTCTGAAACAGAAATCAAGGCAGCTCAGGCTTAAATGGGGATCTCCTGAGGAATAAGGAAGCCAGGTTGAGAAGCCTGCTAAAAAACTAGGAGAGAGAACAGGCAGAAAGGAGAAGTAATAGCACATTGATTTGAAATAGCCAGTCAGATCTCTGGTTCCAGGTCTAATTAATACTTTGATTAAAAAAAGGATCCCTGCAAAGCGTACATGGACATGTGGGGCTCCTGCAAGAGGTGAGGGAGTGAAAATGCTGCTAAACAAAACAGCAGCAGTGATTATGATGGGGAAAAGGGGAAACTATCATTCTTAAATGATATTTAATAATGTTTGCTCTGACCCAAAGATTCTTATGCACAACTGTAGAGTGCACACATAGCTGTACCTGAGGATCTCTGCTCATTCACTCACCTGGAGGACCTCAGGTGTGGAACATGCACATGTTTGTGGGTTTCCCAGAGGTATCTAGTTGACCCCTGTGGGAAACCTAGCAAGACTCTGTTTAACTTCTTAATGTAAAACAACTTGCAACACAACCCTCACTATATCTACTCAAAAGTAAATCCAATTAATTCAGTGGCACTTACTCCAAGGTAAGTGGGGTTAGGATTTCAGCCTTGCTCAACTAAATATGTTTCTTGCCTGTGTCTGGGGCCCAGAGAAGCCAATGGGGGGGAGATTTGACTGGAAGGAAATGAAATTCCCCATTTTCTGGTGCTTCAACCCAGTTGCTCATGGGTATCATTGTCACAAGTACAAGGGTAACCGTTTTCTAAATCCACTCACAATGAGTCAGGAACAGCAAAGTGGGAAAAGAATCCCACAGTGCAATCTCCTGAAGTCTACCATACCCAACAAAAAAATCTGAAAAGGAAAAGTTGCATTCAAAGCACAACAGCCTCCTGCCACTCAGAATGAAAATGTGTGGTCACATTCATTTGCTAAATAAATACAGTGGTACCTTGGTTTACGAACTTAATCTGTTCCGGAAGTCTTAAGAATGCTGCAAACCCGGAAGTAGGTGTTTTGGTTTGTGAACTTTGCCTTGGAAGCAGAATATATTTCGCTTCCTGTTGAGTGTGTTCCATTTGTAAATTGAGTCCCCCGCTGCTATGGGAAAGCATGCCTTGGTTTAAGAACGCTTTGGTTTAAGCATGCTTTCCCATGTGTTTACAAACAAATTTATTTTAACTCAGTAAAGCTTTCATTCTTTTACTGAAGAAGACTCTGCATTATTAATTTACACTGTGCATCAGCTGATGTCAGATGAATTAAGAACCCCTCCCTTTGACTTTGGGCATATGGGTATAGATTGCTCTAACTTGCCAGAAACATTTGGAAGAGACCAACAAGTGTTATGCTTCCTCTAAACCACAGACAGCATCGTGAATACAATGAAAATGGTCCTGTTGATAACACTCTTCATCTCAGGGGTTTGTATGATGATGGAACAGGTGGATGGCAATCCCTCTATGGCTGCTTGAAATTCTCTGGGTGGGTGGGAAGAGTTCCCTTACGCAAGGCCACAGGTGCCAACTTGAATAAAATATGGGGGGGGGGGCAGATAAACCCTGCTTGTCAGGAGACAAACTCACAAAAGTGACTCACACAAAAGCAGTGGAGGTGGAGCCCTCCGCCTCAAACTTTTAAAGGAACCTTTTCAAATGCTAGAGTCAAATATGCCTCCAGTTTTAACTTGGAGAAAAGCATGCGTCAGCAAGCTTGGGAAATCACTGTGCAAAATATCATCCACTGAGTAGGCGTTCACTCCATAGCACAAACTTTTGAATAAGTATGTTTCTTAATTCCAAATACCTCATCTGGACCTAGACCATCTTCAGTCATGTTGGATGGAATTTTCTTTGGATAAGTGATATGCAAAAAGGTTTGACAATCTGGAGAAGAAGAAGAATGCTAAGAAGTTAATCGCCATTTAATTTCTACAAGGCACAAATGTCACAGCACCTTAAGACACCTAAGAATTACATCCAATCACATTCAGTTGCACATTCTGAATTTGCTGGGAAGTGGCTGAATCCCACCTGAAAACAGTGAGTCTAGAAACACCCTTAATGATATGTGGCAGGTTACATCCACAACAAATCAGTCTGGAGATTAGATTGCAGCCTGCTTGTGTTGCAAAAATCAATGTTTGGGGCTGAAAGAAAAACTCAAGCAGCAAAAGAGGAAAACAAAGGGTTTTATTTTGCAAGCCAGCAAAATAGGCAGCAGAGGAATAAACTCCAAAGTCTGCGCCCAACCCCTAAAGGGGGGGGGGTTAATATACATTTCTGTTATCTCCTAAGGCAATGCATATGCATAAACTGAGGCAACTTCTCCTATCCTAGGCTACATCGCCCTATTAGCATACGATTATGGTTTTTCCTTAATGAATATACATTGAGCAAGCGAACAAAGAGCCTAGCCTGGTTAGTTAGCTGAGCTTATAGGTCTCTATGTGCATCACCTGGGAAGAGGGGAATGCCTCTCTTAAGAAATTCTATATACATTGACATCATATAAATTAGGATTGCTAACCAAATAGAGATCTAGGAAAGACAAACTCTTGTGCCTTTATCTGTACCTTTCTTCTTTCTTCTATCCCCCCCAGTTATTAAATTCTTACAACATATAATGACATTGTAGACGAGTAATAAAATATCCCACCCTAAGCCAGAAGGTAATACATCCAAAATAACATCCAAATAATACAATAAGTTCTTATCCCAGACTACCATTTTTATAGAAAGCAATAAACAGTCCATTAACCAAAAAGTTTTAGACTGTTTTCATTTCTAGTCATATGCATAAAAAAGCTGTACCAATCTGTTACAAGAGTATTTATGTTTCAAACCTTATGCCAATTTTATTCATTAGTCAATTTTCCCACAAGTGCTATTTGCCATATTTTATTGTACTAATTTGTCAGAGATGCACCCTACAACTTCTTCTAGTATCTCATTATGAGCGACTATTAAAAGAGAACTTAGAGGTTTGAGCAGTACATTAATATCATCGGCCATGAGAAGACTGAGCAGCATCAGCTCTGGACATTTTGAGACAGTTTGAGATTGCTTTTATTTTGACAAATACTTTCCTCCCAGAACTTTCCCACCTCAAATATATGAGGTTAACTTCCTGCAACAGCTTGGTGAGCAGGAAGAACGAAAATGGGCTGATTGTATTGGTGTGAGATACCATATTTGCACTATTTTAAGTACTACTTCTATGGGACGTGGGTGGCGCTGTGGGTTAAACCACAGAGCCTAGGACTTGCCGATCAGAAGGTCGGCGGTTTGAATCCCCGCAATGGGGTGAGCTCCCGTTGCTTGTCCCTGCTCCTGCCAACCTAGCAGTTTGAAAGCATGTCAAAGTGCAAGTAGATAAAAAGGTACCGCTCCGGCGGGAAGGTAAATGGCATTTCCATGCGCTGCTCTGGTTTGCCAGAAGCGGCTTAGTCATGCTGGCCACATGACCTGGAAGCTGTACGCTGGCTCCCTCGGCCAATAAAGTGAGATGAGCGCCACAACCCCAGAGTCAGCCACGAGTGGACCTAATGGTCAGGGGTCCCTTTACCTTTACTAAGTGCTACTTCTAAGTGCTTAAGGGAGAAGGGCCCTGGGCCAGGGGCAGTTTTAATCCCTGACATATCCATGTAGGATTGGGAGAGATTCTTGCCTGAAATCCTGAAGAGCTGCTGCCAGTCAGTGTGGACAATACTGAACTAGATGGACCAATGGTTTGACTCTGTTAAGGCAGCTTCCTAGGTTCCTATGTTTCAAGGCAGATCCAGATTTTAAAGGACATTTCCTCCACACTGAGGTCGACACCTCTTCCTAGATAGTAATCTGACAACTGGATACCCACATCTGCCTTAAACCGTCTGCTGTACCCATCTCTATTAGGATGTGTTCTGCGTGGGGCTTCCCTCGGGACTGAGCTGGAAGCTGCAGTGAGGGCAGAATTCTGCAGCGCGATTGCTGACAGGAGGGAGGCCTGCGCTCAGAGATCGGCACTGGCTGCTGATCTGCTCCCAGGCCAAGATCAAAGCCTTGCCCCACTTGTGCCCAGGGGGCCGCTTTGACGGGTGGACTTGGGCCCACATCTTGCTCAGCTCCTGATCCTTTCCTCTCGAGATCAAGCAAGCGCCTGCACAAAATGTTCCTGCTCAGAGACGCTTGGAAAGCTGAGCAATTCGTTTCAGTATTTTAATTTTTGTATGTTTTAAAGCAGTGTTATCTTTTTGTAAACCGCGTTGAGGGTTTTCAAACCATCAGGCAGCGTATTCATTTTATGATAGACAGCTAGGTGCTCAGGCCTTTCTCAACCCGGGGTCCCCAGGTGTTTCTGGACTACAACTCCCACCATTCCCTAGCTAGCAGCCTAGAGGACAGGGATGGTGGAAGTTGTAGTCCAGCGACGCCTGGAGGCCCCTAACTTGATAAAGGCTGCCTGGTTCAGACGCTACTTGGGCTTGTCCCACAAATAAAGATCGTGGGAGAACCGCTGCCAGTCCGGGTAGGGGGACGGGGCGGGCTGTGAGGGAGCCCGCCCGCCCGCCCGCCCGGGACGGGCCTTCGCTCACCGAGGCCCGCGGCGAAGAGGAGCAGCGCCGCCGCCGCCAACAGCTTCATGGCGACGCGGCTGTCCAGCGCCCTCTCCGCTTCGCTCTAACGGTCTCGCCTGGAACGGAGAGCCGCGCGGCGGCTGTCGAACGTCGTGCGCGCGCCAAGGCCAGTTCCTTGGGAGGAGGGCCAGGAATCCTCCGGCTCAGAGGGCGAAGCGCCGGGGCCCAGCTGGGCTTGGAGGTGCATTCCCCTCGCTCGCGCACACACGGGTCTTTTCTGCCAACCCCAACCTGCAAGAATGCGGGCCGACGCCGCGGGGCTCATGTCAAAAGAGAGCAGGTGACCACCCGACACGCGTCTTCTTCCTTGACTCGAGTTCCGTGGGGTTGACTCCCGTGCCCATTCAAGGGCGCCCGGATGCAAGAGGGGCAGCTAAACAGTAGTATTTCAGCATTTTATTATTGTAAGCCACCCCAAGAACTTTTGCATGGCGTATAAATGTTCATAATAAAACCAACTAGGAGTACCACCCCAACTGAGGGAAGCATCTCGCACACAAAGCAGATAGATAGATAGATATTCCCATTTAGACCGAATAGCTACATTCCTATTGGGGAAGATGGCGACTGGGTCCTCCTGGTGCCAAGTCCAGACCTTCTCTACTCGTCCAGTGCAGCAGCAGGAGGCCCCATTAGCTAAAGTGGTACCTCAGGTTAAAAACAGTTTCAGGTTAAGAACGGACCTCCAGAATGAATTAAGTTCTTAACCTGAGGTACCACTATATACCAATAAAGTATTTTGAGCACACAAGAAATGTGTATATGTTATTGAGTAGGATTGTGTCAAAGAACCAACCTTTCCCATCCACCAGCAAATTTGTAGCTGGTTTCCAGACCAGAACAATAAAAAATTATTGGTAAGTATACAGTTTTGCAAATATCAGGGAGACCACAATAGTTCAAGTATTTTATTATTGCAACTGCAGACATATATTTATATAAGAATATATGCAAACACTGTTAAAGACTTCTTTTTTGGCGAGAATTATGAAGAAATTTACCAAACAAGCATATGCTGAATATTTGCCGCCATGTGGGAATAATTCTTAGCATAATTTAATACAAAGTGTTTCATTCTCTGAAGCTATTGTAGCAGACGTGTCTGTAATGGTCCTTGCACATTATGAAATTCTATGATTCTATGAACAATATACTATCTAAGCTTAGCACACAGGGAAATCCTGCCGCCTCAGCTAATCTTAATCTACAGCTCCCAGTCTAAAATAATCTCTTTAGCAGGTACATCTTTAAAAAATCTGGCTTAATCAACGGTGCAAAGATTGATGCAATTCAATCCAACAAGATTTAGCCAATGTAAACATCCTGACTGACACGAAAAGCAACATAAAAAAGAAAAAGTGATGAAATATACGTACAGTATACAGAATTCTTCAGCAGGCTGCTAGGGTTTAAAGTGCTCATAACAGTTTCAATGGGTTTAAATAAAAATGGATTTTGCACCAAGGCTGGTGCTCTCACACTAAAGATGTTGCAGCAAGTGTGCTGAGTTGAAGTGTGTGCAAAGTAGCTGGAAAGTGCATACTGACTTTGCAGGTTAATATGCAGTCAGCAGTTATGATCACATTCCCAACAGCAAACACACACACACACACACACAAATGAGAAACATCAGCAGCTCTTAGTAGTAGCTTGCATGCATGTCTGAAGGCCACATTGGAAATACATCACTAGAACTAGATGGAAGAGTTGCCACTAATTTGCATGTCATTAGCAGTATCTGCATAGCATCTTCCTTAGTCTGACAAATGCCAAACTGTAGAAGCAGCAGGATTGCTGGTGATAGTGGAAGAACCTGTGGCATCTCTGCACTAGCCCACAGAGATGTTTTGGTAGACAGATACCAAAGATGTATGAATCAACATACATTGAATCTGTGCTTTTGCCATCACATACTCAAGCATCTCTCTGCGTTTTGTTTTTACTTTAAAAGCTAGAATACTTGGACTCAAGAAAATTCATGAGAGCTAAATATAAGTGCTTTGTGAACTGTGAGCAGCCCACTCCCCAGCCTAGTCCCCGAAAAGTGACTTTCTCGTACCTTTGTTTTGAATAACCATTAGTGGTGAATTAGAAAAAATTATTCCTTAACCTAAAATTATTAAGTAAAACTTTCCTAACATCATTTTTTATTATTATCTACAGTTTAGTGTCAGCCAGCACACAGTTCAAACTGTCTATGTTTTAAAATGTGTTAATAATAAACATCGAGACACACTATTAAAACATATAAACATGCTAGCAATACATTTCATCTTCTCGCAATAAGTAGATTAAGGCTGCAATCCTACACTCACCTACCAGGGAGTAAATCCCAGTTGGCTTACTTCCAGATAAATGTGTCTAGGATGGTGCTGTGTGGCTGCCATCCTAGACACTTTTATCTGGAAGTATGTCTCACTGAACTCAATCGGGGGGGGGGTGTCCTCCACCAATTGGAATTTTTCTTGGTGTTTCCACCTTGTGCCTTTTAGTTACGTGCACACAAATAACAAACTTCAGTCCAACATGAGTTTTGACTTTTTGTGTACAGGTTCCCACACATAACAACCTGAAGCTATTGTTGTTCATAGAAATGTGCTGGTCTAATTTGAACTGCAATTCTTAACACCTGCCTCTACACAACTACAGGTTGGGATGGCCCACCCATGAGGCAAGTAAAGCAGCCACCTCAGGCAGCAGGATCCACTGGGGGAGCAGATTCTGATGTGGATCTTTCCTCCCACCTTGTTCCTGATGTAGATCTTCCCTCACCCCTTCTTCCCTGGCGGGGAGGGGAGTGGTATTTTGGGGTCTGCCTCAGGTGCCAAAATGTCTTGCCTGACTATAGGTGAAGACAGATGTAACATTTAAAAAGAAAACTCAATCATAGTGTGAGCTTGGCTTCTTCTCAGCTTTGCAGTTGAATGACTCATACACATGCCAGTTCAGCTGCCATGCTTCAGGCTGCCCTTTTCTGTTTTTAAAAGTGCAGCATACAAGCTTATATATGTCCATTGCTAGTCTTAGTCATTTTTTTAAAGCAGAATTTTTTACAAGCACAAAATTGCTCCAGATTTTGGAGGTGGGCTTCTGGGGGACATCTTAAGTTCCACCATTCATTGCTAACCATAAGCTGGTCTCTGTTGCAAACGCAGAACTGCCTTTCTTCAAGATATGAGTCTTTTTGAAAAATATAGATTTAGATTAAAAACAGTAACATTTCCTAATTGATCCTAATTGATTTCCTACTATCTCTAATAATGTTATGTCTGTCTTCACTTAATGTTTTTTCTCTATAAAAACAGCCCGGGAGGGGGAACCCACATACCATGTTTGATTAAATAGAACCCTAAAAAGGGGGAAGTACAGTTAACACCCAGAAAGTGACCCACTTCTCCAGCAATGTAGCCCAACCGCAGCACAGAGTTTTCACAGGCCCAGTGGTTTCAGTTCCCGGAGCTTTGGTAGAGGTATTTGCTTGTTAAGTTTACATTCCTTGGTATTGCATTTTGTTCTGTTTCTTAGCCAGTGCTGGGGGGAAACAAAAGGTTTCAAGGGCCACTTTATGCAAGACGCGGCTCTGGCTCTGTGAACAGGGTGGGTTGTGAAGGAAAAACCGGCAGTTTTATATAGGAGGCAGTGGTGCAGGTCGAGAAGGGTAAATTGGTTCCTGAGTTTTTGCAGTCTTCAGCACAGGGGGTGGAGGCCTGCAACAAAGGATGAAGCGTCAAATGTCAGCCTGTTTGTTGACTTATCTGCCTTTTCATCAATTCTGTTTGAATCAGCCTTCCCCAAATTGGTGCCCTCCAGGCAGTGCTGGCTGGGGCTGATAGGAGTTGTAGTCCAAAGCATCCAAAGGACCCCAGGTTGTGGGAGGCTGGTTTAAATAAATATGCATAAAACATGTTCCCAGCATTCATTTTTCCCAAGTGCTGATTCAGGGATGGGAGAAGTGTGTTTCTCCATAAGTTTGTGGACTATAGGAGTGTATGAGGTGTTAGGGGAAGTGTAGAACCTCTGGTCCCCTTCATGGATCACTGCCTTGTTGTGGCAAAGGGGCTTGAATAACTCCAAGAAGCTGTGAGCCATGCCGTGCAGGGCCACCTAAGACGGACAGATCATAGCCGAGAGTTTAGACTAAATGTGATCCACCTGGAGAAGGAACTGGCAATCCACTCCAGTATTTTGCCAAAAAAACTCCATGGACATAAAAAATGAGAAGCTTTGAGAAGAAAGTAAGAGTTTCCAAGGCATGCTCTGGTTCATGGGGTCATGGAGAGTCGAACACGACTAAGAGGACTAAACAACAAAAGAACCTCTGGTGAGAGACACGTCATGCTCCTTCTGGGGTAGTTTGTCCATCTTTGACCCCACTCAGTTCTCACCTGTGGCTCCTAGAAACTGTCAGCATGTGACAGCAGCCACCCCCCTGGGAAACAGCTTCAATTGGCCAGCTAAACCAGGTGAGGGTAGCCAGTGGGTCTCAGACCTTTGGTGAGTTAAGGTCTTCTGCTGCCTGTGAAGACAGGCTCCAGCGGATTGAGCAGACAAGACCAATAGTGGATTTAATCTTCAAGAGAGGATTTACGCACATTGCTGTAGAGAGAAATGAGGGACAGATGGGCCTCATCCACCTGCGAAAGAAGCCCATCTAGGAGAAGAACCACTTTGATCCCAAGCCTACGCTGCATTGTGGAACATCTTCAGAAGAACAAAAGGCTAAGAGTAAACTCTACACAAATTCAGAGTGGAGTCCCTAAGGCAGTTGGATGGCATCTTATACGCCTCCTTTGGGCAACTCCTGCAGCCCAGCTGGGCCAAATGTCTTGCTCGGCTTTCCTTTGGTCCACATCAGAAAGGCCGAGAGGGGGGTCTTGTCATCTGGGCAGCCCAGGACCTCCATACACACTGCCCAAGCTTGCACCTCAGAGGTCTCTTTGGTGCTGCTAATGCAGCGAAAATAATGTGATTTGACCTAACCCTTGGAGGCGTACTCACTTATCTCCTGAGACAGATAGATGACACACAGGTGGACTACAACTCTCATCAACCACAGCCAGTATGGGCAGCAATGATGGGAGTTGGACCAGGGCAGGGGTGCGTGGACACAATTGTGCATGGACACAATACAACCTAATCATGCTTTATCAAACATAATATCATTACATCTGAACTAGCCAATGTGCAAACAAACTATATTTATTATTATTGATCACAATTGTATTGCTTCCTTCCTCCAAAGGAGCCCCGGGCAACTTATATGGAGTGATGCCTTTTGATCCTCATAACCTTGCAAGATTATGCAGAGAGTTAATTGACTGGCCTAGGGTGGCACAGTGAGCTTTGAAGCTGAATCAGGATTGGAACTCTGCTCCAAGCCCAGCCCCTTGAGCTGCTTCTAGCTCTCACACAAGAAAAACTATAACCCAGGACCACAAGCTGTGACTTTCTCTGCATTGCCGTTACCAACCTCATTGGGATGCAGTGCTGCTCCATGGATGGCCCCATGGCTGCCGGAGAGGGAAGGGGAGAAGTGTCACAATACGGTTGCAGATTAGCTGTGTAAGCTGGCACAGGGTATCTGTTTGCTTGTGTGCTCTGCAAGGAAACCAGTGTAAGCAAAGGTTGTTTTTAAAATATGAAGTTCACTAGTGAGGATTCTGTTCAGCGGCATGAGTTGATGGTACCCAGAAATAGCCACACACTTCATTTTCAGAGTCCTTCAGTAAAACACAGCAAGCGTTACAGCTGTGGCACTGGCGGAGGAAGGGGGGTGCGGTGGGTGTGGCCCGCCCCGAGTGTCATCCCCGAGGGGGGTGACATTGCCACTCCACCCCCAGGACACTTGCCACGGGCGGCACCCCCCTGGGACCTGGGTGCCAGAGCAGCTAGCTCCGCCTTTGCTTGGTGGCAAAACACGTGCACTTATCTCAAAAGTAGGTTAATTCCTATCCAGAACCCTGAAAGCCACTGTCAGCCATTGCATATTTATTTTTATTTTAAAAAGTATATACAGTGGTACCTCAGGTTAAGTACTTAATTTCTTCCAGAGGTCCGTACTTAACCTGAAACTGTTCTTAACAACTATGTGAATACAATTAAAATTAACAGTAATTTTTTAAAAAAACAACAGGTCAATATCTTGCAATCTAGATAGGCTTGCCTAAACAAAAATGTTTTAAGTAGGTGCCAGAAAGAGTACAGCAAACATGCCTGCCTGGTGTCCATGGTGTAGGTGCTGCCACACTAAAAGATCGATTCCTTACAACTGCAGAAGCAGTGTTCTGTGGCACCTGAAACAGAGCCAGTTCCACAGACCAAAGCAGTAGAGCATAAGGCGATCCCACAAGTGAACTGGCCCCAAGCCATTAAGGGATAAAACTTGGAATAGATGGACCAGCTTCCTATAGTCCCAAGTATTTTCTGTGTCATTTTCCTCCACCTTGTTCTGACCCACTTCCCAAGGCTGTGTGTGGATCCTCTCCTGTGTTTTTCAAAAGCTCCCTTTCCTTCCATAACAGGCCCAGGCCCCGTCTTGAAGTAAAATTATATCCCAGCTCAAGATTATGATTTGTCCAAGCTGCTTCACATTATTCTGCCTGAAGGACAGCATTCTGCAATGTGACCCCCTCCAGATGTTTTCACCTGCAAGCCATGCTGACATCTCAAACACACCAGATGAGGAAGGACCACTATCCGATGTCATCCTGCCCCCACACTCAGATTATCAGGCTTCTCTCATTAAAGCACTTGGCTTCCTTCTCCCAGAGAATCCTAGGGGCCGTAGTTTGTTAAGGAAGCTGGGAATTCTTAGCTGGGAGCATGTAATTGCGGGGAGGGGCAGGCAGGGATTCCCCAATTGAAAATTCTCCAGATTCTCACTGTGTAACAATTCCCAATATTGAGGTAGAGGTGGGGGTGGGATGGGAGAACCACACCAGCCACTATTTGGACCGGGGCAGAAAGCAGAGAGGCCAGAGCCAATGGCAGGCAGAGCCAACGAATTCCAGTGTTTTCCCCAACTTTCTCCTGCCTGCTGAGTTCTACAAGGGCGACACTGAGAAAGAGGAAGCTGTCAGCCAGGGCCTCTTCCCTCTGGACCAGATGCAAGGAAAAAAGCTGGCATGTGGGAGCTGGCTGAGGTTGGTGGGGCAGGGCCCATTTGCCCTCATAGCCCTGCCTCCCCTGAACCACATCAATTGCTGGTACGTATTTGTAGTGCAGCTATGGCTCCTGTCCATTCTAAGTGGCCTTCCACCACTTTATTCTTCCAAGCCCCACCACTAGTCAAGATCAGGAAAGCTCTTACCATAGGAGCCGACATGTCCCTTGTAGAATAGGGAATGTTTGGTGGGTAGGAAGCATGTACAGACTCCTGCGTCCTATTGTCTGACCTTCTTCTGAAACGCCTAAATAAAACAACACAGATTGATTGATGACATCCTATGCAGGCCTGTAGACACCTTGCTATACTCATATAGAGCATTCTTTACATAGCCCAAGTTGTTCATTTGCAGTTCTGCCTGTGGCAAAATTTCCACACCAAATTTGGGACCCATAGCTTTCTTAAAATAATAATAATAATAATAATAATAATAATAATAATAATAATAGGGTTGACATAATTTTGAAGAGCAAAGAAGAGGACACATTTGCCGACTTCCCCTTTTATTATGGATCACTATGACGACTCTCATTTTACATACTCATGTAAAAGAGTATGTGTCCTGGAAAAAGAGGACATATGGCAACCCTAATTTATCAGTTAGATTTATATACCACCATTCATCATAAGATCTCAGGGTGGTTCATGGTTCACAGAACGAAATAATGATTTGACCTGATCCAAGTAGATTCCCATGATTGGTAAGCTATGTCTGGAAATATTCAAGCAAGAACTTGGATATCAGCTTCAGCTTCAAACATGCAAACCAAACTGGTTTATACAAAACAAATGTATCTGCCAGGTAAAGATGCAGCTGAGCCAAAATGGGCTTGCAGCTGAATGCCCAGAGCCATGTAAGTCCCAATGAGCAGCTGATTCCCAGCAGTGGAACCAGTCACCTGGTGTAATTGTGCCATTGGTGATTACTAGGTCAATTGCCCCTCTTGCCTGGCAAACCTGGTCTGCCAGGATGGGGAAGAGAAGGGTCATGCACCCTATTCCTGTGATACAGAGAATAAAGATCCCCTTTCTAGATCATTCTCCAAGGGAAGGTGGGGAGGGAGAGAGAGCATAGTTGCTGAGGATGGTAACAAACCCTTAATAGAGGCATTTATTTAAACTGGCACAAACCTTACACAATTAGGGGAAAGAGGGGCACATTGATGCACGGGGCACATTGATGCACCAACAATATTTCAATATCAAGAAATGTTATTCGTGTTGCCACATCACTAAAACATGTGTGAGTACAATAGTTACAACCGCACCGCCCGCCAATTAGCCGTTGGTGTTTGACCAGAGTAGGTGTGTTTTTCGCATGCCCAACTAAAAAATTACGTGAAATGTAAAAGTGTTCCAACACTGTTTTACGTCGTTTAGTTAAGATTTAAAAATACCAAAGGTACTATAAGTTATTCAACTCAGTAATCAGGATTACACGTGATTTTTAAATAAGTACAGTGGTTTTATTAATAATTGTTAGTTTTTTTGAAAATGCCTGTTGGGGCACTTTGATACACTAAGACGCGGGGCACATTGATACATATAAAAGTGCCCCGCTAGTGTGCAATAGTGCCCCAATATACAAGTTTGCATGAAATCTCTAAAGTCAATAAATTTGAAAAGAAAAAACTTGTTTACTACGTGGCCAAAGTCATTTCTAAATATAATATGACCGATTATCAAGTGTCATATCTCAGGAAAAAAACAGGATCTTGTATGTTTGTCTTCCCCATTGTAGAAGATAAGGCAAGTGTTGATTCCAAGAATGTTGTTTTGCCGTTGCCAAAACCAAATTTCCCAAAGGGTAGACTCCACCGTGGGAGCAGGGCCAGGGCAGAAGAGTGCTGGAGTCCTGTCTAGTCATGTTATATGGGATCAATTCCAATCTGTTACCTCCGAGGATTGGACGAGTGAAACCGACCACTGTCTCCTTGATCCCTGCCCATCCTGGCTAATAACAGGGAGCTTGGAAGGGCTGGGCAATGGGCTCTGCGGGGTGGTGTATGCTTCCCTCTGCGATAGAGCCTTCCCAGACCTGCTGAAAGAGGCTGTCATTAAACCGCTTCTCAAAAAAACATCTTTAGACCTGGCCAATATGGTAAACTATTGTCCAGTGTCAAATCTTCCATTCTTCAGCAAGGTGATTGAGCGGGTGGTTGCTCAACAACTCCAGGCACGCCTGGAAGATGCAGACCATTAGGATCCCTTCCAGTTGGGATTCAGGCCTCATCATGGGACTAAAACTGCCTTGGTCGCGCTGGTCGATGATCTCCGGTGGGCTAGGGACAAAGGTGAAAGCTGTTTCCTAGTTCTGCTGGATCTCTCAGCGGCTTTTGACACCATCAACCATAACATCCTTCTGGACCATCTAGAGGAGCTGGGAGCTGGGGGCACCGTTATACAATGGTTCCGCTCCTTCCTCCTGGGCTATGTCCAGAAAGTGGTGTTGCGGGATGAGTGTTCAGACCCCTGGGCTCTCACTTGTGGGGTGCCTTAGGGTTCTGTCCTCTTCCCCCATGCTTTTTAACATGAAGCCACTGCAAGAGATCATCAGGGGGGTTGGGCTGGGTGTTCATCAATACGTGGATGACACCCAGCTCTACCTCTCTTTAAATCAGAACCAGTGAGGGCAGTGAAGGACCTGTGTGAGTGCCTGGGGATGGTTGGAGGATGGATGGCGGCTAACAGATTGAGGTTGAATCCTGAGAAGACAGAAGTAGTGTTCTTGGGGCACAGGGGGCGGGTGGGTGTGGGGGACTCTCTGGTCCTGAATGGGGCAACTGTGCCCCTGAAGGTGTGAGAATCAGAACTTACAGGGTTAAACAGTTCTGTGTGACGTCTCACATTCTGAGGCGTGGTTTGCTTCACATACGGGAATCTTTCTTTGTGTGTGGTTTTCCTTTCGTTTTTGGCTGAGAGACGAAAGAATGTCTGCTCTCTCGCCGGGACTGATTTATGATGTTTTTCTTCTCATTAAAGGCTGTTAGAGATTAGCAAGAAGCCTGCGTTCAGTTGATTTATTATACACACACAAGGCAACATTTTCTACCGCTGCTAAAGAACTCTGCTAAGAGCTCAAGTTTTTCTATCGGCACAAGCGTCCAAAGGCACAGGGGAAGTGTGCCGGGCGCCATCTTATCTCACAGGTTATGGAAGCTAGCCAAGCTTTGGAAGCTGTTGCCACGTCGTGCCTGTGTGTGTGGGAGAAGCCAGCTGGAGCCCCTGCCTAACGTTTGAGGCAGGGAGGCTTGCTGGGGAGGATTTCATCTTCAGGACCGGGTGCCGAGAGGAGCTGCTGTTTACGTGAGTAGGCTCAGCCCCGGGGGAGAAGATGGCAGATGGCCAGGAGTCATTCTCAGTCCCTTTTGCAAAGCTGAATGGGAGCAACTGGGAGGAGTGGTCAAGGAAGCTGAAGGCCTGGCTGGTAGCCAAGGGTCTGTGGGAGGCGATCCAAGGGCCCCCACAGCAAGCTGCAGCCGGAGCTGCAGCAGGGGTGGTTGTAGCTGCCCAAGCCTCACAGAAGAAAGACCAGGAAGCCCTAGGAGCTATAGTGCTCAGTTTGGAGGGCTCACAGCTACCTTTGGTGGAGGGTCTTGACAGTGCCCAGGCTGTTTGGCAGGAGCTGGAGAGGGTTTGCTGAGAAACCACAGTGGAAGCCAAAAGCCACGTCCCCAGATGCAGTAAAGCCTCAAGGAGAGCTGCTGGCAAGGTTGGGGGGGCAGAGAAGACCAAAGGCAAGTTTGCAAAGTTTTCCACCGGTTGTTTGTGTGACGAGGAGGAACACCGTCTCAGAGAGGGCCGAGCTGGCGCAGGGTGCCCTGCCGGGAACAGAGGGGGGGCCAAGCCAGAAGGCACAGTTCAGGCTTTTCCCACTCGTCGTTGTTTTGTCTGCGAGTCTGTTGACCATCTGCGTCGATCCTGTCCGAGGAGAGCCAGAGAGGCCGGGCAGGATGTCTCCAAGGTCGCTTCCCATGGCAGTCAGCCAAGTCCTCGTGGCAGCCAGCCAGGTTTCCATGGCAGCCAGTCTAGGAGAGGAGGCCAGCGTGGGAATGCAAAGGGAGGACGTGATAGAGGAAGTGAGAAGGACGGTTCTTCTTATCACCTAGCTGCCTCTATGGCAACGCTGAGGGACAACTCCAGTGAGGGCAGCATGCTGCGTTGGGTCATCGACTCAGGAGCCAGCCATCACCTGATGCCATCGCCACCTAGTGGCGAAATGTGGAACTGCCGGGCTGTTTCAACTGGGAAAACAGTCGGTCTTGCTGATGGCTCACAGAGACAATTAACTACTGTTGGCAATGTGTTTGTTTCTTTTTTACAGGCAGAGCTGGAAGTCTACGTTGTGCCAGGAATGAAGTGTTGTCTTTTATCTGTATCTGCTCTTGTAAAGGAGGGTTATAAGGTTTGCTTTGAAAATGATCATAGAATAGAATCATAGAGTTGGAAGAGACCACAAGGGCCATCGAGTCCAACCCCCTGCCAAGCAGGAAACACCATCAGAGCACTCCTGACATATGGTTGTCAAGCCTCTGCTTAAAGACCTCCAAAGAAAGAGACTCCACCACACTCCTTGGCAGCAAATTCCACTGTCGAACAGCTCTTACTGTCAGGAAGTTCTTCCTAATGTTTAGATGGAATCTTCTTTCTTGTAGTTTGGATCCATTGCTCCGTGTCCGCTTCTCTGGAGCAGCAGAAAACAACCTTTCTCCCTCCTCTATGTGACATCCTTTGATATATTTGAACATGGCTATCATATCACCCCTTAACCTCCTCTTCTCCAGGCTAAACATGCCCAGCTCCCTTAGCCGTTCCTCATAAGGCATCGTTTCCAGGCCTTTGACCATTTTGGTTGCCCTCCTCTGGACACGTTCCAGTTTGTCAGTGTCCTTCTTGAACTGTGGTGCCCAGAACTGGACACAGTACTCCAGGTGAGGTCTGACCAGAGCAGAATACAGTGGCACTATTACTTCCCTTGATTTAGATGCTATACTCCTATTGATGCAGCCCAGAATTGCATTGGCTTTTTTAGCTGCCGCGTCACACTGTTGGCTCATGTCAAGTTTGTGGTCAACCAAGACTCCTAGATCCTTTTCACATGTACTGCTCTCAAGCCAGGTGTCACCCATCTTGTATTTGTGCCTCTCATTTCCCCCCCCCAAGTGCAATACTTTACATTTCTCCCTGTTAAAATTCATCTTGTTTGTTTTGGCCCACTTCTCTAATCTGTCAAGGTCGTTTTGAAGTGTGATCCTGTCCTCTGGGGTGTTAGCCACCCCTCCCAGTTTGGTGTCATCTGCAAATTTGATCAGGATGCCCTTGAGTCCATCATCCAAGTCGTTGATAAAGATGTTGAATAAGACCGGGCCCAGGACAGAACCCTGTGGCACCCCACTAGTCACTCTTCTCCAGGATGAAGAGGAACCATTGATGAGCACCCTTTGGGTTCGGTCAGTCAGCCAGTTACAAATCCACTGAGTGGTAGCATAGTCAAGACCGCATTTTACCAGCTTCTTTACAAGAATATCATGGGGCACCTTGTCAAATGCCTTGCTGAAATCAATGTAGGCTACATCCACTGCGTTCCCTTCATCTACCAGGCTTGTAATTCTGTCAAAAAACGAGATCCGGTTAGTCTGACATGACTTATTTTTCAGAAATCCATGCTGACTATTGGTGATCACAGCATTCCTTTCTAGGTGCTCACAGACTGTTTGCTTAATGATCTGCTCCAGAATCTTCCCTGGTATTGATGTCAGACTGACTGGGCGGTAATTATTTGGGTCCTCTCTTTTCCCCTTTTTGAAAATAGGGACAACATTTGCCCTCCTCCAGTCTGCCGGGACTTCGCCTGTTCTCCAGGAATTCTCAAAGATGACTGCCAGTGGTTCTGAGATCACATCTGCCAGTTCTTTTAATACTCTTGGATGCAGTTCATCTGGCCCTGGAGACTTGAATACATCTAAACTAGCCAAGTATTCTTGTACTATCTCAGTTATTCTGGGCTGTGTTTCCTTTTGCTGAATCATTTGCTCCAAATTCTTCAGGTCGGGCATTGTTTTCTTTATCGGAGAAGACTGAGGCAAAGAAGGCATTGAGGATTTCAGCCCTTTCTGTGTCCCCTGTTTGCATTTCACCATCTTCTCCTCTGAGTGACCCCACTGTTTCTTTGTTCTTCCTTTTGCTATGAACATACCCATAAAAGCCTTTTTGTTGCTTTTAACCTCTCTAGCAAGCCTGAGTTCATTCTGTGCTTTAGCTTTTCTGACTTTGTGTCTACACGTGCTGGCTATTTGTTTGAATTCCTCTTTGGTGGTTTCCCCCTTTTCCATTTTTGTACACATCCTTTTTAATCTTAACTCAGTTAAAAGTTCTTTAGATAGCCACCCTGGCTTCTTTAGGCACCTTCCATGTTTCTGTCTCATTGGTATTGCCTGACGTTGTGCTTTTACTATCTCCCTCTTAACAAACTCCCAGCCATCATGAACTCCCTTTCATGATGTCTGTTCTATTTCCAGGGGTGGGAAACAACTGGTCAATGTTGCATATCAGAACAACCTCTTTGTTCTGGAGACACCTCTGGAGGGTAAGGGGGACGCTGAGACAGAAGAAGCGCAGTGTGCTAATGTTCCCACACATGATTCGTGTGCTCACTTGTGGCACAGGAGAATGTCGCATAGCTGTTGGAAACATATCCAGAAGTTACCAGAATGCACTGAGGGTTGTAAGATGAAAGCATGTGATAAATTCTTGGATTGTAGGGCATGCAAAAGAGCAAAGATAAAAAGGTGCAGTTATCCCAGATCGGAGAGGGTAACCACAAGGCCTTTTGAGCTAGTGCATACAGACCTTTGTGGACCCATGCCAGTGCCGAGTCTGGGCGGAGCCAGGTATGCGCTCACGCTGACAGATGATTTTTCGAGGAACGGCTGGATCTTCTCGCTGAAACAGAAAAGCGAGGCAGCGCAACTGATCAAAGACTGGGTTGCGGTGGTGGAACTACAGTTTTCCACCAAGGTGCAGAGCTTTCAGAGCGACCGAGGAGGAGAGTTCACCGGGTCTGCTCTGCAGAGTTTCTTCCGCCAGAAGGGGAGAAGTCACAGGTTGACGGTTGCTTCTTCTCCTCAGGAGAATGGCGTAGCGGAGCGCAGGAACAAAACGCTAGCTGAGGCAGCTGACGCTCTACTGTTTGACTCTGGTTTGCCTCAGAGCTTTTGGGCCGAAGCTTGGAAAGCTGCCAGCTTCACCTTGAACAGGTCCTATAGCTCTGTTGTAGGAGACACACCCTATTTTCTGCTGCACCGGAAGAAGCCCAAGGTGCATTTCTTCCGTGTGTTTGGTTGCGAAGCTTGGGTGCTTGTGCCAAAGGCTCAACGCAAGAAAGGTGACCCGAGGTCCCGGAAAATGATCTTTTGTGGGTACGAGCCTGGGACAAAAGGGTGGGGGTTTACCTATCCAGAAGGCGATCAGTCCAGGATTCTAGTCAGCAGGAGTGCTGAGTTCTGTGAGCAGAGTGGTTGGTCAAGGATCCATGCGAATCCTGACGTTCTCTCAGAGTGTCTGTCTGATTCTGCTGAGGAGGGAGAGTTAGAAGCTGAACCTGTTGATGAGGACCAGGTCTCTGACCAGGGTCAAGAACAGGGAGGGGCATCTCCACAGGTTGTTAAAATAGAGCCCAAAAGTGAGCCTTCGTCTCCCGTTAGTAAAGTGCAGAAGGCCAGAAGATGCAGTAAGTCAGAGGGGGAGTCTTCTGATAACAAGGACACACTTGCTGGCCCCAGTGGGTCAGAGGGAGCACCTGAGACAGTGCTCAGACGTTCCACACGCGCTACAAAGGGGGTACCACCTGAGAGGTTTGAGGTCACCAGCGTGTGGGTTGGTTTAGCGCAGTGCGAACCAGAAAGTTTTGAGGAGGTTCAACAGTTGCCTGAAGAAGCCAGGAAGTGGCAAGAGGCAATGGGAAAGGAGTTGAACTCAATGAGGTCCTTAGGTGTGTTCTCCACCACGAAGCTGCCAGAGGGCAAGCAGGCCGTGAGCTGTCGTTGGGTTTACAGGATTAAGGCCACAGCGTCTGGAGAACCACAGTACAAGGCGAGGCTTGTAGCCAGAGGGTTCACGCAGAGAAGGGGGCTGCATTACACCAAGGTGTATGCTCCTACGTCCCGGAGTGAGACTCTGCGCGTGCTTTTACCAGTAGCTGCTCAAAGAGGGCACCAAGTGCACCACTTTGATGTGGATGTGGCTTATTTGAACTTGGATCTGAAGGAGGATCTGTACATGTTACCTCCTCCAGGGTTTGAGGGCAATGAGCCAGGTGCTGTGTGGAAGTTGCACAAGTCAATTTATGGTTTGAAACAGTCAGCCAGAAATTGGAACATGTGCCTGAATGAAGCTCTGGAAAGTTTGGGTTTCCAGAAGAGTGTTGCAGACAGTTGCCTGTACCTGAAGGGGTCAGGAGGGACACAGGAAGCGATTCTGGTGTTCGTAGATGATATTCTGTACGTGGCACAGACAGGTAGACAGGTGCAAGATTTTGCCAAAGAGCTTGGTAAGAAGTTTAAGCTCAAAAACCTTGGTCCCGTTCAAGTTTATCTGGGCATTAGGATAGACAGGTCTGAGAACGGGAGTTTCTTGCTCAGTCAGAAAGGCAAGATTGAGCAGTTGCTTGAGAAGTTCCGGATGTCTGACTGTGCAGGGGCCAGAACGCCCATGGAGACCAACTTCGTGAAGGACAGTCAGCTTGGGGAGCGTTCTGAGTTCCAAAACCCTGAGGTGTTTCAGTCAGCGCTAGGGAGTCTGTTGTATCTCTCTCAGTGGAGCAGACCAGACATAGCGTTTGCTGTGAATCTGCTCAGCAGGGAGGCTACAAAGCCCAGTGTGAATGCCTGGCAAGGCATCAAGAGAGTGTTGAGGTATTTGCAGGATACCAAAGAGTTTTGCCTCACGTTGTTAGCTGAAGGTGACGCACGGCTTACGTGCTGGAGTGACAGCGATTGGACATCTCTTGGGGACAGGAAGTCTGTGTCTGGGCTGGTGGTAAAGTTCAGGGAATCCCTGGTTGGGTGGAAGTCCCGGAAGCAAAGTCTTATTGCACTTTCTTCCACTGAGGCTGAGTTCAGTGCGTTGTCGGATTTGTGCAGGGAGTTGGACTTCTACCGGTGCTTGATCCAAGAGATCTGTGGGGATTGTTACTTGCCCATAACTGTTTGGGGAGACAATCAACCTTGTCTTAGGTTGGCAGAATCTGGACAGTTCAAGTCCAGGACCAAGCATTTGGACATACGTTTCCAGAATGTATGTCAAAGTGTCCAAGCAGGTTGGATACGGCTCAAGTATTGTTCAAGCCGGGAGAACCTAGCTGATGGGTTTACTAAACCCTTGACCTTCCAGCGACATGGGGAGTTCTGTGAAGGGTTGTGTTTGGGGTGAGTTATACTCACAGTTTCCCTCAGGATGCGAGACGAGAGGGGGTGTGAGGAGAATCAGAACTTACAGGGTTAAACAGTTCTGTGTGACATCTCACATTCTGAGGCGTGGTTTGGTTCACATATGGGAATCTTTCTTTGTGTGTGGTTTTCCTTTCGTTTTTGGCTGAGAGACGAAAGAATGTCTGCTCTCTCGCCGGAACTGATTTATGATGTTTTTCTTCTCATTAAAGGCTGTTAGAGATTAGCAAGAAGCCTGCGTTCAGTTTGATTTATTATACACACACAAGGCAACATTTTCTACCGCTGCTAAAGAACTCTGCTAAGAGCTAAGAGCTCAAGTTTTTCTATCGGCACAAGCGTCCAAAGGCACAGGGGAAGTGTGCTGGGCGCCATCTTATCTCACAGAAGGAGCAGGTGTGCTGCCTGGGAGTCATTTGGACTCACAGCTGTCCATGGAGGCACAGGTCAATTCTGTGTCCAGGGCAGCTGTCTACCAGCTCCATCTGGTACGCATGCTGAGACCCTACCTGCCCGTGGACTGTCTCGTCAGAGTGGTGCATGCAAACTGGTGACTGGGAGCAGTCACCGAGACCACATAACACCGGTCTTGAAAGATCTACATTTGCACTTCCGGGTCAGCGCCATCGTTAATGGCGGATTCCCTCTGATTCTCGGAGGGACCAGCTCCGCGGGATCGGGTCTTACCGCTGCGGCAAAGCGGGGACCCTTTAAAAATCACAGGCGGGGGAAGCCTGTGAACGTGGGGACTCGGTGGGCACCATTTGCGCCCCCCCCCCAAGTTGCGAAGGGACCCTTTTAAGGGCTCCGGAGCGGGACGGGGTGAGCGGCGCGGTGCTGAGAGTTGACTGCTTCTTCCGCGGAGTGAAGCTGCACAGCCGTTATCGGAGAGCGCTGACTTTTTCCTGGGATAATTGGATTTTGAAAGCAACTACCCGTGAGTAGGATTAAATTGGATTTAAAAGGAGAAAAAACAGCTAATTCGGCACCGAAGCAGGAAGGTATAACCAGGAAGTCTGCCTTCCTTTCTTGTAAATAGATCAAAGCAAAGAGACTGTAAAGCGGAAACATAGAAAGACGTTCGGAAAAAAGACTTACATCTTAACATCTGGAAAGTGGGCTCCCCTCCGGATTGCAGGAGAGGAGGGGGGAAGGTTTGAGTTGTTTTTACCTGCAAAAAAGGGGGGGGGAAGGAAGCTAAAATCTGCCGCTTAAAACCTGGGAACGGACTGCCCCTAGACAAGGAATGCCGTTTGCAGAGTTTCGAGAAACTAGAAAACAAAGTGAGAGATTGGCTTCATTATTATCAGATAATGGAGGCATATAATTTGGATAAGAAAATTGGCTTCCAGGTGGAAAAATCAAAACTAGAAACAGAACTGTTAGAACCCAAAACTAAGAATTTGTCAAGAATGTATAACTTGCTGTTGAAATGGAATACTCAGGATGAAACGGTGAAATCTGCTATGATTAAATGGGCACAAGATGTTGGACATAATATTATGTTTGCTGACTGGGAACAGTTATGGACCACAGGTATGAAGTTTACGGCATGTAATGCCCTAAGAGAGAATATTATGAAAATGATATACAGGTGGTACATGACCCCAGTCAAGCTTGCAAAAATCTATCATTTGCCTGACAATAAATGCTGGAAATGTAAAGAAACCGAAGGTACATTATTTCACCTTTGGTGGACGTGCCCAAGGATTAATGCTTTCTGGGAAATGATATATAATGAACTGAAAAAGGTATTTAAACATACCTTCTTGAAGAAACCAGAGGCCTTTCTTCTGGGCATTGTCGGCCAATTGGTGCCAAAGAAGGACAGAGCTTTTTTTATGTATGCTACAACAGCAGCAAGAATACTCATTGCAAAGTATTGGAAGACACAAGATCTACCCACTTTGGAAGAATGGCAGATGAAGGTGATGGACTATATGGAATTGGCAGAAATGACTGGCAGAATCCGAGACCAGGGAGAAGAGTCGGTGGAAGAAGATTGGAAGAAATTTAAAGACTATTTACAGAAATATTGTAAAATTAATGAATGATAGAATGATGTTGGATAGTAATTAAGCGGTTTCCAGCTGTAATGTTCTAAGAGAATATGAAAAAGGGTTATAAATGGGTTAAAATCTAATGGTAAGGATTTGCTGAACCAATAAATTGAAGTGGAATACAAAAAAGGGAGGTACGAGGAGGTCCGGGAAACAAGCTAAAGGAAAATAAGTAATAGAAAATATGTGTGTTTTTAACTGTTTTTATTTTGTATTTTTCTTTTTTCTTTTTCATTTTCACTGTAATATTTCAAAAAACCTTAATAAATATCTTATAAAAAAAAAAGAAAGATCTACATTTGCTCCCAGTACGTTTCCGAGCACAATTCAAAGTGTTGGTGTTGACCTTTAAGGCCCTAAATGGCCTCGGTCCTGTATACCTGAAGGAGCGTCTCCACCCCCATCGTTCAGCCCAGATACTGAGGTCCAGCACTGAGGGCCTTCTGGTGGTTCCCTCACTGCGAGAAGCCAAGTTACCTACGAGAAGCCAAGGAACCAGGCAGAGGGCATTTACAGTAGTGGCACCCGCCCTGTGGAACGCCGTCCCATCAGATGTCAAAGAGATAAACAACTATCTGATATTTAGAAGACTTCTGAAGGCAGCCCTGTTTAGGGAAGTTTTTACTGACTGATATTTTATTGTATTTTTAATCTTTTTTGGAAGCCGCCCAGAGTGGCTGGGGAAACCCAGCCAGATGGGCGGGGTAATAACAACAACAAAAAAACAACAACAATATTACTATTTTTTGACTAATGTAAGTTCTTACACTTTTTAAGTTTTTCCAAAGTTTTCTTTTTAATGGATAGGTGTTTGAGGAAAGATTAATATAAATTTTGATGTTTTGTTAAGAAAACCTGCCATAAAGTCTATGATATGTGTGAAACACTGTAAGTTTTGATATATAATTTAGATTTTAAGCAACAAATTGTAAGGCTGATTATGATCTCTCACAATAAGAAATGTTTTTTCATAATTTTTTGCAAATAATTACCATTCTCATACAATTTATGCTTTGTATCAAAGTGCCCCATTGGTGGGGCTGAATGATACAAAACCCATTTTTTATTCAAGTCATTATATTCTCATTATCTTCTACCTTTAATGGTTCTTATGATTGCTATTATAATATTGATTAGTTATGTCATGGATCAAGCCAAAATTTTTATTATTTTACTCATTAAAATATGAGATTGAATTTTTCTGTATCATCTGCCCCACTTCCCCTAACTAACAAAGGTCCAATTTGGCATAAGCTAAACAGAGTGATGTTATTCTGCCCCCACCAAACGGTACAGAATGCAAGAAACCACTTTCCAGACTCTATGCCCACAGTGAGGATGGTGTGATCATGGAAGTTGATTAATCCTTCACCTGCACTAACCTTGACAGAGTAATTCTCTGGCCTGCAGGCACTAGCATCCCTTCCTGTGCCTCCTCTGCTACCTATGAAAGGTCTCAATAAATACCCCCTCAAAATTCCACAATGCACAAGATTCTTCCTTGCTAGTTCCTGTTGGCTCAGCTTGTTCTACACTGAACAGGCAACCTGTAACATACCCAAATTTCACTTAACCCCAGGATTAAGTGTGCGAGGGTGGGGTGCCAGTACACACACCGTGGCAGCCATTTTGTGCCATGCTCCAAACCCCCTGGCAGTCATTTGTGATGGTGCCCACAGCACTTTCTCAAAATTCCAAATATGCCCACTGGTCCAAAAGGGATGGTGAACCCCTGATCGAATGTCTCAGGTTTGTGTGTGGTGGCATTACAGAGAACACTTTGCGGAGTCTTGCAGTTGTTCTCTAAGTGAACAGAACACACTGGATGTGACTTTACCAAGAGGCTCAGCTTCTATGCAGACGCTTGTATAGCAATTCCACGATACAGCCGTACCAAGAATTTCTTAGAGAAAATCTGTAAATTTAAGAGTCAATCCCACGCTTTGCCTGCAAAATTTCCAGGGAAGGCTCCTACCTGAAACACTGGGGAGTCACTGCCATTCAGAGTAAGCAACACTGAGATACTTGACCAAAGGTCTGACTTCTCCAATTGTTTTCTGACAGCGTGCAGAGAACAAAACAGGGCTGGCAAACTAGGGGAAACTGGCTGGTGTTCAGTTGGTTCTAGAAAAACCAATTCTTCCCTATTTTGCAGAATACACAATACCCCTGGCAGAGGGACACATCCAATTTTGGGAATGTAACACACACACACACACACACACACACACACACACACACACACACACACTTGCTGCCAGTGCTCCTCTTTTACCTGTGTTGCGAAGCGGCATCCACAAAGAGCTGGCAGGGGCACTGACTTCCAGTGAGATATCACAGGATCTTGTGTGCTGTGCGAGATCTCGTGAAATTTCAGTGAGATCTCATGAGATCTTGCTGCAAACCAGCACTGTTGCAGGCAGCCTCTGCCTCTTAGGCTTCTACCGCTCAAGGCAGGCACCTCATCTTGCCTCACCAGTGGACGGGGCCTGGCACCAGTGCTGCACACAGAGCCTTTAAATGCCTTTGTTCTGCCAAAGAATTACTAGTCAGCTTTCCACACAGCAGGGGGGGTGGACAGAAAATACTTACCCACAACAAGCCTCTATCAACGGCATTAAGGATGACAGCAACTGATTCCTCACAAGGTAAGTGAAGAGCAAAAGCAACAGGAGAGGGAGAATCAGGCAGAAGAATGCCAGCAGCCAATTTCTTGTGGTGTTATCCACATCTGAAAGAGAGAGAGAATAAACAAAGAAAGAAAATTAGCAACAACAGGAACAATGGTTACCTTTCTGCAGGGTGGGAATTACAAACTTCCTCAACCCCATTGAGGGAGAAAAGGAATGCTGTGAGCTTGTTAAATCAGTCAACAGTTTCAACCTCTGCTCTTTTCAAAATCCAAAGCAGTTTACAAATGCGTATAATGCACATAACAAGATTAGTATCGGTCATTTAAAGTAGCTGAGTCATTTAAAGTAGCTGGGTTCTTATGGACATGTTGGTAATCTCAGTACCCTTTCTTCCCATTGAGCAGAACATGGAAAGGCAGGGCAAGCTTACTTTTTCCTGAGCACAACTGACTCCAGGGATGGCCACGGTGGTGCCCTCCAAGTGTTATCGACTACAACTCCCATTAGCTCCAACCACTATGACCTATGGTCAGGGAGGATTATGGTTGTTGTTGTACAAGAGCTGCAGTTTTCCACGCTGGCTACCTCTGGACTAGACTACTGACTTTGCTTTTCTCCCATATAATCAAAATGTAGATTTGCAGTGCCCCATTAGAAAGAGCAGGGAGGGAGGCAAGAGAGAAGACAGCTTGCCCAAGAGCAGTGGCTATGGCATGGGAGGGAGAATAGAGGGAAAGTGGTGGTTTGAAACCAGGCTTGCTTACAGCAAGAAGGGAGTCGGGAAAGGCTCTATTGTGTTAGCTTTTGGTGTTGGCGTCCGTGTTGCATCCCTCTCTGCTATTTCTTTTTGTAACCTGTCATGTTGCCTTCAACATGAAGCTCCAGATTCAATGTATCAACAAGCAAACAACATCCATCAGCTCTAAGTGAGCAAGCTAACTGGACAGGTTTGCTCTTAAGGTTCAGCTCGTCTTTAAGGTACAGCAACATCTCCATCATAGCAAGCGGGTGGAAATGGAGCTGCAAAATAAGCCTAGAAATATGGGTGGCCTGTGTGCCAGGGAGAGTTGAGAAAGGGAAGGAGGAGGGAGGGGAAATGGGGTGCAGGTGAAAATGGGGGTACACAGCAGAGTTGCCAAAAAGGAGAGAGTAGGAGACATGGAGAAGATAAAATTGGGTAAGAAAGGTGATGTGGAATGGTGGCTTTATTATTGGACAGAAAGTGAAGAGAGTGCCTGCTGGCTGCAGGGTGAGCAGGGAGGAAGATGCAGGAGGTGGTTGCTGTTGTTCATTTATGCCACGCCTTTTCCCCTGACAGGGACTCAAGGTGGCTTAGAGATAAAATAAAAACACCTAAAAGCATAGGGGGAAACAATGGAACAATAATAGAATTACTTTAATCTACATTATATTTACAACGATATTTGTTGCCTCAAAGGATGCTGTGCGTCTTTACCTTGTGCATAATACCCACCACAAAAATCCACCACAAAAAGTCCAGTAGCCCATCAATCTAATTGTCTTCTCCAAGAGAAACTTGGATTGCATGGTATGATCCCAAAAAAATCAACACTAAAAATTGTTACCAACCTTTGTATGGAATTGGGTCTTTAGGAGCAAATGGATCTTTATACTGTATCTGGGACCTTCTTCTATACCTTTGGGGGAGGAGTTGCTTTTTTGTCTGAATTTAATACAACATGCAGTGCAGTGTCTATGCTCAAACAATAAATGGCAAGTTAAGCGGCAATGTTGCAATATTATCCTAAGTCAAAGCAAAGACCCTAAAAGCACTCCTTCATCAGTCACACATCTGAAACACAGCGAGTGTGAACAATATGCAGGAAGTCCTTGTTGTGTGTGCAATTCCTGGCTTGGGATTTTGCTTTGCTTTTTAAAAAACCCCGGTTGCCATTACTTAACAGAACAGCAGTCAAAGAAGTAGCAGCCTATCAATGTTAAGTTACAGAAGAGATATATAAAGAAATCCAGATAAATGTTGTGGAAATATGTGCCATATGAAAGGGCTTTAGTGATGATAATCTGGTGTTTTCCTTTCTTTCCCCTCTTCCCTTTCTCCATTTCCCCTTTCTTTTCTGTCTGGGCTTTGCTGCTTATATTTTACTGTCTCTATGTTATGTGCAAGAATAGTGTGTGTATGCTTAAAAGGCTCAGCTGGGTTGGAAGTCCACAACTTGCCTAAGAAAAACATGCCTAAGGAACATGTCTGACAACCATATGTCAGGAGTGCTCTGATGGTGTTTCCTGCTTGGCAGGGGGTTGGACTCGATGGCCCTTGTGGTCTCTTCCAACTCTATGATTCTATGATTCTATGAATAGGACTAGTAAAAATGTTTAAAAAGATATTGTTGGAAAGTAATTTTGTGGACTTGGCATTTCATATCCCAGCTTTTCTCCAAAGAGCTTGAGGTGTGTCCATACTTCTCAATGTTATCCTCACAACAACCCTGTGGGGTAGGCTAAGTGACAGCAACTGGCCCAAAGTCACCCAACACGCTTCATGGCTGAGTTGAGATTTGAATACTGGTCTCTTCCAGGTCCTTACTCTTAACTGCTTCAATTGCAAACGTGTTACTGTAGCTGTCTCTTTGTATTTTTCATGCTTCCTCATTTGTTTGTGGAGGTTTTGAAGTTGGCACAAGAGAGTGAAAGCCTTCAAGACAGACTGTGGTGTACACATTTTTTTTATCACTGACTTTAATTTTTGCTTCTTATTGCCATTCAGCTCCCACCTTACAATTTTCTCCTGCATATACCTGCTAACTGAGAATTCATTTATGCACCTGACAAAGCAGACATGAGCTAAAGTCATAATCAATTTGTTGGACTCTTGAGGCACCAAAAATTCAATGTTTTCCCCCCACATTTTTTCAAAATAACATGTGCATGAATTTGGAATGGTCATAGCTCAATTACAGAGCACCTGCTTTGCATGCAGAAGGTCTCAGGTTCAGTCCATGGCCTCTCTGAGGATCCCTGGCTGAAATTCTGGTGAGCATTAAGCAATACTGATCTAGGTGGATAAATAAGCTTCCTCTGTTCCCAATGACATTTGCAGAAAGTTGGCCCAGGACAAACAAAAGCTCTGAAAGTTGTAAGATTCCCCCTACCAATCCAGAGGCCCTAAGTTTCCAATGGCTGGTTATCCAAAACCCAAGCTCCTCTTCCCATGGAAAACAAAACTAGAGAGGCACAGTAAGCCACCACCATACCAGCCAAGGAGGACTTAAGCCTCTTGGAGTAGCTGTCACTTCCCAACCTCCAGGCGTCACCAAAGACAGGAAGGTGTGTGGTTCAGGTACTTGCCATTGTATGGAGGTCCACTGTCCAGACTGCCGCCATATCCTTTGGCATCACAGTAGGGAGGGGCCCACCCCGGGTGACAGTGGCAGTTCTTATTGCTATTGCACACCTGTTTGGATGAAAAGCAGCAAGCAAAGAGTGAAAAATAAATACAGTAAATGGACAAAAGTACAAAGAACATAAAGGTAAAGGTAAAGGGACCCCTGACCAACTCTGTCGTGGCCAACTCTGGGGTTGCGGCGCTCATCTCGCTTTATTGGCCGAGGGAGCCGGCGTACAGCTTCCGGGTCATGTGGCCAGCATGACTAAGCCGCTTCTGGCAAACCAGAGCAGCACATGGAAACGCCATTTACCTTCCCGCCGGAGCGGTACCTATTTATCTACTTGCACTTTGACGTGCTTTCGAACTGCTAGGTAGGCAGGAGCAGGGACCAAGCAACGGGAGCTCACCCTGTTGTGGGGATTCGAACTTCCGACCTTCTGATCGGCAAGTCCTAGGCTCTGTGGTTTAACCCACAGCGCCACCCGCGTCCCACAAAGAACATACATTACTCATATTGAAATACTGCCCCTCAATGAGTACAAACTTTCATCAGTAAAACACCACACATCCACATTCCACACTGCTTCATACATTAAACTATGGGTAGGCAAACTAAGGCCCAGGGGGCGGATCCGGCCCACGGATAGTCCAGTAATCATGTTTTTACATGAGTAGAATATGTCCTTTTATTTAAAATGCAAATCTGTGTTGTTTGTGGGGCCTGCCTGGTGTTTTTACATGAGTAGAATGTGTGCTTTTATTTAAAATGCATCTCTGGGATATTTGTGGGGCATAGGAATTCGTTCCTTTTTTTTCCTTTTCAAAATATAGTCCAGCCCCGCCCACAAGGTTTGAGGGACGGTGGACCAGCCCCCTGCTGAAAAGGTTTGCTGACCGACCCCTGCATTAAACACTTGTTTCTATCTGAGACTCAGGAAATATCATGATAGGAAATGAGGCTGCCATCTGGGGTAGCAGCGGAACTGACGATTTGCCGTGCTAGAGAAGAAACTATTTTTTTTTAAAAAAAGTTTAGTTTCTTCTCCCATTAGATTCTTAATTTTTTTAGGGGTTTGCATACCCCTGTGTCTCCCCAGGAAAAAAGCACTGAGTAATACCATAATATTATATATCAATGGAAAGATAATTTAATGAAGAATGTAATGCAATGACTTTTATGAATGATTATTTATTAAAACAGCAGTCATAAAGAAGAAACCTGAAACACATAGAAAAAATGAGATATACAAAAACCCTCACCATTTCAGTTAATACTTAGTTGAGTAACCTTTAGCTTTAATTACGGCCTTACAACGCCTTCCCATGGAGTGAACCAAGTTTTTTAGTCCTGCAGCTGTTATAATGTGAAACCAAGATGGAATTATTGCCTCTATTAATTGGGTTTTATTGCTGGGTTGCTTCTGACTAGCAAGTTTCTTTAGTCAGCTCCATAGATTTTCAATTGGATTAAGGTCTGAGCTATGTATTTGGGGGCATTTACATTACCCGAGTGGCGCTGTGGGTTAAACCACAGAGCCTAGGACTTGCTGATGAGAAGGTCGGCGGTTTGAATCCCCGCGACGGGGTGAGCTCCCGTTGCTCGGTCCCTGCTCCTGCCTACCTAGCAGTTCGAAAGCACGTCCAAGTGCAAGTAGATAAATAGGTACCGCTCTGGCGGGAAGGTAAACAGCGTTTCCGTGCGCTGCTCTGGTTTGCCAGAAGTGGCTTAGTCATGCTGGCCACATGACCCGGAAGCAGTACGCCGGCTCCCTCGGCCAATAAAGCGAGATGAGCGCCGCAAGCCCAGAGTCGGTCACTCCTGGACCTTATGGTCAGGGGTCCCTTTACCTTTACCTTAAAGGAAAAGGTACCCCTGCCCGTACGGGCCAGTCGTGTCCGACTCTAGGGTTGTGCGCCCATCTCACTTAAGAGGCCGGGGGCCAGCGCTGTCCGGAGACACTTCCGGGTCACGTGGCCAGCATGACGAAGCTGCTCTGGCGAGCCAGCACCAGCGCAGCACACGGGAATGCCGTTTACCTTCCCGCTATACAGTGGTACCTATTTATCTACTTGCACTTATGGGTGCTTTCGAACTGCTAGGTGGGCAGGAGCTGGGACCGAAGATGGGAGCTCACCCCGCCGCGGGGATTCGAACTGCCGACCATGCGATCGGCAAGCCCTAGGCGCTGAGGTTTTACCCACAGCGCCACCCGCGTCCCTACCTTTACCTTACATTCCCATTAATGACGCAAATTCTGCCCACACCTTTTGCTGTCATACAACCCCAGATCATAACACTATCTCGGTGTTTCACAGTAGGTGCAATGCAGTAGGATGTAAATCTTCTCCAATTCTTCACCTCACATATTTCATGCCACTACTACCAAGCAAGGAGATTTTGGTCTCATCACTCCAAATAACACTGTCCCATTCTTCTGCTGTCCAGTTAACATGGGTTTTAGCCCAGTTTAATCGTTTCAACCTTTGTTTGAGAGACAACAATGGCTTTTTCCTTGGAATTCTAGCATTTAGACCATATTCCTGCAGTCTGCGCCAAACGGTGCTTGCACTCAACTTCACATTACCTTGCCCCATGTCATCTTGTATAAACCCAGGTGATTTTCTTCTATCATGTAGCCACAGTTTCTCAGTTCTTCTATCGTCACTTGCTGTTGTGAACCTTTTCCTACCTTTACCAGTCTGATTTTGTAATCTCCTTTTACCTCTTCAAAAATTTAGGAATACCACCTTTGGTTAAGTTTCCACCAATTTTTCTTCTAATTTCTTCATAACTGTAGCCTTGTTCACTTAATATACTGTGCCATTTCTGAAGACATATGGATTTGTGATTATTATGCTCATTTACCTTCAGTAGTAAAGCTCTGCTGGATGAATTACCGCCCGTCTATTTTTGGGGAATCCTGCAACGTGTTTCAGTTTTTGCTAACTATATGCTGGAGTCTGCTCTGGATCAATATGAGCAGTATCAAATAACAAGCCAAGTCCACCCATCCAACCCCTGACATAATGCAGGTAGTTAAGGGCAGAGCGTCAAAGGAACAACCAGAAGCTTGAAGGGAGCTCTCAACTGTTCCTTTGCTGGAGCTCCTACCTGTCCGTCATTCAATGGAACCAAGTCTCCCTCCAGCACCTTCTGAAAAAAGGGGAAAGGAAGGCCCAAGAGAGGAGGTCAGAACAAAACAAAGCATCAAGTCAGTAACCCCTGGAGAAAGTCTAGAAATCCGGCGTGGTTTTGTCAGCTTACCCCTCGTCCATTGCACTGATGCTCTGCATTGCAGCTGTAACCCAAAACAGAGACATCAACACATTGGTAGTGCTTACATATCTGAAAGAAAGGACACACACAAATTCATTATGATTGGGACTGCAAACCTTAAATTAAAGTAAGTGATGTGTCTGCCCAATCTAAAGTTTCATTTCTAAAGCTTTCCTCACAGATCAAAATCCCCTCTCTTGCAAATGATCTGTTAGGATTAACAAGGAAAACTCACACAATGGTCCACCTGAGACATCCACTGCACATTTGGTGGGCCACTCTTAACAATCCGTAGCTCCATTAAGCAATCTACAACAGAACTGAGAGCAAAGTTATACCCTTCCATTTGACGGATGAGAAAGCAAAAAGCAGTTCTCGCATTTGATCCAGGATCCTTCAAAATGAGAAGACGCTGTAGCAGGTACCTCTGCCTTGGAGCGTGAAAGGAGTTCTGCCCCCTCAAGAAGGGTACACTCGGGACTTCCAGTTAAGGCAGCATGGGGACGCCATGGCAACAAGCAGCTCCTGAAGCCAGCCAGAACTTACATAGCTACCTTACTGGCTCCTGGGCTGCTGGAACTGCCGCTACCAGCGCCGCCAGCACCGATACTGGAGAGGAACTGGGGGCGCCTGGAATAACTGCAGCCCCCCCCCCCCCGTGACCTTGATCGAGCCGGGACCAAGGGCACCCGGCCACCCGAGGTCAGGAGGATCTCGGAGCCAGCACGGAAGCAGGAGGGGAAGGAGAGAAAGGAGCCCGGACCCCACCGCTTCTGCCTCCACCACCGTCAGAGGGAAACTGGGGCATCTGGTGCGCCTACCGAGGGAGCCACAGCCTCCCTCCCTGCCAACAGCCCAGCGGAGCTCCGAGGCTGGAGGGACCTCGGAGCCAAAGCAACAAAGGAAGGGGGGGGAGAAAAGAGGAGGATGGGAGAGAGGAGCCCTGACCTTGCCGTCACCATCGAAGAAAGAAGAGGAGAACCTGTTTGTCGGTCTGATTTTGAAGGGGGAGCCCTTTCTCCCCCCACCCCTCCTTTAAAACAAAACTTTTCCCCACACCACTGCCACTGCTACAGTTACCTCTCCCTCTCCCTCCCCCACCCCTCCTCCTCCTCCTCCTTCTTCTTCTTCTCATTTCTCCTCTTCCTTCTCTCTTTTTCTCCCCCCTCCCTCTCTCCATCCCCCCTTTCCTCCTCTCTCTCTTTAAAGAAAACACATACATACACTCATACACGCATACCACTGTATTATACTTTCCCCTCTCATACTATAGCTAAAACTATCACTGCAATCTATTACCACTGTTATTACTCTACTTTCTCTCCTTCTCTCTCTTTCTTTCCCCCTTTCTGTCTCCCCCTCCCTTTTATTTTACTCTAATTTCCCCTTCCCCCCTTTTCTTTTTCTTTGTTTCTTTTCTCTGTTCTCTTCTTCTTCCTCTTTTCCCTCCACCTTTTGCCTATATTCTGTTTTGTCTGGTCCTGTTCCTGAACACATTCCTAACCCCACCTTCCACCGTAATTGGACCCTAGAACCCCTTTTGCGTATATGAGTGCGCAGGCGTGTACACACGGGTGCAACCACAAATAACCCCCCTCAAACACACATTTTCCCTGGCCCCACCTCTCTGGTCTCTCGCATTTCTGCCTGCTAACCCCCTCCCCCTTATGTGAACTGTCTGTTGGTCTATCCGCCTGTCAGCTTACCTACCCCCCGCTCTGGCAGCACCGCTGAGGCGACCACAGCCTAGACTCAACACAAATGGCCACCTAATCCGAACGCTCTGTAAAACACCAGTCAACAACGCCTGTTCAGCTCAGCAACCCAACAACATCCAGGAACCATTACCACCACAACTCCTAACTGCAACACGCCCTACTCCAAGAGGACGCCAAGCAGACCTGAAACCAAAACCATTAGGGAGATTGAGATGACACCAACCAAGGAGATGGCAAATAGCCTGAGACCACAACACCCCTTCAAGATGACGACCACACAACAACTAAACGAGATCTGAGGGAAATGGAAGCGAGATTAGCAGAAACACTGAAGGCCACAGTGGCTCCCCTGCAGATATTAATCAACGATCTAACCTCCAAAATGAAAGCTCTAGAGAACAAGAACCAAATGAAAGAAAGAATAATAGAGCAATACCGGGAGGAGAACACACGCATCAATAAGAAATTGGATGAACTGGTAAATCACCTGGAAATAGAAAACACAGAAATGAGAATCAAACAAACGGACATCGAAGATTGCAACAGACGTTGCAACATCCACTTCCGCAACTTTCCTGAAAAAGTAGAGGAGAAAAGCCCAGCAGACCTAATTGTACGCTGGCTGAAAGATACAATCCCAAACATGACACTTGAGGTAGATGACCTGGAGAGGAGTCACAGAGCCCTAAAACCTATGCCGAAACCCAGCGCCCCACCCCCCAATAAACATCATTGTGTGCTTCACACGCTACAAAAAGAAGGAAGAGGTATGGAACAACCTCAGAAACTCAACCAACCTTCAATATGGAGACGCCCCCATATTGGACTTACAGGATTTATCTCAGGACACCCTTAATCGGAGAAAAAGCCTAATGCCTGTGCACCCAGTGTCTCCAACAAGCAGGGATCAAGTACCGATGGGGCTTCCCTTTTCGACTCATCGTAACAACCAACATAACACAACAAAGAGCTACCAACATACCTGAAGCCTCGCAACTACTGAAGAACCTCAAACTCGACCTTCCACCGGAATGGTGTTGGAAGGCAACAAACCCACTAAGTGACAGCCACAACCATGACGAAACAACAGCAAACAATTGGATGACAATAAAGAAGAAAAAGAAACAACAGACAATGCAAACCAATACAGTCAAGCACCACGCACAGAATCATCCCGCCGGCCATATGACACAAGAAACCAGACCAAGATTAACCAAACCAACTCATCGCGGATGGACAACCCTACTACTACAACAACCCCAGCTGAATGAAGCAACCGGAAAAAACCACAAACTGAAGTACTAGTGATTCTCCCCCCCTTCCCCCCCTCCTTTCCCCGCCGAACATAAATATAGTTAACACCATCAACATCCCCCCCCAGCCCTGCACCTGCACAGAAATCCCCACCCCAACACCAGTCCAGACCTCAAACCACATTCCCCATCACCTAACAACCCATAACCCACACCTTCAGCATCCCCCTACTCCATACTAAGGAAAAATAACTCCTCCAACCTTAATAACACAACCCACAAACAGGCTAAAATCTGATGCCCAACCAGCACAATGGTGGCGCCAGAGCATACCAACACCCACATCCTCGCCCCAACACACCAACGATGTTGCTAATAACACTGGCAACATTGCTTACGAACCTTATACCTGACATTGGCGTCACAAAGATGCTTCACCCCATCTCACTGATCATCCCCTATCGCAAACAACAGGGGGGATGGCCTGTCCCTATACATGGTCCTCCACACCAGCTGAGACCTAGGACCAACCGGCTAAATGCCAAATGGCCCAAAATACCCCAAACAAACACATACCGTATATGACTACATATAGGAAACTCTCTACAACCTACCCCCTACTCTTTAACCCAAATCTAACTCTAATCCCACTAGTCCCCCAACCACCACACTGTAGGTCAGTGCAATCCCATTGGTTCGTTAAACAACACAGGGGTTGGGAAACCCCATCAAAAGAAAATGCATCACCTCATACATAAACACCATGAAACCGCACATCACCTTCCTACAAGAAATACACAACCCACCCAAAGGGATCAAACTCCTGAGTGACCCCCACTACAGTCAACAGTGGGTTGCACGAGGCTCAGGGAAAGCCCATGGCGTAGCTATAATACTCAGTAGAGACCTGAACTTCACTGCCACAACAGTCCTAAAAGACAAAAAAGGCATTCATTTTCGCTAAAGGGACACTAGATGGCAAAATTAAACTGACAATCAGCTCCATATATGCCCCAAACTCAAAACAACTAGAATGCTTTCAGAAGACACTAAACAAGTTCCTCTCCTTTTCTGAAGGGGAAGCAATCCTAGGATGTGACCTCAACCTAAATATGAAAGGCATATCCTCGAAAAACATTCACCCTACAACCCCATGGACAACCTTCCTTGTAAGAAACCCCCAACAACTAGGGACTCTTAAAAGTTACAGAAATGTTAAAAAACAGGTGTCTCTACGACATTTGGGGTGAGCAAAACCCGGGAGACACCAGCCATACATTCCAATCCGGACGCCATGGTACAACGTCCAGACTGGACAGCATTCTGCTCACACAGGGTCTGATCTCCTTAGCAAAATCAAGAAACATAGGTAACATTAAAATCACAAAACACCCCATCATGGTCCTTCAGCCCCATCCTAACTACAAACAAACTAATTAGAGAGAGTCTCACAAAAACTCTACAAAACTACTTCAGGGAAAATGATGTAGACAATATAACAACCCCCCTCAAAAATTAACAAAAATAGAACAAGACATCACGGCCCTCTCACCACGCTACAAACAGGATCTAAAAAACTTCTTCAATTTATAGACCAAAAAAGGAGAGAACCAGACTCCCTAGAAATCAACAAAACAATGATCAGTATTCTATACTCTAAACAATGTTTCTATGAATATGGAGGGGGAAACTCCAAACTATTTCCTATGTAGGAAAAAAGAACTCAAAACAAGAATACACTGCATCACCAAAAAAGATGACAACGTAACATTCTCCCCCAAAGAAATAACCTCAGAATTTGCAGAATTTTACTCCAACCTATACACTTCCCATAGCCCACCTGAGAAGGAAATCAGAAAATTCCTAGCAGGACTACCATGCCCACCTTAATTGACGAGGAACAGGAATTCATGGACAGCTCTATCACCCCAGAGGAAATAGATACGGTCCTCAAAAACCTGAAACCACACAAAGCCCCAAGCCCAGACTGCTTCACAGCAGAAGTCTAAAGGCAATTCAAAGAACCCTTGATGGCCTACATGACCCGCCTGTTCAATGACATCATGAAAGGGGGGCCCATCCCCAAAACCTGGACCCACTCCAAAATAGTCTCCATCCCAAAACCACTGAAAGACAGTCTCAAAGTAGAATCATACCGCCCAATCTCATTAATAAACCAAGACTACAAGATATTCACATCAATCTTGGCCAACCGCCTAAAAATCTTCTTATGCAAGTTAATAGCCCCAGATCAGACCGGCTTTGTCCCTGGTCGCAATATTACAGACCCCATCAGGAAAGTACCGAACCTAATCAAACACAGCAAGGCACTGTCAATTATGTCCCTAGACATCCTCAAAGCCTTTGATTGCTTAGAATGGAAATACCTATTAGCAGTACTAACTAGCATGAAATTTGGCCTCAGCTTCCTACAAATCCTCAAACAAATATACTCCCAAGCCTCAGCAAAACGCAGAACTAACAATATGGGCTCTAACCCTATAGCAATCCAAAGAGGCACAAAACAAGGATGCCCATTGTCTCCCTTCTTATTTATCCTGGCTCTGGAACCCCTAGCAATCCGCATCCGAGCAGCCACAGACATCAAGGGAGTGGAAATAAAAGGCAGAACCTATAAATTAGGGCTCTTTGCAGATGACCTAATGGTCACAACACCAGACCCCATAAGCACAGCAACCTCCCTAACCAGAGAACTCAACACATTTGCAATGGTGTCAGGCCTACAGGTAAATTTTGCAAAGTCAGAAGCTATGTGCTTCAATACCCCTCCTCACACCCAAAAAGAATTCACTAATGTCACCAAGATAAAACTTTGCCACACCAAGTTCAGATACCTAGGAGTACAAATAACCAGAAACCTCAATAAGTTATTACCTCCACAACTACATGCCCCTGTGGTGACAAATAAACAAAGACCTAAAACGATGGAACAACATGCATTCCACCCTCTCAGACAAAATAATCATGATCACCCTCCCAAAACTAACCTACCTATTCCAAACCCTCCCAATCTGGATTCCCCAAACCCAACTCTGCAGATGGCAGAGAAAACTACACTCCTTTATCTTCTCACACAAAAAACCAAGAATAAGCCCCAAATACCTGCACCTTGCCACCTCAGAAAGAGGATGGGGAATCCCCATCATAGAAAGAGGATGGGGAATCCCCAACATAGAAGCATATTACATTGCCAACCAAATACGCCATATAATCCCATATATACTAAAAAATGAGACAAAACAATGGATACACCTAGAGAGGGACACAATTGAAAATACCTGCACCACAGCATACCCACCCCTCCCAAACAAACTAAAGAAAATTCCCACAACACTTAAGAGGTACACACAGACCATGCTCATAGCATGGAAAACAGAAATAGGCAAACTATCTCCAGCTCCATCCCCACTAATTCCCCTGGCATACCACCCATTATTCCATCACACAGCACAAAACCTCGAGATAAAAACCTGGCTTATATCATCTAATAGACTTCTACAAAAATAACAAACCTTTGTCAACACAATAAATTCAAGACAAACAAGAAGACACCCAAATGTCCTGGTTAACACATCACCGATTACATGCCCTCTTAAACAATCCGGTAGTAAAATCAGCAGCAACTAGGCCCCTGACAACCTTTGAAAACCTCCTAACAACAAAGGGACATGGTAAAGGGATGGTATCTGCAATATACAAAATACTATTCCAAAATCCCACAAACTCCCACAAACAATGGATGACATAGGCTAAGAGATTAACCCCACTCAATGAACCAAAATGTGGTTTAAACCCCCCTTTAAATCCATATCAACAAAAAGAAAAGAACTCACTCTGAAAATCACCTACAGATGGTACCTAAAACTAAGAAAACTAGTGCTAATACGCCCAGGAACCTCACCAAAATGCTGGAGAGGGTGCACCTCCACAGGCACATACCTCCACATGTGGCAGGAGTGCCCCAAAATCCAACTATTCTGGACAACAGCTATACGAGAAATATGTAAAATAACTAAGCAAGTATTAGAAATCACTCCAGAATTGGCCCTACTACACATCTTCCAATACAATAATACATATCTACACCACAAAGAATTTATAATTCACCTATTTTCAGCAGCCAGAAACATTATAACCAGACACTGGAGAGACCTGTCAGGAGTAAGCATGGACCAATGCTACCAAATAGTATGGGAAACAGCCTTACTAGAAAAATTAACCAATAAACTGAAACTAACACGGGGACAAATAGAAGAAGACGCCTTCATCCCGGTATGGCTCCCCTTTATCACATACACAGCCCAACAAGACAACAATAAAAATCCACCAACAGCATACAAATCAATTTGGCTAACCTGATCCAAAACACCCACCCACCCCACTCACACATGAAAACAAAGACCACCACAGCCAACCACAAATGAACAGCCACACCCTCGGCCAACCCCAACCTCTCTCACCACCAAAGGAACACAAGTGAACAGCAGAGAACCCGCACAAGCAACACTGACACAAAACCCCACATATATTAAGTGAAATAGAAACATCACCACCCGACCCCACCCCCACCCATCTTCCCCCCCACCTCTTTCCCCCTATTCTTCCTAATGTCTCAACAAATGAAACCAATTTGTAAAAAAAAAAGGAAAGTGTTATGTGGAAAAAAATATGAGAGAGAGACATTGCACATACCTTTGTAAATCAAGAAAATCTTTAATAAAAATACATTAAAAAACAACAAAAAACAACTGTCCACCTGAGAACTTTCCTGGTTTACCTTTCCAGGGGCACATTTGGTGCCTTCGTTCACCATCCCTGGATCTGGTACGTCTGATCCCAGCTGGAAGTCCACACCCCAACAGGTGTTACCTTGGATGGGAGACTTGATAATGGCAGGTTCGATTCCAAAGACAGGAAGGGTTTGCACATTCTCACATTGTAGTTTCCCACACATGGCGTTCCTGTAGCAATATGGCACGGCAACTTAAATCACTGACAGTTAATTTCTGAAAGTATGCACAGATCATTATCGACTTAGGTTTTTTGAGGCTTAGTAGGATTAAAGGAAAATATATACTCCTGGATGCTAATCGTGGGCTAATCATAAGGAAAACATCTGTTTGTGCAAAACGTAGTAATGACATAGTGGGTTTGGCAAAACATCACGCTCCTCCAATGAAAGGATGGGGGAGAAATGCATGGCCCAAATCCAGGGGAAGCCAACATGGTGCCCTCCAGACATGTGCACTACAGTTCTCATCGGTCCCATTCAACATGGCCAATGGTCAGCAGTGCTGGGAGTTGTCGTCCAAGGGCACCAGGATAGTGATCCCTGCCCTTATCTGTCAAATGCAATATGAATGAATATGACAGGGGCAGTTGGGGCCCGTCCACCTGGGAAAGTGAGCTCATCTAGGAGAAGAAACACTCTGATCCTAAGCCTCTGCCTCTGCTTGTGGGACAGGCTCAGGAGTGAACCTTGGATGGCGCCTTGTACGCCTCCTTCAGGCAACTGCTGCAGCCCAGTTGGTGCCAAATACCTTGATCTGCTTTCCTTTGGACCACATTAGCAAGGCCGAGAAAGGGGGTCTTGTCATCTGGGCACGTACCAGCTATTAGGCACGCAGGCTGAGCAGCCGAAACAAAGGCCCACTGCACCTCTTTGGGGCTTCCCATGCCCACACTGAAGTCCTCTTCAGCCTCCAGGGAGGGTTTCCTCGTGAGCCACAAGGACTCTCCAGCCCTCTCCTGCCATTTCCAGGTTTCATTCAAGTTATTTATTTATTTTCTGGCATGACACGTAGACACGGCCATGTGTGAACTGATTGTGCGGGGGGGGAGCTGTGCAGAGCAGGCTTCTCTTGACAAGCTGCTTATTGAGCAATCTTTTTGATTTGCCTGCATAAAAGAACCTTTTGTGGAAGTCAGATTATGTCCAGGCTTTGTTGAGCATTTGTTCTTATTTTGTTTGTGGGCAGTTACAGGACAATGAACATTCATCATGATTTCATCCTGATTTGATTGTGCAGTGGTTATATGTTAATCATTCATTTGTTTCACTTTTCATGCTTTCCCTGTCACTTTCCTAAACACAAAAAAGTCTGTGTTGTTGCTTTCTAAAGTAGATTTGTAACAACAGAGCACTTTAAGCTATTATAATTGTGCAAACCTACATGTGACTGAATCCACCCCCTAAGGCACCAACAGTCTGGAGGTGACCAGAGTTTCCTTGCCGCACCCACTTACCAGCTCGAGCACTTCTTATAGTCATGCCCATGGTAGCCGCAATTTCCAAACCTGTCACCTTTGGAATTCACTTCGGAAAAGCAGATTTGGGGAGCAGCCTTTGCTTCTGCAAAACACAGATTTGGGAAATCAGGCTTGCCCAGCTCCTTTAGCCTTCTGGCAGGACCAGCAGCATAAAGTAACAGAAGACCCATTTTCTGCATCATGAAGAAATAAAAATAAAAATAAAAATAAAAATAATAAAATAAAACAACTAATGTGTGCTCCAGGTTGCGGTGGGGAGGGCATCTTGGGCAAGACAGCCTCCATTGGCCCCCTCCCTCACTGTGTCTGCCACCTCATTGCCCTTATCACCTCCAGTTGTTCCTCCTCTTCCTGCTTGCTTACTGCAGAGAGCCAGTGAGCAAGCCAGCAGCAACTGCCTCTCGCTGCTGTTGCTCCTCCTCCTCCTTCCCACCACCACTGTCTGAGCCAGAGCAAGAAGGTGAATAGGCAAGCAGGTGAAGAGAAGCAGCAGATGCCCAACTGCGCTGTCCCTTGATCCCAGCCTTGCAGAAAAGCAACAGAAATTGTCATCCAGAGGCAGTTCCCAATCCCTTAGGATAATGTCTGCTAGCTGTTCCTTGTGGAGAAGCAAACATAACGCAGATCCTCATGCTCCTTACTTGGCCCAAAGATGCCCTGGCACTGGGCATTGTAATACTGGCAGAGCCCGTTGTAGCAGTAAGCCTCGTCTTTGTGGCAAGGGTGCCCGTTCTCAATGGTGACGTCTGGAGGGCAGAACTGTGATGTTCCATTGCAGAACTCAGGGAGGTCGCACTCACTGGCCCGCTCACGGCACTCTGTGCCTTTGGACAGGAACTACGAAAGGGAGGCAGGAAATGTACCAGCGTCAACCTGCTAATACCCACTGTGGGCAATATACCAAAACTATCAACAAAGTAGATTAAACCTCCCACTGACTTCACCCCATAATAATCTAGCATTTATGCAGCACAGGTCACCTGTCCAAAATATTGTGTTCCTCCTCTGTAATCTTTAAATCATCCTCCACGGTAGGCTGGCATTATTATTCCCATATGGCAGGTGGAAGCTACCTAAATGATCTCCTCCTCCTAATTTGTTTAAAGAGCTTCTTCTTGGTCTTAATGTTTTTAGCAACGTGCTCCTCAAATTCTTTTTAGGCATTTATGGGACCCTCCTTCCCCCACAATCACTTTAGAAGCTATCCTACCACCTTTAAGGATCTAAGCAGCAATAGTCCCAGTTCAAGTGCAGCCTGTCCCTTTTGTACAGGCCTGGATTGACCAGAATGTTCCCCAGTGTCTAACAAATCCAAAGCTCTCCTCCCAACCCCATTGCCTCATCCACATGCCTCTCTAGCTGACCCTGCAAGGGGAACTGGTAGCATTTCAGAGAAAGCTACCTTGGAGGTCCTGGCTTTCAGCACCGTACCTAGCAAACTACATTTGGCTTCCAGGAGGTCGCCTCTACATTCTCCCATGTCATTGGTGCCAACATGCATCACAACTACTGACTCCTCCCCAGCACTATCTTCCAGGCTCCCTAGGCCATGTGCCATATGTGCAGCCTTCATGCCGGCCAGGCAGTTCACCCTGAGGTATATTTGCGCATCACACACCCAAATATCTAGGTTCCTGATGACTGATTCCCCACTATCACGACCCCTGCACTCCTTGCAGATGTATTCTCTGTGAGAGAGGATAACAGTTTGTCCCATCTCAAATAATGTTTACCTGTTCCTCAGAGCAGGACTCTCCTTCCCCAACACCCTTCTTCTTCCTGACAGGAGGGGAGCTATCAGCGCAGGAGTGCGACTCTGCTGTAACGCTCATGAAGATGTCAGCCACCAGCCACTTTGCCTCTCTGAGCTTCTCCAGGCCTGCCAGCCTGGCCTCAAGGGATCAAATGTGCTTGCACCCCGACACACCCATGACCTTTGTCTCACAGGGAGACAGTCGTACATGGGACAGACAAACCCCCCACATACAAGCACCAAAGCATTAGAGCCAAAGCATTCGATCTGCTCCAAAATGTTCTCAGTAGGCTCGCAATATGTCTGGAAAAATCCCTGACATGTCCTGGTTTTCAGGTGTAAAAATGGCATGGGGGGGATTTTGCTGAATTGGCAAAATGTCAGGAAAAACCCAGGTGTATGGTGGTTTCCAAAAAAAGCCAACCAATTTCAGTGGTGTCAGGATTTTACTTTTTAAAATATGGCAACCCTAGTTTTCAGAGGCAAATCGTAATGAACGTGGGATCGCACACAACTGCCCTGATATTGGCAAGAGCACAGATAATCACGAATGCCCAGTGAAATGGACGCCTGGAGGGCCTTAAGTCTAAACATGGCATCAAAGCAGCCAGACTTTTAACAGTGAGTACCTGCAAACTGACACATTTGCACTTAGCCATGGTTCGTCTTAGTGTTATGTACAACCTGGCCATGTAGTGAGACATCTAAGATTCAAATACTCTAGGAAAAATTCTTCTCTAACATAATATTTAATTACCATATCCCATTTATTTCAACTCAACTTGTTCTAAGAGAAGCACATTTAGAGTTGCGGACTATTTCTTTATCGCATGTCAAGGCTGCAATCCTCAACACACTTATTCGAGAGCAAGCTCCACTGAACTCAGCAGGACTTTCTTCTGAGTAAGCATGTGTAGAATCATGCTGTTAGAGACCCAAGTCCCCGTAGAATTTCCTCCTGCCCTGCAGTTTCTGGCAATAACTTGGGATCAGTGAGTCTTACATGACAGTTGTGACAGCAGTCTCCATAACCACAATCAGCCCCAGGGTGGAGTCTACAAGTTCCTGCCTCACAGCAAGGATCAAACTGGCATTCCTGAAAAGTTAGGAGAGGAAGGGGAAAAAACAGATGAGAAAGGAGGCCACTCTCAGGCATTTCCAACTGGTGCTTTTTTTCTAGAAAACTAGGTGCAGGTCCTCCCCATGAAGTTGTTACAGTAAGTGCCACACTTTTTAACAAAAAAAGAGAGGTCCCAGTAGTGCATACCCCTGAGTACTGTCTGAAAAAAAGCACTAATGCCATTTTAATCTTAAAACTCGAATGTTGGCCTTATACAGGCGTAATTAACCTTGGACTTGAAACAATTCCTAAACCAGGGATGAGGAACCTGGCTGTGGCTGATGGGAGTAGGAAGTCCTACACCACATCCATTAAACCATGGGCAGGGCTGACAGGAGCTGCAGCTACATCAAATCCAGTTCAAACCATGGTTAAAGACTGGCCCCAAAACAGGACATAAAACTATGGTTTGAAGTGGATGTGCCACCATGGTTTGTATTCATTATGGTTAAGTGTTGCTTCTGTACTGTACAAACCACAGTTAAAGGAGGTGCCCTTCCAGCACTTCCTTCATTTAAAAACTTATTCCATTAGCTTCTATTGACTACACCAGCTCCAGGCTGAAATTTTGAGGGGCCTGATCCAAGTTCAGATGTCATGGCAAGCCAGAGTCATTTCCTCCTTAGCCCAGCAAAGGCCAGAGCAGAGGGAAAGTGAAAGAGGTGTTTTTGAGCTGTGTCCTGATGGGCACAAAAGCACCTCTTTCACTTCCCCTCTGCTTCTTTGTGTTAAGCCACAGCTAAAACTAACTGTGGTTTAACACAGGTGAGGCTGAACTCCAGCCTATGGGCTGAATTAGATCCACCCATCCTCTCCAGTTGGCCTGCGAGGCTGTTATGACCAAACCATGCCCACCTGCCAGGTATGGGACAGGAAAGGAGAGGGTGGGCCACAGTGGAAATACATATTTTAAGGAAGTTAGGCCAACAATCGATAAATCTAAAGGACTTGCACCTCTCCTTGTGGTATAAAAGCATGTGGACTTTGGTAGCAGCAGAGAAGATAACACACAACTAAGAGGTCTCCAAAGGGTGTGAAAAACCCAGAGCACGTCTACAGAGTCTGGCGGGACTTTAGTTTGCATGTTTCTGATTCTGACATGCTGAACAATATAAGTACATCATAAACCGATGAAGGGTTTCTGTGGAAAGGCGAGCAGATTCCCTCCTATATGTCTAATATGCACCAGGACAAAGCCCACGCCCCCACCCCACTGACAGGTGGGTGGCTGGAGGGCAGGGAACTCCCTCCATTTCGTTTGCATGCATGCTGAATGGATATCACACCCACTCAAAGGATCTTTTTGGCCGCCCCCTGAAGCACTCTGCGATGGTGGGTGAGTTGCTCTGAGAGAGAGCGCCATATCCCACACCACTTGAAGCCAGGTTGCTTGCAGAGGGGGAGCAGAAGACTTCCCATGCCATGCCACTGTCATTTTGGCAGCCACCAGGAGCAAATATAAGAACGTTCTATGTTTGATCTTGGGATTCAAGGAGCTTCTCAGAGAAGACAGGGCTAAAGAGAGATCTAAGACAAGAGCGTGGCCTGTGATAGCAGACGCAAGACCAGAAATCCTGAATAGCCCAAACTTCAAACCTGCCAAAAGAATTCTGTGTTGGTGACATCACACCCGTTACTAACCTCTGATGTTCCACAATCACATTCCTCTCCAGCATCTACTAGCTTGTTGCCACAGTACGGGATGCTATAGGTTTCCTCAGGCCTGGGGATATTGAGGAGGCAGCTCCCACCCTTGCTCAGAGTTAGCTTTTCAAAGTCTTCCTCGCTACAGCTGCTGAAGTTCCTGGCCCCTCTGGAAGCATGGAATATTAAAAAATAGTCCTTACATTGGGCCATGCAAACTCTAGGGCAGTCTTTGCCAACCTGGTGCCCTCCAGAGGTTTTGCCCTAAAGCCGTATTCACACACAATATATGTAAAGCACTGTGATATCACTTTAAACAGTCATGACTTCCCCCAAATCATTATGGGAGCTGTAGTTTACGGGTGCTGAGAGTTGTTCAGAGGCCCCCAAAACCCCTCCCCAGAGCTACAATTCCAAGAGTCGTTTAGCAATCAATCCCTCTTCACAAGGAATCAAAATAAAATCACAAGACTTGGGCAGTGAGGAGATTTCACCCCTCCCATATCCAAGAATCTCCTGAGGAGTCTGCTGATTCTCCAGAGAGGAGGAGGCGTGTTCTGCTCTCTACTTATTCTGCTCCAGCACCAACTCAGTCAGTCAGTCAGTGTCGGAGAGAGAGAGAGAGACACTGAGTGTTAGAGATTGTGTGTAGAGATAAGGTTGCTGCTGGGACTTCCGGGTTGGCGCCATCGCCGAATGGCGGACTCCCTCCGAGCTCCGGAGGGAGTCTGCTCGGCAGGGGCTGGGTCCTACCGCGCCGGCGACGCGGGGACCCTTAAAAACCACGGGCACGGAGTCCGTGGACATGGGTGACTCGGCTTGCACCATTAGCGCCCTCCCGACTCGTGAAGGAGCCTTTTTAAAGGCTTCGGATCGGGTGCCGGGGAGCGGCGTGGTGCTTGAGTCCTCTGCTTTCCCTGCCGAGCGCAGCCGCATGCCATTCGACGGAGAGCGCTGACTTCTTCCATTGAAAATTTGGACTATTAACAACAACCCGTGAGTAATTGGGAAACCGGGTTCAAAATTTCGGATTTGGCACGACCGGGGGCGATTTAAAAAGGAAGTCAATCCCCCCCCCTACTGTAAGCATTCCAAAACAAGGACTGGGTAACCAAGGTCCAAAGGGAAGTATATTCTTGATAAAAATCATTAATTTCACGATGGGAAATTATAAGAACTGTGCTGGAGGAGAAGAGTGGAGGGTGAGAAGAAAAATGCAACCCCCCCCCCTGGGAACCGGGGCGAATCGTGGAGCCTGGTGAAGAGAGACGGAGACTTTGACAGCTGTCAAAGTGGCTGTCAAAGTTGGAGAATATAAAGAGGACTTTGTTATGAGGACTTTGCCGGTTAATTTTGCTACAATTTGCTACAATATGGATATAAACTGTTGGAAAATTAGCAACAATTTGACTTTTGGATTAGAGGATACAAAGTTATTACAATCCCCCTAGAGGGGTTTTGGGATATTACAAGAACGGTCGTAAGTGGAAAAATACTCTGGGATTCGCACAGGACTTGTTATCTTTTGGGAAAGCTGCAAAACTGAAATAGTATTTTGTCTACAGAGGTATTTACATTAAAGGAGACAATAGAATTTTCTATTGAAGAAAGGAAGGGACTGGACGTAAGTTTTTGTTCCTGAATAACAAACCTCTGCAGAGATACCAGATTTCTGAATTAGAAAGTTTTAGCAGCTGAACAGGACAAGAAACCTGAGAAAGTGAGGAAAAGAAGAACAAAGGACTGATTACGACACGGAAAGAACAACGGGAGGAGTGGTAAAGATCAAGGAAATTAAAGGCCTTTGTTAGATTGGACACTTGAAGTTACATATTATTAATAAATTAAAAGAAAACCGGCAAGATGGAATCGGGGAGAAATTTGGTCATGAACTGAGACTTCCAAGCTGATAATGCATAGACTGATGGATATGGGGAATTCAAACTGGGGAAGGGGGGGGGGGAGATTTGAAATCCAAAGGCTGTGTAACCATCTTTTGAATTTTTCTATATGTTTTATTTTTATTTTTTACATAACTTACGCATGTCATTTTATTTTGATTGGACGTGTTTAAAAAAGGGAATTCGTGGAAGGAACTGGGGTGGATCTTGGGGAAAATCTTCTTTCTTTTCTTGTTAATGATGTGGGACGGTGGTAAGATTTGTACAATTCAATTTGGATAGTGGGTTAAACAAATTAAGCTTCAAATTGGGAGAGAGAGCTTGTAGAACTAAATTAAGGAAAGGGGAATACAGTCGGGGGGGGAGGGGGGGAGTCCCAGAAAGTAGGCAATGAAAGTAAGGTTTTTAAATATCTTTTTTTCTTTTTCTTTTTTTCTTTGTATTTTTATATTTTTGGAAACTTTAATAAATATGATTTAAAAAAAAAAAAAAAAAGATAAGGTTGCTGCTAACAGCAGCTGCAGACACTCAGTGCAGTGCAGCATTTATTTACGCTTAGACCTATTTAGCTCTGTATATAGTTGTATTATAGTTGTAGTTATAGAATAAAGAAAGAAGATATTCTACAGAGCTGCTCTCTGAGTTGTTTATATACTCTGCTAGACTCTGCTGTACTCTGCTGTGCGACGACTGTCTTCTTGTGGAAGTGAATCCGGTGCCCACATCTCTAAGCTGTGAGTCCACAGCACTTTGACCTGTTCCTGTGCAGAAGGTGGTCTCTGGAAGTGCTACCCAGCTCGCCTAGCCCAGTCGGGGCTGAAGTGGATGAGTCCAGGTGGTGGCACTGGCTCAAGGGCGATGCTGACAGGCAGGTCCTAAAAATATAGCTCTCAAGTGTCAAAGGGCATGTATACAAAGCAAAGCAAAACCAGTTTCACCAACATGGCTCCTGCCTTGGCTCAAGGAATCCTGGGAACTGTAATCCAATAAGGGTGCCAAGAATTCCAAAAGAGGTGCTTGGACTCCTATCATTTGTCTACAGTTCCCAGAGTTCCTAGGGAGAAGGGATGGTTATTAAGCCACTTGAAAGCCACAATGGAATGACATTCTAGAGGGAACGAGCAGAAGAGACACCACAGAAACAGAATCACAGAGAAGGAAGTTTGCACAGCTGCACAGACTCTCTCATTCGACACCTGGCAGCAGTTGTTCCATCAGGCTTTCTTTGAACTGTTTCCATCCCAGCTGGCTGTTTGAAGGACTGTAACTTTAAAACCTGGTGCCTAAACTTGTTTTTCTTCTCCCCCCCCCCCCCAATCCCTGAGGACTGAGCTTTGTAAGCCACTTTGAGAGCTTTTTTAGTTAAAAGAGAGGTAAAAAATGTTTTGGGCATTATGAGGACACTTAATTTATGTATAAGATCTGGCATTGCTTGTTGGGGGGGGGTCCCCACTCTCATGTGCTATGGAAGGAAGGATTCTTGGTTTTACAGTAGTTCTTATTTTTATTATGTTCCGTATTTTGTTTCTTTTATGTTGCATTTTTATGCTGTGAACTGCCCTGAGATCTACAGATGAAGAGCAGTATGTAAATTTAACAAATAATACCAATCTGTTTAAAAAGAGAAGATTCTCACTCACGTGGCTATATTTTTGAAAGGATGAAAGCAGCATGGAAATGTTCTCATGGCTGAAATTCAGGGGTCCCCATGTTCAGAGGTTGCTCCCCCTTTGTCTCCTGTAGCCTGTGATTACATCCCTCTACTCCAGGGATGGAGAACCTCAGGCCTCAGGGCCAAAGGCAGCCCTCTGAGCCTCTCTGTGGGGCTCCCAGGACTCTTCCGGCCACAGGCCCTTCCTAGCCACATCCCCTACTGACTCTGTCTGACTGGACCAGGCCCTTGCACCCTGATCATGCCTCTCACTTGCCTGGTTGGAGACAATGTGCATGTGGAGACCAGGTGAAATTTGCACCCATTGCTCTGTTGACTTTTGCTTCTGGCCCCTCATGCCCCTGGCATGTCCCCCCCCCCCCAAGTTTGCCTGTAAGGGAACGCAGCTGTCCAGTTGGAAAAGGTTTCCCAGAGTTGCTCTGCCCAAAGGCCAAAAAGAGTTACGTACGATGCTCCAGAGTTCATGATACAGTTTTCTGAACCACAGTCACACTTCCTTTCATCGTCATGGTTCATTCCTAGGTTGTGGCCAAGTTCATGAGCAACGATCGATGAAAACATCTGCACACTGATGGGCCCAAACTAGAAAATAACACAAAAAGAACAAGTGCACACAAGTATGTAATAAAAAGGGGTCCAAAAGTTCTGGCTTGGCTTGTTATAGAAACTATTGTGTAATCACTTAGGGGGAAAGTATCACAAGCCTTTGCTCTCTTCTTTCAGCCTTGGGTGATTGAAGTACCAGCACACAAGAAATCAGGCAGAGCAACCCAACTCTCCCCCCCCCCACGCCAGGCTGGGCAAGGAGTGTCTGGATTAGGCAGAGGTGTTCCCCTGCTCTGCTCTCCCAACTGAGCTGGCCTTCCAGCTGCCCCCCAGATGTGTGGCCTTGGAACAGAACATTCTGAGGGAGGGGGATGAGCCAGCTTGGGATCCACAATGGCATTGGGCCCAATTCTCACCCCCGCCCCTTTCACCACAGTTGCCATGAGCAGCTGGGTTGTGAATGCAGCAGTGGTCCTGCCACTCTGCCAAGTCCTAGCAGTGGGAGGGGCGACTTTGGAATATGCCCAAACCAAATGCCCCAAAATAAAAAGAATAAACCCAATGAAAACGGAGCACCTGGATCTCAGCCAGACCCACCACAAACTCCTTTTGCCACAAAGCTAAGTTTCCACCTTTGTTCACTGGAGAAGCAATGGATGTTGTCTTACCACATTAATGCCTCCGGCGTGGCTCTTGGAGCAGACAGTACCCACGTAAGCCATCCCTGCTGTGCCACCAAATGCTTTCTTCCTGAAATTTACACACAGGAAAGAGTGCCATTAGTTTCTGCTGCAAGCAGAATTGTCATCTCCCATTTAAATCCCAAACAGTAATAATAATAATAATAATAATTTATTATTTGTACCCCGCCCATCTGGCTGGGTTTCCCCAGCCACTCTGGGTGGCTTCCATAGAAACCAAAAATACAGTAAAATATCACAGATTAAAAACTTCCCTGAACAGGGCTGCCTTAAGATGTCTTCTAAACATCAGGTAGTTATTTATTGCTTTGACATCTGATGGGAGGGCGTTCCACAGGGCGGGCGCCACTACCGAGAAGGCCCTCTGCCTGGTTCCCTGTAGCTTTGCTTCTCGCAATGAGGGAACCGCCAGAAGGCCCTCAGTGCTGGACCTCAGTATCTGGGCTGAACGATGGGGGTGGAGATGCTCCTTCAGGTATACAGGACCGAGGCCATTTAGGGCCTTAAAGGTCAACACCAGCACTTTGAATTGTGCTCGGAAACGTACTGGGAGCCAATGTAGGTCTTTCAAGACCGGTGTTATGTGGTCTCGGCGGCCGCCCCCAGTCACCAGTCTAGCTGCCGCATTCTGGATTAGTTGTAGTTTCCGAGTCACCTTCAAAGGTAGCCCCACGTAGAGCGCATTGCAGTAGTCCAAGCGGGAGATAACTAGAGCATGCACCACTCTGGCGAGACAGTCTGTGGGCAGGTAGGGTCTCAGCCTGCGTACCAGGTGGAGTTGGTAGACAGCTGCCCTGGATGCAGAATTGACCTGTGCCTCCATGGACAGCTGTGAGTCCAAAATGACTCCCAGGCTGCGCACCTGGTCCTTCAGGGGCACAGTTACCCTATTCAGGACCAGGGAGTCCTCCACACCAGCCCGCCCCTGTCCCCCAAAAACAATACTTCTGTCTTGTCAGGATTCAACTTCAATCCATTAGCCGCCATCCATCCTCCAACCGCCTCCAGGCACTCACACAGGACCTTCACCGCCTTCACTGGTTCTGATTTGAAAGAGAGGTAGAGCTGGGTATCATCTGCATATTGATGGACACCCAGTCCAAATCCCCTGATGATCTCTCCCAGCGGCTTCATATAGATGTTAAAAAGCATGGGGGAGAGGACGGAACCCTGAGGCACCCCACAAGTGAGGGCCCAGGGGTCTGAACACTCATCCCCCCCCCACCACTTTCTGAACACGGCCCAGGAGGAAGGAGCGAAACCACTGTATAACAGCTCCCAGCCCCTCTAGATGGTCCAGAAGGATGTTATGGTCGATTGTATCAAAGGCCGCTGAGAGATCCAGCAGAACCAGGAAACAACTCTCACCTTTGTCCCTAGCTCGCCGGAGATCATCAACCAGCGCGACCAAGGCAGTTTCAGTCCCATGGTGAGGCCTGAATCCCGATTGGAAGGGATCCAAATGGTCCGCATCCTCCAAGCGTGCCTGGAATTGTTCAGCAACCACGCGCTCAATCACCTTGCCCAAGAATGGAAGATTTGAGACTGGGCGATAGTTGGCCATACTGGCCGGGTCCAAAGATGGTTTTTTAAGAAGCGGTTTAATGACCGCCTCTTTCAGCGGATCTGGGAATGTTCCCTCACAGAGGGAAGCATTCACCACCCCGCAGAGCCCATCGCCCAGCCCTTCCCGGCTTGCTTTTATTAGCCAGGATGGGCAAGGATCAAGGAGACAGGTGGTTGGTTTCATGCGTCCAAGCAGCCTGTCCACATCCTCGGGGGTAACGGATTGAAATTGATTCCATGCAACTTGACCAGACAGAGCTCTAGCACTCTCCCGCCCCGGCCCTGCTCCCACGGTGGTGTCTAGCTCCTTCTGAATATGAGTGATTTTATCTGCAAAAAACTTTGCAAAATTGTTGCAGGAGATCTTGGGGTCTTTACAAGGCCCCAGTGGTAAAGGTGGTTCCGTTAAATTGCAAACCACCTGAAAGAGTCTCCTGCTACTATTTTCTGCAGATGCAATAGAGGCGGTGAAGAAAGTCTTCTTCGCCGTTGCTATCGCCACTTGGTAGGCTCGACGTTGAGCTCTAACCTGTGTCCGGTCAGATTTGGAGTGAGTTTTCTGCCACCGACGCTCTAGCCGTCTCAGCGATTGTTTCATCGCCCACAGCTCCGAAGAAAACCACGGGGCTGTCCGGGCTCCATGCAATCGGAGAGGGCGCTTCGGAGCCAGACAGTCGATAGCCCAGGTTAACTCTGCATTCCAGCGGGCCACCAGGGAATCAGCTGAAAGGCCATCAACATGGGCTAAAGCATCCCCTACCACTCTCTGGAAACCATTTGGATCCATTAAGTGGCGGGGGCGGACCATCCGAATTGGTCCCACCTCCCTGCAGAGGGGAAGGGTCGCGGAGAAGTCCAGTTGCACCAGGAAGTGATCTGACCATGGCACTTCTTTTGTTCCACTTTTACTTAGTGTCAGATCACCCACGTCACTAGAGGTGAACACCAGGTCTAAGGCATGTCCATGACTATGAGTTGGGCCAAAGTTATTCAGGGACAGCCCCATGGAGGCCATGCTTTCCACGAAGTCCCGAGCGGCCCCTTGTAAGGTCGTGTCGGCATGGATGTTAAAATCCCCTAGGACAACCAAACTAGGTGTCTCCAGGAGAACATCCGCCACAACCTGAAGCAGCTCGGGCAGGGAATCCTTGGTGCAGCGGGGAGGTTGGTACACCAAAAGGAATCCTGCACTGCCCCTATTGCCCAACTTCCAGAACATGCACTCAGAGAACTGGATCTTCCCAGTAGAACGCCTGGTGCAAGCTAGTGACTTCCTAAAAATCACTGCCACCCCCCCTCCCCACCCACATGACCTGGGTTGCTGTGCGTAAGAGAAACCTGGTGGGCAAGCAGCGGCAAGGACAGGCCCATCTGCTTCCTCCAACCAGGTCTCTGTCACACATGCCAGGTCAAATCCTCCATCCACAATCAAGTCGTGGATGGCAGTGGTTTTATTCATCATTGACCTGGCATTGCACAGCAACACTTTCAGGTCATGTGGGTTTCCCTTGTTGATTCCAGTATCCAGCAAAGAGCGGGGGTAAGGTCACTTTCAGTGTCTGGGCACTAGCTAAAAGGAGAATCACATTCTTAATAAAAGCCTTTAAAACAATGTGGAAATGGGGGGGGGGGGGGAGTCAGGATAAGCAAATAAGTTTAAAATATTCAAGACTAGGAATAGTAAACAAACCAACAAAGTATATATACATACATGTGCATGCATGCATCTATTAGCACCCCCTAACAACAACAACAACAACAATTTTATTATTTATACCCCACCCATCTGGCTGGGTTTCCTCAGCCACTCTGGGTGGCTTCCAGCGGTCTGGATTAGTTGTAGTTTCCAGGTAACCTTCAAAGGTAACCCCACATAGAGCGCGTTGCAGTAGTCCAAGCATGCATCACTCTGGCAAGACAGTTTGCAGGCAGGTAGGGTCTCAGCCTGCATACCAGATGGAGCTGGTAGATAGTCGCCCTGGACACAGAATTAACCTGTGCCTCCATGGACAGCTGTGAGTCCAAATTTACTCCCAGGCTGCGTACCAGGGGCACAGCTACCCCTTTCAGGACCAGGGAGTAACCCACACCAGCCCGCCCCGTCCCCCAAGAACAGTACTTCTGTCTTGTCAGGATTCAACATCAATCTGTTAGCTGCCATTCATCCTTCAACCGCTTCCAGATACTCACACAGGACATTCACCACTGTCAGTGTTTCTGATTTGAAGGAGAGGCAAACCCCCTTGATCTCTCCCAGCGGCTTCAAGTAGATGTTAAAAAGCATGGGAGAGAGGACAGTACCCTGAAGCACCCCACAACTGAGAGCCAAGGGGTCTGAACACTCATCCCCCAACACCACTTTCTGAACACGGCCCAGGAGAAAGGAGCGGAACCACTGTATTACAGTGCCCCTAGCTCCCAACTCCTCAAGACTGTCCAAAAGGATACCATGTTCAATTGGATCAAAGGCCACTGAGAGATCCAGCAGGACCAGGAAACAGCTTTCACCTCTGTCCCTGGCTGGCTGAAGTTCACTGACCAGCATGACCAAGGAAGTTTCAGTGCCATGGTGGGGCCTGAATCCCAATTGGAAGGGATCCAAATGGTCCGCATCCTCCAGGCGTGCTTGTTCAGCAACCACTCGCTCAATCACCTTGCCCAAGAATGGTAGCTTTGAGACTGGGAAATAGTTGGCCATATTGGCTGGGTCTAAAGATGTTTTTTTAAGAAGTGGTTTAATGACCACCTCTTTCAGCGGGTCTGGGAAGGCTCCCTCGCAGAGGGAAGCATTCACCATCCCGCAGAGGCCATTGCCCAGCCCTTCCCGGCTCGCTTTTATGAGCCAGGATGGGCAAGAATCAAGGAGACAGGTGGTCGGTTTCACTCTTCCAAGCAGCCTGTCCACATCCTCGGAGGTCACAGATTGGAATTGATCCCATACAACTTGACCAGACAGAACTCTAGCACTCTCCCACCCTAGCCCTGCTTCCACAGTGGAGTCTATCTCTTTCCAAATCTGAGCAACTTTATTTGCAGAAACCTTTGCAAAATCATTGCAGGAGATCTTGGGGTCCTTACAAGGCCTCAATGGTGAAAGTGGTTCCATTAGATTGTGAATCACCTGAGTCTCCTGCTGCTTTTTTCTGCAGAGGCAATAGAGATGGTGAAGATTTGCCATCGCTATCACCACTTAGTAGGTTCAACATTGAGCTTTAACCTGTGTCCAGTCCCAATTCAGAATGAGTTTTCCACCACTGGTGCTCTAGCTGTCAGCTCTGGGGGAAACCAGGGGGCTGTTGTTAAAGCGCAATCAGAGAGGGCACTTCAGAGCCAGTCAGTCAATAGCCCTTGTTATCTCTGCATTCCAGCTGGCCACCAGTGAATCAGCTGAAAGGCCATCAACGTGAATGTATGTGAGGACCAATTAACGTTTGTTGGCTTTCAAGAAGCTCTGTGAAAATGATTGATAGAAATATTGCTTAAAAGAGATGATAAGACTAAGATTGTTAAAGCGCAATATAAACTTAAGAAATGCGAGTAATTGTGATAATATGGAAATTGTCAGATAGGCTGGGGGAAGTCTAAAAGATGTAGATGTTAGAAATGGATGTAAAACATGGATGGAATGTATATTGGAAACTGAATAAAAATTAATTATATATAAAAAAGGCCATCAACGTGGATAAGGCATCCCCTATCACTCTTTGGAAACCATTTGGTTCCATTAAATGGGGGGAGGGGGTGGACCATCCGAATTGGTCCCACTTTCCTGCGTGGGGGGTGGGGGGAAGGGTCGCGGAGAAGTCTAGTGGCATCAGAAAGTGACCCGACCGGGGCCACTAGGGGGAGCATTGGAAGATGGCTGACAATAACATCTCTCCGACCCACACGAGGTAATTTGGAGGCTATGATGGGGGTAATTAGCCTCCTTAACCCCCCCAGGATTGTGGGGGGGGACGGCCCTTGCCTGCTGTGCCCTATACCACCCCCGAATTTGTGGGGGTGGGGGCACTAGGCACAAAGCCCTCCTGTGGGATTTCGGCACTCCTGAACGCCGTCCCTGATTCGCGCCACTAGATGCAGAACTTCAAAGGAAACAATTTGGATGAAAGGAATGCACATATTTCAAGAAAGAAGGGGGAGTAAAGACTGCTAACAGAAGAGATCTCTGACAAAACAAGATAAGAATAAAACATGAGAAGATACGCCAAGACAAGGTACGGCAAATGACTGTTGGGGAGGGGAAAAAAAACTCTTCCTTCTTTCCCTATGTGATTAAACAAGAATCCCCTCCCCCCATGAGTCAGAAATGTCATTTTAAGGACTTAAGCTGTGGATTTAAGGCTGTGTGGAGATAAACTTTCGAACCAAAGCACGTTTTAAGAAGAGCGTGGAATGTGTAAGAGCTTGGGAATGACGCAGTTAAAAATGCCGTCGCCATATTGGGAAGTTCTGTCGGAGGTCTTGAGTCTGGGAGGAGAAAGAGAGAAATAGAGCTGTTTATCTATTGTGGGTTAAACCCCTCAGTGGGACTTAAGAGCGACAGTTTTACGAGACTATGATGGAAAGAGTGATGTTATCTATGAAGGAGACGATATATGGAAACCATCTCGATTTGAGGACTGGAAAAACGGAAAATTCACACAGGACTATTATTACTATTGGTGTTTATCGGCTTAAGGAGACTATCAGAAGAGATCATAAAGAAAAAAGAGAAAATATATGAACAAGATGTGATGTGGAAACAGCAAGATAAGATGGGATAGAACTATGAACTTTGTTTGGACTGATTTGGACTGATTGGGACATTAACGCAGCAGCAAGAAGATGATCAGAATTCGGCTTTGTAATTCGGAATTTATGTGATATGATTTAATTTGATGTGATTGGCCAGTTAATAAAAATTATTAAAAAAAAGAAAGAAAGAAAGTGACCCGACCATGGCATTTCTTTTGTTTCACCAAAACCTTGCAGGAGTGCAATGAATTATATTTGAGGGAAGCACTAACTCATTCCGTTAGTGGAAGGGGTAATATGTGCAAAGCTGGGTGCCCCACCGGCGGCTTCATTTTGCACTATCTGCAGCTCCCAAATCAGGTGGTATTGTCACGTACAGCTGATCTATAGCACTGCAGCATTTTATAATTGACTATAATTGTTGTTAGCGACTCTGGTTTGTGCACAAGCATAAGAAGGGGTGGGATAAATATTTGCACAACTTCCATCATCCACCTCTTTTTGAAGTTCAGGGAAAAGAGTAGGAGGAAAACCCCCATAGATCTTACAGAACAAACTGTGCACTGTCATGTCTTTGGCGCGGGACAAGCTCCTGCTCTCGCCACTGCACAAAGTTGGCAAGAACATCTCCTGCACCTCCTTCCAGGCGGATCTTGTTTTCCTGAGTCCAGATCTCCAAGCCAACCAACACAATGCGGATGTTCAGTGCTATGTACATCTGGAAAGCAGAGAGAAGAAAGGAGCAAGTAAGAGAGGGCTGGGGAATGTTTTCTATCCCAAGGGCCCCATTCCCTCAGAGGTAACCTTCCAAGGGCCACACAGCAGACAGGATCCTAGCCAAAAGTGGGTGAGGCAGAGGCAAAAGGGCAGAGAGTAACAGGGGTGACTCACTGTTGTGCAGTATTAGGCTCTGTTCCAGTTATAGAAGCGTCAGATGTTTCAGCACTCACCCTGCAACCACGGCTCTCCATCCTGCACCCAGACAAGCAGGAGGCATTACTTAGGACAAGGACACCGCACAGAGCCTGTCAGGGCAGCCACCTTTGGACCCATGAAATTCTCCAGGAACAGAATGCATGCAAGCATGTAGAATCTCTTCCGAGGAGCATTTTAAAAGCTTTTTTTTTTTTTTTTTACCATGCAGACACAGTAAACTAACTAGCAGCTCCAAGCAGCTGTGAAATGTTTAAAGAGAATCATGTGTCCCCATGCCCCATTGCCATCCTCACCCCCTGTGCACACTGAATAGAGAATGGAAGCTGTAATGGATTTAGGGGTTGCTCGTGCGTAAGTTGCTGCCACTGCTGGCGAGGTTACCTGGTTAAACCCTTTCTGACTGAACAGCCTCCAGCATTGTGACTGTCTCAGTCGCTGGCAGAATCCGTCAGTGGGCATTTCTTAAACCTTTTCCAGCATAAAAGTTGTTTGACGCCAAGTCTCCTCCTACTCTTCTGCGCAGGGAGGGTGTGGGCAGCGGAGTACCCGTACTCTCTCCGCTGGTCTCCGGCGAGGAGTCTTGGAGCCTCCTCTCCGATTCCCCCATCTGCCCCCCTTCACCACTGGTGTTACGCTGATTTCCTTCCCCAGCAGATGGGCTGCCTCTCTCCCTACTGGGACCCTCTCCTGCATCCCTTTGGAGCCTTCCCTCCGCCTCTAGCTCCGATGGCAGTTCCCGGACAGAAGCTCATCAGGAAGCACACATAGAGCCATTCCACATTGAAAGGCCTGGACAAAGGGAGGGATCCCAAAAAAGAAAACCAAAAAGATAATACAGCTGGATGCCAAGCAAGTCTTCCTTGGCAAGGCATTCTAGAAACCTCAAAATCACATATTTCAGTTGTCATCCTAATTATTATGTTTCAAATGCATGGCACACACAACAAAACTGCTGCACCTTGAACTGGGTGTGGAGAGGGCAGCTGAATGGGACACAGCTGTGGGCAGCCTGAGGCAGGAGCTGCCATCTTGAGCTGCCCGTAAAAAGCAAGTCTAGAGTGAGAGACTAGGGCAAAGTCTGCTGCTTCCAGGAGCTCTTCTCATTGTGAGACTTTTGTGGGTGAGCTGAGAGTTGATTTGGACCCTGGGTGAGAACAGGGTTACAATGTTACATTGTTATTGGCCTCTGTCTGTCTCAAGAGACACTGGAGTGTATCTCCAGGGGTGATGTCAAACCGCTGTGTTAGCAGCACTAAAGTGACCTCCGCAAGACACAACCCTGAGCAGTGTGCCTGGAAGTCCTGGGCTGCCCAGACGTCAAGATCCCCCTCTCAGCCTCACTGATGGGGTCCAAAGGAAGGCAGAGCAAGACATTTGGCCCAGCTGGGCTGCAGTAGTAGCTGGAAGGAGGTGTACAAGGTGCCACCCAACCGTCTTAGGGACTCCACTCCGGATTTCTGTAGGGTATCCTCCTGAGCCTTTCCTTCTCCCAAAGATATCCCGCAAGGCAGCAGAGGTTTAGGATCAGAGTTTTCCTTCCCCTGGATGGGCTCCCTTCCCAGGTGGACAAGCCCCATGTGCCCCTCACTTCCCTCTCCAGCACATGCAGAAACCACCTTCTTGACCGTTGGACCCACTCTTGACCTCATTTGCTCCATCCGCCAGAGCCTGTCTTTGCACGCAGGGAAGACTTTAACTCACCAAGGGTGTATCAGAAGGAAGATGTTGATTTTATATATATATATATATATATATATATATATATATATAAGTAACTTTGTATTGACATAACATTTTGAACTGTGTATTTTTGAAATATTTTGTTTAAGTTGTCCGTTGTTGCTTCAGTTTTTTGCACAGTTTTTTGGTATAGAAATGAAATAATAAATAATCACACCACTTTGAAGAAAGGGGCAGGTAAAAGTAAAAGGAATCAAAATACATGCATATTTTGGCACAATTCATCAACTCTGAGTATCATAAAGCTTTCACTTACACTATCCAGGTAGTTGACCAAATGCACCATCTCTTCTGTAACAGCAGTTTTATTCTGGCCCATCAGCTGATACTGCAAGAAAAGCAAACATTTTTGCACGGACAGAAAATGGGACAATGAAGAAAACAAACAACAGAACAGTGCCAGCAATTTCAGAGCCTTGTGCTTTAAAAAGTTGGCTAAGGCCAAAAGTGTGCTTAACAGATTTTGGATGTTGCCAATCTCCAGAATGGAATCATGGAGTTGGTGCAGGTTTAGAAGTAAAGATAGAAAATTTTGAATGGTCTGCATTTTCTTCCCTGCTGTCTCCCATCCATGCAAGGACCCCTAACTGTTAAGTCCAGTCGTGAACAACTCTGGGGTTGTGGCGCTCATCTCGCTTTACTGGCCGAGGGAGCCAACGTTTGTCTGCAGACAGTTTTTCCAGGTCATGTGGCCAACATAACTAAGCCGCTTCTGGCGAAACCAGAGCAGCACACGGAAGCACTGTTTACCTTCCCGCTGGAGCAGTACCTATTTATCTACTTGCACTTTGACATGCTTTCGAACTGCTAGGTTGGCAGGAGCTGGGACAGAGCAATGGGAGCTCACCTCATCGCAGGGATTCAAACTGCCAACCTTCCGATCGGTAAGCCCTAGGCTCAGTGCTTTAGACCACAGCACCACCGGCATCCCTCATCCATGCAAGACTTCATAGCAAAACCCAAGAATTTTAGGGCTTTGGGAAAAGGAGTCTCAGCTGACAATTTGGGAACACAGTGACTTAAAGGAAAACAATGTTTATGTAGGGATGGGAATGGGAAGTGACCAGTCATAGTGGGAAGGGGTGGAGCCAATGGGGTGTTCTCCAGTGGCTCAGGGATGGGGTGAGGGTGGCTCATCCCCCAAAATCTGCAGTTCAGCTGCACACATTCTGTTAGTACAAGAGCAGGGTCCATACCCTTTCTTTGTCCACGACTATAAAGAGCTCCACATATCTTGTCTGTAGGAGGATGCCTCTTTTTCTCTGCAAGGAAAGGGAGGGAAAGGGTGTAAGAAACAAAATCTTATCCCCTGACTCATAAGTTAAAAATGGAGTGATGTCACTCTGATCCATATTCCGCTTTTCTGCTCACACCACAACTACTCTACTGGGGAAACATACCCAAGACACAGAGTGCCAAGGCTTTCCAAAGAAAAGGCAACAATTCTCTTTTGTATCAGAATCTGGCCAGGATACACTCAGTCTGACCAAACAAAACAAGAACATGAGAAATATTTAAAGCTCATTTGTTTATTTTTATGACTTAAAATATTTATATTCCACTTTTCAATTCACAGACAAAAATTTGAAGGCGGAATTAAGCATGCATTATTCACATCCAGGTAATTTTAGGATTTCATCTCAAACTGGGGGGAGGGGAGAAGAGTGATGGCAGCTGGAATCTAACATCTGGAGGGCCACAGGTTCCCCATTCTGTTTTTAGCTCTCATGGGCAGTGATCAGAACAAGATGAACAGAATATTGAGCACCCCAGAGCAGAGATTCATTGCCCCTACAAACATCTGTCTCATGGCTCTGTCTCTATGGCTCCTTGCACTCCTTTCCCTCAGTGCTACCCAAGCCACCTCTTAGGGTTAGACCCAATTAAGTTCTACTTAAAGTAGACCCATTGAAAGGAGTGTAACTAAGTTAGGCATAAACCTCAGTGGGTCTACTCTGAGTAGGGCAAGAATTGGCTACAACCCTTAGAATTTGCTCAGACCTTCAAGGTCATCACAGGACACTCACTCTCAGCCGCTGAGTCTCGCTGTCGGGGTGCTGAGGATGTCTTCCTCCCCACTTTTCTCCAGGAAGCTGGCACCGCATGTGATCCTCATCTACCTTCACGTTCTTCAACTGGTAGATAACGTGTTTGGTGCCTGAGGGCGGATCCAGAGGCTCAATTCCATAGCTGATGCTCTCAATTTGCAATAATCCCCTAGCAATGACATTAATTCATGTGTCAGAATCCCTGGGATGCATTCAGCATAGTGCTAAGAAGATCGTTCTGCCCGCACAAGCATTCCGCTTGCCTGACAGAACCATCTCCCCTCCCCATCTCTCCGTGTGCTGTTCTGGGGGTTCTCTTGACCCCCCAGAGTGGATTTGATTTGGGGGAAGTCCCATTATACCATAGGCCTCATTGCTTGAATACAGCCCATTGCTCCCAGAGTATGTGCTGGGATGGGTGAGGATCCTAAACGAAAGCACTCACCTCTGTGGAAAGGAAACCAGGCTTCTGATTCAAACGTGCAAAAACAGCATGAAACACTGTATAGTCCTTCCTGGACAGTATTACAGTACTTCAAACTGCAGGTTCAGAAAAGGGCAACCAACAGGACTTTTATATGCACAAAGGTGGAAGGACTCATTATTATCAACAATGGAAGAATGGCTGTTAAAACTAACAGACTTAGCTGAGATGGAGAAACTGACATGTTTAATCAGAGAAAAGTCATTGTTAATATTTGCTAAAGATTGGAACCCTCTCATGAACTTTTTGCATGAAAAAGAAATAATGATATTTGGATTTGAGGATTGAAGATGATGTTTGTTTTAAAAAGTGGCTTTGTGAGGTGTTATGCTAGATTGGACAAAGTGAATGGTGTTTTTACATAGCGGAAATGAGGAAGAATAAGAAGTTCTTTTCATTCTGAATCTTATTTCTCTCTCTTCCTCTTTTAACCTCTTTTCTATTCCTTTTTTAAAATTTCTTTTTCTTTCACCTCCCCCCCCCCTTTTGCGTTTCTATTGTATCTAGATAAAAATTCTGGTTTGTTTTTTTTTTAAAAAAAGGGAGAAGATCTTAAGCTGCATATTTCTCTCCATAAACCTTAATAAAATTTATTATAAAAATAAAAGGGTAACCAAAATAATCAATGGGATGGAGGCTTCCTGTTTCCGGTGGTGAGAAATGGCTGACTCCGATATGATCGGATCCCAGCCGTGCCGGTAATTCAGGGCTGATATGGGGGTAATTAGCCCTGGCAGACTCCCCAGGGTGGGGGAAGACTGTCTCATAGACCCACAGATTGTCCTAAATTGTCAGCTTGCATCAAGGTGCAAGCGGCATGAAATTGGGTCCCAGAGCACGACACGGCTGGCACTCTCTGAAATCCCTCTCATAGCCGGAAATATCTGTTTGATAAAATAATTGGATTTGGACAACAAACAGACATAGTCTGGACCGAAGAAGGCTAAGAAAAAACCTGCAGAACTGTACAGCCCCTGGTGTTTAAGCTCGGACTTCAAAGAGATTCTCATCATGGCGCATGGATTACGGAGGTGTTTGGTACGTCCTTTTTCTCTTCTTAATATCTACAATTGGTTTTCTATGCCAAGCCTCATCAAGAAACTTTTTTTTTTTAAAGAGTACAGATGGAGTTCTATTAATAATTAAGTATTCAACTGTGCAGCTCTACTCGGACTTGAAATACTTGATAAAGATGAAAGAAGAAACAAGATGGCGCTTGTTAATATGACGCAGCACGGAAAAATGAGAATTCCTCTCCTTTTCAAGGGAAGCAGGAAATATTTGCTGACTGACTTTGTAATGACTTGAGATAAGAATTTGGGACAACATATAGTGCATCTTTTTGCAGAAGTTTATCATTATGAGTGAGAGAGAAGGCTGAATGGATGTCTAGGGCCTGGAGGGGGGGATTGTGTGGTCTCTGAGAGGCTGATCGATCGCCAAATGACTTATATCTGTGGAATACAGTTCATTTACATTGCAATATTGCAAACAGTCTGCCCAACAATCTATAGTAACAACTCAACAACGTGGAAGGTACTGTGTCATATCAAAAGAAAGGTTTGGACAACAGCCCGGATTGGAGTGACTTAACAACTTGGGAGCTGCTGCGTCGTTAAACTTCAAAGGATAAACATGGACAACAGCCTGGATTGGAAGATTGGAATGAAGTCAGGAAAAGCTGCGCTGCTAAATAGACAATTTAAAAAAAATATATTTACAAATAAAGCTGTATTCAATGGATGAAAGGATATATGATTTTTGACATGACTGAGAATCGCATAGCCAGGGATGGAGAACTTTAAAGTGTTAAGATCAGAAGGTGGAAAATATGAAAGCAAACAGAAGAGGAAGGAATGAAGATTTGGAGAAATGCTTCAGAGGTCCAGACTATGGGGAGCCCAGAAAAATTAATAATTACAATTTGGATTACAATTTGGTTTTTTAAATTTTATTTTATTATTTTAATTGGATTATGATTAAGATATTTTGATTGGCTGTTTTTATTGGAAAACCAATAAAAATGTTTTTTTTAAAAAATTGATGGGATGGAGTGAGTCTCCCAAGAAGAAAGTTTGCAGCCTCTGGGACCTTTTCATTTAGAGAAAAGGCAAGCAACTGGTGACATAACAGAAGTTTATAAAAATTATGTGTGATATGGAAAAAGTGGACAGAGAATGTTTTTCTTCCTCTCTCATTACAACTCTCTCATTACAACTCAGTGAAGCTGAATGTTGGAAGATTCAGGACAGATAAAAGAAAGGGCTTCTTCCTGCAGTGCAGAGTTCTGCTACGGAATCCACTCCCACAAGAGCAGGGGTGGCCACCAACTGGGATGGTTTTAAAAGAGGATGAGATAAATTCATGGCCTGATCCTGCCATCTTCGTTTCTTATGGAGTGTGCCTGTTGAATGCTGGGTCACGCACATGCACCAACCAAGCCTACCCACATATGAAAATCTAGCATGCCAGGGAGAATTCCCTCTCACTGAGAAGCTAGCTGTTCTATATGCTCTTCAGCTATTGGTTTGTATTTTATTTTATTTTATTTATCCCCAAGTGATGTACATAATGAAATTATCAGTAAAACACTGTACTGTCAGGCTGGATAATGGGAGGCCAGGGTCCAAATGCCCACTTAGCCATGAAACTCCCCAACTGATTCTAAACCAATTGCCATTTCTAAGCCTAACCAACTTAACAGGGCTGGCATGAGGATCAGATGGGAGGGCAGGCAGGAGAACCACTTCCGCCTCCTCGAGAGCCTCAGTAGAAAGGCCAGCTGCTCGCCTGCTCTGGAGGATTCAATTTACAAAAAAGGAGATTCCATGTAAACACCAGGAAGAACTTTCTGTTTCACTCTCTTGGGAAGTTGTGGGCTCTCATTCCTTGGAGATTTTCAAGGAGAGGTTGGATAGTCACCTACCATGGATGCTTTAGTTGAGACTCCTACACTGCAGTGGGTCGGACTAGATGTCCCATGAGGTCCCTTCCAACTCTACAATCAATCGTTCTATGAAATACATTTAATTAATCAGCGGCTAATGGCGGAGTTCCTCTAAGCAGAGGAGCTAGCTTCGCGAAAATCGGGTCGTCCACTACGGCGAAAGCGGAGACCCGTCAGAAATCTCAGGTGGGAGAAGCCTGAGAACGTGGGGGTTCGGCAGGGCACCTGGAGCGCCCCCCTACTCGTGGGGAATCCTTTTTTTTTAAGGGATCCGGAGCGAGTGGGGTGAGTGGCGCGGTGCTGCGAACTGAATGCTACTTTCGCGGAGTGAAGCCGCGCAGCCATTGCCGGGGAGCGCTGACCTTTTTCCTGTGGATATTTGGATCTAAAGCAACTACCTGTGAGTAAAGTGAAGGAATTGGACTTTTAACAGTTGAATTCGGCTACGAACGGGGGAGGCGTAAAACAGGAAGTCCGCCTTCCTTTTTCTGTAAATAGTGGGAAGCAAGGAGCTTTAAACTAAAGCCTGAAAGACTGCCTTTGACATTTTAATCTTCAGCATAAAACTAGTGAACCCCCCTTGGTCGCAGGGGAAAAAGGGGGGAATTTCTGGACATTACTTCCTTGCAGGAAAAGAGAGTAAAAGTTAATGTTCCATCGCTCGGAACCTGGGAACGGCAGCCATTAAAATCGCTGCATTGTGGAGCTCCGCATTGACTGTGAATAGACCAACTAACTGTCAGTGAGTGAAACACTGTCTCAACTATCTTCTCTTGGCTTAAGAGTTACAACTTTGCTCTTGAACTAAAAAGCTTGTTACTAAATATACTGCTATAACTTGTTAGAGTAACTTTAAAGAGGAAAATAAAAAGAAAAGGATACTGTGGACTAATAATACAAGCACCAACTACTTCCCTCTAGAGGAGGATTTTGAAACTGTCATAAGGAGTGGAATTTCCCAGCCTCAAAGACAAAACCCTGGGAATTGTATTTGACCTTGAGAGCCTGGTGTGTTATGGCAGATGGGAAGGGAAAAATAGATTTATCACAGGAAAAGACAACTAGATCCGGCAGAATCTTTCGGAGAGCCTCTACATCTGGCCCTTCTGCTCCCTCTGCAGCTGTGTCAATGTATACTAAATCAAAAGGAGGAATGCCCTCGGAAGAAGATTGGGCTCTTGTTTTAAGTAAAATCAACAGTTCTTTGGAACAAATGAATAAAAAATTGGATCAAAATTCACAAAAATTGGACCAAAACACACAAAGTATAAAAAGTTTGGAACAAAAAGTCAGTTCTAATACAGAAGCTATTGAGACACTAGTTAAGGAATCCAACTCAACTAGACAGACTGCAGAGGAAGCTAAGGAAAAGATTGCTACGGTAGAAGCGAAAGTAGCTCAATTGGAAACAGAGGTCCCGGACGTGTGGAAACAAGTACATGACCAAAAACAGATGCTTTCTATGTATGAGCTCAAGGAGAAACAGATAAATTTGAGAATTCGGGGAGTACCTGAACTAGAAAAAGACTCCTTGATAGACTTTCTTACAGAGGAATTCGCAACCTTTTGGAAACGGGACCTACAAAAAGAGGAGTTTGAAATTGTGAGAGCCTTCAGATTGGGAAGAGGTGGGAAGAAGGAGAAGAACAGAATAAGAGACTGTTTGATTACACTTAGATCGAAGGAAGAGAGGGACAAAATTTTGAATTGGCATTACGAGGAGGCCTTGACAATACACAAATTTAGAGTGGAGATATTTAAAGCTATTCCCAAATATCTCTTGGATTTGAGATTCAATTATAGAGATTTTGTTGATCTGTTGAGAAGGAACAGAATTAACTTTCGGTGGGAATTCCCTCAAGGCCTATCTTTCAGCTTTAAAGGAAGAAAAATAAAGATAAGATCATTGGAGGATAAAATAAAGTTCTTGCACAACTACGAAGAAGACCTACAGAAGGGAATCGGAAAAGAGCCAACATCACCGGAAAGAGGGTCACCAGACAGAGGATTGGAGCAAAGAGTACGGAAGAGAGCATCACCAAAAAAAGATACTTTGGATACTTTGGACATTTCATCATTGTCTTTTGGACTGGACCCCCCCGACAAGGAGTTAACGTTATTACCAACAGAAGAGGAACAAGAGCTGGGGGCAGTAGGGGGGGCACCAAAGTAGCTACAGGATGACGCTCCAGGCCCTGAGTTGGAATGTCCATGGCCTCAACATTTCGGAGAAAAGGCGACGAGTGTTTCATTTATTGAAAAAAGAACAATTGGACTTAATTTGTCTACAAGAAACACATGTGACAAGACTACACAGGAAATTATTAAGTAATAAGAAATTAGGCCAAGAAATTTCATCAGATAAAGTCAAAAAAAGAGGAGTGGTACTCTATGCAAAGGAGAACCTATCACCCAAATTTATCTTCAAAGATGAACAAGGAAGACTGGTAGCAATTGAAATTCAATTACAAGGAGATAGATATTTGGTGATAGGTATCTATGCACCAAATGAAGGGAAATCGGAATTCTTCAAAAAGCTACACGAAATCTTGATGGATTACATGGATTATAACATGATTTTGATGGGAGACATGAATGGTGTCGTATCTACAAATATGGACAAGGCGCAAAGACAAACAATTACCAAGGATGGAAGACTACCAAAAACATTTTTTGATATGACTGATAACTTGGACTTGATTGACGTTTAGAGAATGAAGAATCCCCTGGGAAGAGAGGGAACTTTCTTCTCGGAGGCAAAAATGACATGGACAAGAATCGACCAAATCTGGGTAATTAGAGGACTGGCCCCAAAGATCAGCAAGGCTGAAATTTGCCCAAAAACCTGCTCTGACCACAATGCGGTGAAGATGGAAATGAAATTAATGCCAATTGGTTCCTTCAGATGGAGGATGAATGACTCTTTATTCAGGAATGATGAATTTATTAAAAAGGCCCAAAAAACTTTGAAAGATTATTTTGAGATAAATATGAATACTTCAGTGGAAAAAAGAGTAATCTGGGACGCAAGTAAAGCCGTAATGAGAGGTTTTTTGATACAACAGAAGGCAATTAAGAAGAAAAGGCAAAATGAGAAAAAAGACAAAATTATGGAAAAAATAAAGGAAGGAGAGAAGAAATTGAGGGTGAAACCAAAGTCCCAGGACATCTTAAAAGAAATAAAGTTTTATCAAGTACAATATATGAAATTGATGAACCAGGAAACAGAATGGAAGATTAAACAGATGAGACAAAAGACATTTGAATCGGCAAATAAGTGTGGGAAACTGCTGACTTGGCAATTGAAAAAAAGACAAAAATTAAATACTATTACGAATCTGGAAGTGGAAGGAAAGAATATACAGAATCCAGTTGAAATTAGAAGGTGCTTCCAGAGGTATTTTAAACAATTATATACACAAGAAAAGCAGAACGAAATGGACATTGATAAATTCTTGAAAATAAATGGACTTCAAAAAATTTCCCAAGTAAACAAATTAATGTTGGATTACAAAATAACGGATCAGGAAGTAGAAGGGGCCATTCAGAATATGCAACTAGGTAAATCTCCAGGACCGGATGGACTGACCTCTAGATACTATAGAACTTTGAAAGAATGGTTAATACAACCATTAAAGGAAGTCTGCAATGAAATATTGGAAGAGAAAAGGGCACCTGAATCGTGGAAAGAAGCATATATTACACTCATACCAAAATCAGAGTCTGAAAAGACGCAACTTAAGAATTACTGCCCCATATCACTTCTTAATGTGGATTACAAAATTTTTGCAGATATTTTGGCTAAAAGACTAAAAAAGGTGTTAGCAGAAGAAATTCATAAAGACCAAGCGGGTTTTCTCCCGGGCAGGCATTTGTCTGATAATACGAGGAATATAATTAACATTTTAGAAAAGCTACAAGTGAAGATTAATACCAAAGCAGTTTTGATTTTTGTGGACGTGGAGAAAGCCTTTGACAATATTTCCTGGAGTTTTATGAAGAAGAATTTATTAGGGATGGGGGTTGGTAAAAGTTTTGGAAATGGTATAGGTGCAATTTATTCAGAACAAAGGGCTAAACTAATTGTGAATAATGTAGTGACGGAAGAATTTAGGATTGAGAAAGGAACACGACAAGGTTGCCCAATTTCTCCATTGCTTTTTATTTCGGTCCTGGAGGTTTTGCTAAATATGATTAGAAGGGACAAATTGGTTAAAGGTATACAAGTGGGTTCTAAACAGTACAAATTGAAAGCATTTGCAGATGATTTAGTACTGACTTTACAGGAGCCGGAATTGAGCACAAAAAGAGTATTATGATTGATTCAAGAATTTGGTCAGGTAGCAGGTTTTAAGTTGAATAAGATGAAAACTAAAGTCCTGGAGAAAAATCTGAATGTGATTGAGAGAGAGAAGTTTCAGAGAGAGACAGGTTTGACACTGGTTAAGAAAGTGAAATACTTAGGGGTTAATATGACTGCTAAAAATGTGAATTTATACAAGGATAACTATGAAAAATGTTGGACTGAAGTGAAAAAAGACTTAGAAATATGGTCAAATTTGAAGTTATCGCTGCTAGGCCGAATTGCTGTGATAAAAATGAATGTATTGCCAAGAATGTTCTTTCTGTTCCATTCACTGCAAATCTTCGACAAAATGGACTGTTTCAAGAAGTGGCAGAGAGATATTTCCAGATTTGTCTGGCAGGGCAAGAAGCCCCGCATAAAATTTAAGATTTTAACTGATGCTAAAGAAAGAGGTGGATTTGCCCTGCCAGACTTAAAACTTTACTATGAATCAGCCGCTTTTTGCTGGCTGAGAGAATGGATGCTTCTTGAAAATACAGACGTTTTGGATTTGGAAGGTTTTAATAATGTATTTGGTTGGCATGCATATTTGTGGTATGATAAGGTCAAAGCACACAAAGCGTTCAAAAACCATATTGTAAGGAAAGCACTGTTTAATGTCTGGATAAGATACAAGGATTTGTTAGAAAATAAAACCCCAAGATGGCTGTCACCTATGGAGGCAAAGGCTCAGAAAAAACTCAATATGGAGGCCAAATGGCCGAAGTATTGGGAAATCTTGGAACAAGAGGGTGACAGATTAAAATTACAGAGTTTTGAAAAATTAAAAAACAAAGTGCGAGATTGGCTCCATTATTACCAAATAATGGAGGCATATAATTTGGATAAGAAAATTGGCTTCCAGGTGGAAAAATCAAAACTAGAAACAGAACTGTTAGAACCCAAAACTAAGAATTTGTCAAGAATGTATAACTTGCTACTGAAATGGAATACCCAGGACGAAATGGTGAAATCTGCTATGATTAAATGGGCACAGGATGTTAGACATAACATTATGATGGATGACTGGGAACAGTTATGGACCACTGGTATGAAGTTTACGGCATGTAATGCCTTAAAAGAGAACTTAATGAAAATGATTTACAGGTGGTACATAACACCAGTCAAGCTTGCAAAAATCTACCATCTGCCCGATAATAAATGTTGGAAATGCAATGAAACTGAAGGCACTTTCTTTCACCTTTGGTGGACATGCCCAAAGATTAAGGCATTCTGGGAGATGATCTATAATGAAATGAAAAAGGTATTTAAATATACCTTCTTAAAGAAACCAGAGGCCTTTCTCCTGGGCATGGTGGGCCAATTGGTGCCAAAGAAGGATAGAGGTTTTTTTATGTATGAGACAACAGGAGCAAGAATACTCATCGCAAAGCACTGGAAGACACAAGACCTACCTACCAGGGAAGAATGGCAGATGAAGCTGATGGATTATATGGAATTGGCGGAAATGACTGGCAGAATCCGAGACCAGGGAGAAGAGTCGGTGGAAGAAGATTGGAAAAAATTCAAAGTTTATTTACAGAAATACTCTAAAATTAATGAATGTTAGAAAGATGCTGGAAAGAAGTTACATGACTTTAGCAGAAATATTATAAAGAATTAAGTATGAATAGATTGACATTGGGTAAAGAAGTAAATTTAAGTCAAAAATTTCGTTAAATTAAATTATGGAACTAAATTTGTGAAAGAGGGAAAGGACTTGCTAGAACATTTAATTGAACTAGAATACAAAAAAGGAGGTGTGAGGAAGTCGAGGAAATAAGCTAATGAAAGATAAGGATATGAAAATATGGGGTTCTTTTGTATGTTTGTTTGTTCCTTTGGGGTTTTTTTCTTTTTTTAAATGCTTTTGTTTTCTTTTTTTCTTCTTTTTGTATTGTTGATGCTTTGTATATTTCTCTTTTGTTTCTCTTTTCTTTTTTGTAATGTTTAAACTTTAATAAATATTTTTTAAAAAAACAAATAAATATAGGGACAAAAGAACAAACTCAAAAAAAAAAAAATTAATCAATTAAGGCAGCCTGACCTTGGCTAAGAAGGACAAGACGAGGTGCTGCAGGGTTGATGGAGAAAATGTCTCCAGCATCTCAGCCAGAATGTCTAGAAGCCCCAGGAGCAAAGGGCAAAAAGGAGAAGTTGCTGTGGCTCACATGGGGGGGGGGGCGTTTCCCAGCCCAGGGGCTGCATTCCCTCACAGGCCACTTTCTGGGTATTGCGTGCCAGTGGTGGTGGTGGGGAGTGTCCAGAGACAAAAAGAGGGAGGAGTCATGAAAATGACTGTATTTGACTCCCAGGCCTGAGGATCTGTACCCCTGGTTTCAGAGGCCACCGTCAGTACACAGAAAGGCAGGTTGCTTTGAGGGAGGGGCAGCCACTATTCTGCCCCCTCCCCCCAAAAAAGCACAAGAACGTATCACTTACCTGAGTCCAGAGCAAGTGCTGACAGCGACCAAGGAATCCGCTACTCCTTTTACATATCCCTGATAGTGGCAGTGATCCTGAATGGGTAGAAAACAAGGGGGGTGGGTTAAGAAATGACTGCATGCAGCGTTTCTTGTTGCTCACAGTGTTGATACCACAACGCTCTCATGAATCAAGAAAATGAGGTGTTGCTATTTTGTGGGTTGGACTCTATTGCATACCTGTTGATTCAGGTCACCCTTTTAAAATGGATTTGGTCTCTTGAGCAACAAGCCTGCTTCTACACACACACACACACACACACACACACACAACTTTTTTCAGTTAAGGAAAGCACCAGGGAAATTCCCTAGAAAGTGTAAGATAATAATGGCTCATATAACTTGTCCGCAAACAAATCAGAATGGCATTATAGAACTTCCCTGCAAATGCTGTGCAGACACATTGAGAAGAATGCTCAGCAAACATGCCCTCTGGAAGCAATGTAAGGGTACAGCTACATGTACTCAAAGTGTGAAGACATGTGAAATCAAGGTGGTCAAAAAAGTCAAGTATCTGGGAATTTGGATGACGGCAAAGAATATAAATCTTTTTAATGACAATTATCAACCAGTCTGGAAGGAGATTTAAAGAGAATTAGAAATACGGGACAGATTAAAGCTATCAATGACGGGAAGAATGTCTGCGATTAAAATGAATCTATTACCGAAAATGTTGTTTCTGTTACAGACAATTCCGATAATAAGAGGTTTAAGACAATTCAAAGAGTGGCAAAAAACCCTCTCGCGTTTTATATGGCAAGGGAAAAGACCAAGAATTAAATTTAAAATATTGACAGATAAGAAGGAAAGAGGGGGGTTTGCAGTACCTGATCTGAAACTCTATTATGAAGCGGCATGTTTATGTTGGACAAAGGATTGGATAATTCAGGAGAACCTAGACTTGTTAGATTTGGAGGGGTTCAACAATAGATTTGGATGGCACTCTTATCTTTGGTGTGGTAAGGCAAAAGTGCATAAGGGGTTTACAAATCATGTGATAAGAGGTGCCTTATTTGAAGTCTGGGAAAGAAACAAGAATTTGTTGGAAAGGAAAACACCGTGGTGGCTGTCACCAATTGATATATTAACAGTTAAAAAACTGAACATACTAGGGAGAGGGGCCACATATGAGGAAATTTTGATGAAGGCTGAAAAAGGTTGGAAATTAAAGCCCTATGAGTGTATTGCTGAAAAATTGACAGGATGGTTGCAATACCATCAAGTCAATGATGTCTTTAAAGAGGATAAAAAAATAGGATTTGAGGACAAAAAAATCGAAATTTCAAATAGATATTTTAGAGAGTAAATCCAAGCTATTATCAAAAATGTACAATCTCTTACTAGAATGGAACACAAAAGATGAATTTATAAAAGAGGCTATGAGAAAATGGGCTATTGATTTAGGACATAGCATAGAATATGATGTATGGGCCAAACTCTGGAATGAGAGCATAAAATTCACCGCTTGTTCTGCCTTAAAAGAAAATGTTATGAAGATGGTTTATCGTTGGTATCTCACTCCCACCAAATTGGCAAAAATGTATAGAACAAGTAGTAAAACCTGCTGGAAGTGCAAGGAAAAAGACGGCGATTTCTATCACATGTGGTGGTCTTGCAATAAAATAAAAGAGTTTTGGGATGCGGTTTACAACGAGTTAAAAAAGATGTTTAAGTACAGTTTTCCCAAAAAGCCGGAAGAATTTTTGCTAGGTTTGGTGGGAGAAGGGATTAAAAAGATAGATCAAAGATTATATTTATATGCAACAACTGCAGCCAGAGTTCTGATAGCTCTAAGGTGGAAGCAACAGGAGATGCCGACGATAAGAGAATGGCAGATAAAGTTGGTTGAGTATGCTGAGATGGCTAAATTGACACACAGAATTCACAATCAGGAGGAGACAAAGTACCAAAAAGAATGGAGTAAATTTATGGTTTATATAAGTGAGAATTGTACAGATATGAAAACGTTGGCAGGATTGAAATACCTCTCATGTCATGGCATAATTTATAATTAAAGAATCTGTAAACTATAGAATGGAATAGGAAAACTGCTGGAAGGGAAGGACGGAAGCTAATGGATCTATGAAACACAAAGTAGGATACATGTAACAAGATGTGATGTTTTGGTGGTGGGTGGTGGGAGTTGGTTGGTGATTGTAAATTTCAATAAAAATCAAATTTAAAAAAAAAAATCAAAGTGTGAAGACATGTGATAGCAGATTCTCTGTAGTGACACCCCAACTATGAAATTATCTCCACGCTCAGGTACACACAGATGTCAGCTATGTTTCTGAGTTTCCAGAACCAAGTTAAGACACATCTATTTACTAAGACATTTGGTGAATTTAGTGGAACTGTCCAAGGTCCTACGATTATTATGAAATGCTACTGTTTCATTGTTGATAATGGCTTGTTTGATGTGTGGAAGCAGCCTTGGGATCTACTCCGAAGGAAGGCAGCTTAGGAGTTCTACAAATTGAGACTTTGCACAGACACCTACTCCCTCGACCTGCCACCTGGATCAGGGCAATTTACCCTGTGTTGTCCCAGGGACCAGACACCCGACACCAGAACCACCTCCAAAATAATTCACGGATGGGGATATCTTTTTTTAAAGGGATTCAAATCCTATTTTGTTATACAGCTAGGAAAGCTAGGACTCTCCCACTTAACACATCAGGCAGGATCCGATCCTCCTGCTTAACAGCTGTTAATCAGGAGGGCCTATCAGGAGGGCTGCTGCTGCTTCATATACAAGGCAAATGTCCTCTCCTCCACTGCCCCCCAGGACCAGGAGGGGCTTGAAGAGACAGGAATGGCAGCAACTTCCATGCAGGAGAATGTCATGGCTGAAGTTTTTTGAAGGCAGAAACTGTTCAGAACTGGAAAGTACTGGTCTATTCCAGTGTGTCTGTAACTGTTCATTTCTGCTGAAACAGTAGGACATGTTATGAGTTACCCTGTACTTTCTTGATATGTTATCTCAAGGACACTGAGCCAGAAGAGATATAGCAGTTGTTCAGGGAACTGCCTGGTTATTCCTACTTTTGTTTTCTTCTCTTCGCATCCTCTGAGTTTCTATACATTTATTCTTGAGGGGTTTTTTTGCTGTAACTAAGCCTAATCCTTAATAAAAAATTCCCTTTGCTAATGTGTTTTGACTCTGTGTGATTTATTGAAACCCAACACATCCGTTCCACCAAGCTTCTGCTACTCTGCTCTTCCACAAGAGAAGGAGTGCCTTGGGACTTAAGGCCAAATCTTGCAGATTGCTTGTGCACGCATGCGCACCATCCAGCGAGGGTACATAAGTTTGGGTGGAGGCATGGTCACCCTGCTGCTTCAGTAGTCCAGTTGGGAGCAGAAGCCAGTGGAGGGGATGCCAACCGCTTAGCCGCCGGAAGCACTGTGCACCTTTGTAAGAAAAACACTGGGGCCCAACTGGATTAGTAGAATGTCTGTCATCTGGTGGGTGGGGCTTCTGTGTTGAGCTCCAGAACTGGCCCCTCCCTTTGGGTGTCCAGTTCAATTCAGTCCAAGAGACCAAGTGTCCTTCTGGCCCCAGGATGTGCTTTTAGTCTCTCTCAGACAGGATGTCACTGTGTTACAGTTTTCTTTATTATTAAAGCTTTGTTTGAGCCTTTACTTTGCTGAAAGAAAAGCAACTCTGCTGAAGAATGGTGGAATATCCTAAACTGGAAGAGTGAGGGGATATTCCCAGTCTTAAAGGACGATTAGTTTTCTTTTTCACCCCCACCCTCCACAACATGCCTTAGGAGCTACCCTAAGGGTGCGCTTTGCCAATAAAGAATTAGACTGCAAGCTGTCTGTCCTTCCTGGGCTGCGTGTGCTCGGAACACCAAGGGGAGCCCCAAAACATCTGGAGGGTCACAGGTTCCCCCCTCCCTGATGCAGAAAGAGAAACCTATCAGTGTCTGTTCAACAATTGTAGCTAAATAGAACCTCCAAGTTCAGCAGCAGTATATCAATGAACACCAGGTTGTGTGATGGGTCTGGAAGCCTTTCACAAAAAATACCTCTGCTCACTCATAGATATATTTACAGTCTTTATTTACATACATATTTACAAGGTACAGGACATAGCTTCATGCATCCGAATCCTCGGTAGCAGATCCAGGAAGTGGGAGCTTTTGGCTCCTCCTCCAGCAGAGGAGCTTGGGAAGCCCCAAGCGCCTTCTATGTTCCCTGCGTTTTAACCCCCTTCTGTTCTGTGCTGAAGGAATGGGCACTGACTCTCCCTCTGTCTCTGAACTGGTTGAGTGGTGTTGATGGTCTCCAGCATCTGGGAGCGTCCTCCAGTGGCGTAGCGTGGGGGGTGCAGGGGGCGCCGGCCGCACCGGGCGCAACATCTGGGGGTTAGGGTTAGGGGGTGCAAATCCACGGGTTAGGGGGCGCAAATCCATGGGTTAGGGGGCGCAAATTACTTGCCTTGCCCCGGGTGCTGACAACCCACACTACGCCACTGGCGTCCTCGCTGCTTGAGTTCCTTCTGCTTGCTTGTCCTCCTCTCCCTCTCCTGTCTTTTCTAACGGCTCCTGTTCTTCCCCCTCCCTCAGCTCCGGGGACAGGTTGCTAGTCAGCAACCATGTGACAGGTTGACCTTTCCTCCCCATTTGTGGGCTTCCTGGAGGCCTCTGAGTAGCCACTGTGGAAAGCAGTGAGCTGGGCCGGAGGGACTCATGGTCTGAACCAGCAAGGCTCTTCTTCTGTGCTTTGCAAACATGCAAAACAAAGAAAGGAAGGGGGGAACTCCCACAAAGGGACTATTTGCTTACAACAACTAATTAGCCAGCAAAGCCAAGAGCCTACTAATAAAAACATGGTAGAGACATAGGAAGCCCCCAGTCATTTTACCTCAGTAGTGTCCACACTGACTGGCAGAGGTTCTCCAGGATTTGGGGCAGGAAACTTTCCCAGTCCTACTGGAGATGCTGGCATAGATGCTCTACCATCCAATTACATGACAGAAACTGACTTCCATCTCAATAACCACAACATCACCAGGCAGCCAGAGTTCAGAGACACACATCTGGAAGGAACTCGCTTGGCGGGGGAGGGGAGAATGCCACACAACACCTGGAAGCTGACAGAGTTTTGGAGCTGTTAGGAAGTAAGCATGATCTCCAAGACCTTTGGAAATACAAGCAGGGTGCTAGGAAATGTCTCACAAGTAGCACTGGGGCCTATGAGCATGTGAATGATGCCATCCACATTCAAGCCAGGGCTTTAAAAAAAATTAAATGCCAGGTTAAGGACAGGGAGCAGCCTGTCCTCAGGAACACAGCAGGTAGTGAGCAGGCCAAGGAGAAGACTACCCTTTACCCGGAAGGTCCATGACAGATCACTGCCTAACGCTACAACATCTCATCAACAAATACAAATCTGGAGGACAGGCCTCACTATACGCTGCCTTCGTTGACCTAAAAGCAGCTTTTGATACATCCAGAACCAGACTTTGGGACAGACTACAGGGTATCAATATAGATAGAAGGCTCCTGCTCCTAATTCAGGCACTGCACGCAAACACGGCTCTTAGAGTCAGGTGCAGCCGCCTAGGACACCTAACGGACCCAATTAAAACCTTCAAAGGAGTCAGGCAAGGGTGCCTATTGGCCCCTCTACTATTTAATTTCTATCTAAATAACTTAGTATCTGCACTCAATGACTCAGAACTCCACCCGCCGAAGCTTGCAAATCGGCATATTTCGGTCCTGCTATATGCCAATGATGCAGTAATTCTATCCAGAACCCCCATTGGACTCAAAAGAGCACTAAGAAAGCTCGCAGCATACTGTGAATCTGAATGTCTCAGAATCAACTATCAAAAGACCAAGATACTCGCTTTTTGGGGAAAACCAAAGCTTAGAAGCTGGGAACTCCAAGGCCATAAATTAGAACAAGTCACAAACTATAAGTATCTAGGAATGGTGGTACAGGCCTCAGGAACCAACAAACTACACATAAACTTCATCGGGAGTTCAGCGGAAAAAACCACAAATTGTATTCTTAAATTCTTCAGAGCACAAGGGGCTTCTTGGTCCCCGCAGCTCTAAAATTATACAAGGCCAAAACTTTGGCACAACTCCTGTATGGTTCCTTTTTGGGTCCGCCTTCCTCTGCTTTCTCCCCACTTGAGAGAGTTCAATCTAGACTTCTTAGAGCTCTCCTGCAAGTCCCCAGATGTGTCTCAAACGCATGGGTTAGATTGGAAACGGGGATGATGAGAGTGGAGGCTAGCATTTGCTTAACATCAATATACAAATAGCTGACATTGAATCTGCTCCCCCGAGGGATAGCCCCACTGATCCTCTGCGACCAATTCCAGTCAGGCTGGCAGACTGCAGTTCTGAACACCCTCCCGAAACTGGGTTTTGCCCCTCAGGCCCTTCTAAGTCTGGGCTTGGGCCAGGCAAAAGCCACGGTCAGGCAAAGAATATTAGATACCGAGAGACAACAGGACTGCGCAAGGTGCCCCGACTATAAAATTGGAGAAATCGAGAGATACATAGCCGCACCGGCAGCATATCTCTTCTTTCTTGTATCTAGAAATGCAAGAAGGGCATTTACACTCGCCAGAAACACGGCTCTTCCCTCGCCAGTCCTGGATGGAGCCTTTAGAAAAGTCCCCTATGCCCAGAGACTTTGCACCTGTCCATTGGGAGAGATAGGAAGCCCAGAACACTTGTTCTTTAAATGTCCCTTTTATGAAGAAGCACACAGTAAGTTCATTGATCCCCTACTGGTGAGGTTCGCCGACTTCCCGCAAAAGCAAAAATTTGACCTTTTGCTGTTAGGCAAAGACCAGAAGAAGACCTGGATGGTCGCCAGATTCTGTGTGCAAATCTGTAGACGCAGACCATCGCCCAACTCAAAATAGTCCAGCATGAAAATCCCCAAACTCGGTTCCATGGACTCTGAGTCAACTCCCTGGGATAGTTTATTGTTGCACATTGTGTCTAAATTTATTGTTGTACATTGTTTTAATTGTCTGTTTTAACCATATTTGCACATCAGTTTCTAATGCTGTGAGTGTCCTCTATTTCAGAGGCTTCTACTCTGCAGCCTCTTATAGTTGTTTTAACTGTGAGTCTTTTAGTTCTTACGCTCTTACAGTTGATTTAACTGCATGTTTTTATCTGTTTTAATTATCAGTTTTTATCCATCCATTATCCGTGTTTAATCTTGTATTTGATTCAGATGTTTTATCCTATGCTTGTTTCCTTGTCCTTATTTGCTCCAACATTTATCAGTTAAAAAAAAATCCTAACTGCTATTTTATTTATATGTTTGTTTGTTTTTTATCCTGGTCCGTGACCGTAATAAAGTTCAAGACAAGACTAGCCTTTACCTTGCAGTGGTATTTTTCTACATTCAGGGAGGGTGTTCAAACATCCAACCCCCAATACCACTCTTGCAGACACAGCAACCCTCAGCCCTATTCCTACATCTCAGGCAATTGAACTCATTTGCCCTTGGCTCCCACTTGTGCCTGGAAAATCTTTGCTACTTTACTTCTCCAGATGCCAGCCCAGCAGGATGGAGAGGCAGGCTCCCAAGAAATGTATTTGAAAGGAAAACATACCTTGAGATCCAGAATCTCAGAATGCAGCGAGCCGTCAGCATTGTAAGTATAAACTGTGAAGTCTTTGGGCACAAGGGCTCTGGAGGAATTGGAGAGGGAATTATGGGAAGAAACGCATTAGGCAACAATTGTTTTAAAGATTAAGGAAAAAATGCGGAACCAGCAATGTTGAGCTGCAAAGTTGGAAGGGAACGAGGAAAGGCAGGTTCAAAAGCCAGTCTGCTAGACCACCTGAACCCCCTCCCTGCCTTCAGAGTCTTGTTTTTCAAACCCTCCCAAGACAGCATTGAAAAATAAGCAAAAGAGTACAGCATTTAACTTAAGCAAAATTAAAAACTTGAAAATTAAGAATGTTTTTAGACCTCATGCTTAAAAGGAACGAACAGTAACATCTTATCAGAGCTTGCAGGGCAGTGGCGCGCGCCTAGCGGCGCACGCAGTTTGATCCATCTTTTAGATTTACGGGAGCTAGTCTCAAACGTTTGTTGGGGGAGACCTAGGTTTTTTGGGGGGGAGTTATTTGTCCTGTCTTCACGCTTTTTATGATGGAGGACCGCTGTAGCCACCCCCAATGACACGTTCTCAAGATGGAGGGGGAGGGAACAGCTGCAGTCACCTGCGGTTCCTGCGCAATGTTTGCCATCTTGCCAAAGGTTGCAGGCAGCTTTACCTGCAGCAATTGCATGTTGATTGCCCTCTTAGAAGACAAAGTCCAGCAACTGGAGGAACGTGTAGCTACGCTCCAAAGAATTAAGAGAGCTGGAGCTCTTCTTGGAAGCAACAGAGCACACTGTCTCCGCCAAGGAGGAGACAGGGGACTCCCCTGAGAAGGAGGCTAGTTCACCAACACAGGAGCCAGATATATGGAGAAACATGACTCAAAGAAGTAGGAGGCCCAGGGTTCGCTCTGAATGTTTAGAAATACACAATTGCTTTGAGGTCCTCTCCCCTAGCATGGAAGACGAAGAGCAGACTCCATTTGAGGATCTCTCCCTCATTACAGTCGATCAGGTATATGAAGACGAGCAGCAAAGTCAGTCCTCAGGGAATCTGCAGGCGACCTTGGAACGGACAGCTCACGGAAGAACCCCGACCAAACCTAAGAGGAGGCGTGTAGTGGTGATAGGGAATTCCCTACTGAGGGGAACAGAAGCAGTGATCTGTGGGCCTGACAAGATGTCTCGGGAAGTGTGCTGTCTCCTCGGGGCTACGATCCAAGATGTAACTGAACGACTGCAAGGAATCATAAAATCCACTGACAAATACCCCTTCCTCTTGGTTCATGTGGGAACCAATGACACTGCAAGCAATAGCCTCCAGAAGATCAAAAGAGACTACGAGGCTCTGGGCAGGAAATTGAAGCAATTAAATGCACAAATTGTCATCTCATCTGTCCTCCCAGTTGAACGACGTGGCCCAGGAGAGAGGGAAAAATAGTGGAAGTGAACAGCTGGCTTCGCAAATGGTGTAAACAGGAACGGTTTGGATTCTTAGCTCACGGACTGCAGTTTCTTGAAGATGGACTTCTGGCAAGCGATGGGCTGCACCTCACAATGGTTGGGAGGAATGCTGTTGCCAAAAATCTCAGAAACCTCATCAGGAGGGCTTTAAACTGACTAATGTGGGGGAGGGAGACAGTGCTCCTGAAGGTAGGAGTCTATCAATTGATGAAGATGATCATCCAAATGTCATAGACCAAATGGAGCAAACAGCACGCAGACCTAGTGGTGGGAGGAAAAAATCCTTAAATAAGAGACACGGGGAATGAGTAATGGACTTCAATGTCTGTACACTAATGTGCAAAGCATGGGAAATAAACAAGATGAGCTTGAGCTCTTGGTACAGCAAACTAAATATGACATAATAGGCATCACTGAAACCTGGTGGGATAAGTCCCACGATTGGAATGTAATAATGGAGGGATACAACCTATTTCAGAGAAACAGACCAAACAAGAAAGGAGGGGGAGTGGCGTTATATGTCAGGGATGTGTATACCTGTGAAGAGATCCAAGATTTAGAACCTCAAAGCCAAAGTGAGAGCATTTGGGTCAAAATTAAGGGAGAGAAGAATAACAGTGACCTCATTGTGGGAGTTTACTATAGATCCCCAAGCCAAACGGAGGACATAGATGATGCCTTCCTGGAACAGATGGCCAAGCATGCAAAAGGAAGGGAGATAGTAGTAATGGGGGACTTCAATTACCCGGATATTTGTTGGATGTCAAACTCAGCCAAGAGCCTAAGGTCAAACAGATTCCTCACTGGCCTTGCAGACAACTTCATTGTCCAGAAAGTGGAAGAAGCAACAAGAGGAACAGCCATTTTAGATCTGGTCCTAACCAATGTTGATGACCTGGTTAGTGGGGTAGAAGTGGAAGGATCATTAGGCGCGAGTGATCATGCTCTTCTGAAGTTTACTATACAGCGGAAAGGAGCAGCCAAGCATACTAGGACTCAATTTCTTGACTTTAAGAAAGCCGACTTCATAAAACTTAGGGAAGTACTGGGTGAGATCCCATGGACAGTAATACTAAAAGGAAAGGGAGTTCATGATGGCTGGGAGTTTGTTAAGAGGGAGATAGTAAAAGCACAACTTCAGGCAATACCAATGAGATGGAAACATGGAAGGTGCCTAAAGAAGCCAGGGTGGCTATCTAAAGAACTTTTAACTGAGTTAAGATTAAAAAAGGATGTGTACAAAAAATGGAAAAGGGGGGAAACCACCAAAGAGGAATTCAAACAAATAGCCAGCACGTGTAGACACAAAGTCAGAAAAGTTAAAGCACAGAATGAACTCAGGCTTGCTAGACAGGTTAAAAGCAACAAAAAAGGCTTTTATGGGTATGTCAGTAGCAAAAGGAAGAACAAAGAAACAGTGGGGTCACTCAGAGGAGAAGATGGTGAAATGCAAACAGGGGACACAGAAAGAGCTGAACTCCTCAATGCCTTCTTTGCCTCAGTCTTCTCCGATAAAGAAAACAATGCCCGACCTGAAGAATTTGGAGCAAATGATTCAGCAGAGGAAACACAGCCCAGAATAACTAAGGAGATAGTACAAGAATACTTGGCTAGTTTAGATGTATTCATGTCTCCAGAGCCAGATGAACTGCATCCAAGAGTATTAAAAGAACGGGCAGATGTGATCTCAGAACCACTGGCAGTCATCTTTGAGAATTCCTGGAGAACAGGCGAAGTCCCGGCAGACTGGAGGAGGGCAAATGTTGTCCCTATTTTCAAAAAGGGGAAAAGAGAGGACCCAAATAATTACCGCCCAGTCAGTCTGACATCAATACCAGGGAAGATTCTGGAGCAGATCATTAAGCAAACAGTCTGTGAGTACCTAGAAAGGAATGCTGTGATCACCAATAGTCAGCATGGATTTCTGAAAAATAAGTCATGTCAGACTAACCTGATCTCGTTTTTGACAGAATTACAAGCCTGGTAGATGAAGGGAACGCAGTGGATGTAGCCTACCTTGATTTCAGCAAGGCATTTGACAAGGTGCCCCATGATATTCTTGTAAAGAAGCTGGTAAAATGCAGTCTTGACTATGCTACCACTCAGTGGATTTGTAACTGGCTGACTGACCGAACCCAAAGGGTGCTCATCAATGGTTCCTCTTCATCCTGGAGAAGAGTGACTAGTGGGGTGCCAAAGGGTTCTGTCTTGGGCCCGGTCTTATTCAACATCTTTATCAACGACTTGGATGATGGACTCAAGGGCATCCTGATCAAATTTGCAGATGACACCAAACTGGGAGGGGTGGCTAACACCCCAGAGGACAGGATCACACTTCAAAACAACCTTGACAGATTAGAGAACTGGGCAAAAACAAACAAGATGAATTTTAACAGGGAGAAATGTAAAGTATTGCACTTGGGCAAAAAAATGAGAGGCACAAATACAAGATGGGTGACACCTGGCTTGAGAGCAGTACATGTGAAAAGGATCTAGGAGTCTTGGTTGACCACATACTTGACATGAGCCAATAGTGTGACGCGGCAGCTAAAAAAAGCCTATGCAATTCTGGGCTGCATCAATAGGAGTATAGCATCTAGATCAAGGGAAGTAATAGTGCCACTGTATTCTGCTCTGGTCAGACCTCACCTGGAGTACTGTGTCCAGTTCTGGGCACCACAGTTCAAGAAGGACACTGCCAAACTGGAACGTGTCCAGAGAAGGGCAACCAAAATGGTCAAAGGCCTGGAAACGATGCCTTATGAGGAACGGCTAAGAGAGCTGGGCATGTTTAGCCTGGAGAAGAGGAGGTTAAGGGGTGATATGATAGCCATGTTCAAATATATAAAAGGATGTCACATAGAGGAGGGAGAAAGGTTGTTTTCTGCTGCTCCAGAGAAGCGGACACGGAGCAATGGATCCAAACTACAAGAAAGAAGATTCCACCTAAACATTAGGAAGAACTTCCTGACAGTAAGAGCTGTTTGACAGTGGAATTTGCTGCCAAGGAGTGTGGTGGAGTCTCCTTCTTTGGAGGTCTTTAAGCAGAGGCTTGACAACCATATGTCAGGAGTGCTCTGATGGTGTTTCCTGCTTGGCAGGGGGTTGGACTCGATGGCCCTTGTGGTCTCTTCCAACTCTATGATTCTATGATTCTATGATACCTCATTAAAAACAGGATTAGTTATAAACTCCCCTCTTTTCTTTTTATCACTACCAAACAACCCTCTTTCAGAAAATAAACAAAACATTATAAAAATAATAAATGAGGCTTTTTAAAACTTTTGAAAAAATAAGTGCTTTCACAGAACTGGACCTGGAAGAAGAATGAGGAAAAAGTAAAGATTTGCAAACAGAAGGCTGTGAGAACAAGGAATCAGAAGGGGGGGAAAGAACTGTTGCTTCTATCCTTGCAATTATGGTATATTCTAAATGAAATCATAAAGATTTTTTTTAAACAAAAAGCAGCAGCTGGAGAAATATCAGTGCATTTCACTATGAATGGAGAAGGATCACACACATTTGATGTAGCTGTGTCCCCCCCCTTTTATAATATACGGTACATTACAACAAATGGCCTATTGCAAACCACATGTACAGATTACCGTATTTTTCGCACCATAGGACGCACCGGACAATAGGACGCACTTTGTTTTAGAGGGGGGAGAACAAGAAAAAAAGAATCTCCCCCTCTCTGCCCAGCGCCCCTTCAGCGAAGTGGCAGGAGGCGCTGTGCAGAGAGGGGGGAGAACTTTCCCCCTCTTGTTTTCCCGCTCTAAAACAAGGTGCCGTTTAAGGTGCGTTCAGGCGGCTACCTTGGAAGCCTGGAGAGCAAGAGGGGTCAGTGCACACCAACCCCTCTCGCTCTCCAGGCTTCAGGTTCCTCGACCTGCTCTTTGGGGCTGGCGGGGAAGCCCACCACCAGCCCCAAAGAGCAGGTCAGGGAGCAGCGGAGAGGCTCCTGCCATAGCCATGCGTCACCTCTCCAGCTGGGAGAGGGTAGCGGGGCTATGGCTTCTTTAGCCCCGCGCGCGCTCTCCCGTCTGGAGAGGTGACGCATGGCTATGGCAGGAGCCTCAATAGCCGCGTCACCTCTCCAGCCGGGAGAGGGTCGCGGGGGGCTGCTTTAGCCCCGCGCGCGCTCTCCCGGCTGGAGAGGTGACGCGGGGCTGTAGAGGCTCCTGCCATAGCCGCGCGTCACCTCTCCAGCCGGGAGAGGGTCGCGGGGCTATGGCGTCTTCGCTCCATAGGACGCACACACATTTTCCCTTCATTTTTGAAGGGAAAAAAGTGCGTCCTACGGAGCGAAAAATACGGTAATAACCTTTAAGGAAAGTTGCTTTCTTTATCAGAAATAAGCTGGCATGTCACCATGATGGCGAAGCCAAAAGTGCTTTGCTGGTGTTTAGTATGGAAGCCGAGGGGGCAGGCAGAGAAATCAAATCAACCAGTTGTTTCCTCTGGAGGGCTCTCAAGTGACCTGTAGACCAGGGGTCAGCAACCTTTTTCAACAGGGGGTTGAAACCTCAACAGGGGGTTGAAGCCTCAGACCTTGTGGGGGGCCGGACTATTTTTTTGGGGGGGGGGAGGGGAATGAACAAATTCCTATGCCCCACAAATAACCCAGAGATGCATTTTAAATAAAATGACACATTCTACTCATGTAAAAACATGCTGATTCCCGGACTATCCGAGGGCCAGATTGAGAAGGCGATTGGGCCACATCCGGCCCCTGAGCCTTAGTTTGCCTACCCATGCTGTAGACTAAGCCCTGTACAGGTCACTTTCAGAACCAGGGAAAAGAGCCAAACAGACCAATTTAAACTCAGAATAACCAGGAGGAAGGAAAACAGCCCAGTGTAGCTGGAAATGAGTCACTTACTTGTTTTTTTCTAGTTCAAGTGTATACTTTGTTCCTTCAACATCAACTTCAAAAGATAGTTCATCCTCAAAAGAAGAAGGAATAATCAAGCAACCTCTCTGGGAATCCTCAATTAATTATCGACATGTTCCGAACAATCCAGAGATTCCCAGTCCTGTCCGCCCCCCGCCTAGCAAATACACCCTTGTGTGTATGGTGGAGGTGCATCACCCACCCTTTCCATATATACACATTACACAAAGCAGTTTACATCCATGAAAATCATAACATGAAAAATAACAACACTGTCAGCAATATAAAAATCATAGTGTAACAACCACAAATTAAAAGGATAATAATATCAGCAGAGAAAATGTACTTTCCCACTAAAACCCACTAAGCAAGACCAACAAAAGTTTGATTGAAATTGCTCTGCAAGACATAGTAGCACCCTGTCTATGTTTTTCTCTCTGAATGCTCAGCTTTTGGTGCATTTTCTCTTTATTTAATGAAATAGTTGCAAAACCATCAACTGGCTTTGTATGTCAGGTATGGGGAACCACATTTTTAGGTTATTTTTTCAAAAGTTGTTGCATTTTGACAGTGGCGGGTGAGGAGGCTCTTGTAAGTTTTTCTGCCTCAGTTGCCAAAATAACTTGATCAGTTATGCACCATGATGTAGGCAGAGGGAGCACCATGTGCTCTTCACCTCATTCAGCCAAATGTCTCAGCCCTGTGTACTGTTGACTTCACAAACATTAGACAATAGGTGCTGCTCACAACAAGCTTCTGCAACAAATATGCAGCTCTCTCTCTCTCTCTCTCTCTCTCTCTCTCTCTCTCTCTCTCACACACACACACACACACACACACACACACACACAGTTTAGTCCTAGGCTGCCCTGAACCCTCGGCAGCTGTACCATTCAGGAAGCACATCCATGCTTAATTATTTCACAGCTGCTTCCAGATATGTGTACAAAAAGCAGAAAGCAACATGCTGATGATGAAATCCTGCTCTGAAATACCTCTGCTACCCTGGATGTCAGCACATCGCGGTGTTTTCTTGTTATCCTCTTGGGGACAATAATTTCGTAAGCAGACAGCTGAGATAATGGCTGAAAACCTAGAAAGATACAGGGAAATGTTAATGGATTAAAACACTGTCAAATTGATAAAGTCAGTGAAACCAGATAGCTTATCCACAGGTCCCTGAGTAACAGCGGCAAGAGGACTAATTGAACCTTAAGACAGCTGTTGGGCACAAATTTGATGGCTTTAAGATCAGCACATGGATGCCACAGGCTGAAACAGGTTTAACAGTCATTCGTCTCCACAGGAAACCATCAGAAATGACTCCAAGGGCACTTACTCAGATACGTTCTGGGGGTCATTTTGTTTCTGTTTTCTGGGATCGAGTGCCGGGGTTCTTTTCCTTGGAGAAGCTAACACATGAAATTAAGGTCACCCAGGGATCTGCTGCACCACAAGTTTTTGCAGCCAAATTGTGCCCTTTGTTTTTTTTTTTACTCAATATGAACACTCATGCTATGGGTTGCCTCATTACACCTAAGTACGATTTCATTCGGAAGAATTACAGAACTTATTTGGCTCTTTGCCTCCTCCTCGCACTTTTCAAGCTTCTTCTTTTCTTTTTCTGCTATTCCACTAATATTATTATGGTAATCTTTGTACAAAATGTTCCTTTCATATCTCCAATTTTCTTGAACAGATCTCTGGTTCTTCCAATTCTGTTGTTTTCCTCTATTTCTTTGCTTGCTATTCTTTGGAAATCTGCATTCAATTTCCTGTATCTTTCACTATCTCCCTCGCATTTTGCTTGCCTTCTCTCCTATTTGTAAGGCCTCATTGGACAGCCACTTTGCTTTCTTGCATTTCATTTTCGTTGGGATGGTTTTAGTTGCTGCCTCCTATACAATGTTACGAGCCTCCATCCATAGTTCTTCAGGCACTCTGTCCACCAAATCTAAATCCTTAAACCTGTTCCTCACTTCTACTGTGTATTCATTATTTTACTGGTGCTGATTTAATATAGGTCTTGCTTTACTCTGGTGTTGTTGCTTTTTAAATTGCATTCATTGTGGTTTTAATATACTTCTTTGCCCCACCCTGGGGTCTTGAGGTGAAGAGAGGGCTATAAATACTTGAAATAACAAAGCAAGCGGTCTAAAGCCAAAAGAGCCACAACTAAAAACACTGAAACAGGGAGCGGTCAAGCTGGCTCATCCCATGGAAATTGCTGAAAGGGGTACGTGGACATTTTGCTTCATAACTTTTATTTTAGGAAGACCAGAGACCTACTTTGTTTTTGATTTTTAATGAAAGCTTAGAGTCTGGAGCGCATGCTGTTTATGTGTGCTCTATATTGTTACCACAGGTACCTGCCTCTCTGTAGCCCTGTTCAGTATATCCAGCATCTTTGCTAGTGAACAGCAACTAGCCACATCTAACACTTCCTCCACTCAGGGTTGCAGCCTGGAAAATCTGCTTTTCATTCAGAAAAGAAAAGAAAAGAAAAGGAGATCTTCAAGGAAAAATTACAAGGAATTATACGTAACCTGCAGTTTGGACCTCAGAGTGCAAAGAACTACACTGAACTTGAAGCCCACATTTCCACTTTGTTACGTTCAGATGAAATTGTGTCCTTCACTCTTTAAAGCATGTCACATCCAAGTCTCACATTAATCCAAGTCTCAAAAACATACCAGGATTTCAGCACTCAGCATTTTCACTAGCAAAGCTGAGGGAAACTGCTACTGAACAGTAACATTTGCAGGTACTAAGGAGGTGTATTGGAGATTACTTTTCCTTATTAAGTACAATTTAACTACATGCATGAGAAAAATAATGCTGTAGCTATTATAATAAAAATGTATGGTTCAAGTTGGAAGGTTGGTGAGTCCACAACACTGTCATGATTAACTTCCCTAAGGACCAGTTCTCATTGCACTTGTGCAGCTTCCTCTCCCGCTCCCCAGCACTGTCTTCAACATCCCAACCCTATTTTTGAAACTACTTCTCTCTTCCACTCAGCTGCCCCACATTGCACCTGTTTTGACTTCTCCCCCTGCTTCTGCAATCCTGCTTGCACACAGAGAACTGTCCATACATGGCAGCAATAGACACCAAGCCCACCTTGCAGAAGCGGTGCTTCTGCAATTACAACATATTCAAAGCATTTGCAACGTGGAGGGATCACTAGGTTGGTGCTAAGCGGCTCTGGCTAATGGAGATTTGGTGAAAGTCTCTATAGATATTCACAGCAAATTGCTCCAAGCAAAGCAGTAAGTCTGCCAAGTGTAGATGAAGTGATTCATCTCTCATTTGCACATTTTAATTACAGTCACCTGGGGCACATAATAAATTAATCTTACTTAGCGGGATTGCCTTGGCTTAAGCAGCCCTATTATTTTATTTATTTCAGAAACTGTTTCATTAACTGCTTTATTCATTAACTATTTATTTCAGAAACTGCTTGATTGAAGTATATACATAAGTATATACTGAAGTATACAAAAAGTTTTTTTAAGCAGTTTACTATGTTTCAACATAAATCTGGAGGTCCATTCCTACCCTCATGGTTAATGTGGAAGCAGTGTCATGCAGTTCTGTGAAAGATGTACCGTATTTTCGCCCTATAGAACGCACCGTCCCATAAGGCGCACCTAGGTTTTTTGGGGGGAAATAAAGGGGAAAAAATTATTCCCCCCCCCCCCCAGGCACGGGGCTGGGACTCCAGCCCCCAGAACAGGCAACTCTCCGCAAGCCGCGGGAGCCCAGTGCCGGGCTCCCGTGCCTTGCGGAGAGCTGCGCGAAGTCTGGGCGCGCTGAGCTCAGCGCGCCCAGCCTTCGGCATGCAGGCAACTCTCCGCAAGCCGCGGGAGCCCAGCGCAGGGCTCCCGCACCTTGCAGAGAGCTTCCTGAAGCCTGGAGAGCTAGAGGGATCGGTGCGCACCGACTCCTCTTGCTCTCCAGGCTTCAGCGAAAGCCTGCATTCGCCCCATAGGACGCACACACATTTCCCCTTCATTTTTGGAGGGGAAAAGGTGCGTCCTATGGGGCGAAAAATACGGTAGTCAAAACTTGTCCCTCAGCACTGGGATTCGTATGTTATACCTACAATGCCAGTCCCTTATTCTTACCTTTAATGTTCTGCAGGACGGACAGGGAACCTGTGGCTCACCAGCTATGGCGAGGGGAGCATGAGTGGGGTGGCATCGCTCACTGCTGTGCCCACAGCATTGCCCCTCCCACTCAGCCCCGTGAGGCTATAGAGCAACATGGCCCTGCCTACACTGCCGCAGTCAAAGTAAATAAAAAAATTGTACAGTAGCACCTTAGAGGCCAACAAAGTTTGTTCTGGGTATAAGCTTCTTCAGATATTTAATTTTAATATTTGGTAAGAGTAAGAACCTTTTCCTCTTTTAAGGAGTGTGATTTGCCAAGGAAATTCAGCATTCCAAGTTCATTCATGCTGTAGTTTATTTGTGTCAAAGTTAATTTCTATTTCAACCCAGCGGGCACAAGGGACATTGCTACGTCTGTGCTCAGCTCTTTGGGAGGCACCAATCAGAAGACTGCCAAAGCACCTTTCCTTCTCCTGCTCCCCCCCTAAGCTTTGGGAAGTGTGTTTTACAGGCTTTCCTTGGCTGTGCACACCAATTGTCTGCAGGAAACAGGTGCACACAGCCAAACAGAACAGCCTTTAACTCCCACTCATCAGCTGAAGTGCAAGGGTTAAAGCTTGTGTTTGCCACAGGCAACTGTTCTCTGGGAACAGACACCCAAAGCCAGTGCAGAATTGTTGGCAGAGAGAAGCAAAGGGAATGATGATGATTTTGCATCCATTGCCCCGGGCACTCATGGCTCTGCAATCAGTACAGGTCCCACTTGTGCCCAGTAGGAGTGGAATCATTTTAATCACAAGTCAACAACACATGGACAATTTATACAGACAGACTGCTAACTGAGACTCCCTTTAAATCTAGTTCCTGGTGAAGATTTTGTTGGAACATGCCACATACCTGGCGGTTTGTCAGCTGTTATTTAAAAAAATTCTGGACTTCCAGCTCTGTTATTTAACAGTGTATCAAATTAAGCAGGATCAAATTAAGAGATTTCCACGGCCTTTCATTTTATTTTTCAAAAACAATCCTGTGCCTCAGGTCTTTATATATGATTATGCATTATTCCAAACTTATACTGAACTTAAATAATTATTTCCAACTAGACACTGTTTTTTGTTTTTGTTTTACCTTCCGTGTCAGCACATGTAAATTAGTCTTGCATGATCCCACGCCATTGTCTCTCATTAGTCCCAGTCAGCATGGTCAACAGTCAAGGAGGAAGGCAGATGTAGTCCAAACATCTGGAGAACACCTTGATGAAGACTGCCTTAGGGTGTTGCTGGCCAAACTGTGGCTCAGCAAACACAGCTAGCAGACAAATATTTCTAGCATGGCTCTCAAGCAGTTGAAAGGATAAGTCCAGGTTACAAAAACCAGCACTGACATTTGGCCTTCAACCAAGACTGTAAGACTCTGGTCAAAAACTGTCAGGCTTTGGGGACTCAGCTTCCTTCCCACCTTTGGCGGTAGATAAGCAGGACAAAGAGAAGAGTCGCTTACCATTTAAAGAGTCTTTAATGATCACAGCAAAAGAACAAAGCAACCATTTTCGGAATGGTGGTGTTCCCAATTAAGGATTCCACCCACTTCCCCCCTAGCCACTTCTGCGCCTTGCAACCCGATCTTGCAACCACTTTGCTTTCTGGGCTGCCGAGTCGGTTGACTCCCTCTCTCCCAGTTCTTCTCCTAGCTGTTCACCCCCCAGTTCGTGCCAACTTTTGTCTTCAGAACCATGTGCCTCTGCAAACCACTGTTCTAAATCTATACTGTTCCACTGCTCCTGGGCAGCTTCAGGATCCTGGTCAGGAGCAGGGGGAGGGGGAGGCTCCCACCATTCCTCATCAGAGCAGTACTTCTCAGCCTGGTCTCTGACAAAAACTAGCTTTCCTGGATGGATATTGCAAAAGGATGAGGGGGCTGGTGGCTGAAGGACCAAATTCCCATTCCTAAAATAAGCCCTAGTGCCAGAACATGCTGCTACAAATACCAACCCTCTAGACCTTTTTTGCTTTTTGGTTAGCAAAAATGCACTCATGCGAACAGCAGCTGTGGCCCAGGAGTCTCCACTTTCTGACCCCTCCAGGAAGACATGTCCCAGGATCACAGGGTGGCCATGTGTTCTGCTTTACAAAGGTCTGCTTTCCATTTGAAGGCATCCTATATTAGATGGGCTGTCCAGTCCATGTTCGCTTAAAGAACCCAGGGAAATGGGGGCTGGTTTGAAGTTGCCCACTGCCATGCGCATGTCCTAGTTTGCCTTCTTTTCTGGCCATGTGCAAATGGCAGGAGCACACACAGGAGGCCATTGTGCTACCATTGAGAAGCAGATAGCACAGGCTGCACAGGCAGTATGGGACATTGGCATTAGTGCACCAGCTATGCTGCCCAATGATGAACCGGAAGGAGCTAAGGCACTCTGGGTGTCTGGGAGGGAACACAGTTCCCCAAACACTCAGCCGCCGCCCCCCCCAACTCAGAACTATCTGGACACCCCCTGAGGTAAAGAGACATTATCGAAGAGGGAAGCAGGGCCTGGGAAGGCTTATGCCAAAGTGCAGGATTGATACCGGCCTACGGGTGGTGGGGACAGAAAAGGTGCTGCTCTTAACAAAACAGTTCCTGCCTTGACTTTAATAACTTTGGCCTTTGCTCCGTCTCGAGAGGGAGACAGGGTTCTAGGATTGAGGCTCTGTCAATGAGAAGGTCACCCAGGATGGACAAGCTTATCCTCCCAGCCAATGATGACTAGAGAAGGCCCAACGGCTGCCACACATGAACAGAGTTTGTACCCTACAACACCTTACAAAACCTTCTGCGGTTTCCAGGGGTTCCCTAGCAAAAATGCCAGGCTTCCTCAGCAACTGAATCAGAGAAGAAAGGCAGAGGTTTAAAAGGCAGAGAGATTCAAAAAGAGAGTCAAAAAGCAACAGCAAAATTCAATTGCCTCTGTAGGCGGAAGCGGGGTCCTTCCCTTAGGTAGTAAAATATGTTGTGCAGGTCAAGCTGCTCTTTGGATAATTGTAAATTACATTCTCTTATTATTCCTCCATAAATATATCATAGACGCCCCCCGTCCTTATAGACCAGGGGTCCTCAAACTTTTTAAACAGGGGGCCAGTTCACTGTCCCTCAGACACTGTTGGGGGCCGGCTATAGTTTGAATTTTTTTTAACAAATTCCTATGCACACTGCACATATTTTATTTGCAGTGCACAAAAAGATCCCTATCTGAAACTGCTGCAAGTCAGTGTAGGCAATACTGAGCTAGGTGGAACGATGGTTGGAAACTTGCTTAGGGCAAAAGGGTAGGAGGCTGAGGACATCTGGAGAGTGCGGCAGCTGGATCCAGCCAAAGCTCACTTCACCTGGAGCACTCAAAGTGGGGACATGCACGATCTGTTCTCTCCTCCTATTTCCCAATTCCCAAAGAAAGGGAAGCGAGAAGGAGGGTGGGCCGGGCTCACCCTTTTCTCCTTCCTTCCCACGGAACAAGCCAGCGGAGGGAGGGAGGGAGGGAGGCAGGCTGGAGGGCTGCTGCTGCTGCTGCTATCGCTGCTACCTCAGGAAGAAAAGGCACGGGAAAAGGGGGAGGGGGAAATGGCAGCCCTGCCCTGACTGGCTCCAAGGGGAGAGAGATCCAGCCAGGGACTCCTCACTCACCACTGGAGACATAAGTACAGGAAAAGGAGCCGAGTTTCCCCCAGAGGAAGTGTGGGAGGGGCCTTGGAAGCATTGCCGAGAGCGAGGGGGATCGCAGGCTGAAGGGGAGAGGGGGAGAGTTAAAGCTCGAGGGGGAAAGAAGAAAGCTGACCCCCACCCCGGTCACCTGGGATCCCCTGCTCTCGCTTTCCCCAGACACTCCCAACCTGGAAAAACGAAGGCAGCCGAAGGGGAGATGGCGCAAAAGAACTCGACTCAACAGAGCTAGGAAAAGAAAATGTTCTGGAAAATAATAATAAAATATGTTGCTGCCGCCGCCAGGTTGAACCCCTGTGAGGATTGGGGCCCGGAACAGAAGGAAGAGAAGCAGCACCCGCCCCACTCCACAAAACAATTGCTGGGGAGCAATGGTGGCCAGCACCAGACACTGCTCTGTGGGGCTTTCAGCATGGCGCCTCCTCCTCCGAGGAGACCCGCAAGTGGCAGAGGCGGCTGCCAAGGTAGGGGCGCTGCGACACAGCCGGATCAGATCAACGGCCGCCTCGTTTGTTCATGAGCAAGGCCCTCAGAGGTTACCCTGGTTTCAAGCACGTTTCACAGCTTGTAATGGAGAAATGGGGCAGCGGTGATCCTGCGCCTCCTTCCATCGGGAATAAGGCAGCAGCGCTGGCTCTGCCTGGGCGGGCGGGTTCAGGACCCTGGTGGGCCAGATGTGGTCTGCGGACTGTAGTTTGAGGACCCCTGTTATAGACTGATCATCTCAAAAGGGCTCTTACTGCACACTCTATGATCAGGAAACCCATCTAAGAAGTCTGAACTCACTAAACAGATTAATTGAATCTGTTTTGGTTTTAGGCATCCTCTTTGTTTTTGATGTGTACTTCCTCTGTCCTTAATTTGTCCAAACATCTAAGCAATTACAAGTCTATTTAGGAGATGCTGGCATGAGAGCTTTTCCTACTTCCGGTTCTATACTATGAATAGGAATGGGGGCAATCAATTTAGTTTACATTTAAAGGCAAACCTACCTAACTCGGACTTTCCAGAATAATGCACAAACTGAAACACAGCTATCCTCTAAAAGCTGCACTTCTCCAAATTTTGGAACCAAAAGAATACATACAAAAATACATATTTTAGGGTAGGTGTGCATAAAAATGCATATATTCAATAAAATAACATGAAAAATACATTATATTAGAGAAAACTGCTTTTCAAAAAAGTGTGTGTTAAGCAGAATTGCATATAAAAAGGTCTCTATTAAGAGAAATTCAGAGTAAAATGTTGGTGAATTTTTATGAGTTTTAAAAAATAAGCAAATCACAAAATGGTGTTGAAATATGGAGAACTGAACTTTCAGGACAGACAAAAGGCAGCCCTTCTTCACACAGCTCATGGTTAAACTATGGGACTTGCTCTCACAAGAGGCAATGATGGCCACCAATTTTGGTGGCTTTAAAAGAGTATTAGACAAGTTTATGGATCCATGAGGTGTAGTGATTCAGAGCGGTAGATTTGTAATCTGGGGAACTGGGTTTGCTTCCCTGCTCCTCCACATGCAGCTGCTGGGTGACCTTGGGCCAGTCACACTTCTCTGAAGTCTCTCAGCCCCACTCACCTCACAGAGTGTTTCTTGTGGGGGAGGAAGGGAAAGGAGAATGTTAGCCGCTTTGAGACTCCTTCGGGTAGTGATAAAGTAGGATATCAAATCCAAACTCTTCTTCTTCTTCTTCTCCGCAGTCAGAGGCAGCATCCTTCTCAATGCCAGTTGCTGGGAGCCGCAGGTGGGCAGAGGGCGGCACTTGCGCTCAGGTCCTGCTCGTGGGTTTCCCATCAGAGACATCTGGTTGGCCACTGTGAGAACAGGAAGCTGGACTAGATAACCCATGGGCCTGATCCAGCAGGACTCTTCTTATGTTCAGGAGCTTCAAATTCCAAAATGCACCCTACCTATACAAACAGATCCATCGGGTGGGCCTCCCTCCAATATTATAATCATGAAAACAGCACCTCAAACAAGGGTGAGGAACCTCAGTTAGACCCAGCAGGGATCCTAATGTTGGCCACAAGATGGTTCTTCCCCAGCCCTGCCCACCTGCTTCATATCTGACATCAAACATTAACGTTTTTTCCTCTGGGAGCAGAGCCTGCATTTGGCACCTTAAAAATTTGCTACCATTTGTCAGCCGATCCTTGCCTATCCCTGCCAAAATGGGGAGGGGGCTACATTCAGCACTGAATTTAAAGATTTGTTATTTTATGTAAATTGCTTTGGGAGTTCTTGCTAGGCCAGCAAAGTAGCATAAAAATGTATTTATAAATAAAATAGATAAAGAGGTTCCAGGTTAAAGGGCCTGGATGGGAGAGCCCCTGGGAACCACATGAAGAACATGGTGTTTCATGGTGGAAGAAATGTGGGATATGAAAGAAGGAGGGAAGGAAGGAAACCTTTAAAGTGTTAGTAAAGTGACAGAGCTTAACTGTAATCTATGCCATTTTAAAGCCTGTGCTTTGTAGTTGGGGGGTGGGGGGTGGAAGAAGGTGGTGGAAGAATCAAACTGCCATTATCCCATCACAGGAACACAGGAAGCTGCCTTATACCAAGTAAGACTGTTGGTCCACACTGACCAGGATTTCAGGCATCCCCACCAGGAGATGCCATTGAAGACGGAACCTTCTGCACGCAAAGCAGATGCTCTGTCCCTGAGCTATGGCCCTGGCATGTCAAATGACCAGCAAATAATTAAAAAAATGGTGACCATGGTGACCAAGGAAATGAGCTGTAAACTAGAAGTCCCCAGATCAAAACTCACTTCTGCCATGAACAACTATATAGGCAGGTCTCTCTCTCAATCCCCTCCCTCTCACAAACTATGTAGCATTTCACAGGTTGTTATCATGTTTATTTTATTGATTGATAGAAAAAAATAGTTATATACTGCTGTATCATAAAGATATATCACAGCAGGTTACAACAATATAAAAACATAAAACCAAATAATAATATCATAAAGAGTTAAAAGCAAGTTAAGGGCAAAAATAAAATAAAAACAAGTACTGAGTTCTCATATGCCCTAACTGAATAAATGCTATACAGGAGGGACACTCTACCCTGCACCGGCATGCCTTCCATACATTTCAATGTGATCTGAACAGCAGAGCTTCCAAGCAGCTTGAGCCCCCCAGGAAGCAGCCCCAGGCAACTGCAGAGAAGGAACAAGGGCACTGTCAAGAGGATAAGCCCCAGTCGGAAACAGCAGCTTCCCTATGGGAACCAACTGCTGCGGAATAACAGCAAAGAGGAAGGCTGCATTCAAGCTGAGCTCCTGGACTTCTCTAATCATCTGACAGGCCACTCTGGAAAATAGGGTGCTGAACTTGGTGGCCCTTTGGTCTGATCCACCAGGGTTTAGGAACACCTTTTTTGGTATATCGCTGTGGGTTAAACCACAGAGGCTAGGACTTGCTGATCAGAAGGTCGGTGGTTCGAATCCCCACGACGGGGTCCCTTTACCTTTACCTATACAACTTTGAACCAAGATACTGGGGGGAAATACGTCCAACCCCGACCTCCCTGACCAGCCACTGCAAGAGCATCCTGTGAAGCCCATCCAAAGATTCCTTCTGGAGGATGCTAGAACTGGTCCACTTCCTTGGAACTCCCTTGCACTGCACATCAGACAAACACCTCCTGTAAGGTGTTCCTGATTTTTAATACTATAGAATCATAGAAATGTAGAGTTGGAAGGAATCTCAGGGTCATCCAGTACAACCTCCTGCAATGCAGGAAGCTCAGCTAGATTTTTTAACCAACCTCTGCTTAAAAGCCTCCAGTGAAGGGAGCTGGGCATGTTTAGCCTGGAGAAGAGGAGGTTAAGGGGTGATATGATAGCCATGTTCAAATATATAAAAGGATGTCACATAGAGGAGGGAGAAAGGTTGTTTTCTGCTGCTCCAGAGAAGCGGACATGGAGCAATGGATCCAAACTACAAGAAAGAAGATTCCACCTAAACATTAGGAAGAACTTCCTGACAGTAAGAGCTGTTTGACAGTGGAATTTGCTGCCAAGGAGTGTGGTGGAGTCTCCTTCTTTGGAGGTCTTTAAGCAGAGGCTTGACAACCATATGTCAGGAGTGCTCTGATGGTGTTTCCTGCTTGGCAGGGGGTTGGACTCGATGGCCCTTGTGGTCTCTTCCAACTCTATGATTCTATGATTCTATGATTCTATGAAGGCGAGTCCACAACCTACCAAGCAGTGACTAGGGGGACTACATTGGTCCCCAACATGTTTCCAGTAAATTAGAGTATTAAAGTATTAATCTCTGGTGCCTCCTTCCCAAAGCCTGGGAAGCTTTTGCTCGGCTTAAGGAAGGAGGCACAATGCTCACATGAGACATCACAATGTCACGACGGCACCCCAACCCCATTGCCCTCACAAGCTGGCATCTCTGGCCCTGTTCCCCTACAAAAAAATACACTGCACGCCCCGAGGGAGACTGTCCCACTGTCAAACCACTCTAATGGTCAGAAAGTTTTTTTCAAATGCTTAGTTGGAATCTCCTTTCTTGTAACTTGAAGCCATTGGTTCAGGTCCTAGCTCTGGAACAGGAGAAAACAAGCTTACTTAATCCTCCATGCTATCCTATCTCCTCTCAATCTCTTTTCCATACTAAACATTTCCAGCTCCTTCAACTGTTCCTCACAAGGCTTGGTTTCCAAACCCTGGATCATATTGTTTGTCCTGCTCTGCACACCTTCCAGCTTGTCAACATCCTTCTTAAATTGTGGTGCCCAGAACTGGACACAGTATTCCATGTGTGTTTTGACCAAGTGGTAATATGACTTCCCTTGATCTGGATACTAGACTTCTGTTGATGCAGCCTAGAATAGAATTAGCTTTTTTTGCTGCTGCATCTGTGGACTCATGTTCAGCTTGTGGTCCACCAAGACCCCTAGATCCTTTTCACATGTACTGTTAGTAAGCCAGGTGTCCCCCATCTTATATTTGTGTATTTGATTCTCCCCACCTAAGTGCAGAACCTGACATTTGTCCCTATTGAAATTATGTCCATTAGCTTGGGCCCAGTTCTCCAATCTGTTAAGGTCATTTTGAATTCTGATTCTGTCTTTTGCAGCATTAGCTACCCCTCCCAGTTTGGTGTCATCTGCAAATTTGATGAGCATGCTCCCAATATTATTTTAAATTTTGTATATTTATATTGTTTTTATATATTGAATTGTTTTAACTGTTTTCAATTGTGCAACGGTTTCATATATGACTTATTAGATTGTAAATGGCTTCGGAATGCCTTCTTGGAAGGGATTCTTAAAAGAAAGAAAGAGCTTTTGCCTGCCCGCAAGAATTGACCAAACATTTCCCTGCTCTCTTATACAGAAGTTCCCCAGGCGCTGCTCCGACCAAGGCTTGCTTAAGCGGCGGAGAATCCGCTTAGAGTGCAAAGCGCGCGTGTCCGCAGGATCTCCAGAGTGTGGAGTCCCCTCCAGAGGCGGACGCGGGTGAGGCATCCCGGCTTCCTTGCCAAGGTTCCCGAGCGGAAGAGGGAGAAGAGGGTGGCGCTTCTGTCCAGGGGATCCGCGGGGAGGGGGAGGGGGAGGCTTGGCTCTCGCTCCTCGGAGATCCCCGGCTGGCGCGCGCCGAGGAGCGGGGAGGTCGCCGGCCAAAGGAGAGCTGAGACGCTCGGAAGGAGGGGAAGGAAAGGGGGTCCCCGCCCGCCCCCTCCGGACTCACCTGGCCGGTCGGCCTGCGCAGGCAGCGCCCCGAAGAGCAGCAGCAGCAGCAGCAGCCAGCAGCTCCGCGCGGCCCGCACCATCCCCATCCCCGCGCCCGGATCGGGGCTCCGAGCAGCGGCCCCTCGGCTTCTGGAGCGTGCGCGGCGCGGCCTCCCAGTCCCGGGACCACCCCCGGGGAGGAGCCGGCTCCTCCCCGCCCGCCCGCCCGCCCGAGGGCAGGACGACGAAGCGGGGAAGAGCGGGAGGGCCAGCGGCCCAAGAGGTCCGGCCGGCGGGCCGGCGGAGCAGCGCAGCCGCCGACGAGAGGACTCTCCCGACATGGACACGCGGAGCCCCGCCAAACGCGCGTCCCCTTGGAATGCGCCCTCGAGCCGCCGCCGCCTCCGTTCGCTTGGCTGTTCTGTTCTGCTTGGAGGGTTGGAATATTCCTGGAGCCCCAGATTAAAAAAAAAGTCTTTTTAAAAAAGGAAATACATATATAACTGAAGGCAAATTAGCCAAGGCTTGGTAGGCATTTACTGATCTGAAATATTAACGATTGAAAGACCATAGTACAGTGGTACCTCAGGTTACAGGCGCTTCGGGTTACAGACTCCGCTAACCCAGAAATAGTACCTGGGGTTAAGAACTTTGCTTCAGAATGAGAACAGAAATCGCACGGGGGTGGCACAGCAGCAGCAGGAGGCCCCATTAGCTAAAGTGGTGCTTCAGGTTAAGAACAGTTTCAGGTTAAGAACGGACCTCCAGAACGAATTAAGTACTTAACCCGAGGTACCACTGTACCGTGTTTCTACTCAGCTCGTTTAAGAACACAAGAAGCCTTGGGTTAGATCAGGGATTGAAAACCTGAAACAAAAATGCATTTACAAGAGGGGGAACTGTTTGCAAAAATGTGTCTTATTAGATGAAATGCTTACAAAAATGCTGTTGAATTTTATGGCAAACAATTCAAAAATATGGTGAACTAAACTGGAAAGAACTGAAGGAAACTAAACTTGAGAGATCCAGCCATCCCTAGTATGAAAGAGGGAGAATTTTGGTTCCTGTGTGGGCATTAAGGTGTTGGGGGAAGAGCAGCCTTTCATTCAGTACTTCTCAAACTGGTGGCCCACAAAGAGAGGAACAAGGAGTTCACTGACCTAATACTGTCAGTTGACTACTCACTGTGGAACATTAGGCATTTGGCAAGTTAGCTATGAAGCTAAGAACGCCCTTGAGGAGGTACCCTTTTTAATCGCATCTTCTGTCTGATAGCAAAGATGACAATGAAATGCCTCTTGCTTCCCTATGGTGTGGCTATCTGGAGACACACAACAACAAACAAACAGCTTATCTCCTGCCCAGCCTTGCACTTCCTGCCACCAGCTAAAAACTGGATCTTCCTTTGTGTACAGACATTTTCTGTGTTTGTCTTATTTGTCTAAGTGGCATATGGTTGGGTGCTGCTGAGACAGGATGGTCCTTTGGTCTGATGCAACAGCAGCACACTTCTGAAGTTCTAAATTTAACTTTAAAGAAACAACATCTGGAGCTGTTTGGGCTTTCATCATTCAAATGTACAGAACCACCCCTCCCTCACAAGTCAAAACAAGGGCCTCATTCCCTTCCAGACAGCATTCTTGGGTCCTTATTCCAGTGGTGGGCAACCAGAGTGAAAAAAGTAAGCAGAGCAAAGAATGTGACCTTTCTACAGCGAGTTGCAGTCACACAAAAGCAAGATGGTTCAATGCACACACCTCTGCTTATCCTCTGTCCAGGCAAGCAAGAGGCAGCATCACAATACAGTGGTGCCCCGCAAGACGAATGCCTCGCAAGACGAAAAACTCGCTAGACGAAAGGGTTTGCGTTTTTTGAGTCGTTCCGCAAGACGAATTTCCCTATGGGCTTGCTTCGCAACACGAAACGTCTTGCGAGTTCATGCGAGTTTGTTTCCTTTTTCTTTAAGCCGCTAAGCCGTTAATAGCCGCTAAGCCGTTAATAGCCGCTAAGCCGCTAATAGCCGTGCTTCGCAAGACGAAAAAACCGCAAGACGAAGAGACTCGTGGAACGGATTATTTTCATTTTGCAAGGCACCACTGTATAATGTGCACTGTGCAGAGAATAGAGCAGGAAGATTACTTCTGTTGATCTGGACACTATACTTTTATTCATGCTGCAGCCTAGAATAGCATTTGCTGCTGCATCACACTGTTGATTCATGTTAAGCTTGTCTGCCAAGACCCCTAGATCCTTTTTATGGTACTACTGGCAAGCCAGATGTCACCCATCTTATATTTGTAAGTGTAGAACCTGTTGAATTTCATTTTCTTACATTGGGGCTAGGTCTCCAATCTGTTAAGAGCATTTTCAATCCTGATTCTGTATTCTGCATTAGCTACCCTTCCTAACAGATCCTGAAGCTGAGGCTCCAATACTTTGGCCACCTCATGAGAAGAGAAGACTCCCTGGAAAAGACCCTGATGTTGGGGAAGATGGAGGGCACAAGGAGAAGGGGACGACAGAGGACGAGATGGTTGGACAGTGTTTTCGAAGCCACAAACATGAGTCTGACCAAACTGCGGGAGGCAGTGGAAGACAGAAGTACCTGGCGTGCTCTAGTCCATGGGGTCACGAAGAGTCGGACACGACTAAACAACAACAACCCTTCCTAATTTGGTGTCATCTGCAAATTTGATGAGTATTCCTTCAATTCCTTCATCCAAATCATTTATAAAGATGTTGAACAACAATGGGAATATGCAGAACCCTGCAGCACCCAACTTGTCATTTCCACCCCCAAGAAGACGAGGAACCATTAAGGAGAATTCTTTGGATTTGGTCAGTAAACCAGATACAAATCCACCTAATATGGATTGAGAGCCAGTGTGGTGTAGTGGTTAAGAGTGGTGGACTTGTAATCTGGTGAACCGGGTTCGATTCCCTGCTCCTCCACATGCAGCTGCTGGGTGACCTTGGGCTAGTCACACTTCTCTGAAGTCTCTCAGCCCCACTCACCTCATATAGTGTTTGTTGTGGGGGAGGAAGGGAAAAGGAGATTGTTAGCCGCTTTGAGACTCCTTAAAGGTTAGTGAAAGGCGGGATATCAAGTCCAAACTCTTCTTCTTCTTCTAATAGTTACATTATCCAGCCCACATTCTACCAGCTTCTCTGCAATAATATAATGGACTTTGTCAAAAGCGTTGGTGAAATCACAATATACTACATCCACAGCTTTCCCCTGATCCACTAAAGTTGTAACTCTTATAAAAAAATAATGAGATTCATCTGGTATGATTTGTTTTTGAGAAACCTTTGCTGGGTTTTTCTAATCACAGCATCCTTTTCCAGTGCTTACAGACTGAGTGTTTAAGTATCTGTTAACAGGAAGCCATTAAAAGCAAAACAAGTAAACTAATAAGAAATATTTGTTGTTTAGTCGTTTAGTTGTGTCTGACTCTTTGTAACCCCATGGACCAGCACATGCCAGGTACTTCTGTCTTCCACTGCCTCCCGCAGTTTGGTCAAACTCGTGCTGGTAGCTTTGAGAACACTGTCCAACCATCTCGTCCCCTTCTCCTTGTGCCCTCCATCTTTCCCAACATCAGGGTCTTTTCCAGGGAGTCTTCTCTTTTCATGAGGTGGCCAAAGTATTGGAGCCTCAGCTTCAAGATCTGTCCTTCCAGTGAGCACTCAGGGCTGATCTCCTTAAGAATGGATAGGTTTGATCTTCTTGCAGTCCATAATTCTTGCAGCACCATAATTCAAAAGCATCAATTCTTCAGCGATCAGCCTTCTTTATGGTCCAGCTCTCACTTCCATACATCACCACTGGGAAAACCATGGCTTTAACTATACGGACCTTTGTCAGCAAGGTGATGTCTCTGCTTTTTAAGATGCTATCTAGGTTTGTCATTGCTTTTCTACCAAGAAGCAGGCGTCTTTTAATTTCGTGGCTGCTGTCACCATCTGCAGTGATCATGGAGCCCAAGAAAGTAAAATCTCTCACTACCTCCATTTCTTCCCCTTCTATTTGCCAGGAGGTGATGGGACCAGTGGCCATGATCTTCGTTTTTTTGATGTTGAGCTTCAGACCATATTTTGCGCTCTCCTCTTTCACCCTCATTAAAAGGTTCTTTAATTCCTCCTCACTTTCTGCCATCAAGGTTGTATCATCTGCATAACTGAGGTTGTTGATATTTCTTCTGGCAATCTTAATTCAGCTCAGCCTTTCGCATGATGAATTCTGCATATAAGTTAAATAAGCAGGGAGACAATATATAGCCTTGTCGTACTCCTTTCCCAATTTTGAACCAATCAGTTGTTCCATATCCAGTTCTAACTGTAGCTTCTTGTCCCACATAGAGATTTCTCAGGAGACAGATGAGGTGATCAGGCACTCCCATTTCTTTAAGAACTTGCCATAGTTTGCTGTGGTCGACACAGTCAAAGGCTTTTGCATAGTCAATGAAGTAGATGTCTTTCTGGAACTCTCTAGCTTTCTCCATAATCCAGTGCATGTTTGCAATTTGGTCTCTGGTTCTTCTGCCCCTTCGAAATCCAGCTTGCACTTCTGGGAGTTCTTGGTCCACATACTGCTTAAGCCTGCCTTGTAGAATTTTAAGCATAACCCATAACCTTGCTAGCGTGTGAAATGAGTGCAATTGTGTGGTAGTTGGAGCATTCTTTGGCACTGCCCTTCTTCGGGATTGGGATGTAGACTGATCTTCTCCAATCCTCTGGCCACTGCTGAGTTTTCCAAACTTGCTGGCATATTGAGTGTAGCACCTTAACATCATCATCTTTTAAAATTTTAAATAGTTCAGCTGGAGTATCATCACTTCCACAATATAGCTGCAATTAAAAGATGAGTGCCAGCATAAAACTATGGGCTCACATGGGAGCAGGCAGTCCTTCTTATAATCTGCTCCCAAACTGCTTGTGGCTTTAAAGGTCAAAAAAAGCACTTTGAGTGCAGAAAGAAATTGGCAACCAACACAACTGGCACAGATTGTGAACATACACAATCTGAACTTCAAAGTCCCTGCTCCTCTTCCTTAGTCTTTAATTCTTAAACCAGACCAGGTGCATACACACTAATCCATCTGTAGCACCCAAATGTAATTTCTCTCTCTCCAGAATCATTCATGCTCCTTAATAAGTTTTATTCAGTCTAGGTTGATTCTGCATCCTGCCATCCACAAGGGTGGGTGTGGCTACTCAATATGCATTTGGAAAATCCTCCCCTTGATTAGGTGAACCACATCTTTTCCTCCTTGCAAATGTCCCAGGTGAAGAAGGAAGTAGTGATTGGGATCTTGGTATACACTCACCACCCGCAACT